CTACTGATGAGTCCTTCACAAAATCAGAAAAAAACGCCAGGTAATTTAAAATCATTTTTCGGGCAACCCCTTTGTCTGAGCCTGAGGGCCCATTTAAATGGTCTTGATTACACGTGACAACCCTTTCCCATAGTTACTCTGGCCGTGCTAACTTTTCAGTTATCTTTTTAAACCAACCGTTCCCATTAAAAGAACGAACTCGACTGAGGGAGTGATACAACTCGGAAGGGCGAGGGTAGGGACAGGTGTGGACAACTTTTTTCTTATGTAAGCGCTTTAGCTCGCCTTCCCGAGACGAAGAAGGCTCAAATTTTGTCCAATGTGTAACCGGCCTAGCTGTCACCAGATAGACTGGTGAGGGACAGCTTTTACAATTCACAACTCCATAAAAACGCTCCATAAAGTTGTCTCTTAGGACACGAAATACTTTTGACAAAGGAAGTATTTCCTCAGACCGCTCGAGCGCCTTGCGCCTCTAGCACTCGATTTGTGTTCTTCCTTGGCGTTCTTCACGGAAAATGCACTTTATGTCTCAGTGAAATTTTAGGAGTTCGTAGACCCATGCGATTTGTGGAATTTTTTTTTTCTTCTTTTTTAGGGGTGAGGGGAGAAAAACATCTGGGTATTCTGTTTAAAATATCGTTGTATGGTAGAATGTTCACTGCCCTTCTCTTTTTGCCTTGTTCCTTTAGGACGCCAATGTTACTTCCGTAACCACAAGAAATCTTGCCGCAATGGTACCTCCTGCGAAGTAGTGAAAACTTGCGAAAACGGATCCTACTGCTATTCGCTTTATAATAATAAAACCTCGCAGGTACTTGTTGGTTTGTCTTTCTGTCTGCCTTCCTGCCTGTTAGTCTGACTGTCTGCCTGTGTGGTTGTCTCTCTGCCTGCTTGTCTGTCTGTCTATATGCCTACCCGTCTATCCCTCTGCCTGTCAGTCATTTCGTCAGTCAGTCAGTCTGTCTGTCTGTCTGCCTGATGCCTGTCTATTTTCCTGTCTGTCTGTCGGTCTGTCTTTCAGCCTCTCTGGTACTCTTAGCGTCATGAATCTTCCTCTAGCGTTTCAACATGGTTAATATGATATAACAAAAATATGCATTTTGCCATCGTACCTTGAACTTTCACAGATGCTCCTTAAAGGCTGCTGGCTCCCAGACGACCAGGGTGGTAATAGTTGTTCGTCGGCAAAATGTAAATTTCAGTCAGTCAGATCGCCTCCCTATTATTTCTGTTGTTGCAATACCGATCTGTGTAATCACTCCATCCCGCCACCAATCAAAGGTGAGTGGAAAATATAAAATTCAACTCCTTTACATTACAAGCAAAGCGCAACAAATGCAAAGAAAGCTCTTACTCCAAGGGGCACGCGATAGCGTTATGGTCAGCGCTCTGGTTTTCGGATTGAATAAATCATGCGCCTTTTCTTGAAAGACTCAGTATCTTTTTCCTCTTCCGTGTCTCTCTTAAGATCGAGATGTGAACAGTTTTGGTATTCAAACAATAAACATAACAGGAAAGGGATTAAAATGTGATAAGATTTGAAATATTACTTCTAGGAACGGGGCTCGAGTTCCTGCCATTGTCTCTCTTCATCCCGGGGTTAAATTGAGTCAGTCAGGATAACCTGACAAAAAGACGAAATATAGGAGGGGGGGGGGGTAACCATACGATGGACTGGTATCCCATTCAGCCAAAGGTATGTCTTGTGGAAAATGGAGAAGAATAGCCTGTCTTTGCCATGTTTGACATTGTTGGCAGTGAGTTTTATACTTTTACTCACCCCAGAGATAAAGTGGCCCGTCCTTAGAAATATTGTAAGACGTGTGCTTCACTAGGAATTAGATTTAATTGAAACCCCGAAACTTTAAGAAACTCCAAGACATCTATTGTTCGTCACCAACCCGCGCTTCTTTTAAGGAATTTAGCCGTGTGTCAAAAGAGTGGCTCAATCCTTTACCCCCTGCATCAGAATGCATATTCTCCAGACTGGTCTCTATACATTTCCTAAGCTGCTAAGAAGGAGAATTTCTTTAACAATCAAGCAATTCTCTAGTTGGTGATCATTGCCTTTACTCTTGTGACCTTAATATGTAATTCAGGGGCGACATTGTAAGGAGACGTTACTCTTGGGGGTCAAAGTCCTTCCACTTTTGCGATAAAAGAAAAATTTCAGGGAACATCATCCTCTTAAATAGAGAGCCAAGTCAACTGTCAATTCTGAGCGTTTTTGTTTAGTTTCAGGGAGAAAGAAGCGGAAGACCATCTGATGACATAAAGCAACTAATAATTTAAGTAGCTGAAAGCCGAGTAAGACGTAGGCCGAAGCTTGAACAGTTGAGTAGACGCCCTGGCTGTAGCCTGTTAGTGTTAAGGAAAAAAAACTAAAACTGCTGTTGTATATGAAATGACTTCCCAAAAGACCAATAAACTTTGGATTTGTAGATGGATTCCAAGTTGTAACACTCTTTACTTTTTCAAGGTAGTGTGTTTCAGATGTTCATTCAGTAAAGTGAAGCGTGATAGAAGATAGTGCGATACAAGCAGCTGAGCGAAAAACCCAAAGGAGGCTTGGGTCAATCCACGCGACTCGACCCAGCACTTGCTTACTTTTTTTCACTCTTCTGTTACTACTGCGCCGTTAGCTCATTTCGCTCCACTTAAGTAACTCGGAATGCCTGAAAAAGGCTATTTTTTAACGAAGCTGCCAATAGTGAATTGATTCTCTTTGAATTCCTCGCCGATTTTCGTCTTGATTTCATTTCTTGGCTTTCGGCCAGAAATTTCCTTCCGTAGTAACAACGTACATTCTCAGGGTTCTCCAAATATGTCCCAACGTTTCTGAGATATTTGAAAACATAGGCATGCGTAGCATGCATGCAAGAATTACTTTTTTGGCTGGGTGGGTTGAGATGGGACAGTTTGTGTACCTAAAGTTTTTATTTTTGTAGCAGAAAAAGAGCATAACTATTAAAAGAACGAAAATATCGCATTACTTTACCTTAAGAGAAAGAAAAAAAATCTAATTTATCCGAACTCACACAGCTATTTTGTGTCTATTGTCTCCATTACCTAAAAACTTCTAAGGCAAAAGTAAAATACATTGGTGTCACGCTTACTCTAGTCTCCTTCGCAGCCGTTATTTGGTCTCGTCACACAACGCCACCTCTCCCCTGTTGGAGAGAGAGCGCGTTGCGAGATTAAACGTTGAATGACGAGTTCTGGATTGATGTTCAACAACAGTTTGAAATATGGAGAAAACATGGGCTATGATAGTTTGTCAACACGCATGACAATACATGCCCCATAAGTTTGGCCCGGCATTCTACACGGGCTTTGAAATGGATCCAAGATTGAACGTTCGTGTTAGTAGAGATTTGAATTATTGAATTTCATCGAAAAAGTGAGCGTAAACCTCCTTTCTAGCTGTGCGTGGGAACTGAGACGTTTGGCAGGTACTCCATGGGCATTTTGACGCTTTCGAAATCTAATTTCATTTCCTAACTTCTGAGAGGAAACTCAAAACCCATAGCACGTTCAAGAGGCTTCAGAAAGCCTAACAAACGAGACAGCAACGGACATGGCAACAAGGCATTTAGGTGAGATGCTTGTATTATCAAGATATTAATTTATAGATGTAAATCCGTTGTTCATTTACCAAGCTGTGCTTGTAAAATGTGGTATATGTAACACAACTGAGGTTAGAGCCTCATTCGCAGAAATCATGAAGATGTCACGTAATATTGCGTGACGTCCTCAAAAACGACCACGGAGACGGTTAGACGAGACCCTTTTGCCTGTACGGTAACCGATGTTGTGAAAAATGTCACGTTTCGCTTTAAGTTCCGCAAAAACGTTTCGCATTGGGGAAACGTAAAGAGAAAAACTAAATTCGCAGCTTGTTTCGCCCATGTTGACAATGTCAAATACACACATGCTAGAAGTAGAAACGATATGTAAGCAAAATAATTTATTTTCATTGAAGAGATCATGTACAATGTTACACACTGCGCATACTCTTATGCACCAAAGAAGTCACCGCTGGCACGACTGAAAGGGAAGGTGACGTCATATTCCTAACACGCACGGAGTGAAAGCGCGAAAGCGGTATGTACAATAATTTATTGTTCAAGTGTACAAATGTTTCAATTTGATAATGTAACTTTCCTTTTGCAGTCATGAAAGACGAAATCCTAGCATTTTTGGGTTACAAATTCACGCCTGTGAACTTGTGATCTGCTGGCTACTTCTGCGATTTATATCGTTTCAAATGTTTACACATTTGAGCACTGCTAGCCATTCTCTTTCTGCGCCGTTTCGGTTCCAATACCTCTCCTCCTTCGGTCGCAATTGGGTCCCAGTGGACCACGAGAGAAAGTGCAAAACGGAGGGAATTCTTCTCCCGACGTCGGGACCGAAATCGCCTCATTAAAAAAGGTATTTGTAAAGCTTTCCGTCCATATTCTTGCAGCAAATGCAACTGGGAATGGTTGAAATCAAGATTTAAGACTCGACCACCGGGATAAACTGCGCCGCCTAAAACACAACAAATTCAAAATAACGGTGTCATTTGGGACTATCGTCGAGACCACTCTTGTGATTACTACATAACTACTAGATGCGTTTTTGTTTGGGTGATGGTCAGCAAGAGTTTCTTGTGGAACTCTGTTATGTGGGAATGAGTGCGAGGAGGATGAAATATTTTATATTGAAGAGAAAACGCGAGTGACAAAGTCGTGAGTGGTTTTTGTTCTGAATCTGATTGGTCAAGAAAGCGGCACGAGGTTTCGGGTCCAATCACAGAGCATAGAAAAGCAAAACCAAAATTATCCCGGATCTATACAGACACTCAACTGAAAAAAAATCTATAAGAAAAAATATTTGACTCTTAAAGTTACTCCTATTCTTTTCACGCTCATTCAGAACTTTAATGTTTAAATTCTACCATGTTAACGTGGTAGAGTTTAACCCCGGCAAAAATTATATAATTGCTAACAGTCTTACCCAAACTGGCGCATGTGCAGATGTCCTTTGTTTGTACCATACACCAAACCACTCCCAACTTGGGGATGGAAGAACGCTGCATTTACACTCACGTGACTCCGCCGGTCAGGGTCACAGTCATACGTAACACTGACGACGGGCTGTTTAAAAAATTACGAACACAGATGACAATTAGAAAGTCTGTTATTTTCTTTCTTCACCGACAACCGTGGAAAAAAATTTTCTATCGTTTTTCTTAACTTTGCGAAAGGACAATTAGGAATAGTACCTTCACTGCGTCTGATGGACTTTCTTTGCCAGTCAGCCGGAAGATTTGTGCCACAACCTGTAACAATTTTTGTTAAAAATTATCAAACTTCAATTACTACAAGCTGAATATTTCTTTCACTCTTATCTAGTGTGCCTTATCTAATGCACACAGTTATTAACCCTTTACACCCTAACATCAGTATACATATTCTCCATACTATTCTTCATACATTTCCTTGAGTGATGACGAGGAGAATTTGTTTAACAATCAAGAATTTCTTACTGTTTGATTCAGGGGTGATAATGTAAGGAGAAATTAGACGCTAGTCACTTCTACGGATCAAAAAGTTGTAAAGATGTTAGTAACTGTTGACAGGTTTTTTTTCTCTGGGATTTTAACAGAACAGAAACGTACAAAACAGATTTGATGCGTTAAAAATGAGTGGGTAGTTTTGAGTCCCATCTTTTCACATGCACTCAGTCCTCAACTGTATCTCGTCTCTCTCGAACAGATCTAACTCCGCTGATGATGCTGCTACTGTCAATATGAACAACTGCTTCACCGTTACTTCACCTTTGAACGTGTAAATGAATCTTCTTGAATTGACTACAAACTTTAAAATTTTTGACTTGTTTTGAGCAATTTCTTCGTTCAAGCTTCGAATGACAATGACTGGTGATAAATTTAGCTACAGGCGAGTGTATTTTTTTCAGCGCTTGCCTTAGAATAACACAGCAAGGCGATCAAACGTCTGTGCATGTGCAAACATTTTAGTGACTTCTGTGGGTGGCGTGCTTTGAGGCTGTTAGAACCCGGTTGTCTTACAAAAGCCAACCACACATGCCAGAAAATCATGGTCTCTTAAAAGCGTATAATTAGTTTGATAAAGCTCAAAGCAGAATAGTAAATCAACAGGGTACCCGTACATGAATAATTTTTACGTTCGAAAGGGCTGAAGTTTTCGTCTTCGCTACTTTTATTTGCTTTTACAGATTCCAATGAACGTTTTAATTTCCTTTCACTTATTTGTACGGGAAATTGGCGCGCGGGCGGCCAAAATTTGACCCCTTGGTGCATGCTCTGCATTTGACCGCTGTGTTGAGTGACACACTTAACGTGACAAATTGATATACCTGTCTAGATGTGAGATGCCAGTGAAGTCGCCTGGCTGCTAAGCCGACCATAATGTAACGATTCAGGGGAGACAGACTTATGGAGATTGCATTCGGCCCTGAAATACACATAAAAACAACGACTCAACCAAAAGCACGAAAGAAAAGACACCCTACATGCATGGCACCATTTTCATACCTCTAGTGAATGAAAGGTGAGTATAAAAATGAAAATTATATTTCGAAGTTTCTCAACATTGATATCCCACAGATTTCCCACTTTTTCCTGCAAGAACGCCTGCCCCTCCCTCTCTTTCTCTTTTCCGTCTGTTCTTGAATTCTAACGCAGCAAATAATGTAGGGAAATTTAATTCCGATCCTAAAATATCCTGACTGAAATTCAGGGGTATTCCAGGTCTTCCTGCAAGTGCCTCTGCCCTACCCTCCCCACCACTTCCCGTTCCACCCGTTCCTGAACTCTAACGCAAATTATAATGTAGAGGAAATTTATCCATGTTCTTAAAATTTCCTCACCAAATTTCTTTGCGAATAGACACTGTCCTAGCGTAGCTTTCTCAAGGGAATAAACCGCCACCACACCATCATCAGGGAAGCCCTGGGCACTAGGCACGAAGGTGGCCAGTAGTTTTCCATCACTTGATATGTCGCAGCTTGCATCGTTGTGAATCTTACAGCTTGGGGCAATCACGTGACTATCACCTGGAAATAATACTCCGTTAGCTACCTCTGCGCCATTTGCAAATCATTTACAGGTGGGAGAAATGGTTTTTAGTACCTTATCATCACCTAAAGGCTCTGAGAGGTTTGAGTATTCTCCCGAACTGTTTGCTGAATTATATTGTTAATCACTTCTGGCAGTTTAAGAGCTTACGGATGTGTAAACAGATAAGGAGACGAACACAATTACTGATACTCACTGTTTTTCAAATCGGGCAACTCCACTCGAGAAAAATCCCACCACTGTAAACGATGTGTAGTGTTAATTATATTACTTGCCACGGCACCTTCGCCACACCCTGCGAATGCCCCTGCAATGGCTCTGTTTATCGCAGTCCTCAGAGCAAACTGGGGCCCTCCGTTAGTTACATCAGCGACCACCACCGCAGTATGTACGTGTCTAAACGTCCGTGCTGTTGCCGTCGCGACAGCAGTCCCAGACCCCTGGCTACCACCTAGTGTAGCAAAACTTGAGCTATGGTTGGAGCCGTGGGAGAGATAACTACTTCGAGATGAGCTGGGACCGACATTGATAACGCGGCCCACGCCGACGACTCGATCATCTGGCTGGTCAGCGGGGGCGGAAGTAAAATATTGAGAGTCAAAAGGTACGGATTGTTGCATGGTGGGAAGTTCTACATCCGGTGTATCAGAATAGACGTCTGTATCCCCCGCTGTCACACTCATGCTCACTTCAGGGCTGTCGTCGCTCGAATCAGAATCAAAAGTAACGGAGTTTGCAGCCGATTCATGTTCTAAAACAGCCGAATTATTGTCATTACTAGTTACGTCAAAATTCCAAGTGTTGTTATCACGGGCTCGAAATACAGCGAATACTCCTCTGTAATCTTGGTTCTCGTTGTCATTTTGATTTATTACCGAGCTTGAAGTTGTCTCAGCTTCCCCCGATAAAGATGGAGAGTTTGGGTAAGGCATACTTTCAGCTGAATTTGAAGATGTTCTACTAGTTGCTTCAGGAATGGCGTCGAGACCCGTGGACATGGAAGAAGCAGAGGCAGACGACGAAGGGGAAGAACTTGACGTGGAAGGATGCAACACGCACGAAGTGAATTGATCGCCGGCCACACGTGAATTGCCAACTGATTGAAGAAGACGGTTGACTACGGAAGAACGACTGCTAAGCAAAATAAAAAAAAGGAAAATTGTGTGGCTGTAAACGTCTACGCACGTGCGAACGTTGAGGCAGCAAAGTTATAAACTCTAAGACTGTCAGAACCAAGTTGTCTAGCAGGAGGTTGATACAACCACATGAACCAGTAAGTCACGTTGTTTTAAAAACGCGTAGCTTTTTTAATAAACCTCACAATAAAATGGTAAACTAATCCTTTACCCCTTAACATCAGTATGAATATTCTCCATACTGTTCACCATACGTTTAACGAGGTGCTGACAAGGAGAATTTGTTTAACAGTCAAGAGCTTCTTTATTAGGTAATCATTTCCTTTATTCTCTACTGGGCGAGTTTCACATGCATTACTTAGCTTTAACCCCCCCCCCATCCCCCCCCCGGGAAATTTTTATAAATTCTACAAGCCTGAATAGAGTAGCTTCTCAAACTAAGCGTGGTTTCCAAACCACGAAGCCATTACTGTAAATCCCCCTGGTCTGCAGATATCGATGTGTCTTTCACAGATTATACCATTGCTTTAGCAACTCTTAGGGTGTAGTCATTATTATTTATCGCCTGGTGCAGGGGGGTGGATTTTGTGGGGATCGCATGGAACGGAAATGGGTATTAGTCATCTTGAACAGAGTTTAGAGGGGAGAGGAATCTTCATACTGTGGAAAATTGACTGCCAATGAGGGGGATAATTAGAATATCAGAGAACCTTATGGGTGGATCAGGTAAGTTTTATTGTGACACAACCAAAATCCTCCGACCCCCCCCCTCCTTAGGCAATAAATTATGAGCTGTCCTCAAATTGAAAGGATGTTTATGACACATTCATCATTTTTTTAATACTGATCTTTTTCCACCAGCAGATGAACCATGGTGGTGTTGAGTAATGTACGAAAATGTAAACTAATAATAAGCTGTTTTGAGACAATCTGAGCAATCAAGTTAGAAAAAAAAAACATTGCTGTGGAATTTCTTCATCCACAATAACAAAAATTCTAAAATATTCTCACCTGGATGGAATGGTTTTGGGGTTATCAGCCTGTAGAAGAAAAAATGATTGGAAAAAACTAATTGGTTGTTGCTTATAATCTAACACGGTAAAGACAGTTGACATCATATCGAAAAAAATTTCTTTGTTCTGTCAAACACTGCACTCACGTTGAAAACTGTTTCCAAGAAAATTCAGTATGTAAAAACCCTTTACATCCTAACATCAGTATGCAAATTCTCCATACTGCTCTCTATACATTTCCTAAGGTTCTGACAAGGAGAATTTGTTTCACAATCAAAAGCATCTTTGGTTGGTGATCATTTACTTTATTCTTGCGACCCTAAAGTTTGATTCTGGGGTGATTTTGTTATGAGAAATAAGATTCCAGTCACTCTTAGGATCAAATGTTCAAGAGAAAGCCACAAAATTCGTTGAGCAAGAACTGTTTACAATCAAGAATAAGGCAAAAATAAAGATGCAACAACATTTTGCAGAGTGCTTGTTAAGTTGATGATCACAGATCACATCAAAATGTGTTAAAGATAAGAGAGACACTCCAGTATTTGTTCTGCACACATTTTGACATCATCTGTGATTCTACCCTAAAGATAAACTCAACCAAGAAGTCTACAGTCTACCTTTCAAATTTATGTTTTGTTTATTTTATTTTATCTAGGAAATGGAAATATTTACTCACTGGCTGAGGTATATTTGTGACTGCAGTAAGAATATGGTCACCAAGGGGTGAAAATTCCACCAATCTGAAAAATATCAGCAGTTGCATGTAAAACTTCCAAAGTGTTTAATACAAACATTTAAAACTTTGTAGTAGACCTCACACACTGCAATGTCTCTGTAGCTCAGTGGTAGAGCATCACAGCATGGAATCCTGGTCTGAGGTTCGATTCCTCATAGGGACTCAGAATTTTTTCTTTGTTCCACACTCGTGACAAGATGAAAACTTCTTTCTCTAAAATTAATTTCTTTCCCTTTTTCTTCTCATTGACTATCAGCAACATGGGATTTTTCACAAATTTCACAACCAGCTTAACCCCCAAATTTAGAGAAGCTTGAGGCTGGAGTAAGTTATCAAACTGCAACAACAGAACTGGCATGCATTCTGAATCCTTTGGTTACATATACTTGTTACTTTTTCAGATACTCCACATCATTTAGTTCTTTTTGACTTTTTTTTCATCAGTACCCCTATGTTTTATTTTAGTACAACAAACACAAGGAAATTAATTTGGTTTCTTAAGATTCACCAACAGGGGAAAATTTTGGCTGCATCATACCTAACTTTTTCTTCAGTTGAAGCAGTCTGTACACAAGCAAATGGCTCAGGCTGATCCCAGCTCCAAAAGAGAAGCTTGTTGCTGGTTGCGATCAGCACCACATGGTCCGTAGGATGGAAGGCAAGTGAGGCAATAACAGCTCTGTCAGGAGGTGTGTACACTTCACTATCTCCAGTCTTGACAGAAATACATTAACATGGATGAATAATGTTATAACATTGAAGGCAAATGTAACATAACTTTCTCACTGAAAAGATTCAACAACCTCTTACACCTTAACATCAGTATGCACATTCTCTTTAATGTTCTTCATAAATTTCCTAAGGTGCTGACATGGAGGATTTGTTTTGCAGTCAAGATGATTTTTTCCCTTTTTTCTCGTGATCTAAATTTGTGATCAGGGGTGATATTGCAAAGGGAAATTAGGTGAGTACTTCTTATAAGTAAATTGGTTAACCCTTAAACTCCCATGAGTGACCAAGACAGAATTTCTCCTTACAATATCAATATCAATACCATATCAACCAGATAAGTCATGAGAATAAATATCAGTTTGGGGATAATTAGTTGATCCAATAATAAATTCTCTGAACTAACATTATAAGTGTTGTATTGTTGAAATTAAGGATAATTACAAATTTGATCTGAGAGTAAATTGGTTAAAGGAAAGGATGTTGGCATGTATATATATTATTACTATAATTGCCTCAGTGGAAAATTAGGCTGAGCTATCTTAAGTCAAAACATTTCAGAGCAGCAACATTTTTATTTCATAATTATGGTGTTTTAGTTTACTGCATATGTTTTGCTCTCCAGTTTTTAAAATCTGTTTCAACGAGGGATGCATTTTGTTCCCATGCAGAGCATATCCCTAATGTAATTTTAAAAGTGGCAACTACATGTATTTTGAGAATACGCAGAGACTGAGATGTTAGGCAACAAAAGGACAAACATCTAAAAGTGCAGGCAAACTTCTTCCCTCCTCTCCCACACACCTTCCTTTCCACAATAATACAGACCCTTTAAAGGTGGGTAACAGACTCTTCAAAGTAATTTTTTCAAAGAAACTTCAGATCAACTGCAGTTTGGTCTAAACATGAAGGAGTTTTACAAGTACCGTCCACAAAATCTATCCCTGTTCCTCCCCTGTAATGAATTCAGCAAAAACATTACTCTACCTTTAAATTCCAAACTCTGACTTCTCCTCCAAGACAACCTGATGCCAACAGCTCATTGGATGATGGGTGGAACGTAATGCACCAAGGTGTGCGAGGATGACCACTGAGAGTATTTATGCATTTAGATGTCTTACAGTCCACTATACGCACAGTGTGATCTCCATGCGAAGATGCCATTTTGGTCCTGAAAAAAATAATTATCAGCACAAATTTAAATTCAACCTTTCACTGGAAAGTGTAAAATACAGTGGCTTGATAGTTAATGTGTTGAACTCAGATTAGAAGGTGCCTTAGTTTGCAAATTCTCTTTACTGTTCTCAATATGTTCCCTTTGGCACCTAAAGGAGAATTTGCTTAATAATCAAGAGCTTCTTCACCTTGAGCTAATCACTTTCTTTACTCTCATGGCCATAAATTTATTTCAGGGTTGATACCACTGGGAAAAATTAGATGTACTGTATTACAATTAGATCGCTCATGATGCTATAACAGTGTTTTATGTTTGTTTTTTTGTGCGTAAAGAAAATGAAATAGTTAATGTTATAGAATGCACATGGAAATCAAGTTTAAACTAAAAAAGTTTATTGAAATGGGAGAAGGGTGGGGTTGGGAACGCAGGGAGCCTGCTCAAACTAGTTGAGTTATTCCTTCTTCCCTTGGACTCACAAAGTTTCTTTCACATGTACAAAATCTCCACAGATACCAGATACAGGAAAGGAACAGTATTTGTTAAAACTACAGACTACTAGAAGCAAACAGTGAGTAATTAACCCTTTAGCTCCCATGAGTGGCCAAGACAGAATTTCCTTATAATATCAACCAGATAAGTGACGAGAATTAAGAAAAATATCAACTCGGGGATAATAAGTTGATCCAATACTAAATTCTCTGAATTAACATCATGAGAATTGTATGGTTGGCAGTAAGGAGAATGACAAATTTGATCTGGGAGTTAAAGGGTTAAATAATCAATTATTTTCATTAGTTATTCATTTAAATCCTAAGAGTTCCTAGCATCAAATTCCTTCCTACAATATCACCCCTGAATCACACGTTAAGGTCATGAGAATAAAGGAAATGATCACCAACAAAAGAAGCTTTTGATTGTTTAACAAATTCTCCTTGTCAGCACCTTAGGAAATGTATAAAGAACAGTATGGAGAATATGCATACTGATGTTTGGGTGTAAGGGGTTAATTAAACACACATGTTCACCAAGAAAAATTACAAAACAATATAAACAAATTATATTCATTCAAGATATGAGTCAAGTATCCAAAGGGGATAACAATAGTAATGATGGTACAACGAACTGAAAATAAAACTCACTTGTCAGGACTGAAGCAAACAAGAAAGGTTGACCTTGGTGATCCTGGCAGCTTGCATTCCTGAAAATAAAAAACATAGCAACCTTTAGCATTTTGGCAATTGTAAATAACCTTTAGCACATTATTTAAATAACTATTACACAGGATATCCTTTTTGGCAATTGTTAGTGATATCCTGGCAAAATTTTGATCTGTTTGGTGTCAATTGACTTCCTGTAAATAGATGCCCTCCTTATTTTTTATTTCAAAATTTGATATCTTATGTGTAAACTTTTATTTTCCCAAGGTTAAACAATCCTTTGGAATCTAAGAAAACCCCCAAGTGATGCCTTAAAATGGCAGAAAACAAAAAGCTCTTTAATTTCTAGAGAGTACTTTTCCTTTAAAAACAAAGTCATTTCTAACTTGAGTATGGACTTTTTTGAGCTGTCAAGTTGATGTTCTACCAAACAGTGAAATTTCAGAACACTAAGCTGTCAAATGTGACACTTCACCTTCCTGGGGTGGGGTAACTTAATGGGGGCATAAAAAGGAAGTGTACACATGTATTCCTTTTTCTGAGCATGTGTGAGGAGTGTCTGTGGTCGGTACGTGCAAAAGTAATTTAAAACGCACTGACTGGTTTTACGGAGGTACAAGAATTTCCACTGTTGGTGGGTGTTTGAAGCAAGAACAAAGAAACAAGGAGTAGATTACATTTACAAGTCAGAATAATGGGTATTTAACTAAAGAAACAGTTTGTTATCTCAAAAATCAACAGTTTAACCCTTTGACTCCCAGAAGTGACCAAGAGGTAACTTCTCCTTATAATATCCAGACACAATCCAGCAAACAGGTAATGAGAATACCTAAACTTATCACAGAGAAGTTGTTATTCTTAATCTAACACCAAATTCTTTGAGCTAATTTAGAAGGAAATGTGTGGCAGTTAGAAGGAAGAACTAATAATCAGATCTTGAGAGTTAAAATCTTACATGTGTGAGAAAGAATAGATCCAGTGTGAGAGCATGAGATTGAATTTGTTCGCGTGAATCTCATGCGCAAGGCATGAGAGCATCGACCCTTGGACTTTTATACAGTAGGTTCCAAATTACTATTAAAATTTTAACATTCCGATTTATCTATTAGTTCTAATCTCTATTGTATGTAGCGGTACTCTTAATATCACTGGTAATTTACTATTAAGATCATTATCAGGGTTTTCTTTAAGGTTTTAAGTAGCCAGAGCTTTTTTAAAGGTAAACAGTTGTAGGTCTCAAAATCCAATAGGGCAGACAAAACGTCATATGGTTTGTACTTTCCTGCCACTGCAGCAAGATTTGTCAAAAAGACAGTCCCCTTGAGTCAGAAGTCTTTTTATGTTTCCAGAAAAGATAGGCAGTGCAATTCATATTTTTATTGAGCCCAAGTTTAGACCTGATAAACATCATCTCTGTATGGGCTCTCAAAGCAATGAAAGTAGCCAGCGAAACCTTGCAGAGAAGCCGGCATTCTTCACCAGCTGCCGGCTATTATCTACAACCCTGCATTATTACTCTATTTGCATTTTATCTGCATAAAAATCAGACACTTATTGGTAGATGCGCAGGAATAAATGCAATATACCTGCACTTCAGATGTACACCATAAATTGACTGTAAATTGACCCTATATTCTTAAACAAGGAACAAATATTAAAGGCGGCTTTTTTAGTTCAGACTCACTTAGATCACTTCCTTTGATCTTATATTTGTTCATGTACATGTGGACATTGATCAAAATCACAAACAGATGGCATTATGACACCATAATGTCACCATCAAATGCACTCAGACAAATGGCGACAGTCCCTTGATTGCCATTGCAGCATCTATTTAGCCAAGCTTCCTGCAATGTTATAAGCACATTTACATACTTGAAAACTCTGGATTTTTACACAAGAACACAGGCAAAAATAGACTTTGGCAATGCAACATTAGCCTAATGCTTAGGGATTTAGGAAATTTGCGTGAATGTTGGCAAATTTTCTGTTATTGTTCAACAGCATCACGTGAAAAGAAGTCGGTATAAGCCTTATTTGAACAGATGTCAGTTATTACTCATCTCAAGTGGTGTAACTTATTACATTAATATTTAATCCCCTTATTTTCTGATTCATGAGGAGAAGCCAAACTGTGCACATGATTGCCCAATCTATTAAATTCTTCTACAATCACCTTAAATCTCATTAAAATAAATTGATTTTTTTTTCCTTTTGAGTACTGAAACCCTATAACACATATTGAACAATTATCAAATTTATCCACAAATAGCATAACAGGGTATTTTTAAAATCCTAGCCTAGAGGAACATATTTTGGTAAGTGAAGCAAAACTGATAGGATTAAAAAGACTCTATTCATATCAACAAAATTTTGCAAACAAAGATTCTGTAGTAGTAACTTTTCACTGGTCTTAATCATTTGACCATGATTTAAATATAGATATATTGTACCTGGTATATTCAAGGACATTCGCAACATTAAACTCTACTGAATGAGAACATTCTCAGATTAAAATATGCAAACCACTCATAGACCCAATATTAAGAGTGCTATTTATACATGTACCAATGGAAAAAATTTATTCATCACACCATGAAACTGGTTACCCCCAATGAGAAGTTATAAAACATTCATGTTTCTCTTTTGGCCTTATGATAAAGGTGTCTTTGATCCCTGCTGCTGATAGGTTTCATCAAAATTTAGGAACAAAACCAAGTGCTAAATTTAACTCATCTTGTCATGCAGGTCACAGAGCTAATACTATTGTTATTTCCAAAATAACATGAACAGTCTATTGCCTATTTCAGGCATTCAGTAGGTGGCTGGCTAGAAACAAAAAGGCATTTACATTCTTTGTTTAATTGGCAACCAAAATAGAATGGTATGAAGCATGTCGTGTTGTTTTAATTCTAAACAATGACAAGAACTGGATATCACGCACATTAAAGCAGTAATTTAAGGGCAAGAATTCATGAAACCTTGTATCAAGTAGTTTACGCCGAAGAGATAAAAATGCTTTTGAAGGAATGGTGTTTCTGTATTTTCTAGATCAAAACAAAACTATTCAAGGTAGAAAAAGAACAAATGAAACTGAAAGAAATTTACATTGCGCAACCAAACTAATTTACATCTAGCAGAGCCCAGTTTCAAAGTGTTCTTTATGATACTTCTTCATTACATCTGTATTTGTAAATTGTGTACCGTCATGGAATTTTACAGGTTCTAACTTAGTCTGAAAAAATACGGTAGTATCATGAAAATCATATACATGCATTACATTAAAAACGCCATATAACTACCTTTCATAGAAATTTTTTCAAAGTGGTCTCTCTGTCATAGAATCATATCCACTGTACATGTCAGGTAACTCCCAAAATTTCCACAAAAATTAATGAAAGATTGATGATTTGAAACAAATTCTGAAAGGTGAGTGCTCAGATTAGTGGACCCAACCTTAAAACCCTCGCTGCTTCAATTTGGCCTTTATGAAGATAAAAAATTTGATTTACAAATGTTGACTTTCTATTTACATCTTCAGCCTGAAAATTAAGGTAAGCAATACCTTTTTCTTCCCCAGGCATTTAAAATTATAAATATACTATTCTTTTGGTTAAATCTTGTACTTCATTTTGTCTTAAATTTAGAGATAGTTATATGGAAAATCAAATCAAGGCACATATCTGAGATACAAATGGATATGTCAGATTCATAGCTTTCTGAATGTTTTAACTCCCATATGGCACCAAATACTAAGAACTAAGCAAGGAATGTAAAATCCTTAATAAGGAAATCTAATTTTTGGATCTCAGCAGTCAAAGGGGTTTATCAAATTTTGGTAGGAAGTCACGACTACAGGAAACTGATACAGATCAGATAAAATCTACATCACCCAAGTTCTATAAGATAATAACATTTGTAGTTAAATCATTTCTTTGTAAAAGCAGTAAAAATAATAAAATATTATGTGCTTTTGTCACATAATTTCAAGACTACAGTGGCACAGACAGTTCTTGAAAAAATTCACGAACATGTTATCTGTCACGTGAAATACACATGCTATACATCACTTCTACTATTTGTTTGGTAAGTAAGTCACCCTTAATGTTTTCAGAACAGGATGGGATGTCAGCTTATTTCAATTTTTATGGATAATGAGATAGCTTACGTGTACTGTAGAAGTTAAATACTGGTCTTGTGTCAAAGATAGCAAGTCCATCTTGTCTACACAGTATATTCTAAGTAAAATGTTACATCGCACATAACTTAAAAAAAAAAATTAAACTTAATTTCAAAATTTAAGCAAGATAGGGGGCAACTGTGATTTAAATAACTTTCTCACTTATTATGAATTTTTTCTAATCAAATACTGACAGAACTATCCAGAAAACTTTATAGCCAAATTTAATTTTCAAGTTGACATTGTCACTTTTAATGTCTTCACTAGTACGTACATAACATCTTTCAGAGAAGAGAAATAAAAAATAAAAAAATAAAAAATCACTGGTTGGAGGTGAGCTTCACATGATTACTATGTATATTAAGGCAAAATACAGTAACTCACAAAGTTTTTATTTATGGTTTATCTTAAATTCATGTTTGACAGATTATATTGAAAGCCAAGTTTTAATTTTGACAAAAAAATATCACCCACAGTATGGTTATATTTTGGTTTAATACAAGTTGCCCAAGTTCAAGGTCATTGGCACTGCCACTGCCAATGTCAGAGACAAAAATTATCAGAAAGCATATCAAATTGGAAAACAGCAATATCACTGGACATTAATTTTATTAATTTAGTGATTTAAGCTTTTCCTTCCCATTACTATCTGCTCTACGTTCAAATGGTTTTCAGTTTAAATTGAGAGGCCATCTCCTGATTGATATGTAAAACAAACTCAAAGTACAATTGTGCAAGTTTAGTCTGTCTTCGTATTTCGTATTGAATCACACCAGATGGTAACAAGTTTAATTTTCAGATCTCAAATAACCTTCTGACTAGTAAATATAATTTCCTGTCATAACATGCGTATTTGCATCGTATTGATGGCTTGCTTGTACAACAAAAACGAGCAAGGTCAAGTCCATGAACCACACCCTGACATCGTAAATAAAACCTGGACTACGAAGTTTCAATTAAAACTACGGCCAAAAAATGAGACTGCTTTTGATTGATGCGAATACCTTTGTACAATAACACAATCGAAGCCTTCTTTAGAACCGGAAGTATATCAGGGTTGGTCGCCGCGCCGCGAAGGTCAAGACAAATCTACTTGTGTTTTCAAGAGCTACATAAGAATTTCCACCAACCACGTTACAAATCGGGTAATTCAGAATTCTTAATGAGAGATAGGAATTGTCTCTCGTCAAAACAGAGACCAAACTGCTGTTGTTTTTACTTTCGTCAGGTTTGTCAAGGTCACTACGCAATAAGCTCGTGGTTACGTGCACGAATTGAAAAAAAAAAAAAAAAAAGAAAGGTTTCAGTAAAAATCTTCTGTCTTCAGAAATATATAGGTCATGAAAGATACTCAGGTAGCAGTGTGTGAGAAATATATTAAGATAAAAGATTGTTGTCCATTTTGAGAAAAAAAAAAACAATGTAGATTTCGGTCATGAACTGGAGTGAACTTGGGGCGATACAAGAGGCTAATGGCACGTCAATCATCTGAACTTGACATTGACAAAACAGAGGCGATTAAAAGGAACACAATGGCCCGAGATTAGGAATTTTCATGAAAGGAAGACATATAGTCGAGTGGAAAACTAAACAGTAGGAAACATATGCCTTCTTTAACACCCACTTCATGGCGAGAAACGAAGATACCGAACCGGACGAAGTTTGGCTTATTGTGTCCTGGTGATAGATACAAATGTCGTCATGGTATAGGAAATCAACGAAAAAGACAGGAAATTTTCGTAAAATTGCGGTTTACGATAGAAACATACTGAAAAACCCCTCTCCACGATCAAAATAAAATAATATTACGAATTATCTTGAAGCGATTAATTTTAGTTCAAAAAGGTCACACAATCTCAAGGGAACTTGAAAATCGACATGAAAACAACAACAGTAACACCAGTCTACAAACATTGACCGGTAAAATGACAAGAGCTAAAATCGTACCTTTGTTCGATTACAGGACATCACAGAGGCATCTTCGGCGTACGATGCTAACAAATCGTGGTCGTGAGTTCTTCGAAAGTTTGTTTCCCGGCCGATCAAGGCAGTTAAGACATTGGCTTTTCCAGTTCTCCGCATGTTTCACGAGACTTCACAGATAACACACGCACCGCGAGGATGATTCCTTTCCCTTCTGTTTCTACCTATCGAATTTGAAACCGATGAACGAAACTAGCTTCGTTTCTTAGCGGTCAACAAACACCGCCAGAAAATTCTTTCCGAAAACAAACAGGACGCCACAATTCGCCTCCCACGTAAAAACCAAGTGCTTGAATGGACTCGGCGAAATATGCCGGTGGTATGTGTGTAATGTTCAGTAAGAACAATTCTCCGTGAAATCTGCCTTTTCCAAGCATAACTACATACTCTTAATGTTGGCTGATCGTTCTAATTCAAGATCAGAAAAAAAATTTTAGCCGATTTGCCTCTGTAAAACAAACAAGGTTTCCCGCCAACACTAACGCATACGTTGCTGTCCAAGTAAACTTATGCCGTGACATTGCGTGCCAGTATCCTTTATATTTTCCTTGATGAACTATGAACTGCTGACTGTGCAGTTTATTTGACCAGCGGTTAGAATGAAGCATGCGTAGTGATAATATTCAACGTGGCTTTCCGGTCATAGATCTAAATGAGTTGTAGTACGGTAGATAGAGATAACAAACATAACGTATAACCTTGGGAAATGTTGCCTATTACAGATTATCAAAGTAAGAACCCCTTTTTCACTTCAACACTTCACATGAAATCTGTGTCTTTGATATTTTTCTGTTTGAAAATTGATTTTTAGAAATCGGCATTGGTGTGACAGGCTTTGGAGCATTTTTTCTCTTTTTGGGAGTTTTGTTCTTTTTCGACAAAGGTCTCTTAGCTATTGGAAATGTAAGTATCTAACACCTTCCTGCTTAAATTTTTAAAGCATCAGCGAAAATTGGAGAGCGTTTAGATCTCTTGCAATGTATTTCTACCGGTGCTAAGCATGTTCATAATCAAATATATTGGGCTCTTGTCATTTGAGATATTACACACAAACGTCTGTGGATACTGTTCAGCAGTTCAGAATGTCATCATAATTGATCATTTTCAATTAGATGAGAACTAATTGCCAGGTGCTTATTGATTGATAACGAATCCATTGATGTGAAACCATAGATACGATGTAACTATTCTCCCCACATTAAAAAGCTAGGCCAGACAAATTTCTCTGCAGCTCATAAGTATTTACACTTTTAACCCTTTGCGTCCTAACATCAGTATCTTTATTCTCCATACTGTTCTCTATACATTTCCTTAGGTGCTCCAAGGAGAATTTGTTTAACAGTCAAGAGCTTCCTCAGATCATGATCATTTCTTTTTTTCTCCTGACCTTAATGTGTGATTCAGGGGTGATATTGTGAGGAGAAATTAGATGCTAGTCGCTCATAGGGGTCAGAGGATGAAGATAAGAGTTTACTCAGTAATGGTGTTTCAGTTGGATTTTTTTTTTGTCTTATCTGTTACAGATACTATTCATTTCTGGATTAGCACTGGTAATTGGATTAGAAAGAACTTTTAGATTTTTCTTTCAAAAACACAAGCTCAAGGGAAGTTCTTGTTTTCTTGGTGGAGTTTTAGTTGTTCTCATTGGTTGGCCTCTTATAGGGATGATCATAGAAATTTATGGATTTGTACTTTTGTTTAGGTAAGTTGTAGTTCAATTATGCAAGAATATGTACTTATTGACTGGGTATTAGGGTAAATCAGGAAAATATTTGGCTCAAGGTCATGATGTACAGACTGAGCCCAGGTTCGCATGTCATGACCTCAAGCCAAGTATTTTCCCATTCAGCCAGACCAAACTCAGTCAATAAGCATAATATTTCACTGTATGGCCTGTCGAATTCAAAGGTTTGTTTGAATTGAAGTCTCTGTCCTCTATTTGAGCCCAGAAATATCACAAATATCTCAGTAACCTCATTTCATCACGTAAACTTTGGTGTTATACAAGGATTTCCAGCCCTGAGAAAAGCCATAACAACGCATGAAAAAATATCATATTTTTTCATGTATGCATGATATCACCAATCAGCTGCTAACATGTCACTCGCCTTTTGCACCACTTGGTCAGGTTGATGAATGAATGGTGAAGCCTTCACCATTCTCAATCCAAGGTTGTTTGTGGGAATTTTTTCAGATTACTGTCATTTCCAGCCAATAACCTGCTGGTAATCTGTTAATTTTTCCACAAACAGTTGTTGATGCGGGTTATAGGAAGGTGCAGGTAATACAATAATTTTTCAAGTTTCCAGTGTAGTTAAAAACGATAAACAGGAAAAAAACAGGTGATAAAATCCACTACAGATTCTCTTCGAAAAACTTGTGCAACAACTTGTTTATTTCACGCAGATTGCTCATTATAATAAGAGACTTTATTGCCCTCAATGAAAGCCAATGCAAATCGAAAAACATACAAAACTCGATAACATAGCTTTTATCTTGTTCATACTCTTACTTTCTTGCTTTGTCAATTTCATAGCTTGTTTCTTTGTTTAGTTCAAAAAAACTAAATTCAAATTCTCACTTACATGGGAAGTGAACTTGAAAATAAAATAATTCAACAACCATGAAAAGACTGGCTTCAGGCCAATTCACACAGAAAGTGAAGCCGATATGTTCATTTTGTGGTGCTGCATAATTGATTAGTGTAACAGAATATTCGATGCATCAGAGAAATTTTCTTAGCTAGCACTGCCTTGAAGTAAAGAGTATTTTCCTGTGTCAAGCGATTTCTCCAACTCAGTAGATTTCGTGATATCGATTTTTTTTTTTAGAACAGATTTTTACAATTGGTATCATTCTCAATAAAACAGCGAAGACAAAAAGTGTGAAAATTTATTAAGCGCATGCTGAAGAATATCATGTCAACAAAAACAATGAGGAACTTTGTGTGAATCGGTGATTTTCTTTTGTTTTTAGGTGCAGGTTATCTGTTGAAATTTTTTCTAGTTATTGCAAAAATTGACCAATGTAGGTAATCTGCCACGCAGGTAAATGGACAGAAATCATGGTATAACCACTAAAACACTGAAAAAATCCATATCGCTCACTAACAGTGATGTTCAAACTTTCCTTGAAGGGGAAGAAAACCAAAATACATATGGAAAAAACCAAAAGTTATGCATCAAGTGGCTTTGGTAATGGCATTTCTCCCAGCCTAGAACAAAAATCAACAACTGGAAGATTTGCTGTAGGCCAATTTTAGCCATGTACCTGAAAGATTTCTCCTGTCAGTGACTAAGAATTTTGTACTTTGAAAATTACACGCACTGTTTGTTTTTGTAGTGTTTCAACTAATTTTTTCATCTTGAACTGTATCACCAACACACTTTACCATTTTTATTCAGGGATTGTCAATCCTTTTATTTTTATTCATTGATAAAGTTGACTTTTCTTGTCAGTGAAGGGCTATTGTGTTTATATGATAAACAAAATAATACCTGGTTGCTTGTAGATATTAAATTTCTCTTCTCTTGTTCAACTCAACATCTTTCTCGTGAACTATCAAGTTAAACACTTAAAGAGAAATTCCATATCCACGTGTGCCCATGTATTATTCTCTATTTATCAGTTCATACCTTACAGCGCTGGCCCCTCACTTGGTTAGTAAGAGGTATCTATAGCATGTATTACACAGGTTTAATTCTCATGGTTTCTCCAGGTCAGTATTAAATCTTCTTAAGGGGAAAGGATTCTCCTACAGAGGGTCCCTGTGGGGAGGAATGCTGCGCCACACTCATTTCTTGAAAAGAGGTTTTTTAATTAACGTGCAGCTTGCTGTGTACACATATCTGAATTTGTCAGTTGAAAAAGTGTGGTGGAGGCACACATTTTTTTGTTTAATTAGTACTGAAGTAATTACTGTTGTCATTTTCAGTGGCTTCTTTCCAGTTGTTATAAACTTTTTAAGAAGAGTACCTGTCATTGGGAATATACTCAACCTCCCAGGAATTAGCATGGTTTGTAGGCTTTACATTTTTCATAAATTTACTGTGCAAGCTTAACCCTTTAACTCCCAGATCAAATTTGTACTTCTCCTAAATGTCAACCATAAAATTCTTATATTGTTAGTTCAGAGAAGTTAATATTAGATCCACTCATTATCCCCAAATTGATATTTTTCTTTATTCTCATCACTTACCTGGTTGACATTGTATTGAAATTGTAAGGAGAAATTCTGTCTTGGTCACTCAGGGGAGTTAAAGGGTGAAAGGTAGTATGGCTTTTTATTAGCCAAGTTCCTTTTTTGCAATTTTAAACCTTTAACTCCCATGAGTGACCAAGGCAGAAATTCTCCTTACAATACCAATACAATATCAAGCAAGCAAATGATATTAATATCATGAAAATATTGATAAGGAGATTATCAGTTGATCCAATAGAAAATTTTCCAAACTAACATAAGAATTACATGGTAGCATGGCAGATGGTAAGGCGAATTACTGATGAGATCATGGGAATGAAGAGTTAAAGTGACAGTAGGAAAAAAGCTGCCTGAAAAATTATAATTTTTAAACTATTTGTGCTAACATTTGCATTGTTTTGTTTTGGAAAGAAGTAGTTAAATTAGACCATTTGTGTGGTCAATGAGAGCAAAGCATGTCATTAATTAATTCCACTGATATAATAGATAGAATCCTTAAAAACTGGTTTTTTTTTTAGTTGCTTTTCAAATCCATGGGTGATTAATGTTCAAAGCTTAACCTTTTAACTCTCAGATCGAATTTGTCATTCCTCTTACTGTTAACCATATAGTTCTCATAATGTTAGTTCAGAGAATTTAGTATTGGATCAACTTATTATTCCCAAATTGATATTTTTCTATATTCTCATCACTTGTCTGGTTGATATTGTATTGATATTGTAGGGAGAAATTTTGTCTTGGTCACTCATGGGAGTTAAAGGATTAAAGAAAAGAGAGCTGTGAAATTTTGAACCCTGTTCCAATCATCCATCATTGACATATGACTCTCTGAAAGAAGAACTTTTGCAAACTAAACTGCTGTCTTAGTTTGGCAAAATGATAGAAAATTTTGTGGAGATATGCATTTAAAAAAGAGCTGAATTTAAAGATAATCTTTTGAATAAAAATGTTCCATTTTCCTCTCTTTCTTACCTGGCTTCAAATTGATTAAGGAAAATTCTTTACTCTCAGGCCAGGTACAATTAGACAGTTTTTGATTTTGCAGCTTTTCATATGTTTCACCCGCCCGTTGCAGGCATTCTGTTAGTATAGGGAGTGAAATAGTAACTGGTGGGATAGAAGCAGATGGGTTGGAAAAAGTAACAGGTTTGGGTGACCCAACTCAAACCTCTTTCCTTTATGCAAGCCTCCTGCTTTTTTCACTCCATCCTCTGGTATCATGCCATCTACTATTTTGCTCTGTTTTACCAAATGAATGCCTGGAACAGGCTAATGTTTCACCTGCTCTGGACAGTAGTCACATATTTTTGACTCCAACGAAAAAAATAGTACATGAAGTAAACAAACACTTCAGAATTTAGTTAGATATAAATATACAGTAATTGAATGAAATCACCACCAGAACAAATTATACCTAACATTCTGTAATGTGATGTTTTTATATTTAAATTTTCAGATAGTGGGTAAATTAGCAGGAGATGGAAGCAACTCAATGGTGTAAATCACCGAGATCTCAATATATCCAGGCCATTTTCTGGCAGAACTGCACTGGAAGAAAGCCATCTACTATCAGAAGCGCTATATTAGGGAAAATGAGTTTTGGACTTCATAGCAACTTAATTTGCTAAGTTCCCCATCAGTTCTGTTTTGTGGCTCTTCTTCATTTTGTATCATGGAAGGAAACAACTTTTTCCTGCAAAATAGACCATAATAAATATTCCTGCATATATGGTACTTACCATATGGTTTGCTATGACTCAGTCGAACTGTAACTTGCATCGTGGATTCTTGTGAAGAATCTTACTTGTTGTTCTTTGCAGAACTGATTCAGGCAGTCTTTACTCAGTTACTTCTTGATGCTCTTGTAAAAGTTTTATCATTTTGCTTAATTGTGGGAAATTGTAGCAAATGCTCAATACACATGAGCAAAAACAAAGTAAAAATTTGTACTAATTTTGTCACTAAATTTTATTCTTGGGTTGAACTTTACTTTTCTTTCTTAGAAATTTATTGTTCTCTATTAGCATGGCCATTTTAAAGAGAAAAATGAAAATTTCAACCAAAGATTAATTTGACCACAAAAACATTAATTTTTAAGGGGAAGCATTCCTCTAGCAGGTATTCCTACATGCAAGTGTTTCTCTCCTATGGATGTATTTAAATTCTTGGATTCTAGGATTATCTGATGGATTCTTTAGTCTTTATTTGGAAGAATCTATGGGGATACTTGTAAGTATGTATGCCAAGAAATGGAAAATTCTTAATTCTATTCAATAAATTTTTTTGTGTACAAGTAAAGGTACATTGGTTGGGACCCATTGTAAAATGGTATACTCTTGTTTATGAATCCACACCCTGAAATCCATACATTAGGGGTGGAACATATGTCCTAAGGAAGAATTAGTGTTCTTCCCACCCCCCTCCCCTCCTTCCCCGCATTCGTTGTCTCTAGAGGCCACACCGCTTGAGTTCGTCGACAGAGTGGGGGGGGGGGGGGGGGAGTTGAGGGTGTGGCGATGACCAAAAGAATATGGAAGTTCTCGACAAAAATATTTTCAAGAATTCTATGAATTATGAATTCAAAATTTGAACTCGTGAAAAAAAAATCAAACCTGCCTTTGTTACCTAAGAGCGAAGTTGTTTCTCCCTGATGTTAAAAAAAGATTGTTTCAATTATCCAAAATATCGCCTGATCTCAACTTAAAAGATCCACTCAGACGGCGCTTTAATTAATCTTAACAATGGCCTGTTTTTGTTTTTATCCTGTTTGAAGTGCCTAATTAGAGCTATGGACGCGAATTTGCATAAAGGAAAACCTTGTAGCTACAGAGCGTCTCGTTTACCTAGAAGGAAGTGATATTTCGGTTCATGTCTGATCTCTTCATTAGAGATGTACGCGATTCCAGCTAAGAGAACAGACAGAGCAAAGATCTAGCACATCAATTTATTTCAATAAACTCTTTTTACGAAAGTAAGAAACTGTCTGGTGTTTTTTATTTTCTGTTTTGCCTGGCTCAAAACGGTAAATTCCTTCCTAAGAATTTGGCTGATTTAGCCACAGGAAGGCCAGCTCGCGAAACGAAACTCCATAGTATTTACCGAGGCTCATTTGCGAGCTTGGGCTACCTGTGAATTCGTTAAAAAAGAAGTCCACTCGTACGACGGACTCACCAGACAAATAAGCAGGTTTCGTTATCTGTCTTCATTTTATTTTTCACTGATTTATAAGTCGATAAACACACAGCTGTGAGCCAAGGTCGATCTGCACTATAGCAACTTCTTTCTCGAATAATCCTTTATCAAAGCGCCGCAGTTTGTTTTATTTGCCAAAATTAATCTTTTGATGAATTAATAACAAGTTCGACGCAGTTTTTACTAACTGCTGAGGAGTCATGCCACGCAAGATATACATAAAGGTGAAATTAAAAAAATGGTAATACATATCTTTTTTTCAAGCGTGTGTTTTAAAACACTTATTTGCCTTTCTTGGAAAGGGTACGAAACTGACAAACGAAAACACTGATTGAAAGAATCCTGTAGTCAGGAAGTCTTATCTGTTCAGCTGCATGTTTTATGAAAGGATAATTTTTAGTTGAAATACTGGTCGTAAAGTCTCCGAAAGCTTCCGCAACACTAATCAGTATTTCAATGTAATTTTGATACCAACGTGGATATGTTTGACGATGATCTGAAGCGGTTCCTGTGTAGTAAAAACCCCTTGGGCTGGGTATGAGTGGAGAGGGGGGGAAATCACGTGTAGTATTACTAACACGGGCCGGGGTGGGTGAGGCTTTTAGCCGCAAGTAGGGATGGAGGAAACTTTGAATTTTAAACAGAATCCCTCTATCTCGCAACTCTCGAACAAGTGCGATGCATATGGTTTGTCGACTATGTAGCGCTCTGATCTGCGTCTTCTGACGGTATATTTAGATTTTAAAATTGATGGTGCCACACATGTTGACCTTGTAATTAAGACTATAGGCTTACATATAGAGATACCATGTAAAAGACACTGAATACGCTGTACATCCTGACGAAGATTCAAGCTCTCAAAAATAAACCTCACCATGTTTAGAATGTCTTTGTTGAGCCTAAATATGATGTGTTGCTTCCCTTCCCCCCCCCCCCTAGAAGTGAAACAGGTTTGTGCAGAACTATTAATTATGACCTTCCAATTGACGTTTCTATCTTATATTTTTATGACCTAGGAGTATTAAAAAGTCGAACCGGCATAGATAAAGGAAATGAAAGAGACACGACGGATTTTTTGTAATTACGATGCACATCTATCTATTGCCATCGCAGCGAGTCAGCAAGGATACCGCGTGGACCACCCCCCCCGCGCGCTTTTGTCTAATAATGGCTGTCTTCCGTAAGCAATCATCGCGTCAAACTCGTTCTAGAGGAGTTCGTTTTGATTCAATCTTAGCGCTATCCGCAGCCGCAAATTGTCGCTTCTCGACAAAGGCGATGTGATGCGTGACAACAGAGAATTTGATTTTCTTCACGGTGGGTTAGTGTGCTGCACAATATGTGATCACTCTCAACCCATGAAAGTTTAAACAAAAGTGAAGAAACTGAAACGAGTATTTGAGAAGCTTATGGCGATAGCTTTTGGCTCAGAGAAATCAAAAGCCACAGTATCACTTTCATTGGAAAACTCGACCACTTAGTAGATATACCCATCGGTTATGTGGGGTCAAATATCAATGAAGGACTGAAAACCGTAACGCTTGTTATTGAAAAGTTTCTCCTCTCTGTCACTTTTTCAATCCTGGCCCCCAACTGCTCCATTCCCTTGCCCCCCTCTCTTAAGCCCGTGAAATAAACCTGCTTTCGGGGAAATTTCGCCTATACTTAGGCTTTGCCATCGAAAACTCGTCTTTCATAAGCTTCAGATAACACGCCAGAATAAGATAAACAGGAAGAGCGAAGTTGATTACAAAACAACCTAGATTGCTGAGACAAAATCATCTCTTTGATCAACTCAAAGCATGTTTAAGCGCAGTGCTGATCCTCCATAGGTCACTCTGGCCTGTCAAAAACGTGTTATTATCACTATGAAAAGCAGACAGAAAGTTGAAGTTCCGCATAACATTAAGATGTAGTTACGACTTCCTGTGTCAAAATAAATGGTAATCTTATTTATCGAGCGTTGAATAACTTGGAACGCTGACGCGATTAGTTTCTAGTCTTAAAACTTCCTCTAGTTTGTGTAATTAAGACTCCGCTTTGTGGGAAGATCTGCAACAGTGCTGGGCATCCGCAAATCTTGCTTAAGTATCCAACATGTTGCGCTTAAATTTTCGTTCTGTTTTGGTAAGCGTTGTTTGGGTTTACTTTATCACGCGGGCGCAATGCTTCGCTAATTTTCACAAGGAAGAATCGAACCGAGGCTTGAACGATTGTGAACGAAGATGTCAGGATTCAGTTTCCACGGAACCTTCCTCGGTGAATGAACGCGTAAGTTTTTTCACTCCAAGATTTTTTCTTTAAATTGAGGGGGTTCATCATTTTGCGTGGGTATTAATAATTTTCAATTCTCGATACGAAGTCAGTGGACATCACAGGTGACACTATGTTAAAAAAAGGCAAATAATGAAAATCGATTCTTGAAAATTTTGTACAATATTATCATTTTTATTTTCTTTGAATTGTAAAGACTCGATTAATTGATTTTCAAAGGGCGCGCTTCACGAAACGAACCCACATTACAAGGAAGAAAGACTTTGAACATACGTATTTACAAGTTTGATCAATTAGAATTTTGCAGTCGGTTTAAGAGACAATTCTACGTTAATCATTCACAGTATTGGTTTTTAAAGGAAGTTGGGCTTTCTCCGGTGTTTTGGTTTTTTTTTTTATATTATGTATTTATATACGGCGTTTCAACACCTAACAGACATAGCTGAATTAATTATCACGTCGGTTTTACCCGCACCAGCTTGTTACAGAAGGCTTAACTGATATGAGAAAATCTAACTGATTTTTTATTGGCCCTTCTCTGACATCGTTCAGTTTTTACAGCAGTGAATGGTCCCTTCTCATCTAAAACTGATAGAATGTCATAGCTTTTTCTGGGAACTTTTCTGTAACGAGGTTAAAGGAAGGGCACTAATTCCTGATATTATTCGCATCGAGGATACTCAAATTACGAGGTACATGACAAGTCTAATAGCGTGCCGTGTAAATACGAGACGACAGGATTAACACACTTTACCATGTATGTAGAAGTCGTATCAAGTTCTTTCAAGACATAGGACGCCCTGAAACTCAATAACAATTATTCAGATCGCAAGATGATGCAAATTGAAAAAAAAGGCACGGAACTTTACGGACGAAGAAAACAACTAAAAAATGATCCTGGCCGGGATGTCTTCCTCGGCCTAGTTCGTCCTTGTCCACGCTTACAATCGGCTGGGGTTCTTTTCCGTCTCATTTTCTTTGGCTGTAGCTCTATCCTAACAAAATTCAGAGGCCTTAGCTGCATCGTGTCACCTGTGTTTGTTCGTTATTTCACTTGCTAATTTTATGCCAGTCACTTCACTTTGTTTGACAAGAAATTAAATATTTTCCTCTCGATTTTCAGGACTCAAGGTTATCATCATGTTTGGAAAAGTGCCTATCTTTGAATGAAGGTATGGTGTCATAGCTTTGGAAAGCGTACTGAAAATTAATGGGCATAATTTCAAACCTTTATGTTATCGCCACACACTGCAGAAGATTTGCAAGAATAACGAGCATTTTTTTTTATTGCATTTCTTTCACACGTTGCAAGCATTAATGCTTTCTTGAGCCGATTACAAGCTGAATATTTCCGTCACACTTATCAACTGAACAAAGGAAAAAAATCTGAGAAATCTAGGCTCATCTTTCTTTGGGCTGTGACTGACAGAAGTGGTACTTTTCTGCTTGCATGAATTTTTTTTTTGGATCACGCACAGCATAGAATAAACAATAATCCTTTCACAATAATATTAATTACACAGAGAAACGTCAGCAACCGTTGCGCAACTTACGTATAATTAAATATTAGAGAGTTTAAGGTCTGCTCTCTTTACTATAACTTTGCTTGATATTCCGTCCCCTTTAAGATCTGATAGCAGTAAGGGCAGGGAGCAGAAATTTTGTGGAGAGGCGCAATTTTACAAGTCGTTTTGAATTCGGGGTTCATTTTAAAAGATAAGATGATCTGGGGGTGGTAGATGGGGGATGGGGGATGGGGGGGGGGGGGCTCAAGGCGGTTGAGGAGGAGAATTCCATAATCATCAAGGCACTATTGAGATGAACTGTGACTTTCACATCTCCTATTAATTCTTTTTCGCTTCCACTAGTACCTTAGATGCATCAATAAATAGAAAACTACCCCATCAAAACATTCACACGCCCACAGACAAATATTTACGAGCTCATTACAGATTTTTCGTCAACCGGTGCCTCAAAGATTTTCCAAGAGTACGCGCACTGAACGCAAGTTTTCTCTTATTGTAGCGACCGAGTCGGAGAACGATGGAGCCACAACCTCTACTCCCGGCACACGCTCAACTTCTGAACTCTTGAACTCTGCAGATCCGTCAACAACAACAAGTTCCTCTGAAAACGGTGCGAGAAACCTCTATTTCAATGTAACTGTAATAATTGTAAAATGTTTGGTTGTTGAATGTTGTTGAAAGCTTCTCTTATGTGTAAAATTTCTTTTCCGTTAAAGGTAAACTCGTTTTTTTAGTAGTGTCGTCGACGTTTGAAATGTAAGTTTGTATAAGTGAAAATGCTCGGGCATTAAAGATGAATATTGGTTTTTGCCAAATATCAAGGTTGTTTAGGTTTCCAGGCCAACTTTGTGGTTTTAGAACAGTTTTCAATAAATGTCAAAGTTATTCGAGATCATTGGTTTTACCTCGCATCGTCATGTGATCGGCCTAAGAAATCGCGCCACCCTCTCAATCAACCAATCCGATGCAAAGCTGAAGCTAATAGGGACTTGGTTACCCACGTTTTCACGCCCCTTCAGCAGGTTGCTTGCCTATGTTCTCAGTTCTTATTGGCTCATTGTGATAATTATCTTTCCGCTAATTGCTTTCAACTAGTTCGGGTTTCACGACACTCAATCGATGTGTGCTAAGGTCATTTTCCTATTTAAACAAGCATGCGAGTTTTGTCTGTTCAGTTAGGCAAAATGCTACATAGTACCACTTCCCGCGCCAAGAAAATAACGCCAAACTTGTATGGATTATTGTTGTACAGTAATTGTCGCGGTAGTAAAACGCTTCTGTCCTTCTCGTCATAGTCTGTCCGTACGGAGATAAGTATGCTCCCAATCCAGATGAAATCGAACCAGGGAATGTAAAGGAGGTGGAAGTAGACTTCGTAAAGATGAAGGAAGGAGACAACCAGGAATGGGTGGCGAGAGTGAATTGGACACGACCAAAAGGTAAAATGCGTTTGTGCTTGAGTCGCATGTAGCGAGATTAAAGGCTACTCTTGAGAACCTGTGTTTGTTCACGTTTATAGATATAAACGCATAAAGAATGTTTTCTTCCGTGCAAAACGATTACAGCCCTTCAAAAAGTTGAAGGAAAGGAGGCATTAATGATAAAGCCCCTTAGCCGGCCGCGCGCCGATGTTTCGTGCATAAAATTTGAAGAAGAAAGTAAGACAAAGCCTCTATCTTAGAATTAGCGAAAATGAATTGAATATACAAAAAGAATAAAAAGTAGCTAGACTTTCCGAAAACAAAGTTTACTCTAGTAATTACGGGTATTCTTTTGTATTACGCTTTTTCCAGCTTTAATAAAAACCTTGCTCGTTTGTAAAACATCCTAACTTATTTGTTGAGGTTTTTTAGCTGGGAAGTACTGAGGCGGGTCGCCTATTAATCATTTCAATAATCCTCCATTTAGTGCAGACGTTTGATCCCTGTGTTTTCCTAGTCGTTTTTGGTGCTGCAGTAGGAACCCAGAGAGCCGGTTATGTACTCAAGATCTATCCCTAACCACGGTTTTACGCAATGAGAGAGCCAAAGGCTCTCTCTATAAGAGGGTTGATTTAATTAAAAAAAAATGTCCTTCCACTGTTCGCTTTCGGCTCTCTTGACACTGTTCGCAAAAAAATATGTTCATATTAAAGATTCAGCTGAATTTAGGATTTTTTAGGACGCGGTTTTGTTAAACTACGGTTAAACTTTGTTTAAATTATCAATTATTATCTTAATTAATAATTAATTAATAACTAATTATTAAATAATTATTAATTAATATTAATTAATTAATAATTAATAATTATTATATTAAATTATCAATTATTAAATTATTTGTTTAAATTATCAGCCTATAGAGTTTTGTTTATTCACTAATCAGTTCATGTTAACCCTTGAACCCCGAATCAAAATTCAAAGTCGTTAGAATAAAGGAAATGATGACGAATATTTAAGAAGCTCTTGATTGCTTAACAAATTCTCCTTATCAGCACCTGAGAGAATGTACAGAGAACAGTGTGAAGAGAATGCATATTGATATCAAGGTGTAAAGGGTTAAGAAGTATGATTTCCTAGCGACCTGTCATTGTTTTTCCTTTTTCTTTGGTTTTTGTAGACGTGAATATTACCTCTAACTGGCTTGGTTACATCGTGATATGGTACACAGAAGGCCCAGACAACTCGGACGAAATTTTTGGGAATACAAGTTGCAAACTGGTGCCCAAGGTGAGAACATTTTTCTTTGTACGTTACCAAAGAGTGCGAGCACGTCCTCACTATTAGCACTTCGGTACGAGCATTCCTTCGCTCGCGAGTAAGCCCGAAGCCAGCCTTGAGGAATGGGAGTCGGCAAGAGGTCTGTAAGGGGTGTATCACTGAAAATGAAGTAGACCCTCGCAAAAAGTCTCCCCGACTCGTCTCAGGTCTTCCCGCGGGCGGAGAAACGGCGTCCTGCAGGGCTCATGATGAAGGTATGCTTGCAAGCTACCACAGAATTGAAAAACAAATCGAAGAAAAACAAGCATAATAGACGAAGTTTTGCACATATATCAGTTCAGATGAAATCCAGTCCTAATGCTTGTTTTGAGTCACGAGCTCAGAGTCATCCAGATGTACGGTTTTTGTAAGACATGGCGAGGTACTTCGTGATATTTTTTGTAAAAGTTATTACGTATTGATGACCCGGGTTACGAAAATGGCACCGGCTGAATAAAAAGTCAAAATTCATCAAAAATATCTTGATAGAAACTACCTGAAGCATTAAGTTTAAAAAATGTTTGAAGATCTTCATCTCCAATTTTCTTTAAGGAAGCATTCGTTTCCTTCTCGCGGCTAAACTCTGACTGTCACTCTGTAGTGGGAAAAAAAATAGCCCAATTAATCACAATTCACTTCCTGTTTGAATTTAAGCCAATAACGTTCTTACTTCATGTTTTTTCTTCGCCTTTTTCAGACTAGACCACACCTTGACATCAGCGAAACGGATGGATGGAAATACCCCCACACTCTTTACCTTACTGTGAGTGAATCCCTCTGTTGAGATCTCAACGCGCCCAAAAAATAGTTACATCCCAGTCTCAGAAATGAACTTGCTCCTATTCTTTCAAGATTTTTTTTTTTTTGGTATGCTCTCACTCTGACTTTGCTTTTCCTTCTTCCCACCTCAAATAGTTTACTACTCGCGGTGGAAAAACTTTTCCTTTAACATCTTACATGCTTGAATTTTTACATTATTTGTATCATTACTTTTTCCCTTCAGGTTGTCGCTTTGCCCACCAATAAACTTGAATTCCCATTGGAAGACTATACACCACTCAGAACAGGTACTAAAGTAGACTGTCATGTATTCTGCATCAATTGCTATTCCTCAATATTAATTGGTTAATTTATTCATCCATCGATCCATCGATCCATCGATCCATCGATCCATCGATCCATCGATCCATCGATCCATCGGTCCATCGATCCATCGGTCCATCGATCCATCGGTCCATCGATCCATCGGTCCATCGATCCATCGATCCATCGATCCATCGATCCATCGATCCATCGATCCATCGATCCATCGATCCATCGATCCATCGATCCATCGATCCATCGATCCATCGATCCATCGATCCATCGATCCATCGATCCATCGATCCATCGATCCATCGATCCATCGATCCATCGATCCATCGATTCATCGATCCAGCGATCCAGCGATCCATCCATAAATTACTGCGTTCGTGCGTCCGCCGGTCCGTTCGTACTTTTTCTGTTCACAATTGGTTCATTTGTTAGTTAGGCCTGGATTTCTTACTGCTGCCATTTTCTCAAAATTGTGTATGCTTTTAGGTTGGAGGAATGTGAAAGTATACAGTCCAGCTAATTACTCTGAAGGTAATTAACAGTTTAGCTCCTTACCGCGTGATACTATCTTATTTTTCTTGATTTTATGCTGATAGCGTCTCAGGAAGAAAGGGCGACCTTGCCGTGACCTGAATGAAAGAGTTATTACGCAGTTGGCAGAACCACATAAGAATAAACTCGAAAGCGAAAACTCAAACCATTTATTAGCAAAGATTCCGATTATAATCCACAAATTTTCCCATGATCGAACCAAGTAAACATCCAATTTTGACAGTAGAGTAGGTTTTCGATGAACAGAAAATTACACCTCAGCGAGCGAAATTACAGTGTGCATAAAATACGATAAAACTTACCGAATGTTTCGAGTTTAGAGTGACCAACAACAACAACAACAATTTTAGGTTACAAAATATGTCAGTACAAACACGACTAGCTCTTTTTCGACAAACACGTGGTCCATTTCCTGAACGCTGACGTAAAAATGTAGGCACGCAATGGGAGCTACAAGAGTGAACAGGGAGAGGGGCGCCTCCCAGCAATGTAAGCCATAGAGTTATGTGTCGCCCAAGTGGGTATGTTTTTTGAGTGGTTATGTTTTGAAAAAGGGTATGAAATTTGAATGTGATGGTCTTAAATCGGAAATGGTTTTCAAAGGAATAACGAACATGAATTTAGGTCTTTGATTGGAAAAAAAAGAAAGAGAACTGACCAAAATACATCATTCGAGCTGAATTTTCAAATGAGTTTTACCAATTCGTGGCGCTCTGAAGGGGGCCTGAAACACAGCAGGATAGGTTTAAAAATGAGGTTTAAAAAGGGATGTTTGGGGCTGGAAAGGGGTTAGGATTAATAACCCCAAGAGTATAACCTGGGATTAAAGATTCTCTTTTATTTCTCAAAACTTAAATCAATCATTTGTAAAACTAAAAGCAATAGTAACTTTGTCGCCCGCGTTTTCCCGCGCTTTAGGCAGTTTGGTTGTTTTTTTACGTTGAGTTCTAAATGGCCCTTAAAGATATTTTCCTTTATTTTAATTGGCCTTTGTGGTTACTTTGGTTTTTGCTTTACGACACCCAATCCAATAGCGCTGTAAGAGCCAATGAGAACAAAAAGTAAAACCGAGAAAAATGCCTAAAGCGCGGGATTGGTTTAAATTTTGCATCTGATTGGTTGAGAGAGTGGCGCGAGTTTTCTGGACCAATCACAGAGCAAATTAAAGCAGAAACAAAGTAATCCCGGATTACTTTTGACGCTCAGTTGAAAATTGCTCCATTTCACTGACCGAAAAAGTGTTTTATTGAAACTTTTTTACTAACATGCATCAAATATTTCAGGTAATAAAATTTTCGAAGAGAAATCCTTTCTGATGATTCTTGCTGGAGTTTTGACGGGCTTTTCCTTGATTCTGATTGTGTACATCTGCGTTACCAGGCGAAAGGCCTGCACCAGGGGCAAACTGGTCTTAACAACCGAGAAAAAAGCACGAGAGAAAGAAGACGAGCTAAAGAGTGATCTGTTTGTGATTCAAAACCCTTGTTCTGATGTTAAGCAACTCGTGTAGTTTTATGGCTTTCACTGCGTTTAACGTGTATATTTTATGGGAAATTTTTATACTGTTAATATAATACGTGTTTTTCATAAGTTTCTCTAAGCCGCAAGGCGGTTTGATTTCCTTTTTCATCAACTTTTATGAAAAGAGGTAAACAGGAATATATTAAAAACTGAAAATAACAGGAAGTTTTTAGCGTACTTAAAGATCTCTCTCATCATCTTAAATGCATTTAAATCTTTGTATTGTTCTAGTTAAGCTATACAAAGAGAAACGAAGAGTTTCTTCTTTCTTCTCATTGCTCGGGGCTTGAAGAAATCGCGAAGAAAGTAACTGGCTTAGTTGGTCTGAAAGAGAGGGGTAGTTTTTATGTTTGAAATGGTCTCGGAGTTTGCTTATACTTTTATATTCATGTATTGTTTATCATCAAAGCTACGCTTAAAGAGAACCAGTCGTGACTTGGCAATTAAACCACCCACAAGATTAGGTCAACAATAGTGTTATAAGCAAAAGATTGTAATCTTGGTAGTTACAGAAAAATAAATTGATAACATAAAATAAAAGCAAATGTTAGTATTTTTTGTGTTTTTTGCTTCACAAGTGTAATAAATATCACCTTCTACCATAGGGTGAAGTGACGGGGAGGGTGCCCTGGGAACCCTTGGCCCCTCTCCCTCGTGAGATAATTGTGACATTCTTGGTGCTTTTGTCAAGTCTGCCATAGTCGAACGTCAAAGATGGCCGCTTTTCTCTTGTCCTGTTAACGAGCGGCCATTTTGATTAACCACAGACAAGCAAATGGCATATCCTAGAATACTGAAAAATGAGCAACTTTTTGAAGCTTTGGTCTAACTGTCCGATATTCTGGTACTGATTTATTCCCCAAATTAGGTCTGAGAAATTTTCAAGACTTCATATCCAGCTCGTCATTCACCGGGTCTCCAAACGACCGTAACTAATAAATCTGTTTTTTTTTTCCTCTCTCTCTCTCTTTTTTTATTATTATTTTTTTTATGTGCCACACCAGGAGCAGCTCCTGACCACATACAGGAAACAAATACGAGCATTTAATTAGGCACCCTTGATTTGTTAGTCCAAAGTTTAACCAGTTGGTTATTGTTTCAGGCGAGAAGATTAAGTGTTAATTCTGAGGAAAATTCCAACGTCTCTCCAAAAGCTCCCTCTTTGTTAAACCTCTCTCTAGTAAACCCCCTCTCAAATAATCCCATCCCCATTGCGACTCCGTCTGGAACCTCAGGTCTAACCCCCCACCCCTCCTCCCTCTTCCCCCTTCCATCAAAGATAGCCTCCAAAGTACAAAAAGAAAATTTAAGCGGAATGCGGGCTCACTAAAAGTATTTGAGTTGTTAAGGTACGCTGTCTCCACTTCTTTCATGGATACTGAATTCCAAGCCAAACTCCCCATCTTTCCCATCTTTCCCATCTTTCCCATCCGAGAAGCATGGGTTTGATGGCCAAAGAAATAAGAGAAGGTCTGGGAACTAGGTTAGGCCAGCAATCCATCATGGCGGACGGCGATGGCAAGCCAGCTGGAACAGAACAACCAGGTAAAAGTTGAAATCTTGCTCCGGTTTAGTGTGCATTTTAATATAATTTCTTTTGAAAACATTGATATATCCTAATATTTTTGAAAGGTGGCAGCAAGAAAAGAAACTACAGGAAAGACAAGCGTAAGTCTAAAGTTTTATACATGCACGTGTATCACAACTTTAAAAACATTCATGCTCAAATTAAACTTAGATAGACTTGAGACAGAAAATGTCTCGAGTAGGGTTCAACCCAAATCAAATTTTATTTTATTATACGTCCTGTAAACTTTAAGAATGTGATCGTTTAGTGTTTAATTTGAAGCGTGAATAGTCTTTGTGTTGTCATTGATCCTCAGATATATTCGATAGATTTGATTTACTTGATGCATACACGTTTGTTGATCTTTTCGTTCCATGTTTTCTTAGCCTGGGATCACGAGGGAATTGACCATTGGAAAATCGAGCCATTCTCAAATGAAGACAATCCTCATGGCATGATGGAGGAGAGTTCGTTTGCAACTTTGTTTCCAAAATATAGAGAAAAATACCTGCGGGAATTCTGGCCTTTGGTGGAAAAGAAGTTGAAAGAATCTGTAAGTTTATTCATACGCTCAAGACACTCACGTGTGAATAATGAACCTTTGGTACAAAAGAAATTGTCAGAAATGTGAACTTGCTCTTATGGAGTCCACTGTTGATTTATTAAAAATAATTATCATGGCTAGATGGAACACATGTGCTGGTGACAGATCATGGAAAAATTTAGAAAAACATTTTAAATGAATGCCTATACTGTTACTGGAGTGTTAAGGAATGTCTGGTGAGAGACAGGCTGGCTGAGAAGTGTGAGCAATTTCCTGCTAATGCAAAGGCTCAATTTTGATTCCTTACCTTAGCATCACAAGTGGGTTGATTTTGTAGTTAGTTTTCAGAGTTGTGTACAAGTCTCAGTGGCTGCCTTCCCTTAAGCCTTTGGCCTGTAAGAGTTACTAGAATCTTTTTTCCTCTTACAATATCACCCCCTGAATCACACACTAAGGTCATGAGAATGAAGAAAATGATCATTGACTTAAGGAGCTCTAGATTGTTAAACAAATTCTCCTTGTCAGCACCTCAGGAAATGTATAGAGAACAGTATGGAGAATATGCATACTGATGTTAGGGTGTAAAGGGTTAACAGAAACCAATGCTCAAGTCAAATTCAGATTTGATTTTAAATCTGTGGACCAAGAACCACTCCATGGATATGCAGGCATTGATTTTCATCTAGTTGTTTATTTTTTCAAGATTTTTTTAAAAATACTTTCAGGGGTTAAAGTGTCAGCTTGATGTTATTGAAGGAAGCATGACAGTAAGTACAACACGGAAGACGTGGGATCCTTATATCATCATCAAGGCCAGAGATATGATCAAACTTATGGCAAGAAGTGTTCCATTTGAGCAGGTTTGTGACATTTACATTTACATAACATTTACCGCATGGTAAGAACTAATTATTGATATCAACCCTTTGACCACTAAGACTGATTGGCATCTAATTTCTCCTTACAATATCACCCCTGAATCAAACTGATCACCAACTAAAGAAGCTCTCGATTGTTAAACAAATATTCCTTGTGACTATTAACCTTTATAAGATAGCCTAAGAGCTTTTTGAGAAAAAAATCCCACCCCTTTTTTTTTTCTTTTCTTCAGGCTCAGCGTGTTTTAGAAGATGATGTTGCATGTGACATTATAAAGATAGGATCCTTAGTTCGTAACAGAGAAAGGTTTGTAAAGAGAAGACAGAGGCTTCTTGGTCCAAATGGGGCAACATTAAAGGTCAGTGAGATGGTTTGTTTGACAGATTTTATGTTACAAACCAATCTGGGTAGTGAATCTCGAAAAGCACTGCATTTATTTTGTCTGTTGTAATTCATTTCAATCCTCTCCATCTTTGACTTCATTGTTTCTATTGGTTAACCACAATTGCCTCCATCTTTTTGTATTACTTTAGTCACGTTATTTACCAAATGAGTTATTATTTTAATTTTAGTCTTATTTCAGAGGACTTACATTTAAAATATATTTTTCTTCTAAAGGCTCTTGAATTACTCACGCAATGTTATATCATGGTACAAGGCAATACTGTGGCATCCCTTGGTCCATACAAAGGACTTAAACAGGTGAGAGAATCTTCCCTGTTTTTATGAATATAACTGATTTTATGTCTCATTTTTGAAGTTTTGAAATTTTTGATTTTGTGTACAAGAGTGGAGGCCTTTTTTAGCCCTTTCCCTCCCAATATCTTATTAGTAATTCTCCTCTCTGTCTGCCGTACAATTCTTATGATGTTATTTCAGATAATTTGGTATTGGAGCAGCTCATAATCCCATGATTGATATTTTTTTATTCTCTTCACCTACCTGTTTGATATTGTATTGATATTGTAAGGATAAATTCTGTTGTGGTCCTTCACAGCAGTTAAAGGGTTAAAGTCCTGTTCATTTTTTGTTTTGAAAAACTTAACTAACTACAGACTTAAGATAGATCATCAAATTGTGTTTAACTCTTGAACTCCCAAGATATGATTGTTACTTCCCCATCTGACTGCTGCACATTTCTCTTGATTGTTGAACAAATTCTCCTTGTCAGCACATCGGGAAATGTGGGGAGAACAGCCCTGGCATCTAATTTTTCTCTTTAACATCACCCTTAATAAGAATTATTCTCCTTGTCAGCACATTAGGAAATATGGGGTGAACAGTATGGAGAATATGCATAATGATATAAGGATGTGAGGGTTTAAGTAAACAACACTGGACTTGTATCCCATCCAAGAAAGGTCTCAATACGTCTTGTTGCTGCATGCTTCCATCAGAAGCTCGGATAAGCATCAACTATCACAGGGCAACCTGTTTCTTGAAATTTATACCAAAATTGTGAAGTGCTGATTTTTCTTTTTTCATTAGGTGCGTAAAGTGGTGGAAGATACGATGAAAAACATTCATCCAATTTATAACATCAAGGTTTGTGCAAATTTGTCGAAAATGGTTTCAATTTTGTAATGGCAATAGATGGTACATTTTTACATGACTGAGGATTGATAATTTAAAATACAGGACTTCCCAAGATCTCAGGGAGCCTATAAAATCAAATTTTAATGATCAGTTTTTTCATAGTGATGTACCTGACTCTTTTCTCTCTTGTAGACACTGATGATCAAAAGAGAGCTAGCTAAAGATCCAGAGTTAAAAAATGAATCTTGGGACAGATTTTTACCCAAGTTTAGACAGACCACCACAAAGAAGGTGAAGAAAGCCAAGTTCAAGAAGAAGGAATATACTCCATTCCCTCCACCTCAAACAGAGAGCAAGGTAACATGAATAATTTTAGTTCAAATCATACTTACCAAGACATTGCTTCCCTATGCATAACTTTTTTTATGCATAGGGAAGTATCAGGTGTGTGCTTTTTATTGAAATTTAAGAGCATGAAATTTCTTTTATTATGGAGAATTACTTTTCCATATTAGGAACCCTACCCTCCCTCCCCTCCCCTCCCTTTCTTTTAGTTATGATTTGAGACCTGAGACCAAAGAATTTGGATATGGTCGGAAACGTAGAATGTGGGAGACACTACAGAGACATAATGGTTGGCACTAGAGTGGGCGTTGAGAGTTCCGTGTTTGAGACATAGCTGCAACATTCTGTTGTGTTCTTGGGCAAGAACTATATTGTCACAGTGCCTTCTTGACTCAGGAGTATTATTGGGTACCTGTGAACTGCTAGAGTAGCCTAACAAAATACTAGAGTGTGACCTGCAAAGGACTGCTAACATACCATCTCTTATGAGTGGCAACAGTCCTAGTTCCTTCATGCTACAAAGATTGAGACAAGTTTTAGTAACTTGTACATGTAGGCTGCTTTGCTTTAGAAGCATGCCAATGATTAGTTTTGGTGTTTTTAGAGGGAAAATGTTTTTCAAAGTGCACTTTTTGCAGAACATTAAGCCAACTTTTGACTCATTGATGTGACATGCACATGGGAAAAGCAAATAACTCCACACTGGTTGTCACGCTAATTGACATATTGACTCTAAAGATTTGTTTTCTTCTTTTAGATTGATAAACAGTTAGCCAGCGGTGAATACTTTCTACAAGAAAAAGAAAGGAGACTGAAAGCTCAACAGGAAAAGAAGGTAGAGATTACACCTGAACGATGATAGTTCCTACATGTGCAATTCTTCAGTCTTTTGCTCTCAATTCTGGATCACATAGTTATAGTTGAGTCTCCACTTACTCTCGTTTCTCCACAAGAGCCACAACAGTAAGGGCTATCAAAGAGTATCCTGACTTCCAAAATAACCTCTCAACATCAGGCAATTAACCCTTTAACTCCCAAGAGTGACTGATATCTTATTTCTCCTTACAGTATAATTGCTAAATCAAACATTTAGGTGATGAGAATAAACAAAATGATCGCCAAGTAAAGAACCTCTGAGTTTTGATCAGATTACATAGTTATTTACTACACTGAGTATTTTACATAACATTGAATAGAGGATAATGCATGGGGGCACATAGATATGGAATTTCTCACATGTGAGTGCAGAGAATGAGTGAAATATGGAGTTGTACATGAGAAGAGAAATTCTTTATCAACAAGCAACCAAGTATTATTTTTTGTATTATATAATCATCATGGGCAAGACAAGAAAATTCAACAAATGACCTTGGATTGATAATAGTGAATGCTTGGCCACTCATTCATCAAACTGATTTATAACATAGCTAGTAAATTTGTCTAATCAAATTCAATTGCGTGAGCCTGCTTCATATTCCTATTGTGCATGCTCATGACGTCAGCAAACATACCCCTCAAGAAAAAAATTTTCCATTGGGTTGAAAATGTTATAAAAGAATTGGTTTAGACGTCAGCTGTGCATTCATTGAGATATGAAGCACTTGGGAAGTGTAGAGAACACTCAAGAAGCTAGAGTTGCTCGAGGCATTTCGTGCTCTCCAAACTTCCTGTGTGCTTCATATCTCGATGAACGCACAGCTGACGGATGAACCAATTGTTAAACAATGGCCCAAAAGGAGAGTGACGTGTCAGCAGTTGATTGGCATAATCAAACACACTTAAAAAATTATCATCAATTTGCAAATGTGCAGTTACAGCTATTCTCTTGGCTGGAAATCCTTGTGAAACATTGTAGTTTATATAACAAAGATATTTAAACTTTGAACAAGAAAGCTTTCCTGCGACATCCGACATCCTTGTGTTGGCCACTTCTCTGAAATGGCTGTTTTCTTCTCTCTCTCAAAGGTGACTGTTGTATATCTTTTTGACTGTACTTGTGGTTGATAGTTTGAGCTTAAAATCAATCCTTATCGCATCATATTTTGACCAACAGAACCGTCAAGTGGCTGCAGAAGGAAAGCGAAAAGCTCAACGGGAGCAGGCGTTCATTCCACCTGTGGAGGAAAGACCTAAACAAGAAAACAAGAAGAAAGGTGAGATCCACAGGCTGTACATGCCCACCTAGAAAAAGAAATATACTCAAGCACAGCCCCAATTTCTAGCACTCAGCACTACAGGACAAGTGTTTTTCTACTGCTGGAAGATTTTAGACAGGTCAAGGAGAGGTCTTCCAAGGGTCTGGCACTAATCATCTCATAATTAGTGCCAGTGCCTTTGCAGACTTCTCCATAGTTTGCTATACTCAAAGACTCAGACTTTCTCACTGGCAAAGAAACTATTGCATTGCTTGAATTGTTGTTCTCTCTTTTGTAGCTTTTACAACCTAACTACTCATCACTTATTAGCAATAGTCTCTGTGATAAGCTTCCACTGAGGAAAGAAGTACTGGTAACTTTCAGCATTGATGTGCCTATTTTGCTTAAAAAAAATGTTATTTTTAAAATGATGATTGTAGCAAATGACAGCAAAGTGGATGTGGAAGCCTTCAAAAAGAAAATAAAAAATTCACAGGTAAGATGGTTATTTATTAGCTTAACCTTTTCTTCTTTACTATACATACATGTACTGTGAAATTAATTTGCTTGATAGACAAAAAAAAATTAGACTCTCAATACTAACATTGATTTGAATGTTGTCACTTCAATGTAATTTGCAGTTATTTAACTGGTATACAGGAGTTGAGCAGTTTTAAAATAAATCCTTTCATCTGCAGACAATTTCCTCTGTTTAGTTTTAAATTTTTTACCATATCTTCTTTCCTTTTTTTTTTTTTTTTTTTTGACAGAAAAGAAAAGTTGCTGAAACAAGCAAAACAGTAGCTCCCACGAAAAGTAAAAAGGTCAAAAGATAAGAATGTAAATAGTGTATTATCGGAAATCAATTTATGGAAATAGACATGCCTCTTGGCCCCCCCTTTCCCCCCCCCCCCCCATAAAATGCTGTTGCTGTAGTCTGCTATGGTGTCAGAGGAGTTTTCCCCAGAAGGATTTTGCAGCGAAGGTCATCACCTTAATATTTGAGAAGATAGCAACAAATGACAAATTCCATGGCGCTCATCTAAGACAATTGTGTAGTGAGGATCAAAGAAAATGTTCTATTTGTTCAGTTTTATTCAATTTAATACACTTTCTCGATACAGTTATTTTATTTGATGTGCAACGTTCCACTTCAGTTTCATTTTCGTTGCCAGCTTTGTTACTTTTTTTAAAAGTGTTCAATGCCATCAAGATGAATGATCGTCAATTGATTTCAATAGCAGTACAGTAAGAAAGAATGGATTTAACACTGTTTTAAGTAGTGTTTATTGAGAACTTTTTCTATTAAAAGTGAGTACTTCTTTTAATATGTAACCTACTTGAACAAGCTGGCAAGGGCAGGTGTTCTGGAATTATGTTCAAATAAATTCTTTTAACCCTCTGTATTTTGTTTTACCTTCAACTGGCAGTTTAAACCACAAATGCAGATGCAAAGGTGTAGGGGTCACACAGTAGCCACCTTAACCCTCTACAACGTAACATTAGTATGCATATTCTCCAAACTGTCCTTTACACATTTCCAAGGGCGCAGACAAGGAGAATTTGTTTCACAATCAAGAGCTGCCTTAGTTGAGGATCATTTCCTCTACTCTCAGTACCTTTATGTTTTGATTCAGGGGTGATATTGTGAGGAGAAATTAGATATTAGTCAGTCACAGGGGTTAAAGGGTTAAAAAGGATTACATGTTAACTGCTCACAAGCCAGATTAGACTGTAAGCAAACTAGGACGTACAAATTACGTTTTGAAACTTGCTCTTGCAACCATACCAGCCTGCGTTTTGCATTGTCCATTTGACCTAAACGATAGACTGTCTGCTAGCATAGGTGAATTATTTTTCAACAAGGCCCTTTGATGAGCATCGTATTGCAAACTTTGATTCAATTCTTGCGCTCAATTCTTTTGTGAAAAACGCTACGGAGACACCTATCATAACCCTGCTCAAAAAGACTGGGTCGGGTGATGTGAAGGTTTCGTGACCCCAACGTCCTTCCAGTTCAAACAGTGAGACTCTTGTTTTGAAGGATTTCCAAAATTGTGAGGTAAGTTCTTTGCTGTTATTGTGTGTACAAGTGGATGCCTGGATAATTTATCGTCTTTTTCCGTTTTAATAGCTGAGAGATTAGGAATAGGCTTTGGCGGTGAAATTGCACACGATGCGAGTGGCGGTTCCTCTGGCATTTTTGTTGGCTACGATTTCGCTTTACTATTGGAAACACGGTCTAGTTAGTCAATCTTGATCCTTATTCTGTAGTTTAACCGTAAGAGTAATGTTGGTGACAAATTGTAACAACTTCAAGCGTTGATACCGCCAGATATCTAATTTTTTAAATTGGGGTATTAAAATGAATGTAGGTGACGCCGGCTTGATTTCCGTTGTTTGCTCGTCTATGCTTTCTCACTTCTGACCATGGTCCTCGCGTTTCACCGACGTTTGGCTATAATGTAAATGTGCAAACTTCAAGACCAGTGAATGAATTTTTCAAGTTCGAATTCTTCAATATGCATTTAAATCTGCAGCTGGCACTTATGCTAAAGTAATGAATTCCGAGGCATCCTTTGATCGTTATGTCTAATTTGAAAACATTTATCTTCTGGAAAGGCCATCCGATTAGTATTATTGTTTTCCAGAAAGGTCTTAAGCTCGTTGTCAAGTTTTAAACCTTTGTCCACTTAATAGTAACAATTTGATTTGAGGGCAAAATACAGGATAAGCAATGCTTTACTATACCTGTTCAGTTCTGCGCTATGTGATTAAGTTTGAATCCAACCGGATTTTTATGCTTTTGAATAACTTAATGATCACTGGACAATAGTCAGATTTTTGGGATTGAAGTCAGCAGCTATGGCGGACAGAAATAACAAAAATGACAGCATATGCGCCTTTTTCTTTTCAGAATGCAGTCCTGCTCAAAAGCCACGGGGATACCACACTGCCGCGAGTACTGTGATGGGAATGTTGCAGAGTTTTATTGTCCAGAATGTGCTGCCATGTTTTGCAGTTGTTGCTATGAAAGAGAACATTGTGGAAGTGAACGGAAAGCTCAGCATGGGAAATTAACTGAACTTAGAGCAATTTGCAGTGAGCACAAACACACTCTTGATTATTTTAACCTGACCCTGCTTCAGCCAATGTGCATCATTTGCAAAAAGGAGAGCGTGCTTTCACCTGAACGTGCAAACCATGTTATTGAACACATAGAAACAATTGTACCAAAACTGAGATCTCTCATGGAAAAGAAATTACAAGATGCTACTGAATCAATTGGAAAGATAGCATGTCAACTCACCAATGTTGAAACTTCAGCTCGCAGTGGGATGAATGCTTCAATCAGCCATGTTCAGTGCTGTTTTGCCAAGTTGCGGCAGATACTGGATGAGAGGGAAGCCCAACTCATGCAAGATACAAAAAAGTATTTTGATGAGTTCCTGGAAAGTGGTGAAGGAATAGTACAAGCAAGAAACACATTAAGAAATCTCAGGGCTCTCTCTGAAGAAGGTACCATGTATGAAATTCTGAGCATAAAGTAGTGTAATTTCCTTCAACTCCAGTGGTGTCTTCTGAAGGAATCATGATAATTTGTAGTCAGTAGAATGTACTGGCATAAACTAATATAACAGATGATACCAATGCACTCAATGTCCACTCAGATCTGAATAGGGGTGCTAAAAATGTTCCCCCAAAATGAGTGGCATTTTCACATATAAAACATCCAAAATGAATTCTACAATTAGTTAATCAGTGGCTCTGTCTCGCACAGTATCACTGTGTTCTGATTTTTTTTTTTTAAAAAAGGCTTTTGTGCTTGAACCCAGTACATTTCAAGTGACACTTTCTTAGTCAATCAGGATCAAGTGGTTGTACCATCTTTACATTTTAACATAAATAGATAGTTCTTTTTTCCTCAAGTATGCCTGCCTCATCACCTGAAAACATCATCTTTCACCATGAAAATAATAATTCCTGAATGTATCAGTTAATCAGAAGCAAAAAATTTTGCCCTCTCTCTGTGATGCTAGTAAACACCTATCAGTTAACATATCAACCTTTCACTTGAACACTTCTCTATAAGACTTAGGTAAGAGACCAGAGGGAAACTTTTTGATGACAAGTTCATGACAATTTCCTTCTTGTAATTTTATTGATAGGAAAATTGCTTTTGAATAAAGATCCTAGAAGCCTTGTGGTAGAATTTCCAGCAGTCTTCATGCATCTCAAAGAACTGTGTGCTTTAACAGCCAATGAATGCCAGATGAAAAGCCTTAAAATTGCAATTTATTTTGGACAAGACATAGTAAAACAGCTAAGAAAAGCTGGGGTTATGAGTGCACAGTATTCTTCTCTGCCTAAAGGTAAGTGGAAACAGGGCACAAAACTTAAAAAAAAACCCTCATCAACTTTTGGCTCCTAGCCACTAAAATGAGGAAAATGGTCACCAATTTGAAAGCCACATCTGTATGTACCTGTTAGTACCACAAGTACAAGGTGTTTTTCAATCCTGAATGATATATGAAGTGACTACTTGAGATTCTGCTCCCATCTTAAAAAAGAGGAACAGTGATATGGATTACATATGCAGAATATGTTTTAAATTTAAGTCTTAATTTAAAACATACAAAAATTTAGTCACCAGGATGGCGACTAAAGACCAGAACTTTAAGTTACCAGTGAGAAAATGTGGGTCACATTGGCACTTGTATCAATTACAATCCCAAGCCCTAGGAAACTATGTCATTAGAGAGCCATTATATACTTAGTCATCCTTAACTTGTGAATATCTCTTTTTCTTGTAGACATAAAATTAGGGAATGGACAGCAGGAGAACTCAAATGATGCAAATTCTCAGTGTAGTTGCAGCTCTATACAGGATTATCATACAGGTATTGTTATACCACTTCAACCAATATGAATCACAGTTTCCAGTTGGCATAAAAAGTTAAGAATGGATGACAGCCATCGAAAGCCCTTTTTTAGATAGCTATAAGAAATAAGTTATTAGTTGAGGAGAAGATAGAACTAAGTAATAAAAGCCTACCAAGTGTTGGTAGTGTCCTCAGCTGTATTGGTAAAGTATTGGCCCTTGTTAAGCAAGTATTGTCTGACGTGTGTCAGTTGAGAGGCGACCAATGTTGGTCAATATGTCAGCCAACTCTTAGTCAACATGTCGACTGTTATAGCAACGAACACTCAGACAACAAGTCATCCTATGGTATCCACTGAACTTGATTGACAGTTGCCTGTCAGTATGCATGATCTTAAGATTGCTTTTCAAAATGAGTATCGTAAAAACAAAACCCACAAAAAGTAATGACAACACCCAATCAGAAGAGAGGAAAAAGACAATAAAAACTTACATTTAAAACAAACCAACTACCTAAAGCTTGTGATTGGTTCCAGTTTTTCATCTGATTGGTTCAAAAAGCAGTGTAAGTTTTCTGGACCAATCTCAGAGCGAAGTAAATCAAAACCAGGGCAATCCCTGATTACTTTAAACACTTTATCAAAAATGTGCTCTTTGTATCTAAGACAATGTAATTCACATAGGAATGACAAACAACTCACAATGACGTAGAGCAATGTGGGTTTGTCAGCTTAAGGAAGTTGGTGTGGTGGCTAGAAAAACTCTTAGCCCATTCCAGCTGATCTCACTACAGAATTTTAATATGAAAATAGAATTATGAGTACCATTGTACTTTATTATGCAGTAGATGTTGATACAAAGAAATGCATGCCAGACTCACCTCAGAAACCTTGCAAAGAACCTACTTCTAAACAAGCCGAGGAAATTGATGGGACAATTGACTTCATAGGAGTGTGTGACAAGTCACCAATCTCAAGGATGTCATTAAAAGGTTTCCTTTATTGTGTAGAGAGTAGTGTAGTATTGCTGTACAAAGACATTATCATGTCCCCTCCTCTTAACCCAAACACCATACCTTTAAAATCAGCATGTGGGCAACTTTTTATACCTTTAATCATAACCATTACAATTTCCTCAAACATGATTGGTGTATTAGCTGCTTTATTTTTCACTAATCATTCTGTACAGTTGTAATCAGACAGTGTACTTGGACAGTTGAAGCAGCCAATCATACTAAGTCCACTCAACTAAATCTACCAATCACAGAATTGATCACAATAACCGTAGCAACAACCAGTATCCTAGGAAAAAAATTGAGAATTTCCAAAACTGAAGAATTTTTTACTTTAGACATTGTCTCTGCTGAAGATGTTTGTCCTAAATGTGTTTTTATTTGTAACAGTTATGGTTAATTGGTAACAGGACCTTGTGTCATCCAATTCCATCTGTAGTCATACTATTGTGATTGACAAATCTGACTCCCGCTTGGTGGTCATCAGATTCTGAAAAATATTTGAAATTATTGAAATATTGTTATATTTTTCTATTGGCATTATGTCTGGTTTCTTGTATAACAAAATGTTATACAGATGGTTTCAAAACAGCTTTTTAGAATGCTTTTCAAAGTGTCAAATTGAATTTTGGCCAAATGTATTTTTTCATTTGCAAAAGGTTTTTCAGGTGTAAAGAGGCACTCTTCTGATGTGTCTGGAAGTCCTCTCCAGGAAACTACACCTAAGAAAACCAGGAAGATTGATGCAACAAGTAATTTCCCTGAAGAACATGAAAAGTCACCCTTATCAAGAACCCCAGTGAAAGCTGTGACAGGAACAGCAGGCAGAACCATGCAATCACCGTCACCTTTAAAGCTATCCAAGCTGAACGAATTGAGGGTCTTATTGAAAAGATCACCACAGCACAGCTCTGTTGCCTCTCCAAATAGCAAAACTTATGTGGCATCACCAAGAAGAAAAAGAGGAGGAGCATTGAGCAAAGAGTTTATGGTGATGTTATTTGATAAATACACTTATTTGATGGTTTAAGAAATAAAACATGCTGATATTCTGCAGTTATTTTCCCCAGCTCCATAGGGATGAGGAAAGATACAAGCACTGAGCACAATTTCTTCTTGTATGATATGTTAAACTATCAAACAAGGGATTTATCATTCTCCTGTTATTTCATTTTCTAGAAATTTGGCTTCTAGCTTTCGAAATACTTCCTATGGCCCTATCTTAGCATCATATTCATCACATAAGGCATGCGTGAAAGATGAAAACAATGCTGATGCACTTAAATTTCATGGCTTTTAAAGTCTCTTGTAAACTTTGTACTTTCTATTCTCCTGGGCTCAGTTGTTTGAAGGCCGATTCGCACTAACCTAAGGTTAAATTTTTATCTGGATTGATTTATTCCTTTGTTTAAAAGCCCTTTTAGAATAATTTTGTGGTCTATTCTTTTTAGAGCATTCAATATCAAGTTGTAGCCAAAAACAATTTATGCTGAATTTTCTGCCAAATCTTTCAAATCTAAAATCCGATTTCACACATACTTTGGGTTATCTTAACCCAGCTTCAGGCAACCTGGCCCTGGTCTGCCCTGCTTAATTCACCTGGCCACAGTTGTTCCAAGGGTATATAATGCTATCCAATGAATAAGTCTCTATTTGTTGTTAGTCCTGTTTGTTTTTGTGAACACTTATCTACTGAACAGTGGTTTATCCAGATAGCATAATGGGCCCTTTTCACAACATTGCCTTTGTTGGAGCCTCTTGAAGTTAAAAATTTTCTTTTCAATTTCCAAAGTTAGCCCTTCTGTGAAAACTGAAACCAATAAAATTTATGTATTGGAAATGGATGAGGTGTTGCGGTTTGGTCATGTCTGAAATCAATCTTGGAGAATCACTCATTTGTCTCATTTCTTGCCCTCATGTATATTATGTAGTGATTCCAGAAGCACTGGTTGCATCTTCAAATTTAGGGCCAAGTTGGAGAGTTTGTGTTTCCTTATCAATTCAGTTTTAAAAGTTGCCATATTAATGCAACTTTTCCGTTCTTGCAGAAGTGTGACATAATTCTAAAAGAAATATGGGCCCATGATGAAAGTATTCCATTTGTTCGACCTGTGGATAAAAAACAGGTAAGCATATAAAATCTTAAGTAAATCTTTCAACTGTCAGGAGCCGTCCATTCCTCTCACTAATTTGTTCATATTTATTTCAAAGTTTTGGTGTGATATCTTACGGTTAATGTGATATCTTAACGATTTCACCGACCCAATACATGTGAATGTAAATGTATTTTGTTTTTAGTCACCAGATTACTATAAAGTCATCAAGAAGCCTATGGACCTGTCTGTTGTAAAAGAAAAATTGCATTCTCTTCAATATACATCTGTCGTGGACTTCCTAAAGGACATACGTTTGATGTTGAACAACTGTAAAACGTTCAATAAGGTACAGAATCGGTTTTTTTTTTCGATAAGGCAGGTTAATAGAGGAGGCAACTAGACAGCTGATGTGGAAAAATTATCTCTAAGCAATTGTCCCCTGTGGATACGACAAACTTGTTTGTTATAGGCTCTGTTTGATTTGACCACACACACAAACCCCTTTTGTAAAATACAAAATTATTTACTGTCCAAATCGACCAGTCTAATACTCCTCCCCCCTCATGTTCCCAGGATTTTTATGATTTTACCAGGTTGTTCGAACAGTGGGTTACGCTATACACTTGTCAGATAGTGTTATCCGCCCTTTATACAACTGGGCCCTGGTGGATAGCAAAGGTTGCTTTATCTGCTTTGCGGTTTGTCTATTATATCGCATTATCCGCCCTTGCTGTTTTTCATTACCAAGAGTGTATTGCCAATCGCTCGTGTGAGGGTGGTCCTGAAAGGAGTATTGTAAGTGACACTTCAAGTGATACTTTGTCGCTCAGGTCGACTAAACGTCACTCGCTACCACCAATAGGGACCAATAGCAATGCTTTGTAGAACTACCCGATAGAACTTCACTGTCACTCTTGGCTCACACCATTTGCTGTATGGCAGGGATTTTGTTCTCTTCTTTCTTAAAGATAAATAAAACAGTCTCCACAAAAAATGCCACTTGAAAATTTAATCTTCTTTTTGCTATCCAAAAAGATAATTTGCATGAAACAAGTGTGTCAATAAATGTTTTCGTAAGCGGCCACCGATGATGTAATAGGCGGCTGCGCCGTAAGGCATAACCCCAAAACGAGAGCCTGCTTGTAGGCTCAACAGACGGCAGTGAGAGGTCCCACAGTCAGCGGTAGACCGCCGTTAACTTGCTTTTATGGAAACCCCTGCATAGAACCTCTGTGAAAGATTCTACAGTGTTTTCTTTTCCTTCCATAGCCGGGCACGTACGTGTATGATTCAGGTGAAGGATTGAGCAAAATCTTCAACCATCTGGTACAAGAAAACTTTCCAAACTTTGAAGAAGCGCTTCTGCAAAATTCGGAGGATGGGACTGAGTGATTGATAATAGAAATACTTCAAGACGAATAAGTATAATTGCACTTTGATTTTAGCAGTGCAATTGTGAACTCTAAGAGACTTCGAAAGCTTCATCTCTCTTTTATTTGGATTTTAAATCTGATAGTTCCTCTGACGTGAAATTAATCCTAAGCAAAAATGCAGCTGAAATGTTACCTGCATTGTTTCCCTCTGGAATCGGATAATTTGATGGACTGTTCGTCAACACTTAAAATTAACAACAGGCAGAATATAATTAAAGGTATGTCAATTCTTCTTGTACTTTGTGGTCATTGAGTTTCACAGCACCCTCGTTTATTGCGTACCCACATTGCGTTTCCCTGCGTGTTTCCCTGAGTGTTTCTGCGCTCAACACGATGCGCGATCCAGTGTCTTATGCATTGCTTATCCGTGAATTCAAGTACGCGTTAATACATTTCATTGTTTTTCTTGCTTTTCAAGGAGCTTAAGTACGTTGAACTGTGTTCCACTAGCGATTTTTAGTAACTCGAGGTTCGAGTGCGTTTGACTTTAATTCCCTTGCGATTGAAGGTGCTCCCAGTGCATCTCACTGCTTTGTTCTCCTTTCATGTTCGTAGCATCCGTGTATCTCATTTATATTTTCGTACAATTACTTATAAAGCAGTACGTTATCGTGGATTTCAATGTGTTTGTCTCGTGTAAATATCTCGCGCACTGTTTGTTCTGTGTTCTATTTGTTACGTGTATTATCTCGCGCACTGTATGTTCTGTGATCTGTTTGTTGTGTTGTATCTCGCGCACTGTATGTGATCTGTTTTTTACGTTAAGAATCTCGCACACTGCTTGTTATGTGATCTGTTTGTTACGTGTAGTATCTCACGCACTGTTTGTTCTTTGATCTGTTTGTTACGTGCAGTATCTCGTGGATTGTTTGTTCTCAGATTTGTTTGTTACGTGTAGTACCTAATGCAGTGATTGTTCTGTGATCTGTTTGTTACGTGTAGTATCTCGTGGACTGTTCTCAGATGTGTTTGTTACGTGCATCTAATGCACTGATTGTTCTGTGATCTGTTACGTGTAGTATCTCGCGCACTGTTCTGTGATCTATTTGTTACGTACAGCATCTCGTGGAATGTTTGTTCTCAGATCTCTCTGTTACGTGTAGTATCCAACGCACTGATTGTTTTGTGGTCTGTTCATTAGGTGAAGTACCTTGCGCACTGTTTGACCTGTGATATATTTGTTTGCACAGCTTGTTCCCTTTTCTACTTGTTGCGTGTAATATCTCGCGCACTGCTTGTTCTGTAATCTAATTTTTATAAGTAGCATCTCGCGCGCTTTATTTTCTGTGATTTGTTCTTTACGTCTAGTATCTCGCGCACTGTTCTGTGATTTGTTCTTTGCGTCTAATATCTCGCGCACTGTTTGCTCTATAATCTATTTTTAAGTGTAGTATCTAGCGCACACTATGTTCTGTGATTTGTTCTTTACGTCTAGTATCTCGTGCATTGATTGTTCTGTGATTTGTTTTTACGTTTAGTACCTCGCGCACTGTTTGTTCGGGAATCTGTTTGTTATGTGTAGTATCTTGTGCACTGTTTTTTTTTTGTTGTTGTTGTTGCATGAAGTGTTCCGCGCACTGTTTGTGTTATGATCTGTTTATTACGTGTAGTATATCGCGCACTGTTGGTGCGTTTTCCTCTGAGCTCTATTTTTTACGTTTCGTATCTCGCGTAAAGTCTTCTGTATTCTATCTGTTATATGTAATTTTTGTTGTTTTTTTTTTGTGAGCTGTTTGTTACGTAAAGTTTCTCGCGCAGTGATATTTTTGGGCTTCATTTGTTACGTTGGTATCGCACGCGCTGTCTGCTTTGTCTTCTGTTAGTCACGAGTAGTTCCTCGCGCGCTGTTTGTTTTGTGTCCTACTTGTTATGTGTTTCCCACGCTTTATCGGGATCTGGTAATAGGTATAGAACATTTGGACAACTCCTTATGTACAAGTATTTTAGATCAATGGCACAGAAATATCTCCACCAGAAATTCAGTCCCACTCCTCACGGTGTCATTTTTATAATACTGATTGTGAGGCACGCAGAAAGTTTGAATTGAATTACAAATAAGCTTGCATCATTAAGTATTCAACTTACGTGTATCGGGATCTTTGCACGTGGAAGTCAGAGTTGCGCTTTCCTGCCTGGTTTAAATCTCTAAATTACAGATTTCAGTCGGAAAACTCTTCGTCTTAAATATCGAAGACAGTTGGAATATCTGACGGTAGAGGTTAAAATGTATGGTGTCTTAAATGTCGATCTTTGGTGTATAACGGTCCTCGCCCACAGTTTGCAACCAGCGACGACAAGTCAACGGTTCAAACCATGCTAAGACAGAAGTTTAGTCTTCTTTGAACGCATGTAAGTTATTTAACTCTGTTCTTCTGATTTTCATTGTAAGTTACTTACAAGTTTGTGATATTAGAGAGCTTCAGCTCTTTGTTCCATACATTACAAACATCATTGAAATAACGACACTCAGAAACGTTTGCGGTTTCACAATTGATGACATGTATGCGTCTGCATAATCCTGCAAGAATATGCATATTTTTAATATCTAGTTTGAAGCCTATTGCTAAACGGTTATTCGAATAACCTTGGAAATTTAATTGATATTCGATAACTTCTCAAATGAGGCAAAAACGAACAAAACGCCTTGACATTTAAGATGTGAGTAAAAGTAGGCAATATTTCTGGTACTGAATATTTTGGAGTTCAGTGACCGTCTTAAAAACTACAAAAAAAAACAGTTTCGTACCATTTAACACCACTGCGAGAAGCGTCGGCCCTTCGTCAGAGCGATTAACGATCGCTCTGACGAAGCCTAACGCTCGAAACGTCGTCTTCGAAACTCTTCACGGTGGCCAATTTACGGTATCAACTCAGATCAGTTGATAATAAGAAATTACCCAGTTGTACGCAGGCTACTCTGATACATTCATCTTTAATGTCATAGAAGCAAAATAAAAACTTTAAGGAATGACTATTTTCATGAAAGATAGATTTGAATCATGCCCCTCCTTCCCTTAAACAAATTCTCATAAATTTTCGATTTTTTTTACAGAGCTAGCCCGCCACTACGCAGAACACTTAATAATTGCTGTGTGGTGAAACGCCAAGTCGACTCTGTTATGATTTTTACTGGTTGATCATCGCCATTGAAATAGTTTCTTTGTCACTTTTAAGGTAATTAATCATCTGACAAGAAGGATAACAATGGATCAGAAACAAGATGAAGTCCATGGAAACAGATACAGTCAGTATAGGTCAGTTTATTTTTATTTTTCCTTTTCCAAGTGTTATGAGAGATGAGAGACGGTGAATACTTATCGTTCGTAATGTTTGTCGCAGTCAATTTAAGTTTTCACTCTCAATTTAAAAAGGATTCTCGCCGGTGAGATTTCCGTATAACCCCATACTAAAGTATCCTAAAACAAAAGTGTAGTACCCGTCTCAAAGGTAATTCATTTTGCTGCCATTGTCTTCTCTTTTTCCATTGAAGGTCTGAATGGGTTAAGCGATTAACGGCAAAGGGCAAGAAATAGAACTGACTACCGACAAAACGCAAAAAAAAAAAACAAAAAGCGATTAACGACAAGCAAATACTAACCAACGTCCGACATTACCGATATATGTATTCAGAAAGAAGAGCATCCTAGCTAAGGAGGCAGCCACTTTAAATTCAAGTTTCAGTTAATTACAGAACTTTCTGTAATAAAACTTACTTACCTGCTTTTTAATCACAAACTGAGATTTATTGACAAACTACGAGGACCGAAAATTTTAACCGACTATCGATAAAACAGTAAAATTCTAACTTACATCCGACATGGGAACTCCTCTTTACTTTATAAACATTATGAAGTATGAGGCTTTGCGGAAATCTTGCCGAATTCTCTCCTAATCGGGAGATTGATCAGTGGGAAGGAAACATGAAAGACGAGTTAAAAGTTCTCAAGAAGAATTCGTTAGAAAGTTTTGGTCTGAATTGAAAAAAGAAATGAAGTATTTGCTCAATTACGTTTGAACAACAGTTGTATGTATACAGTTGTAGTTTACACCTTCTTGCCTTAGATATTCTGTCGCTTCATAACGATTGGTTCCTTTTAAAAAAGTATTTATGAAAACCTTTCAAACATTTATCAATGTCATCTAATTGTTTGTATACGGCAAACAGAGTCGTTTAGTTTTGTCCCAAACATTTTATTGCTAAAATATTATTCTCTTCCAAATGAAAGGAACTTCTCCTCATGAAAGGAAAAAATGATATATGTAACAATTATGTAAAGAATGAAGAATATCTAATGAAGAGTATCTTTAACTGCAAATTGTATTCTTCGAGTCTAGCCCACCTTGAAGACGTGCAGATATATTTTGCAGGCCAGGAAAATACTTTCCAAATTGTTAACATTTGTATACCTTGTATTCAGTCCCCCCAAATGTGTTAAAGATTCCTTAAATTTGAGATTTGGTCCTCACCGCATGAAACTCTAAAATCAATCTAGCATAATTGTTATGGCTTACTACCTGGGGGAACAACGCAAGAAGAAAATCTCTTGAATAGATGGGTTAGTGATTAGCTTAGTTCAGAGTATACAAAAGGTACTGTTACTGAATCATTTTTTATATCTTTAGATTTGAAAGATTTCAAGATCATAGGAAGCAGGAAGATTCAAGAAAATTCAAGAAAAGATAATACTTGTGGACGCAAGAATTCTGTTTACTGAAATAAAGCTTATTTTAGGTCACGCTCCACCTGATTAGGAAAGAAATAGCGGAGAGACGAACGGTGTTTGCGAGGAAATTCTGCGCTTTTAAAAGGCCAACCGCAATTAAAACAAAAGTTCATAAAAAAATCTTCCCATCAGCGGAATTATAGAGAAGCTAAAAAAATTTTCGTAAATATTTTTAAGTCTTTTAGCGGGAAAATTGTGTACGGAAAAAAAAGGCTGTGCTTTTGAATTGTCTAGTTTTAAACAGAAAATATACTAAGTCTTTTGGCGGGAAAAAATTTGCTCCATGCTAACGACTTTCTCCCATCAAAAGTTGAGTACATTTTTTGTTTTAATGCTAGATGCTGTTCAAATTCGCAGATTTTTTTTCCTCTCGGCAACCCTCCATACGCAAAAAAAAGTAAAAGAGATAGCCTATATTTTAACTAGTTACCAGGCCCTTTTAAAAGTGCAACATTTTTTTAATTATTTGTATACTTAATAAGAGACAATAAAGAAAAAAGGAAGAGATAATATGATGGAAATGAAATTTTTATTTGTTTGTACTTTTCTTCAGTTAATACAAGTCTTTGTTAATAATTAACAATGTCTACACGAAGCCATATCATAAAATTTTAAGTCCAACTCAAGAATATAACTGTACGAGGTCTAAATGGCATTTAAAACACTTGTATCTTGGAATATTCAGAGCTGAAGCAGAATAAAATTTGCCCGAACAAGAATTTACCTAAGTTTGACATTGGCATTGAGAACTCGTGAATCGGCCCTCCTTACTGCTTAGCTTTCTTAGATTTGGAAAAGAGATTGCTTGATTGTGTTTACCTCGCCAAATTGTTTCTATCAGCTTTTGAGCTTCCTTCGCAAGCGTTCTTAACCGACCTTTCGATAAACAAAAAAATTTAGTTAACTTTGATAGCTCTGTTTTGTGTTTTCGAATAATTACTAGACTGGTTTCAAAGCAATTAGTGACCAAATTTTTCAGCGGGCAACTTAGTTTGTAGGTTTTGCTTACAGTTGTTACCTTAACATTGATTTCAATAGTCTTTCTCCAAAAAATAAGTTTCGTTTCCTTCGGTCTTCTTTTACAAATTCTTCAGTTCGATCCTGTCTTCACTCTGCAGCTTATAGTCCACATCAACAAGGTGAGTCCCTGGGATATCGGACGACTGCAATATAATACAAACCAACATTCTTTAATTCGACAAATTTAAAATGATAATAGTGGTAAAGCGTTAAAAATTATGGGAATTTCGCTCCGCCTCCAGATCACTGAATTTAACGTCTACACTAAACGATCACCACTAGTAAACGTACCCACAGGTGAAATTTTTTACTCAACTGTGTGTTGGTTCTTCTTTTGAAACAGTGATCAGAATTTAGCGATGACTTAAGATAAATGTACTCATTCACCTGAGGAATGTTTTCATTCTGAGTCAAATCTAGTTTTTGGAGCTTTGTGGTCATCGACATAAAACCGGAAGCTGAATTACGTTTTCAAGAACCTCTGCAATATTCAACAAATATTGCAGCAATGTATTTTGACTAGCATGGAATCGAAAGTCCAATAATAATTATTATGTCTGAAGTCAGGAAAGATTTCCATAACCTCCTAAAAATCTAAAACAAAGCGTTTTCAAAAAGATAGTATGTTTTCGCCATTGTCTCTTCCATCAAAGAACAGTATGCATAATGAAGTATGGGGTTATACACAAGGGAATCTCACTTGCGGTCGAACTAAGAACATTTTCGAGCAAAACAAAATATATTTGCGCGGTCTGATCTATGGGTTACTATACTTTTGACCTTTTACCGTTGACCACAATCCATGTGATTGAGTTCTGACTTGCAAAGATTATTTGAGCTGGGCAGGCTTTTTTTGCGGAGCCAAACAGCCTGAAAATACGGCTCTTAAACAAGGCGACTGACAATACTCGAAATTATGGAACTATTATGGGTGAATGGTTTGTATGCTTCGTGCCCTGCACTTTCTGAAATACTGTTAAAACATTACGATCCTCATTTTGAGGCAAAAAAAATTCGTTTAATATTCTTACTTGGCTAGCAAAATAACAGGAGAGTTGTTCTGCATTTTTCAGTTATTAAAAGGGCAACGCATTAAAAAGATACAATTTGTGCAAAGCAGAGAGCCGTGTTTGTGAACATTCCGATCATTCTTTTTTAGCGACATGACTTTGCGTCCATAAATCCTCTGAGGAATTATTTGCATATCGTTTAATTATTTTTCTTGATGAAACAAAATAAAGCATGATTTGACTCTAAAATTCTGGCTTTTGGCCTGACTCAGCCCAACATGATTTTATGCATGTCTAAGATAGCAGTCACATACACATATTAGAAACCTGGGTAAAATTTCCGCACAGCCCCGTACTATTGTAAAACAAATCTGTTTTCCTAATAGCAATGTATTGTTTTTGTCATTGTTTTCTCTATCCAAGAACTGAATGCATAATGTAGTATGGGGCTGTGCGGAAACTTTACCGCGAAACCTGTTTCAAACAACTGGATTCAGATGCTTACCTTTACGTAATTGTTTCCTTTTTCCCTTTTTATTTGTTAACTCCCATGCTTGGTTTATAAGGCCTCATCCATATTCCGTCACCTACGTACGAAAGAAGGATACAACACCGTCTTTCATTTCCCGAGGTTTGTCTTCAAGGATTCAATCACTGAATTGAATGTTAAATTAGAAGAGCACTCACAGAAAAAAAAAATTCTCATCTATTCAAGATTTCTTTAACTCCTATTCAGCAAGAATCAGTCTTAACATCTCATTTTCAACTTCGGTTTGAATTTCCCGCTGGACTGAATCAATTTATCGATAATATTCTCTTTCAATATGTTCCCAGAAACCTTGTATCGCTATCAAACGAAGATATGAGTGTGGAATTGCTTTTCGCGAGCGCAAGTCCGAAAAATTCTAACTATCAATTTACAGTCTCCTTGCTAACTCGTTAAGCGCATTATACAAGTTAACCAGTTATATTCACTCCTTTCTTACCGTGTGTTCTGTATTGAAAGGGAAAGGCTGTTGGTCGGAGTCAAGTCTCTAAGAAAAGAAGCAATTTCTCTTCATTGCTTCTGTCCATGTTTAGACGGAAAACTTGATTATCTGGCGAGTGTTTTCTTGTTCTTTCTTTCCAACGACGAAAAACGGTTCTCACCTCGAGGAAACAAAATATGGAAATGAGTTGAAAGGTTTCACGTGGAAATTCAGCCTTGGGGAAATATCTTGGAAACGAGGTTGGCGTGAATTTGCATCCAAAGAAGCTTAAATAAATTGCAGGACTTTTGTGGCAATATTTCTTTATTAAAGTTGATTTGCACGCACGAGAAAGAAAAAGGGGTAAAAAATGCCAGTGTTAGGAAAAGGAACAAATGACAGAGAAAAGACATGGACAAATTAAGGAGAAGTACTCAGTAATCCTGTTGGATATTCTACCAAATTCTATCCAAATTGCGATAAGTAAAGATTTTGCGGAGGACCTAACACCAAAAACTAGCGTACTTACGGGCTACACTACCGGATCCAAATTGCGAAAAATTATACGATGGTAGACAGCTTCTTTGTTATTTCAAATGTTTAAGAGAGCCTTTCAACATGATTTGCACTGAGCTGCAACTACCCACCGAGCAGTTTTTTATTTTCTCACTTTCCATTTTTGTTTTTAGTTTCAGTTTGTCCCCTTGTCTGCTTCTTCAATGGCTAGTTCGCATTGCGGACCTATTTAGGGGATAGTCTGGCACTAGTCAACAATAGTTGAAAAGAAACTAGCACTAGTGACGGTACGCCTGTAACATTGGAACTTTTTCATGGAGGGCACTTCGTTTCCCCAACGTTGAAGTATGTCTCATTAATCGATCGTGATCCACAAGCCTACCGTTATAATGCCATCAAAGTGCCCCGTTTGCCACAAAGAGGCAGTTGATGCAGAAGGAGGAGAACTAGTTTGGAGAGTAGAGTTTTCAACTTTGATGTTGATCGTCAAAATGGCTCTACCGCCATGACAGCTGATGGTACGGCAAAGTTTGATGGACGTTACGATCTGCCAAGTACGGTGAGGCAGCGATTACCAACAGGCGACATTTCAGTATCTAAAAAGCAACTTCAGAAGTTCCTGCGTGAGCTTGCAAAGCGCATGAATCTTCCGAACGAAACTGTAAAGGAAGCAAAGGATTTTCTCTTAACCATTGTAACATCAAAAATTAAATCAGGAGAAATTCGACACATAAGTCGTCACAGAGACATTCTTACTGCGAGTTGTCTGTTCATCGTTTGCAGGAGGAATCACTTGCAGATAAACTACAGACGTATGGCGGAGATCTCGCAGTGTAACATGTTTAGTCTCGGTAGATCGGTGAAAATCATTTTAAAAGCTCTTGATCTTCACCTGGAGCCGATTGGAACTGAGTCGTCGCTGGTGCGTGTTCTTGCACAGTTAGACACTGAAGATAAGTCTGCTGAGAAAACCTAATTTGATTTGTGTCACATTTTTAAGCACTTCAGTCTGGCCGGCGAGAGAAATCACTTCGCCTCTGCTATGGCTGTGGTTCTTATCGTACTAGAAGGTAAAAAAAATTACTCCGCGTAAAGAAAAGATCGTGGAAGTTTTAGACAAAAATTCTGTGACAGATGCCCTGCTGAAATCACAAATGAAGAATACCAGAAGGGGTTTGGTTGAACTGGCAAAAGATGTACCCTGGATTCCAAAATCGCATAAGAACACTGCCATTGCTAGATGTATTGATGACATTGTTGATTTTCACAAAAACTGCGTAAAGATGTATTTGTCTACAGTTAAGTGTTTGTATATGAAGAGGAAATAACTGGCAGAAAACAATCACAAGAGAAAGATACAGATGGCAGAAGCATGCATCAATAAGGAAAAAACACAACAGCTTTATAGCTCAGCTGTAGACAGTTCTTCTACTAATGACACCCTGGCTAAACCTTCAAACCAAAGTTAGGATGGTGGTGTAACAAGGGATTCAGTGACAAATCATTTGCATATTGATGGTGTTGACAGAGGCCAGCAGGGTAATTCTGCAAATGCTCCAGAGTTTAGCAGCGAAAGTGAGCTGGATGCTAATGATGCCTTGATAGGAGGCCTGCATGGGAGTGGCTACTCTGAGGAAGAGTTGATGGATGGTTATTTTGAATCAAGAATTGTTGATCTTCAGGGCGGCTGTGACCCTGAGGGGGAGAGAGAGAATCCGCATGAACTTGACATTAGAGAGTCTAATATGCATCATTATTTGAAGTCTGTTGCTGAGGTGGAATGAATAAAAAATCGTAAGAAAGATGACTCTTCTCAGCAGCAGAACAAAGTCAATAAAAACCAGACTAAAATAATCAGTGAAACAATCATTGGAAATATATTTCTTGACACTTTTGTTTTAACTTACACCCCACTCACATCAACACTAAAAAAGGTTTTAAAGCTGTTTTGTCAAACATAGTGTAAAATTTGTCTCTTCTTAGAAGCTGCTTTTATCAATATTTATCAACTTCAAATGTAGCACAGTGAAAATACAAGTTAGTGATTACTTGAATCCTATGGAAAACTCATTTTTTCAGTATTTTGTTTCTGATTTTCATTCAGTTAAACCTGGTTTAACTAAACATGTTTTGGTGGTGTGAATGGGTATTAGTTTATCAATTCAATTCATTGTTCAGAAATTATAACTGATAGATGGTAAGCCTTGCTCCGAAAATTTTGGGCCAGTTATTTACTAAAGTTTAGCTGTTGTTTTAACAAAACCATGTTCTAAACTACCTTGAATTTGCTGAATCTTTCATCTGAACATTTATTTTTGTGAACAGTGTCAAGGAAGCAAACAGTGGAAGGTCATTTAGTAAATGAAAACAACCCTCTTATAGAGAATATTTGGGGCCCACTGCTTGCATAAAACCATGGTTCATGTTAGACCACACATAAATAAGCAGCCTTTTGTGTTTAATATAAAACTCCTAATGGCCATGCAGCATTTAGTCATAGTATTACTGTGTTTTCCTGAACATGTTTGGTGTATAGTCCTTTTAGTGCTGTGAGGGAATTGTACATTACAGATTACAGCACATGAAAACCTTTGGAGGTTTAACCCTTTCTTTTTTTAAATTAAATTTTGCATTTTTGCAATTTCCAATGAAAACAATTCCTCAAGTACAATCACATGATTGCCAAGGGAAAAATAAAGTAATCAAATGAACACAAAAAAATCACAGGGTTTTTCATTAGGAGAAACAGTGACATAATCTGTAGTGAACCTTGCTTAAAACTGTGAGGTTTTTGGTTGGAGCCCTGGGTGACCAGGGGGATTAGGGTTAGGTCTACATTTTTTTTTGGGTTCCATTCTGTTGGTTTTAATCCCATTTCCCACTGGAAATGATTGCCAAATATACTTCTTTCGCTACAGTGGACAAATTTGCATGTAATTTTTAGCAATTTGGATTTTTGGGAAATGTTCCAGGTTTGATCCTCCTTTCAAAGGTCTTTGTGTTGTTTGCTTTGATAGACACCATACTCTCACCAGGCCTCCCCCTACTTGGGAATACATGTGAATACTAGGACACCATCAAGGACATTTGATAATGGCAAAAATTTTCGAAAATCATGAAATCCACCAAGCTGATTTTCCTTTGTTTGGGGGGTAACAATATTTAAAAATCTATAAATCTATAAATTAAATCACTGATTTATATTTACCAAACCTCTTCAACTTTCTAGAAGTTATAGATTATGACATAGCAAATATTTTATTCGAGCATAGCTACTCGCCTGTTAGGTCAAAGTCTGTGGCCTCTTACGGTCCCATTTTTTTTGCTGCACACTTCTTAATAGGAGGTCCTATACATTTTGCATTATCAGATATATAAAAGTTTTTGTCACATAAAAAACAAACAAACCGAAGAAAAGAAATTTGCCATGGGAAAGTTGATAACAATCAAAGGATGAGGTAAAAATAGAAATTGATTATGTAAATAAGAAGTACTGTAACAAAACAATCCCTGCAGGTGAACAAATTACATAGAATTTGCAGAAAATAAATTCTTAAAAAGTCAAAGCTGCAACAGGATTTAAACCCTTGCTTCTAATATACTAGTTGTTCAGAATTCAATCTGAAGAGAAAGACAAAACTTTTTAAGATTTCATGTTTAAACAATGATAACTGGCGATCTGCAATGTGGGAAAATTAGTAGACCCAGTGGCATAACAGCCAGTAGAATGAACTCTTGGTTTAGGTCTGACCAGCTGCTCATTGCGTTTTGTTCTTGGACAAGACAGACACTTTACTCCCAAAGTGTCTCTTTTCACCCAGGATTATTATTGGGCACTGGTGTAGGAGTTGTAACCTATGATGGACTGATACCCCATCCAGGGGCGAAGTAACAATTCTCCCCATCATTTCATGAACTAGAAACTAGTAAAAGTTCGGGTTGGATGTGCCACTTTAATTCCACAAAAATATTTCGAGTATTGTCCACGTCTTTGGTTCAATGAGCGGTAGGCACCTTAGTAAGATTTCTGTATAATCCCATACTCAAATATGCACACCTCCATACAGTTCTTGGATAAAGAACAAAACGGAAAAGTTAATAATTTGCCCTATGGACGACGGCTTCGCCTTATAAAAGTATGAGGTTTTACAGAAATCGATGCAAACAAAGACAGGTGTAGAGTAGAGTATCAATCAGTGTAGTCTAAAAGCTCTGTACTACTATCTTTTTAACTTAAAATGGTTAAAATCTAAGATTTATTGAGCTACCTATATAAAACGGTCGGAGTTTGTTCAATGAACTAATTTGCATAATCGGCTGTCACGCTAGCAAAATCGCTGAAAGTTTGAAGTCACCGCGGCGAACAAAATTAATAAGTGCAAGGTGTTTTTATATTTTTCTGCAGCCAAACATCTTATTAGAAGAAATCAAGCGGAGTTTTTAATGGTCTGGTCTGGACTTGAGCAATATCAACCAAGAAGGAAGAGTACTTTTGACCAATTTCAGAAAGCTGTCTAACGAGTGTTTTTAAATAAATTATGACGAACCCCTAAATAAACAAATATCAAAATTGAAATACTTTTTATTCACCTAACATATCACACAGTTTAAAAATACAAAAGATTTTTTGCTGCATGCGGTGTGATACGAGGACCAGGGTATTCAACTTTTGAAATTTTCGATGTCGCAAGAAGTCAAAAAAGGGCCTTTAGCAGCTTTGACTTTTGAGAGCTCTAAAAATTTTATTTTAACGTATTTCCAGAAACTAATGTGGTTTCATTTACTTGCTACCAAAGATAGTTTATTGGGCAAAGTTTGAGGGAAACCTTTTTTCCGATGCGAAATACCCTGGACCGCTCTCACAGAGAACGCTGTTGAAGGCCTAAATGTAATAACTGTCCTAAATGTAATAAAGTCCTAAATGTAATAACATTTGGTCCCAAATGTAATAAGCCTCCAATGCAATCGTTTAACTCCTTCACTGCATTGTTGTTACGGCGGACATCCATATGGAGATGTTGAAGTGACAGCTGTTGCACCAAAAAAACCGCTGACCGGTATACATGTCACATTACGGGCTCGCTGATGCCGATCAGCGTCTTTTTACTTGCTAGACATAAGTCGAGAAGCATTGGCCGCAAACCGTTATACTGATAAAAAATGGCATCAAATGACAGCTGACAAAACAATCAGTACGCTGACCAAAACCTCTCCATATGTCACTGGCTGAGACTCTTAGGTACGATAAATTTTGGAAAAATTGGATAACATTATACTTGTGTGATCGGTGATGGACTTAACAAGTCATAAACCAAATTACAAACTTGGACAAGGGAGTCCGCTGACTTGTAGGTCGGACAATTTGTAGGCTCGGCCCGCATAGACCTTGTTAGCATGCACATTTTGTTTACCAATTCGGATCTCGTGACAGCACTCTAGACGGTTGTTACTTTCAAATTCTCGAATATCTCCCTGAGTATATGAATATGGAAAAAATAATTTTTCTCCTCGAGAGAACATAAGTGGGACAATTATGTTCTCTTGATCTTGAAATGCCTACAACAAATCCGACAAACGAACAAGGTATTGCATGTGTCTCCATCAAATCATGTAGTCAGTGACTTACATTTACCAAGTGTAAATGCAAAGAAGCTACTGACCAGTACATCATCACAAATCACCGGCTCAGATTGCCAATCACAAAACAGACACTTAACAAAAATCCGATGCATGTCATTAACGAGCTCACTGACGCAAATTTTTTGAGCTCCAAAATTAAAAGGCACGGAAAAAGGTTCCTATGGAAGAGGTAGTACTGTAATTCGAAATAAGCAACAGGTGTTTTTAGCGCATACTTGTTGCTCGATTACGTTTTATATAAGGCCGGAAACAGTCACACGAGTGATTTATAATGAACATTAAAAATGGTTGTTTATGTTGAAGGCTGTAAATTTTGGTCCCCAAAAACTCACGCAAAAATTTGTTCCCTTGCTTTCTCTGAGATGTGAGTACAACTAATCGTGTGAGCCGTTTTTTAGCAGTATACTAATTGATTTAAAGAATTAAAAAAAAAAAAAGAAAGAAAGAAAAAGGAAACAAGGTTTGCTCGACGCACTGATGTCCTTAACGATCAAACATTAGATAAAACAGCATGACCTGACTCTAAAACGGACTTTTCTTCTATTGAATCAGCACTATGAGAATAACATGATATGCATGTAAAGCGCTTAACTTTCCAGTTTCAAAATAACTGGCAGTAACACAAAGATTTGCCCAGGAACGTTGAATTGATTGGTTGAACTGAGTGTGGAAAAATTCTTGAGTGCGGATCCGAGTGATAAACATTTCACGAGCCTGTGAAATATTCCGGCAGTTTTCTTTGAGATCTAGATCGAATGTGGAGCGCTAGTACTTGCATTGATTCAACATGAGATTTATTGTTTTAGCTGTTATGGTTTTAGCATTACTAGCATCATTGTGGGATAGGTCTGTGGCCCATAAAGATCGTGAAAACTTCGAAGGGAATCGGAAACCCTCTGATTCAGCAGACGACGTTCATGAAGCACTGCTCGACCTTGTTGAAGGCAAGGCGCAACCACCAGTGAAGGAACGGAGGAGAGCAATGCGTGCAGCCGCTGTGCGATACTGGAGAGCCGGCGGAAGGATATCAGTGAAAGAAGACTATGGTGATAAGGCACTTCATTACGAGGGGCGTCGACTATTAAAATCATCAGAGGTTAACAAAGTAGTGGTTGAGGAATTTGAAAGGACGAAAGGATCTGGTACGGGGAAGTTGGCTTGCTCACTGAGGGACAACTTTTTAGGAGTAAGTCGAGCTAAAATACAAACTATTCTAAATACGGACAAAAGTCATTATCGCCGAAATGCTAAGTTTCTTAATAAGGCGAAGCTGAAACCTATCAGAGTCAGAGATGTTCATGTTAGGCACCAAATAGATTTGATGGATATGAGCAAAAAAGGATCTGTGAAGATGAATGGACATTTGTACAGATACGTTGTAACAGTGATTGATGTTTTCAGCCGTTTCCTTTGGCTTCGTCCTTTGGAAAGCAAATCAAGCCAGTTTATTGCAAGTGAATTAGAATCTATTTATATGGAGCATGGATCGCCAGAAATAATACAGTGCGACCAAGGAGGAGAGTTCAAGAAAGCTTTGAAATTACTTTGCGATCGCATGAATATAAAATTGATTTACAGTCGCCCGCGCCATCCACAATCACAAGACAAGGTGGAACGTTGCCACAGGACACTAAGATCCAAGATGGAATATGACCTTCAAAAAATGGGTCAAGACGGTGTAAACTGGGCGAAACAGCTCCCTCTTTATCAAAGAATTCTAAATGACGACCCTAAGGAAGTAATAGCTCACAAAACACCATTCGAAATATTTTATGCTTTACGAAATACGAAATACTTAAACATCTCAATGAACGAAATACTTTAACATCTCAATGTGGATGTCTGCTATAACAACAGTGCACTAGCGCAGTTATACGATTGCATTGGAGGCTTATTACATTTAGGACCAAAAGTTATTACATTTAGGATCAAATGTTATCACATTTAGGACTTTATTACATTTAGGACAGTTATTACATTTAGGACTTCAACAAACGCCTCTTAAATTCCCCGCACAAAGGCACTGACATAATATTAGCATAATGGAACAAATTCATGTTCTCGCCAGCCAGTGAAATAATTGTAAATACATTGTAAAGAATCATCGTGGAAAAAACCCGTGCAAAGAAAATTAGTTTTAAGGCCTACCTTACCTCAAACACGTCGTTAACATGTATCCAAATCCAGCGGTATGCGTATTAACATCAGCACTCACCATTTCCGTTTTGCAGCCTCTGCAACCCTTTTTTCCTTTGGAATATTACCAAACGAGGTATGTTATGCTGTCTCCTCTAAGAAGTGCTGAAAGGCTGTCTTTGTCTGCGATTTGAAGTCCAAGTTCAGATGACTATTTTGTTACTCTTTCTGCACGTTTGGTCATTTTTTTTTGTTCCCAGTCTTCGCTCGTCATAAAAAACGACCCACTTGACGTCACTTGACACACCCTGGATCTTTTGGGTTTCTGAAAAGGCGGCTTGTAGGGGTGGTGGTCAAGGTTGCAAGAGACTCCCCATAAGAGAAAACTTGAGTTCTATACCAATGGAAAAACACGGCTTGTTCCTAAACGACAGTGAGTCACTAATGCAGAACAACCCCACCACTCGAAAATTAAATTTTTCTCCCACCTGAATACTATCATTAAATAATGAAGCCCAACGTACGGTAATTGCTAATGGCAACGTTTCTCTCACTTTTCCATTCATTCAATATATTCAAATTTTATTTCTGTTATGACCATAAAAGGAAACTTGGTTTACACAGAAGATCTTGAATAATTTTCATTGGTCTTTTTGAATGATCGTCATCCCAGATTACGTAATTAATTATAATGTATGCGAAGACAAATTTGTTCTGACAAACATCAATTTTGTCGTTGAACTATACGCCTCTGGGGTTTGTGGAGAAAAGTACCGTTTAAAGGTCAGCTTTCGTTGGTGGCTACCCCGCACAGAAGACAGGTGAACTAATACAATAGCCTGTTCGGCGTGGAAGTTGAGAAAGCTGAATTATTCATGTTGTGATTTATTCAGCGATGGTTTAGCCTCGGTTTTGCAGCGGAAAATTCGGGGAAAAAGATTATTTCAACGTGAAAGAAAATGTGCCAATTTGCCTCGTCGACAATTGCTTGGATTTTAATAACTACTTGGAGGTTATTTCCAGCAGTTCTTGGTGAGTTACCTTCTTGGCATGATAATTTCAAGAATTTTGGAAATTTGTTCTGTTCATAAATAAACCTTTACTTTGAATCAACTTTAATTTCGAATCGTCAAAATAGAGATTTTAGAGAATTCTGTAACTTTTTTCAATGTTTAGTATATTTACAATTTTTGGCAGCGCTGTTAATACACTACTCGCCTCTGTCAGTTAAGACTGATCTGCCATGTCTACAGCGTCCTGCATAAATTCGAACATAATTAAAAAAAAAAAAGTTTTTATAACATAATTTCCTGAAAACTGTTCGGCAGCACGACTTTTTGAATTCCGAAAAAGTCATTGTTCGAATAAATGGGGGCGAAAAATTAAAGTTGGAGGAAGAAATTTGAAGGAAAACATTTGCATTACCATGCGGTGTTAAAATTGAAACTTTGTGCGATTAATTTCAAGTTGGACAGGAATACGTAAAAAGCTGTTTGCTTTGTTAATGGCAGAGTACTGGTTGTTTACCAAGGTTTCGCATTGCCATCCGCTTGGAATAAGAGTTTATTGATTGATTCATGAGCCTTTAAGCGTCTATGGTGCTTTGAATTAAGCATCTCTTATTTAAATAAAATTCTGTCGATTAGTTCATTGCGAAGTTGTCCCGTGAATGTAGATTTCTAAATTCATGAGAATGTCAATTGAGTGCGATTAATTTCGCATTTAATACGCGAATGTCAATTGACTGGCGTGAAGTTTCAAATGAGAATGATTTCAAACAATTTATTCTTCATAATCTAGGCCGCAAACCTGTCACGGAAATTTTGCTTAAAATAGCAACATATTCTCAATAATGTTCTACAGCTACTTTTCAGACATATCGCATGACTCGAAACTTTCTTCTTTAAGATGTTATAAGTATAATCTTAAGAACAACTCACCTTTTAGAGTCAAGCTTAAAACAAAACTGCATATCCATGATCGAGAAAGGATGTCCACCGGCAAAATATATGAAAATAACGAGATAAAATGCAACTTTCCTTGAATGACAGATCTAGACTGACCTCTGTTCTAAGTGATGTTTTCAAGCAGCGTTTGATCTTTCTTTCCTCTAAATCAAGTCTTGACATACATTGGATAGTTATTTCACAATAAAATTTCTCAATGACTTTAAGGTGGCACTTGCTTATAATTTATGTTTGAGTCGTGCAGAAAGGCATGACTGAGAAAACAAAAGCCACGATTGACAAAAGAATGTTTTCCTCTCTCACTTTATCGTCCACCATGAAAAAGAATTATGTGAAAAGTTTCCCTTAATTTTCCTGGTTAGTCAGTATTTCCCGGAAAGGTGCGAGAAATTTGTGTCGTAAAATTATTTCGTAATCCAGGCTAGAATTGAACTATTTTACTCTCAAATTGACAGGTACAAATGGAAATGCTTCCCTAACTAGTCCTAAGCCAGCTTCTGTTGCAGAAGTATCATCGCTTCAGCCGTCGATTAAACTGCGTTTGTCGACCAACACAACTTCAAACACTAATGTTTTTACAACTCAAGTCGAAGAAAGCAAAGCGTCGAGTTACATGGTGACGTCACCCGACGGTAGAGGTATCCTGTCGTCTCGACCCTTTGATAAGCTGTCAGATTCAACTCCACTGACAACTCCGACAAAGGATTTGCATTTAACTCAAACATCGTCTAGAAACATTTACAGCGCAACAATGGATGGTGGCTTTCCAACTACGTTGCTATCATCTCAGACAAAGGTACAAGCAACACTAGATACAACACAGAAAGTGGTTGAAACAGCCCTGCCTTGGACTCGACAAACCTCATCATACGTCAGTATAATGCACAGCCAGTCGAAAACAGATCTAATTACATCTTCTGTGAGCGTTGAACAAAAGACAGATCAAATTCTCCTGCATCTGACCAGTAGAAACTCGGATACAATATCTCCGAGCCAGTATACTTACAAGGACCCATACACGTTTTCTTCACAGCGAGTCAAATACAATTCCACGCTCCTCTCAACTACGACCGTAAAAATTACCTCGACTCCTCAACCATTGAGCAATACTGTAGGAAGGACATCCTCCTTTTCCCCCACTGCTGTCAAGAAATCTCCTCCTGTTAACAGCGAACACTCTAAACAAGTCACAACCACCCACAGGTACCATAAGACACCAATCACAACACGTCCTGGAATGTCGTCATCCGTTGAAACCTCCGGAAAAAGGCTCGATATTCTAAACACTGGCAGTGTGACCGAGAAAAGCCTGAGTACTATAAACACTGGCAGTGTCACCGAGAAAAACCCTTATACTATAAATACTGGCAGTGTAACCGAAGAAAGCCTTAGTACTATAAACACTGGCAGTGTCACCGAAAAAAACTTTAATACTATAAACACCGGCAATGTCACCGAAGAAAGCCTCAATACTGCAAACACTGAAAGTCAGAGCACACAGCAAGTTGGTATCACGCCTAACATAATCTCAACCAATACTTTAGAGTTTACCTCAAACACTTCTCATCAATCTAGTACTATTTCATTCCCGAAAGCCACATCAATATCACCGAGTAAGATGCTTACCACAACATCATTGGTTGGTCACAGCTTTCCACAGTCTCGTACGTTGAAACCAATAACCTCCACTTCTTTCCTCTTTAAAAGTTCGCGTAAATTGTCTAAATCAGCCACACAAACATCGTCAAAATATGTTTCAGTGACTGAAAGCAACACAACGATTCTTCCTCGTTATCTCACAACAGCTGCGTCTATTTCAACAACAGATAAAACATTAACTTCAACTAAAAGACCATCATTGGGAAGCAAAACCACGCAGATTGAGAAGTCCAAGATTTCTACTTTGAATTCAACAAATATCGGTGAAGCTTCAGTGTTACATACGTCTTCTGCTCAGTATCTGATAAATGAATCACCAGAAGCGACAAACACCAGAAGCAAAGCCACTGTACTCTCCTTACAACAGTCATCATCTCCAAGCACTGATGGGCAAATTATGTCCAATAACACATCACATGCTGGTTATTCAAGCATCCTTACTTCAATCGTAACCTCAAGCCGTAAATTGCCCTCAACGCCAATTCAATCAACACAAACTTTGACTCGTTATTTACAATTCTCTACACAAGCGATGACAACGAGGCTTGTTACAATCCCAACCGCCACGCCTCTGGGTACACCACAGCTAACGACCACTGAAAAATACTCCTCAAAACAAAGCAGTAAAAGCATATCAACTGTGCAACAAAAGAGGGCATCGACTCGTCAAAACGTGCCACTTACTAAAACTTCGGTATATCCCTCTCCCTCCTCCATGCTCGTGTCTGCATTTAACAGGAGTACATTGATCCAAAAACCGTCAATGAGCCACCGACCGTCATCATCATTATTTCTGCCAAAAGATAGTACAACTCAAACCGTTGTGATTACAAGCCAGATAACAGCTGTTGATAAGATCACATCATCATCGTATTTGGCCTCGACTGGTATCTCAAAAGTTTCACAAAAGCAAAGTGTGCCTTTGTTTGCCACGTACAGTTCTAAACATGGGGGTTCTGCATCGTTCATACACGAACCCTCGAAGAGGACTAGTCCGGCGTTGACGTTAGTAACTACTTTAGAGCTTGAATTATCAGAAATGAATTCTGAGGTTTCTCGATTTTCTGCAACGAGTCTCCACCCCATTGAATCCACTAAATCGCTTGAATCAGTAATTTCATTGATATTTCCTGGTCACTCAAGTTTGACATTCTCTCCTAAAACGACCGTGCTTACCTTAGAAAACACCCGGACTCAAGCTTCTTCAGAAACTCAAACAGCTCTAAAAGTTACCACAAAGAGTTCACAAATCTTTATTAATACAACAACAGTTGGAGCTGCAATACCTGTATTAGTGTCTTCATCCAGTGCCTCGACACAAACGAAACCACCACCCGAGATTCCAAGTCAGTTCGAAGGTCGGATGATTCTAGGAATGCCATGGCAACCACACTACGAGTATCCACCGGGATCCCAAACACTTAAAACTACAATAAAAGATAAACTGACCAACGCGCTGAAAGATCTTGAAGGTTTTATTTCAGTTCAAGTTCTGCGTTTGTGGGAGAGCAGCGTTGGCGTCGATTTTATTGTGTATGTAAATAAGCAAGCCACGGTGAACGAAAGTCTCATAGAAAGAACACTCGTTAAGGCAAATAGTACAGGTGTTTTAGACCTGCCTTTGAAAAGCCTCCAAGTGAAAGAAAAGGACGCTCCAACCACACAGAACTTACCCACAACCAGCCCTACAACACAGGAAAAGTCCATCGAGCGATGGGTCATCATAATCATCATTGCCAGCATTGTGGTATTCTTGCTGTTGATTATCATATGCATATTAGTGGTAAGTACATTGGGAGACCAGGTTTGTTTCCTTATCCTTTGGACTTATCGTATCACATTATCGCATTTCTTACCTTCATGATTGAAAAAGTTTTTGCATCGGTAAAATGTTTTTTTCCTTCAGTTATTTCAGAAACCTGTAGGCACCATTTGATGCAATTTGCATGCAAAGTTTTTCTTAGACGGGCGAGTACCAAAGTGTAATGAACAGCAGGATAATATAGCCCACCAAGTAAATACAGTGGCTTACATCACTTCGCCCATCATCTCTCTTACAGATCATTGTCTGTAGTAACTTACACTTACAACCTTCCAATCCTTGTGAACAAACTCATTCAGTTCCTGTAACATTATGACATAAATAGCATGTGATGTTTCTGGTAGTCAAAGCAAGAATTCGCACCTTACTTGGTATAGATCACCACAGTCGTTAAAATAACCATGTTTCTATTAAATTCTAGAGGTCAGGATCTGATATACCTTACCTCGCCGGAAGTGATCAACATCTGTATGAATGATGGGTTCACCAAATAGTTTTTGTGGAAATATATGGTTAATAATGATAAATAATAATAATAATAATGAATAATAATAAAAAATATATTATGTGGTTAATTATTAGGACTTTTCGTTATGAAATTTCTTTTTTCTAATTCTCTTTTTCAAGGCTGAAATTAGTAAACAACGAGGTGGTGTGCGTAGAAGTGGAAAATACGAGCTTTCAAGCTTCAACAACTTCTTGCATTCTGAACAAACAGAGTCAGAGACAAAACCTGTGGTACTGAAGATGCAAGAACGAACAGCAAGCGAAGCTATACAACTACAATCAATTAAAACTAAACAAATCTCTGGAGATCCAGAGGCATTGCAGTCCTTCGCTAATGGAAGTTATGATGGTGGCAGTGAAGTAACAGGAAACTTACGTGCGAAGGAAAACCAAGTAAGTATATGTGTACATCATTTGTGATTGAAAGGCAATCATCATCATTGGGGATAAAAATGCCTTTCAAAGACCCTTTCCAATTTCTTTAACGAATTTCGTATAGTAAGAAACTTTAACCATCAACGCCTACCTTCATGCGCGAAACAAGATGCACAATGCAACACGACAGAATCACATAAAGAAGCTAAAAACGTAGTACACTCGCGCCCTGAATCAAAGGTAGAAGGTAGCATATGGAGTGAGTTACCAACTCTCTGTTACCAAGCAAAATTTTCATTTGGATTTCAATTCCAATTCCTCTTTTGCCTTCAAGCCATTTGCCTGCGCAAAGATACGTAACCAATTGCAAGGGCTCTCTAATTTGGCTCGCATTTTTCAGTAGGAAAACGAGTTTTTAACTAAGAGCGCGCATTCTATGCTATCCTGTGCCGATAGCATACAATGGAATAAGTCGTCACTGATATATAAACTTTACATTGCATGGTGATATATGTAAGAGGGTATCAATAAGGTGAACCGTTAGCCCTTAAACGTAAAAATTGGACAAATTTCAAACGTTAACTATGGAGCCATCACCCCAATGAGACTCTCCTATACCTTTTTTGATCTCATGGAATTGAACACCATGACTTTTAATCACAGGGCGTTACCTCGACCGACTAAGGTGGTGTGGATCAAAATTAGAGCTGGAAACCGCTACAAAGATGGAATTCATGGCCGAGTTCTCCAAAATTGCACGTAAACGAGGAAAAGTAAATCTAACAGTCGATTATAAGTGGTTCCAGCGTAACTACCGTATTTGCAGTTTAACTGCTGCTATAGAGTGAGTTACTAAAAAGAGAAAGATCTGTGTATCGGTATCTGAAATAACAGCGAGTCCCTTTCAAATCGAATTTCTGTTAACTTAAACTGAAATCAAAATTTGTCCACATCTTTCTCAACCACAACCGTAAATATAGATCTAATTTATGTAGAACAAATTGCTAATATAAATAAAATGAACAATGTTCAAGTGAGTAATAGAAAGTATGTTTTATTGCGAAATACTGACCCACTAAAACAAAGCCTTTTACGACTTAAAAGGCAACCAAATACAATGTTAGAAAACTTTAGGAGTTACCTCTGACGTAACTACAAGCGAGAAAGACAAGACAACTTTACTTCTCTTCACTTTTTCAAAATCAAGCAGGGGAAAAGTAAAGTAGTAAATACACCTCATGACAATAACTCGTTCTTGGATAAGTAAACTACAAAAGTCAGTTTGCTTTTATTCGCTACTTGAGCTTACTTTACCGAACACAATAAGGGAAATCTTAATTAAACTTCAATAGCTACTTAGTTAAGATTCAATCTGAAACGTTAAAGGTTAAGAACCGAAGTAAACGTTTCACGTTATAAAAAATTTAAAAAGCTTTACCTGGATCAAGTCTAACCTTAGTCATAACCTAAAATCGGTAATTACGTTCACTCAAAGGAATATTTGCAGAGAAATTTACGACAAATCATAGAAAAAGCTGTTTTGACCAAACGAATGCGTAGTTCTGAGCCTAAATGCTCTTTATCTATAAACGTTTCTTGAGATCTGACAGTTTTTTCTTTTTTTTTCCCTTTCAAAGTACTCTTCATCAAGCAATGCCCCTTTAGCGTAATAATCCGAACAAGCAACTTGTTTGATCGTAAGATCTACCACTAGTATTACATTCAGTAGACTAAACGCTAATGTTTGCCTTCTATGAAGTCAATAGAGTACACACGGAATATGCTCCCCACCAGTGTATAGTGTCTGTGATAACGAAGACAATGTTATAATGATACCGACGAGGGAGAAGGGGTGTGAAATAAATAACCCTTCTAAACCACTCAAGAGTACATCATAAAAAGACCAATATTATACATCGATGCAACACTAAAACTCTATTAGCTATTTACAAAATACGGTTCCCATTACCATCAATATACAACTGCTACCCTGGCAACGAAAAATGTTACCGTGATGATGCAAATTAAATATCTCTAATTCTGCTACTGGCTGCCAACCTACAGAGTTGCAAGGCAACATGACTTCTCTTTAGAATCCAAGGGCGCTTTCTAATTCACAGAAATGATCGGTTAGACCATCCTGTTGGTGTTATCAGTTTTGTTGCTTCATCGTGGAATATTCTCATTAAACACGAGAGACTTTCGATTGTACACGTTAATACAAAAAATATTCTACAATCCCTTTGGTATTAGAAGCACACGAGAAAGCGCATGTTTCAAGTACGCTTTACTCTTTGGGTGTTCGAGAATCATTTACGTCGCAAGCAAGAGTTGTTTAGCCAGAACTTCTCTATGGAAATGCCCTAATTCTGTGACCGCAAGGCAAAAGTGAATGACTATGTATTAATTTGCCAATTATGTATCTCTATTCTGTTAAATTGCAAAATATCCTCATATTATAATTATCAATATAATCTGATATAAACTCTCTATAAAATCATTTCTATTTTAAGCTCACTTCTCTCATAATTAGATCGGAAGAAAGATTAAAAACTTTCTCCGAGTATTATTTTAAACACTTGGCAGTTTGTTTTCGAAGGAAACTGAAGTCAATCACCGGCTAAAACGAAAAATAATGCGACAAAACTTCAAAAGCATCATCTATAGTTTCGGCATTCCTAATTTTTCAGTTAAGTCTACAATATGCTGAATAAATCTTTTTTTCTCCCTATAAACACAATTCTACATAATCAAAGGCTCGGAGAGGATTTTCTTACAAGAGGTCCTGCGCAAGTATGGTACTGGTGGCTAGGGGCGTGGAGGTTGCTTGTAAAAAGTTATCACAAAATGCCAAATTTACGTCATAAAAAAGGTAGGAAACGACTAGACCCCAGGACTCCTACTTAGCCCTTGATTTAAGTAACAACGCCAGCTCCCCTCGGCTCCCTCTCATGGCACTGTCTTCGCTCACCTAATTCTATCAGAAAATGTCATTGTAGAGAAAGTTATACCAGCGAAAGTTCACCCCAGTTGTTGTACATGAAATCTCACAACGGTATCTAGTCAACGAAGAGCTATCACCTGATTCAACTCCGATAGATTGGATGTAGTGGTGAGAGATTAGTTTTTGTAAATACAAGACGACGTCGTCATGCAGGACGTGGGACGGGGAGAAAAGTCACCGTGTACGCACGTTTGTCATCCCGGTACGAAACTCGCGCTGGTGTGTGTTTCTCTCTAAATACCGCCTCTAATTATATACACTGCTAAGCGGAAGAAATTAAGTTGAGTGACGATAGTAAACGTGGTTAACTTAACGTCTGCTTAAAAGAAATTACGTAATAAAATACCATCTATGCAGACAGCCAATAACCAGCTACATAAAGAGTAAAACAACCATTATATCAATAACTTTCTAAAACCTCGTTAAGAAGCACATTGCTAAATTACACCGAGCAACAATGCATATACAATTTCACAATTACCTGAAAGCTTTCATAACAATAAATACCGGGTTTCTTAACATAAAATAAATCAAAAACAACAGGAAAGACCTTAAGAATCAAAGAATTTATCACTCATTAGTATATACCACACGAGTGAATAGTGCTTTTCGCGCGCGCTGATTGGCTGTTTCGGAAGTGGTTAGCGAGTGCTATTCACTTTCGTGCAGCCAATGATACAAACGAATCACGAGTCAAGAGTCTAATTTCCGACCATTTTTCGTTATATTGACAGAAATATACTTATTGTTAGGTTTCTGTGTGGTATATACTAAAGCAATTATACATCCCAGTGTCAGTGAAAGTGCTGGATATTTACCTCCACTTCGGTGAACAACTGTTAAATATGGAATCGTAAAATATTTTGAACGAAGCTCTATACAAGGGGATTACTACCCGTAAATGAATATCGACGATTCTTCAAAATGATACCAGAATGGTTGAGAAATTATGAAACAGTGAAAGAAAGCTTTAAGATACGAATAAACAAATACACATTGACCTCGATGCCCGTCTACATCAGAACAAAAAGTTTGGAGGCTTGTTGATGTCCTCGGCTTCCACTGAAGGCTCGGTTTTCCTTGTGTTTTTTTTCCATTCTGATATAAAATGACAAATAGATACGGTTATGTCAAAAATGCAGTATGTGAGAGATTCAGTGATTAAACGTTAGATTTTGCCATGAAACAAACTAGAAGATAAGCTTGAAAAATAATACTGAAGGGAAGAGAAGAAGGGGAAGTGAGAGAAATAGGAGGTAAGGGAGGAGAGGAAAGTAGGAAGAAAAAGAGATTGGGTAGAAGGTATTGGGGTAGACGGAGACAAAGAGAGTGAAAGGAAAGGAAAAGGAAAAAAAGCAATAGGTGAGAATTAGAGAGAATACAAGTGAAGGAAGGAAGAGTACAGGGTAAAAGCAAAAGAAGATAAAGGGAGAAAGAGAGAAACGGAAGACGAAGGGAAGGTGTGGAAGGGAAAAGAGGAAAACAGGAGAGAGAGGGAGAGAGAGAGACGTAGGAAGTAGGGCGTAAAAGAAAGCTAAATGAAGGAGGGAGGAAAACAGAAGGTTAGGAAGAAAAGGAAGGAGAGAATGGTAGAACAAAGCGTGGGCGAGGGTAAGAATATGACAAGATAAAGGGAAAGGGAGATAGAAAGAGAGAGAAGGAAAAGTGAAGGGAGGGAAGAAGATAGGGAGGCAGGAAAAAGGAGAGGAAGGAGAGTGAAAGGGAGAAATCGGAGAAAAGGAAGGAAGAAGGAGAAAGTTTAGGAAGAAAGAGAGAATATTACAGGTGGAAGGAGGAAAACATGGACAGAAAAAAGGGAAGGATGAAAACAAAAATGCGACACGCCAACAATAAAAGGGAAATGAAAGAAGAGGAGGAAAGGAAAGAAGGAAAGACACTAGAGGGAGAGAAAGCGAAGTGTGAATAATGGTGGCTTTACGAGAGAGGGACAGCAGATTAAATCGATGAAGGTCAGAGTAAGAGAAGGATGGAAAGGGAGGAAAGAAGAAGGAAACAAATTAAATTGGAGGAATGAAAAAAAACCAAAGAAAGAAATCTCACATACTGCTGCCAGATGATGAACATGCTAAGAATGGTAATGGAAATTTTTTTATATGCATTATACGATTTTTTTTATCAAATTCACTAACTTACCCCTCAGCACAACTACCATGCCCGCTTCACGCTCGCTTGTCGTTGTATGGCCTGTTTGAAATACCATTTGTTGTTTTCACTTCCGAAGCGCGCAAATTTCGTTCCCACATGAGAAGATCGTCATTGCTTCGTATCCATTCGGAATCATTGATCGCCATGCGCTGTGGGAAGTTAGTCTTCCTCTTCAGCCTCGTATACTTACACTGAAAAGTGAAAACCACGACTGCTCATCGATATGCTTTTGTATGTCAACTTTTTCCTTTGGGTATTTGTTAATACCAGTTTACGGTCGTTTCGATACAAAAACGTTTCGCTACAAGTCATTTCGATACAAATGGAATTCAATTTGATTCATCAACAAAGTCGATTCGAAGCAAGTGATTGAAGTTGTATCGAAACGACTCTCTACGTGTTATTAATCGACTTTATCGGTGTATCGAGTCGACTTGTATCGAAACGACTTTGTATTTGAACGACTAGTCTGCTTATCGCTTAGCCTCTATACTTTAGAAGTACTGCTAGTTTCGACAATGCACTGTATTTACTTGTGAGTGAAGGTTACTGTTTGCGAGTCAACATGGGCAGTGGGAGTCCTCACGGAACAAAGTAGCTGGTCAACAACGAACGAAAATTAAACCAACGACTGGTCTGGGCAATTGCCAGGTACGTAATATTTTACAACTGATGGAGACCAATACCCTAGGTTTTTTAAATGTCATTCCCTGGACGCAAAATTGTTGGTGTAAATTTACTGCGTGGAACTGCTAGTCGAAAAAAAAAACTAAAAAGGGTTGCGAAAATAGAGGAAATAACCACCATCTAACTTGATTGATAAACAACTTCCTGTCACCGTTACCAGTAGATGTGAGAGGAGTGCGGTTAATAGAACATAGAAGCTGCTCAGGGGGTTCGAGGGGTCGAACGATTTTAAAGATAAAAACAAGAGAAGTTAGAGATTTATCTTCAAAGTAAATACAATGACACCAGGAAATGAGTTAAAATTACATGAAATAAATCAAATAAAGCCAACTCACGCAGAAACAGATACAAGCGATGAAGAATATGAGCATCAAAGCTACGGTGGCCACCACAATTATAAATATACCCCTGGGTGTGGTGAAATCGATGAGCTTATGCCAGATTTGTGTTCCTTTTGTTGAACTTGTTGGAGTCGTTTTAGGCGCTGAAGAATAAGAAACAAACTCAATGACAATATGTCAGTAACATGCCATAAAGGTAGCTACCAGAGGTGCATTTTAAACAATGAACTGAAAATTTAACAATTAGTATAGACCACACAAGTGAATAGATCTTTCCACGCGCGCGCGCTGATTGTCTAGTTTAGAAGTGAATAGTAGGTAATATTCACCGCCGGTCAGCCGATGAGGCAAAATGGCGCGTCAAGAGTTTCATTTCCGATTATTTTTCGGTATATTTGAATAATATAATAGATTTATTTTTCGGTATCTGTATCTCAATTATTCACCTCCACTTCGGTGAATAATTGAAAACAATTCCATAAGCGCGCGTTGGATCAGAGACGGTAAGTAGCCAACGAAGTGCGTGGCGCCGAGTTGGCTTTGACCACTCTTGTATCCAACAAGTGCGAATAGCATAATTGTTAATTATTAAATTTTATCAAATCCTGAATGTTTGGATATTCGGAGCTTTTTCAGCTCCGCAACAGTTGGCGCAATGCATTTCCATATAAGGAGACTCGGAATATGGGCTGATAACCGGAGCTGGCTGAACCAATCAGAATGCTAGAAATGTATGTATCGTTCTTACTGTTGTTTTCAAAACGTGGCTTCCGCCTTGGAAACCTGGGATGCTCTTCTTTCGAAAAGCCTTCATTAAAACAAGGTTGTTCGAGTCGTCATAAGTCAAACGTTATTGCCCTGTGGCACTAGGGTTCTGCTACACTGCATGGTTATGTACATTTGTCCTCCGGATGGCACAACATTTAACAAAAGGTACATTTTCAAACTGTAATGGCAAGGTGGAGATTAATACAAAGGTGCATCGTTGATTGAGAAATAATTCGAGCATAGAAAACAAATCAGACTAAATCGTCTCGCCATGTTTTAGAATCGCTATGTTATGCAATAGCTTAAGCTCATTTTCTGTCAAATCTCTTTGCATGCGCAAAACATTGTGACCTTATGCGCTGTGATTTATTTGAGCGCGGTTGTATCCGCCCCCTTTAAAAGTAAGATCTAACCATGAAGTTAATTTGTATCATCTAGTATTCACTAAAGACTAACGCCACATGATTATGTTTTCGAGAATCCGACATGTAAAAAAATACTTGAGTAAAACGATTACATATGAAAGGAAAATACAATCAATATGTTTAACCCTTTCACTCCCATGATCTCTTTAGAAATTCTCCTTACTGTCTGCCAAACAATTCCTATGATTTCGGTTCGGAGAATTTGGTATTGGATAATTTAATATTCCCCTTACTGATATTTTTCTTTCTTCTCATCACTAGTCTGCTTGACATTACTTTGATATTTTAAGGAGAAATTCTGTCTTGGTCACTCATGGGATCGAGTGAGAGAGTTAAAGGCCAAAATTCCATCTTACCTGCTATTGTTATGCTCGAGGATGTAACAAGTTTGGTAGATTCTATGAAAAGGATTTGTTGATGAAAATAAGTTAGTATGAAATTTCCCTAATATCACTGAGGACGAAGAGGGCTGGGGAGAGGAGGAGGCTATGTCCCACACCGTGAATTGTTGATACCTCAACACAATTTGAAGTCATTGAAAGTTTTATAAATGACCTTTGATCACCCTCAGAAGATGAGATATTTGGCTAGCATGGGATACGGTATTACTGCCGCGTGGGACGTCATCCGGGATAGCGAACAAGAAGTTGTAATGGGAATGTCTTTTGATTTACAAAAGAGAGTGGAAATTTGTACTAATTAACGAAATATTAAAGAGCAGCGAACAGGAGGCATTTTCCCTGAACTTTCTCTAAAGCATTATTTTGAGAACTAACAACTATAAACCGAGCTCGATAAACTGCAGTTGTTAGAATTAGACTATTTTGCAACTGAGAGGGGAAATAACTTACAAAGTGGCATTACCCACTCTTCTACGACCAAAGATCAATCACACAACAAACCTAAGAGGGAACTTTACACCTAGCTTTCGTCTTTACCTGGTACAACTGTAGTTGGCGAAATCGATCTTATATCATTCGTCTTGGCTGACGTAACAGCGACTTCAAAAACATAAGAAAACAGAGCAACCTTAACATGGCGAAAGATTTACGGTCCGTAAAGGGGAAGGTAGATGAAGGGAAGAGAGGGGAATAGGAAAAAAAGCGAAGAAGAGAAAAAAACAAGAGAATAAGAGTGTTTTAACAGTATATATATCTACAAAAGGAATTAAGTGAATTATTCTCAATCGCTCTGACGAAGGGCTAACGCTCGAAACGTCAGCTTTTTTACCCTTTACGGTGGCTAATTTACGTTTTCAACCCAGTTGTTAACACTAAATTACCTGAATTATTCTCATAGTTACGCTCAGGTAATGCAAGAGATCGAACAACAACAAAAAAAACTTACCAGTATTTGCCACAGTCGTTGGGGTTGCATTTGTCGACAATGCTAAAGATAAGAATAAACTTGTGTGATGATAACTAATTTAGAATTTTATTACCTAAAATAGCAAAACATACGCTATTCAGCTATCTTATTTTCGTACTCCGTCGAACAGTTATTTAACGGAATAAGGAAACATATTCATCAAAGTTTTTTTCTTTCAAAATAGAGGTTTACCACAATAAGGTCGTGGTAATTTAGCGATCATGCTGAGGGCGCTTATTGATTAAATGTCGTAAATCCAAAACTAAAATAATTAAAACGGCCTGTCAGATGAAACATTAAAATTAATATCACGAAGATCCAATAATACTTAAAAGTGACTGATGAAAGTAAACGACTAAATGAGCGGGAAAACGCGGGTGGCAAAGTTTTGGAATGTTTTAGATTCGCATCTGATTGGTTGAGATGATGGCAAGACATTTTCCTTTACCAGTCAGCAGTTTCAACAGCAAATAGATCTACATAAGGAATTTTTAAAATCACTTAAAAGTGAATTATTCTAATAGTTTAGCTCAGGTAATGCAAGAGATCGAACAACAACAAGAAAAAAACTTCAGTACCATTACTTGCCGCAGTCGTTCTGGTTGTCATTATCGCTGATGCTAAAGAAAAGAATAAACTCGTGTGATAATTACTTAATTATAAAGAATTTCATCACCTAAAATAGCAAAAAATACGATATTTAGCTATCTTATGTTCGTACTAGAATAGTTGTTTAGCGAAAAAGGGAGAAATATTAATCAGAGTTTTTTTCCTGTTAAAATAAAGGTGTACCTCAGGTATAGGTCGTGGTAATTTAGCAGCTATACTAAGAGCGCTTATTGATTTAATGTCGTAAATCCAAAACTTAAAAGATCAAAACGGCCAGTCAAATGAACGATACATATCTCGAAGATCCAATAATAATTAAAAGTGATTGATGAAGGTAAACAACTAAATGCGCGGGAAAACGCGGGTGGCAAAGTTTTGGAATGTTTTAGATTTGCATCTGATTGTTTGAGATGATGGCAAGACACTTTCCTTTACCAGTCAACAGTTTCAACAGCATATAGATCTACAAAAGGAATTTTTAAAATCACTTAAAAGTGAATTATTCTCATAGTCTAACTCAGTTAATACGAGAGGTCGAATAACAATTAGAAAAAAACTTACCAGTACTCGCTATAGTCGATGCATTTGCAATCGCTGTAGTCGATGCATTTGCAATCGCTGTAGTCGAAGCATTTGCACTTGTCGCTAATGTTAAAGATAAGAATAAACTTGTGTGATGATTACTTATAAGAATTTTATTACCTAAAATAGCAACAAATGCGCAGTTTACCTATCTTAATTTTGTACTTGAATAGTTGTTTAGCGAAAAAGAGACATATTAATCAAAGTTTTTTTCTTTCAAAATAGAGGTGTACCACAGGTATATGTCGTGGTAATTTAGCGATTATGCTGAGAGCGCGTATTGATTGAGTGTCGAAAATCTAAAACTTAAATAATTAAAACGGCCAGTCAAATGAAAGATTTTCATCACGAAGATCCAATAATAATTAAAAGCGACTGATGAACGTAAACAACTAAATGCGCGGGAAAACGCGGGTGGCAAAGCTGTTGAATATTTTAGATTTGCATCTGATTGGTTGAGATGATGGCAAGACATTTTCCCCCACAAGTCAACAGTTTCAACAACACAGAGATCTACAAAGGAATTTTTAAATTTAGTTTTTAGTGGAATATTTTAGATTTGTATCTGATTGGTTGAGATGATGGCAAGACATTTTCCCCCACAAGTCAACAGTTTCAACAACACAGAGATCTACAAAGGAATTTTTAAATTTAGTTTACAGTGAATTATTCTCATAGTCTAACTTAGTTAATGCGAGAGGTCGAACAACAATAAGAAAAAAACTTACCAGTACTAGCCGGAGTCGGTGAACTTGCATTTATCGCTAATGTTAAAGATAAGAATAAACTTGTGTGATGATTACTTATTTTGAATTTTATTACATAAAATAGCAACAAATACGCAGTTTACCTATCATAATTTTGTACTAGAATAGTTGTTTAGCGAAAAAGGAGACATGTTAATCAAAGTTTTTTCTTTTAAAATAGAGGTGTACCACAGTGTAAGTCGTGGTAATTTAGCACCTATGCCGAGAGCGCATATTGATTGATTGTCATAAATCCAAAACTTATATCAAAACAGCCCATCAGATGAAAGTTTTTCATCACGAAGAATCAATAACAATTAAAAGGGACTGATGAACGTAAACGACTAAATGCGCGGATTCCCCCTCCCTGAATAATTTACTTTCCATCATTTTCGAACTTTGTTCAACTAATGATGAAAGAGCATGCTTCCATCAACTTTCAGCAATCTCTCTTTGGGTGAGTCTTCTTAGTTCGGAAAGAGTAACACAGGTTTTAAGGATGTCACGAGAGCCCATCTTCATTTTTTTCCAGAGGTTAAATGTGGTGATTTCACGAGATGCCGGTTTTTATACAAAACTGTCTGAACCTATTGTCATGTAATCTGACCGCCCGTGGTGAAGACGAACTCAGAATTAATGTCACATGAATAATTTTAAGAAGCCTCCATCATGTGATATCCATTTATATAAGCAAAGGCCACTCAGTTACCCTCTTTAAATATTTTTGATGCGAGTTATGTGAACTGGCTCTAATCTACCAAGTCTCAGCTAACTTGTAAACCTCACGTGAAAAATAATATTGATATATTGCAAGGTTGCCGCACACGTTCATGGGGCCTTTTCTCGCCAAAACACAAGAGAAATAGACGCCAAATGAAAGTTTCAATTTGTTTATCTAGCTCCCGTGGAAAAAAAAACAAAAAACGTGTGTTTTTTACAGACGGATTATTCTTCTTTCAAACAAATAAATCGCAGTGGGCTGGCCGTGATAACATATGGGGATATGAAAGTTCTAAAGCAATCAAAGGCCCGACCCTCAACGAGATGTCTGAGAACATGGAGAGAGTTAAATGCTTTTTAAGCCAATAAACCATGGTATTGCATCTTAATATCTGATGTACAGATGAAGAGCCTTCGTTTGTGTTTGTGTCACAAAAAATAAATAATGGTTTACAGTTTAGTTACTTAATCATTAATTAGAAAAAGGAGCATATATGAAAAAAAGATGTTTTAAAATAAACTGATACAGGAAATAAGTTATTGTAAAAGCATAAAAATTCTTAATTTTACATATCGGACCCCTTTATTGTGTTACTTCCGGGATAAAAATATAGTATTCAAATCAATTTGGTATGGTCATTCGACTGGAACCATACAAAACGTGTAGCTATTTCGAAACTTAGACGTTCAATGCTCGAGGCATATCAAATCAACCCCAGAAAGAAATCATTTAAATGTTTTTATGACTGAATGTACACCAATCTAGCGGATAGAGAATTTGTATTTTCACAGCAAAAGGCCACTTACTTGCAGTTGTACCAATTACAGCGGACAAACAGTGCATAACGAATACAAAGACAAGGAGAATAGACGGTTGAGTTCGAAGCATCGCTGAATTCAGTGCTTTCACAAACTGCTCCTCGATTCTAAAGGAATAAAAAACTGTTCAAGTTAGTGCGAGAACGTGCCAGTCGAGATTATTGTATTATCAAGAGGAAAATATGGCGATAAGGTGATTACTCTTCGCTTAACACCGCAAAGAAGCGACGTTTCTAGACAACAACAATACGCTTGGGAACTTAACTCATCAACAAAACCTCGATTGTACACTAGACTGCATTCAGCAAGAGCTTAGAACAGAATATTAATAATTCAGTGCTTACCTTTCGCTAATTCCAAGCACCAGCAAAATGGCCGCTCGCAAGACTTTCGTCACAAACCACTGTAGGCTTTTGCGAAGAAAAATTTATGGCTGATATTAAATGAAATTTAATCCGCAAGTCGTAACAAAACAGCAACACAGGAAATGAACGGTCCAATAGCAGCTGTTGGTAAAGGTAACGCAGTTAGCAGTCGTGGAGAGATCCGCATAAATCTGCGAGAACGAGCGTGTTTACCTGAGCAATAACTTTCACGTTGACGCAAAAGGCATTTGCCTATATAAACAGTTCAAAGACAATTAGGCGAGCTTACGCATATTGATGTTTTACATACAAAAGCTATGCCCCTCAAGAGACTGCATTATGTTATGCTTAAAAACTGCATTTCTTCAGTTTGATTGCAATCCTGACTCGCCCGGATCGATTCAATTTTATATTTTCAGATTATTTTAGTTGCTCACATGCATTATTCGAAATGTTATTTTTTTTTTGGCACGTCCATGCGCTTTTATTGGCTGTCCGAAATGCTATTATTAGTAGTGTGTTTGTTTGCATCGAAAATTCAAAGATAAGCTCTATATTATATCATTCTCGCACCGGTATAAATATAACGGAGCCAAATGAACTGATCACGTACAAGGAAAGAGGAAACCGATATAGTAGACGCTGCACAATACATCATTTCTAAAAATAACAGAAGGTCAGATAAACCTCTCATGGGTATGAGTGTTGGGAAGGAAATAGATAAAACGAGAAGATAAAAAACTTCTTATGATCTCCGAGTGTTTTATCTGTTGCTTAATTTTACCGTTTATTATATTTTTTAATATCCAAACTGAAAAAGCAAGGCGCTAGTGAATGAATACGTAACTGTTTTGAAGAGAAACTTATAATCCTACAATCATATAATTATTTATTTCTTCATTCATTCAGTTTTATATTTATTTATCAAATCATTTTCTTCATACACCGACTTTTCAGTTTACTAATTCAGTTATTTTTTTGTTTATCTGTTCATTTATCGGTGAATTAATTCGGGAGGAAACTTCCAGAATCGAGGAAGTTGAAGGCGTGGAGTGTTAAGAAAATGAGGAATGGGAAAAAGAAACCAGGACACCCGGAATGAGGTAATAATGCGTTGAAACATGCACCGACCAGAATTAAAATCTATATTAGGGACCTTAACGCATCGCCAAGGAAGAATTCGATTAAAAAATGAATTTCTGCCTTCAATTAGAATTTCAGAAATGGTTGCATTTGTTTACCGTTTCATACGGTGCCACACCTCAACTTCAGCATAACGTATAAAAGAAGCGTTGAGTTCCAAATGGAAGTTAAAATAATTTTCTGTCACGGTTCCTGTTTACAGACGACGCAAATTGTGGTTATTTCACGTTGTTGTTTTGCGTGGGACGGCTAAAAATGTACAAAATTTTAAAACGCAGGTGCTGAGCTATTGTTCTGCCAGTTACAAAGTGGTTTGCTTAAGGTCTCTATTGGGAATTCCGGGGATCAGCCAGGAATTTGAATGGTTGAACTCTCGCCAAATCTCTGACAAGAATTCCATGGAGCGAGAATACCCATAGAACCTAGGCTCCCAGTCTTAAAGTCCTTGATAGGTGAGCGTGCGTGCGTAATAGCAACCGCCAAATAAAGAACGAAACTAAAAGCTCGCGAAATGTAAAAGTGCAGTTTTATTTATCAATGCACTTGTCAGATGAATTGGTTCCGCCAAATCTCGTTCAGCGAGGAAAATCTAAAATGCTCCAGCAATATAGGAAAACTGTTCATTTCTATCAATCTCTATAAACTCATCATCATCATATATTTCAACCTTACAAAATGCAATTTATGCTATATTATGTTACACGTGCAGCGTTCGAGCAAAATCGATCTGAACCCTCACCCACGTTCTAATGCAGCTAACAACCATTTGAATCACTGTGCTGTCGACTTCCTGCATGAAGGTAAGCTCTTAACAGTGGCTTGACACACACCTTAAAAATTTTTTACATCACGCTTTCGAAAAGTAACTACCACAAACCAAGAATAATCGTTTCGTGTTCCCCTCTATTTCTACTTGAAGTTGACTAAAGCCGTTTGGCCAAATGCTCAAACGCAAGTACCAAGACCTGAAGACGTCCAACTCTTAGTCTCCCAAAGCACCATTGGCACCGTAGGTCTAAAAAAAAAAAGGTTTGCAAGGTTTTTTCATATACAATAATATATAGCTCATTTGAAAACCTTACAGGATACATAAAATGATTATTCCCTTGTTGAATTCGAGGAACTTAATTAGTAAAGAAATATTAATAGGTTATTAAGGATAAATAAAAGTAGTTGAACCAAAGTGCAAACGTGGAGCACAATATTCGATTAAGTCCTATTGTTGTTGATTAAAGTTTTCTTCACTATTCAGGTATCAGTTAGGACAGTTATCTCCAAAAAGGGAGTTTACCACTCAATTCATCACATAAACTAATAGATTCCATGTTTCCGTGAAACTGTTCAATAATAAATCTCAGATGACGTCAAACTGCGGTAAAAACAGAATAGTGGCACACGAGGTGCGGTTACATGTGTCACTTCTATTCTTATATCACATCTCGACGTGTTTTGTGATGTATCACCGATGAACGGACGCAAAGAAACAAATGATCTACTTGTTATAAATTATAGAGAGCTCAAGAGCTCTTAGGAACGATATCATATATGCGTTTTTCCTCCAATAGATCATAAGAAGGAACTAAATAAATCAAAATGCTTGTTTAATTTAGCATATTGCATCATATAAAATGGATGCTCTAAGTAAATAGGCGACTCCATCTTGACTCGTGTTTCGCTTGCTTGGTAAAGAGAAATGGAAACAACTGCTACACACAACCCCCTCCCCCCTCTCCCCAAAAAGATCGTAGGTAATACTTACAGGATTTGTATGCGATCCGATCACCCGTCTATCTATGGCAGATTTTTGACCTTGATAGCCTCGGTTTTTATTATATTCTCCTACGGATACTCTGTCGTAAGTATGCACATGTCCAACTTCCCCACTGGATATGAAATACATGTCACTGTCTCCAAGGATGGATCTTCTGTATTTGACCTGTAGTTCATGGAAAACAACATTGAGATTCTAGTCATTGTGGCTACAGATTCTGTTTCAAGAAAAATCTGTCTTTCATTTCCCGCTCCCGCGTTTTTGGACACCAGTTTGAGCTTTTGGAAATTGGGAAAGCGAGTTTTATTAACGCTGCTGTGCTGGTTTTGGCCCTATGGGCCTTTTCAAGGCGCGATCAAACTTTCCCACTTCAGTGTGCATGCATTAACAAATAAAAACTTTCCCACTTCAGTGTGCATGCATTAACAAATAATATTCAGGCATTCGGCGATTTAAACGCTGTATTATAAAACGACTTCAAAGCAATTCCGTTTGTAATTGATTTCAGCCTATCAGATGCAAGACTGAAACCAATAATTCGCCTTTTCTAGCGCTTGGGGCTGATTGCATGTATTTTCTTGGAGCTTCTTTGTTCCCATTACTCGTTTAGAGTACTTTAATTTTGGTTTTACGACATTCGCAAAAGATACTTACACAGAAGTAGATCATAGTTATAAGGAAAACAAACGACAGACATCCCAGTAGAATCATGGTAACCAAGGCCCATTCTGGTAGTTTTTCCACAGTTTCCGTTGTTGCCTCCTCTTTGACATCAATATTCTTTACGTTGTATGCTAATTTTCCATTTTCACTTGCCTCCTGTAAAGTTTTTTTTAAATCATCCCCATCGACCCCGGAATCTTTGGCTAGAATGACAATGTAATTGCAAACTACACTTCCATTCTTTAGGAAGACAATCCTGATACCAACAAAGCCATCGACGTTTTCGTAAGTGTCTTCCAAGGTTCTCGTTAGGTTCTTCACCAATGACTTGTACTCCAGACTATTTTGATCGTTATATTCCTCAATAAAATCCAAATTAAACGTCACTTCCATGATGATCAGTTTAGTTCCTTGGGGTGGAAGAGTTGGGCGTGGCTTTACATCAGAGGTACTGAGCGGGATAATTGGAGACGATGGTGTAGCGTTAACTCCAACCGAATTGGTTGCGTTTTTCATAGACATTGTCACGGAAATCTCGAGATGCTGTGTTGTAATGGTAATCAATCCCCCGTAAGACGACTTACCACCTACTGAGGAGCTCTTGACAAGGGTAGACTGGTCATTGGAGGATTGTACTATTGCAGAAGATGATACTACGATTTCCTCTGACGATTGACCTGGAATTGCAAGAGACAAAAAAAAGGAACAAATTGATTGATTTATTGATTAATCGAGAGACACAATAACTTACTTAAGTTTACAGACCAGCTGACCGTCTCAAAGACCCGTTGAGCGTTTCACAGACTGACTTATTATCTCGCTGTTTGACTAAAAGGCATGACGAGTGGCTGATTACTCGTCAGTTGACCAACAGATTAAGAGAGTGACTTCAGGGGTGAGTAAATAAACTATAAAAAAATCGATTTTAAATCATTTAATTACATGTACTCAGTCAATAAATCGATCATTCAATCAATTTTTTTTCATTTGATCACAACTATATTAACTTATCATAAACGTGTTGTTCATCATCTCCTATCAATACATACGAAAAAAATAAGTCATTTTACTATCTTAACACGATTTAATAAATTAGTTACTCAACAAAGGCCTCATGTCTAGCGTATTCGTCTTTTTATAAAATTAATTTACCTGATGCCGATAGCATGGACACTGAAGGCATCTGATTTGATGCAACTCGAGCAGTCGTGGAGGATGAAACTTTTGTCATTCCCATGAAGCCTGTGCTGGAGGAAGGAAGGGGGTTGTCATAACGTGATGACATTTTGGAGAAAACCGAAGAATGAGCGCTGGAAGAGGTTCTAGAAACATTTACAGAGTTAAGGCCACTATTCACAAACTGAGAAAGAGTCGAGGTGGAAGAGGTTACTGAGCTGTTCACGCCCTTCGTTGGTAAAATCGTTGGTGATTTTGTCATTGATCGGGAGATAGTGGTTTGTGTTTGCTGCGTATTAGAATCGCTCAAGACGGCTGAGGCACTTCTCTGACTCACAGAGGGAGATAAAGTCTCAACAACAGAGGTGGTGTTTATGGATGTCACTGAGACAGTAGCTGATAGATTCACTAATGTGGAAAACACAACTTGCGCCCGAGTAGAATCCAAATTAATGGATTTCCTAACAGAAGTAGAGACATTAGCTGTGGCGTGTTCGGCTGTTGTGGCGTGTTCGGCTGTTGCTGATGCTCCGTGTGACTGGGAAGCCTTCATGCTGTCTGAGGTAACCGCGTTTGAGCCGGCCATGCTGGTCTCACTAGCTTTCAAGGTCGTGGTCCCCGTTGTTGTATTAACACTGGTTTTCGAGAAGGTCTGTAAGCTGGCGCTGCTTGAGCTTGCTTGATTTACTGTAATAGAGACTTACATTAGAAGCTATTGAAAGGATTACGCTAATTACAAACGAAAATTTCTCAGGTAGTTGTGATAAACGAGTGGGGAACAAGGATCTTAGTGCACAGCTATTATATTCAACAGTACTATAAATTTGTTTCTTGTCATTTTCCTAGAAGATTTTATGTTTTTTTTTCCCGTTTCGTAGAAATTCCTCCGAGGAAGAAATGAGGGATGTTTTCATCTTTGTCTTTCATGTTTGTTTGTTTGATTTTAGTTAGAACTTAGCTTTTCATAAGCCGTCTGTATTGGGCTGTCTACTGTCGCTTTTGTGAGCATCGGTCAGAACTTGTTAATACAGATTTATAGTGATGAAGGTTGGTGATATAGAAATAACCAAAAGAAGCAAATGTTCGAGTACATGCCGTAAAGAATGACTTGAACATTTACCTGCTTTTACTTGATTGTTTTTTTTTTGAAAAATGAGTTACCAGAACGATCAGTCTTAAAAATTTCCCGTATAACAATATAATGGTAGTTTTATGTTCACTGCCCTCAATAACTAAAATCAGACCACTGCTGAATGCCAGGAACTTTCTAAGGCTGTCTGATTCACTGCATATGGCAATTAAAACCCGCTCAAGTCTCAGGTGCAAGCGCTTTCCATTTTATTAGTTTTTCTTCCGAAACGCCTGACAGAAATTCACAGAAGTTGGTATACAGGTTGTTTGTATAGGGACACCATATTGACGCCATATTGGATCCTTCTGAGGAGCGCAAGTGAAAATACGGCTGTCTCCAATTGATGCAAATTACTGGCGCCTAATTTTGCCTTGAAAGAGATGATAGAAATTCGCATAGACATCTTTATCATGCTTTAATTGCTCAGGGACAAATACCACACCAGAAAATAATAGCCGTGTTCTTCTGAAACGTGATTCCTTATTCGCTGTCATTTTTAAATAGCTTCGGAGCTCTAACAACTTTGAAACGTCACATCTTATTACCCTGAAAATCCATGGTGACAAGGTCATTTGCCTCTTGGAAGTATTAAAGACCTTTTAAAATAGTCTGCGAATTCAGATTTTGTTTCCCGCTTGTGTAATTACGTGACGCTTTCACCTGTTTTTTTTGGTTTTCAATGTTTGTCAGATTGTTTTGACCAATCATAGCCCAGAAAAAAGACCTACACCTTAAGGCTGTTTCCATTAATTCGACGGCAATAACAGAAAATTGATTGATACTCTAAATGCTTTGGCGTCAAATGCATGCAAGGATACTATTACGAGACTAGAGTCTCTTAAATTCTGCATAAAAATTTTTTAACACTTCCAATAAGTTCCCCAAACTATTTACGTATATATAGTGCCCTTAGCACCTTGACGCTCTTTAAATCCTGCCACCCCTCAAAAAAGACGTATTTTTTCATCAAATCAAGCAAATCTGCATAATTAGTTAAATTTTATGACGTCACATTTCATCCGAGAAACATTCGTAATCACAAAATGTATTTATACATTAACGACAATTTTTGCAATCTAGCCAGTGGATAAAAAGCGTTTGCAGCTGTAGAAATATTTGTGTGTTGCCGGTCAATCCTAAATTAAAAAATCTTTCTTTTTTTGGTGCAAAAGTTTGCTTTTAGGTTTTCAATCTGACACTTTAGACATAAGACAAGTGTCAGTTACATTTTAACAGAAAATCTAGGATGCAAATTATGCTGAAAAAAGTTCCATTTTCCGAATTTAATTGCTCTGTTTTAAAACAGGCTTTCTTTTCAAATTGAATGCATTAAAAAATTTTTTATCCGACTTTTCCTTTACACTACCCTAAACAAAAAGTAAAACTGAAAAAAGCTCAACAAAGGATAATCAGTTGCAATTGTTTTACTTCTGCTCAACAACAGCCATTATTTCGTAAATATTCGAAATATATTTTCTGATGCAAAATGTTTCTTACACTTAAGCCTACTAAAAAGAAATTTCTCAAAGAATTCTCGTTTTATTGATCGTTGAGAATGTTATAAAAGGCATATGTGTGCCTTTTTATTTGAAAGGACTGGATTTAACTTAAAAATTTAAAACAGAAAACAACAAGAAAATTAGCGAGCGATAGTTCTATGTTAAAGCCATGCTTAAAATTTTAACCCCCTACAGGTTGATTTTATTTTTAAAAAAAATCCTTGAAAAGCGATGTAATTAAAAGACCATCTATTCGCTCCCAGAAATTTCAAAGGCTTTCGAGCAAAAATTTATTCACAAATCACTTCTTAAATAAACGTTTTGCGGGTTTGTTTTAATTTAGTTATTCATATTTTTCACACCCGAACATGTTCTTTATAATGCTGTGCAACTTTAAATTGGACCTTGAACCTCCTTGCGTTGTCCTATGAACATCACGAGTTGGCGTAAAATTAAAGCACAGGCTTATGATGTCGAGAAAGATGAATTCACAGTTTAAATTGTGATGCGGTTACGTCGACGGTTCCGTTGACGGTTCCGTCGAATTTCGACGCGAATGAATTCAGTTGCCATAGACTATATCGCCAGCTTACTGAGCCTAATTTAGCAAAGCCTTAAGCTTCGTCGCCTTTCCCCCGTGACTTGAAGGTTAGACTCGCTTAATGAAAACAAAAGCAGGCGAGTTGGGCATCAAGCCCGGTCCGCTCATATCACTTTGCTATTGTGAGGCGTTCTTCGCGACATAATCATCGACGCTCTTTTATAGCAAATGCCACATACAAGCCTTATACTAATTCACCGACTCAATTTTTTAAATTAATGACCGAAGTAGAAGGGAAAAATTGCAATTCAAAAAATCTGTGCTACCGTTTGCAACGATCAATTGGCAAATTACGAACAGAGTCTACTTTTCTGAATTTGAACGTCAGAAAAAGAAAAAGACAACGAACGCACGTTTTCGTTTGCCTATAGCGACACTCAAAATTAACTGTTCATTTCCTTCCTCGTGAAAAGCATGTAGTTGTTCTCCGATTTGCTCATAAAACAATTTGATGGCGAATTGACCAGACATAGTAAACCTAGCTTACCTCCAAGCAAAACGGTGACGGCGAGCGTGTAAACCACAACTTTCAAGCAGCTCATTGCGAATGAAAATGAATTTCCTCCGCCTTGGAAACCTGATCGGGATGATGCGGAAACGACGAAGATACGTTTACTGGTTACTGCTTTCTGCTTTCTCTTGGTAGCCTTCTGTGGCACTTCTAGGTTCACTGTAGGAAGCAGACTGATATGGCGATCGATTTCAATGGTCTCAAACCGCAGTTAAGTATCCTTTACCAGTTGCGCGGGAATTGTAGGCGACCGATTTTGTAATGAACCAACTCTCGTGCCCACATGACTCTCTCAAGAGAACTAAAAAATTCAAATTCTCGTAGTTTTGACCGCATAAAATTTCCATAAAATGAAGGGTGTAAATGAACTCCGTGGACCAGAAAATTTGAAATGACGCTTTATGTAATGAAACACCAATACCACCAACATTTGACCAAAACTATGTGTATTCCGGCGATTTTATCTTAACAGCTTAGTCTTAATTACTGCACAAATAGAAAAACAAAATATTTTAAAAATTCAATTCCAACGCATCAAAAGATGTTGGCTAATTGTGGAGATGTAACCATCCCTTAACAATCTAACAATGGCACTAGTGGAAACCGTTATAGTTTAATCTATCAAAATCGAGAAACTTGATAAGCTTTGGACGTTTTTAGAGGCTTTTAGCCGCTGCAGGTTGTGGTTTTTATGATACTTCTACATCTGAAATGTAACTGTAAACAAAAAATACAATATCATGCCAGGTGTCAGTATTTTGTAAACATGGCGCCGCAAAATTTTATTGCATGTAGATGAAAAATTGCTGTCTTTTCGACGAAGTCAAATTAATTTGAGACTGCGCCCACGCATTAAATACCTCACGTACGAAAAAAGATTCTTCTAATCTTACATCTCCTCACTTAATAAAGGAGACGGTTTTCAAGGCAATTTGTAATTTTTAAATGGTCTTTGGAGGTTGTACGAAAACTTAAGGTGTAAACAAAGGCTCTGGGAATTAGATTAATTAAACGTAATTACGTTTACACTTGGTATTTGTGAGGCGAATTGGCAGGTTTGTAAACTGATTATGAATTCGCTCACAATAATTAAGATAAAATTTTAAACTTTCAAATCCTTTGTTTTCGGCCACACTTTCCATACATTTACTCCATTTTAAGCAACTAGGTTAGATACAAGAAAGTACGAGTAGTTTCTGTCACCAACAAAGGGCGCGTATGCTCTACCGTTCATGTTCATAACAGCCAGTGGTCCATTTTATTCGCTGATTGATGTAGAACTTAAATTTAGAACTTTATAAAGTATCTGTCACAACGACAATGTGGGTGCGGTCCAAACCGTTGAAAAGAAATCGTCTTCTCTGACTTATTCCGATTTCCCTTTCATCGGATTGAGCATGTCTAAAATCTAATAATTTAACCCATGGCGCAGACCAGTAGCTATTTAGGGAATATAACAAATTTGGCTTTTAACTGATCAAGAAGGTTTACGTAGATATCCACCCACTACAATTTGACCTCAACCAAGACGAGCTCGCCCCATCGAAAAGTGAGTTCTGGGTAAAGCTTTTCTACTCTTGGAATTTTCCTTATTACAAAACCTATATATTTCTTCACGAACGAAATTATCAAAAAGATCGACATTCGAGCAAACTTTTCGCTGAAACTCACTCTCATAATCGCAAATATGACCAGTCCAGTTACTTTCTGCTTTTCAATCATTCACTAGCGATATATGCTTCTCTACAACAACGGAGGACAAAGTCCGAAACGTATGGAAACTTCATTATCCAAAATGGAATCGCAATTCTTGTTCCTGTTCGAGCGCTTCTCGATTGATTGTCGTGAAACTAAACAAAAATTTTATCTCAACAGCCAGTCTAATAGAAGGAACATAACCAATGAGAACTTAAAGCAAAAACAAGCCAACCGCCTAAAGCGCGGTAAAACGCGGTTTTAGTTTTGCATCTGATTGGTTGAGAGAGTAGCGCGAGTTTTCTGAGCCAATCACAGGAGGTAAAATTACTTTGAGGCGAAGTAAAGCAAACCAAAGGAATGGTGGATTGCTTTCGACACTCAATTGAAAATCCTACACTACTCTAATAGTAACTTAATACAAATCCCTCTCAGCTTTTGACAATTTTTCCATCCTCCAGTTAACAGATTCTTATCTGTCGGTGATTATATCAAGTTCAATCATTTTTAAGATAGGGAGTGATGCTGGTCTGTTTGGATTTGAATCAAATATCAATGACACTTACAATGTGCTTCCAGAAACGGATTTTTTTAATTACAACACTCATATGTGAAATATAAGCAGGACACAGTATCAAAAATAATCCGTTTCTTTATGTGTACAATTTCATGAACATAACTTGAAATATAATTCACAATGCCAAGCTTACGTTACTCACGTTAAAGCATAAAATTTTCTTACAAACGACTTCTTTGCAATCAAGTTTACAAGATCTGCCTTTTATCCTTACACAACAACATTTTTTCAGAGTTTCTCCAGATAAACCAAGAAATTAAGTCAAAGGTGTAGCTTCTGAATGAGATGTTAAAATGAAGAACTAATATCTTCTTTAACGAGACGAGAAAAGCGCATTGCTAGCAGACTTCAGTCAAGGAGAGAGTTGCCTGTTTTTCTGTAAAAAAGACAGTCCAACTTAAAACCAACGAAAGATATAGATATTCCTATTGGATTAACCCTTGACACCTATAGTGATCGGCATATAGTTTCTCCTTAAAGTAATACTGCCGAATCATTTATTGAGATCAAGAGAATACAAGAAATGATCGCCAACCTAAGGTTCTTTGACTGTTAGAGAGACTATGGAGAATATGAATACTGATTCTAAGGTGTAAAGGGTTATCACACTGATGCAAGGGTTCTTAAAAATACTTATCGCACATCTTAATAAACAACAACTTTATCACAGGACTATTACAAGAAAAACAATCCGATCAGTGAACGTAAAAAAGGTGCATCGCCAAACCAGCCATAATCAAAACAAACTACCATTCAAAGTATAGTACTGAATGATAATGAAGAAATTTCCAAAACACGAGACGCATTCCATTTCCACTTCGCTAAATTGTAGGTTGCCAAAATGTAGAGCGTTGCATCAGATTACAAGAAGCATACTAATCATTTTAATGGAAGTGGAGGCACCTTAATGGTTACCCTAACCTTTGATTATATTAAACTTAAGAGCGTCTTCTTTGCCACAAACTAACAATGAATATTATACCCACGTTTAAAAAAGCAAATTTTATACTATCTTCATCATATCTTAAACAAGTCGTCTCTTTATACTTCTAGGCTTAAAAACATAAATTTACCACCTAATATCAGCCACAATTTGTACATCAAGAAAGCAATTGATACAATAATAATCTCTAATTCCGTTCAGAATGCTACGAGCAGAGGCGAGACATGAACAAGTTAAGCTAAATTACATGACCCATTTTATCGCTTATTTAGGACATACTTTGAACAAGCAAATGCCAAGTCTTAGACAATAAGGAAGGACAGTTATAAATTGTATCATAGCATGAAAACCGAGGAAATCGACTTTTTTTTGAGAATATATCAAAGCAATTCACCAAATACCCGCCCCTTCTCTCACCTCTTACTCAAACAGCTTTGTTCCCTCTTTTTTTTCTCTAAACTAATACTCTACCCACACCTAAAACAACAAGCCCATTATTTTAAAGGAAACGTCCACTAATGGAACAAGCTTTTCGTTAACAGCGGAATGAATAGATTTGTTAAGAGGAGATTCGCTACGTTAAACTGGAAACAAGCCAGCCAATTTGCTGCTGAACGACATTTGGAACGCACAACGTTGTGTGATTGTTTCTACCATTAACAAACAGTTATGGCACTTTTACCCCAAGGATATACCCCTTGGAGATTGTCAAAACAATAACGGCAGCCAAGAAACGACACACTTCCAAAATGTACGCCCTGAAAGAGTTGAATCAATTTCAGTATCTGAACAACTGCGCACCTTCCCCTCCCCTAACACAACATTAACCCTGACTTGCTTTCAGTTGATTTTTGTTGAGTTAAGAGAGAGTTAGGGGCGCAGTAAGTAAGACACTGACATCGCTCCACACAGTCGATACTTGTCTCTTATCTTTATCCCCACTTTTGCCAACAAATTCTAATTCAACAGAATATTTTCTCTTCTTTAACAAATATTTTTTCCAGTGAATGATTCCCGTCAGAGTGAAAGGACATGGTTAAGATTAAAAAAATTATATATTTTTTAAAACTCCCGTGTCTTTTCAGCAAACTTCATACCCAGCGTTCATCAGCGGCAGACGACCAGGACAAGTGGCCATCACGGTACGTCTCTATGACAATGGTGTCTATGACAATGCAGTGACATAGGGAATGAGAGAGTTCTGAAAATTAATCAGCTAAAATTAATATTCCGATTCTAAACAAAATGGAAAATGGAGACAAACTAAAAGCGATGAGAAAGAAGCACAATTTAAGGGCGGTATGCCATGCTAGATACTCTGACATCAATAGAGGTCTGAAAGGAAATGGTAAAAAGGAAAAAAAAGATTTTATAGAAAATCTGGAAAGAAGGATTGTTACTATAAACGAAGATCTAAGGCTTAAATCAGACATAAACCGTTTATACTGTTGTACTCATGCTTTTGGTTTTTGCAATATCTAACCCGCTCTGAGCTAACATTCTAGCAAAATGTTATGTATAGGAATTATCGTAACTAGCATAGCATAGCCAACCCAAGACAATCAGTCTGAGGTGAGCTTCTTCGAATCAGAAGGAATAAATATAAGCAATGAGCAGTTTCTATTGCGGAAAAACCAGCGAATTGATTCATACTTCTGCTCTTCCATTCAGTGTTCTTCCCATATCCACTCCTACAGCATGTTCTTTGGCTTTCATCCTTAAAGCGGCAATACTCGAGCTGTGACGCTGAGGACTCTGTAACGCGGGCTCGCGTTCCTCGCAATAAGATTGTGACGTCATAGAGCCGGGCGAGCCATGGCAACCGTCACCAGGAGAGTGACTTGCGCGTTGCTGTGGAGCATGTGCGCAAGGTGGTAGTTGCTTGGAAGGGCCGTGTTGAGAAATGGTGACGTTGGGATGTGCAATTGGGGATCTTTTCATTCCCGAAGTTGACGTTGTCATGGCACCCACTTTAGCGCAGTGGGGAGGAGACTCCGGTGAAGGCGACCGCGGAGAATGCCTGTTTGGTGGTAACGGATGATGCACGTGAACAACAGGCGCATAACTTGGTACAGACATGTGATGAGGCATTGGACCCGCCCCATGCCCTGTCGGGTTCATACAGCTGTTAGATGGACGAGACCAAGCTGGGGCCTGAGGATGTCGATCGTAAATGGGTCCCATGGTGAGTGACCGTACTGGGACGGGGACTGGGGCAAAGCGTTCACGCTTACGCCATTTGGCTCTACGATTCTGGAACCAAACCTAAAGATAAATGTTTAAGAGAATTTTAACGGTGAGTTAAAACTTTAAAAAAATATACATCATTTAAGTAACACTCGACTGAAAATCTACCATGCAAGACCAAGTAACAGACATGAAGTTTCCTGTTCCTTATCAATGCGTAAGTTTGCAAAGAAACATTCTCTTCAAACAGAAACTGGAGGGGAATAGCTTTGGCTGAGGGACTGGAGCTGATTGGGAGGCATAATACAACTACGAGGATTGCTATTTCACAGCCCCTAGCACATTTCGTCAGGTTAACCCTGAAGGTTCACTGCCATTAAGTAATGCTCCTGGGTAAAGGCAGACACTACAAGAATTAAGTATCCTGTCTAAGAACACCACACAATTACCCTGCAGGGTAGAAAACCCAGCCCTCTTTGACTGTGCTCTATGCCTAAAGTCTCCTCATTTCTAGGTAGGATAAGAGAAGACTAGAGTTTTCTATGCAGCTTACGTTCTTGCCCAAGAACACCTAAAATTTAACAGTGCATTGACATCAAATTCACGTCAAATTTCGATGGCAGGTAATTGTTTGGTGACAATATGATGCGAACTTAGTCTGACTGATAATTCTACAAAAGGATCACGGCTTGAGCCATCTGTTGGAGGATGTCGTAAGAAAATTTTCATGCTGTCAACGGGTGCAAACAAAAAACTCTACAAAGAAAAAAGGACATCTCTTGAATTCAGCAAATCCCCTTTAACACCGACAAGAAAATGAAATAAAAAAATTAACACGCAAATCGAAGGCAACTCCATTTGTTTGCAATTTGAACTGGTAACTTAGGAGAGACAAAACACGAGGGGGGGAGGGGGCACTCTCATACAAAAGGCTACACGTCAATTGTAAAGAATAGGTTTTAATCCCTAGGAGCGATTGGCATCTAATTTCCCTCCACAGTATCAGCCCTAACGCAAACATAAGAATAAAGGAAGTGATCGCGAATAGACCTGAGGGACATAAATATAGGTGCTAAAAACCGACTCGCTTCACGAGAGGACATTGAAAAATCCTCTCCTGGTTGTTCTAATGAAAACAGAGGACTAGAACATTAGTGGGCTGCACCTTTGTTACTGGAACAAAAAATTCAAAACGTTTCTAACTTGCATTTTTCACACCTTAAAGCAACCAAGTTTCACATTCTTCGAATAAGGAAGCAGAGAATGGAAAATTCAGTTATTTGTTGTTGATTCATTCCATGGGAAATATTATTTACAAGACAAAAATAGGAGCAAACATAGAAAAACTACTTAACCCTGATTGTTAATTTATTTAAAATGAAATTTCTGTTAAAAGGAAGGTCAACGTCAGTTTGACACGTCAAGGCCTCCTGTAGAGAGTACAGCAGAACAGAAGCCTTTGCAAATTTGTCACAGACGAAAGAGGCTATTGGCTTGTGGAACTACAAGTGTACAGAAATTCATTAAGTGATAAGGAGGGTAAGGCTTTGCCCCCATCATTCAGTCATATGTTCTCTCGGTATCTTCACACGTTTTTGACCCTAAATATAGACATAAATCCTCTGAAATACAGGAGGTTGCATGGTAAACGCATAACGAAAAAAGGCTTTTAAAGTGCCAGAATAGACATGATTTGTTCTGAAGAAAGCAATTAAGAATACAACAAGGGACACAAATCATTTTCATGTGCAAACAATGGCAAAGCAATCGTCGATTTTCGTTCCCTTTTGCTACTTCCACGACTGTGTATTCACTCACGCGGAACTAAAGAACAGATGGTTTTGTCTCGTGACACGCCCTTTGAGGTATACATCAACACACAACAATTTAAGCATACCTGAAAGAGTTAGCGCAAACCTTTGTACACCATACACCGGAAATTTGCGTCTTGTTGTGAATAGATATATCTGTTTACTGCGGGTTTCCTGCCTTCAGGAGCACGAAGGGTGATTGCAATGTCTAGACAAAAAGGCTCCAGACATTTTGTAAACAAGCCTTTACATCAAAAACCGCACATATATTCTTTAGCATTTTCAGGAATACGTTGATACGGTTTGTTATGCTAGTTTCCTATTTCAGAAGCTATCTCCTTCCATGTCAATGAAAAAACCTCCACCACATTTCGTACGATGGAAAAATTTGACCTCACAGAAACGCACTTCTTTGACTAATTCACTTTAAAAAGTCCGAGTCCATGTTAGTAAAATTTTCTGGGGAAAAACCAAGCCAGCATAAATTCAGACGGAGTAGAGGAGAGATCTTACGATAAGATTTCCTCAGCGCATGTTAGAGTAGGTTTTAATTAAGTTCTAAATTGGGTGCCTTAGTGCTATACGACGGTTTAAAACATCATACTACTACCCCTAGAGTTTTTGTTTCATTGCATTTAATGTTCTCATTTTCCTAACTGCCTGTTCTTGTATCAGAGATCGTAGTCCCAAAGTTTGCAGAAGGAGTTGTCAATGTGATACAGTGCCTTAATTCCTTTAATTCACTTAGATATTACTTTAGAAAGGATCCCGACATTGTTGAGAATCTAACACCAAAACTAAATCCTTTTGAGGTACTCTGCATCTCACCGGGACTGCTAACGGTAATAATACAACAGCCACTTCTCTAACAGAGCCCGCCATTTCCGTGACAAGTTGTACAAAGCAGAAACGAAAATTGACTAATCACGAAACGGGAAATATCACGCGATAAAAACACAGCAGGCAAGAAAACACATCAACATCCCGCTAAAGCACCGCAAACACTAACATTGTTTTTCACTAACCGAAAGCAACGAATCTTCACACACAAGACAAGAGTTTTGGCAGTTTTCTCAAAATAGCACTTTGGCCAACAGAGGAATCACTTAAAAACACAAATACACGTAGGACACAAAAGATGACGCGGTTTCATCTCAGCTTGCCCTGAAATCCGCCAAGATGACACACCGTGTGGCGGATGGTTACCGCAATCAACGTACGCCTGTCTTTTTAAACTTCGCGTTTACATGTGTTTCAAACATAATTTCCTTTCACACTGCTTGGGGCGATGTACATCCGTTTAGTGCAAATTTCAAAACACCCACTTGGGACAATTTTTCACCTAAAAGACCTCTTGAAACTAATCTAAGTTTGAAAACCTAAACGAACTTTTAGTTGAAGAAAAAACGCAGAAAAAAATTTGCTTTTTTTTCAGTGAGCCGCGCAAATACTACATTTGACCTTTGCTGCTAAGTTCCTATCGCAGGGTATGAGGTGTGTTATTTTAAGCGACTATTTGCTGCTTTAACATCTCAAACATGAGCTGTAAACGTCAGTTTACAATGAGATAGCCTCCTAATCTTGACATCTCTGCTAACGGAGGAGGATTTCTAAGGATTACTGTACCACAGTCTCATAAAAATTGACCTGGGGTCCATCTCCAACGCGACAAACATTAATATATCAAGTTATGCTTCAAGTCCGCTTTAATTCGACATACTTAGCTTTTACAGAGTCAATCGCATGCGCGGCTCTCAGAATATTCATTTGATTTTCCCCAGCTTTTCCACCTCCGAAGCCATTCTTAATGTCATCTTAAGTAACTTTTACGACAAGTTTTGTCTGTTGCTACAAAATCATCCTATATGACGAAACCAAAGACTTCGAGTTAACAAAAGCAGAACGGGTAAACAAAGATTAAAGTAAGGATCAATTTTAAGTGCTTCTCAACTATCGTTATCAAGATAGATTATGGCGCCAAGTGTAAATATGAACGGTATTAACTTAACGGGGGAACTAAGCTATTGTCGTCTGTTTGTGCTATTACCAACGCTAATTCAAAAAAAACAAAAGAGAGATTCCTTTTCAAACTGTTTGAGTGCAAAGTCTACGACTACCTTTTCCTGTCTGTTCACGTTGTGCTCTTTACAATTATCACTTCAATATCTCGTCGATTTGATGTAGCCTGGACGACCAGTCGATCAAAGGATTCTAATGAGGGCATATCATATCATCTTAGGATGTACGCACCGCCTTAGGGTGTACGCACCGCCTGGGTTTTCAGTCAACAGTTTCAAATTGAACGGGAGCACGCTTGTGAAATTTAGTCCAACTTAAAAGGAGACGAAAGCAAGCTGTCACATTTAAACACAACAATCCTTATCGACATAATCAATTTACTAACGTGAAGGTTTACAGCAAATAATACCAATTAAAAAGTGAGAGACTCGTTAAGATTTATTGTTCTTGAAGACCTTCAAGAACCCACAAGGGCTTGCTAGGTCAAGCTAACACAGCATCAAAGTGATAAAAGTTGAGCGGCAAGGAAATATCCAGCAGGATTATCCTTAAATAATTTTTTCAAGCTCGACAAATTGTTCTTACTTTGTGGCTTGGTTAATTAATGGCTTTTGCAGACAAGAACAATGGTTTCAGTTCAAAGAAATTGCAAGATTATAAGAGAATTATCACTATGTTAAAGCGGTGCTGTCGTGTTAGCTTAGCAAAATTCTGAAGATTTAAAAAATGAGATTACCTCTTTTTCTTTTTTTTACTCGAACTTGTTTACTTCAAAAATCTGCCACAAAAACCATAAAGCTGGATAACCGACATCGGACATATGACAACAAATATCTGCGGCTGCAAAATCCCACTGATTTCGAAGTGATCCAGTGTTTCCTTTGTGCCAACTTGCACAACTAATCCAGATTAAATGTTGGAATTGTCTTCGGGTAATTCAAATACATTTTTTTGGTGCAAAAAGGAACGACTTTGAAATACACAATAAAATGTCTTAAATTGATTAACACTTAAAATATTTTCCACAAAAAAAGGAGAAACGTTGAATTGGATAACACATAAGGGAATAAACACTACAATTTTAACACTGGTAATTTTCGGATTTCTTTAGGAATTTAGGCGTATACCAACAAAAGTCAAAAAGCAAAACGTGAGTTTATATTAAAGAGATACAGACCTGTAGATCTTCGTGGGTTTGCCCTAATCATTATTGAACAAATAGACCAGCAAAGAGTTGATCGTAATTAAATTTATTTTAAAATTGCCTATCTGGATCTCTTTTCCATAACGTCAACACACTGCGGGAGAATCGAGTTCGAAGATCGGCAAATCGTTTTTCCTACGTACAATCCAGCGCTTTGAAAAGTGTCTGAGACTTTGAATTTAAATAGAGTTTCTTAGTCGTAATGAAAACATTTTGATTGGAAATCTCTAGGCCGTTGTAGCAAAAAAAAAAGGCTTAATCGAAGGAATTGATGAAGCATATGCCAATGATAAACAGATCACTTCCTGCCCTATTTTCGAGTCTCAAAATGAACACCTTGATTGCAGCTGTAACCCTGAGGTTACGCGTATCTGCTCTCCAGCTTTTGATCAATTTGAAATTGCACACTTGTTAACGATAAAATAGAATGGGCGAAACAAAGTGATTTCATTAAAAATTTCATCATAACTATGTAAGCTATGAGGAATGTGGTTGGCGAAAGAGTCGCGTGCGCGTGCCTTAAGAACTAAGATCCTTGCTCAAGGCAGAAAATTCCTGAACTTGTTTTAAAGTTAATCTTTGTCAGTGATCACAAGTAAAACACTCCAACAACCTTTCACTACACCCTTCATGTCCATTCGACTCGTTAAATTGGCCTTTAAGGCTGTGCAAAATCAAAGATCGATGCAAATTATGCGATGATTTTAAAACTATTATAACTATCACAAAACTGCGCCGAGCACGATCACCAGTAATTTGAAACGGGCGATACAGTTGCGCGCGTTTGTGGAAGAAATGGGATCTTCCTTTCCGCGAGTTCGATTTCATTTCCATGCACAATTAAAGATACTATTCATAAGTGTCCGGCATCAATGACGGAATGTTGACATTAAATTACTCTAGAAACTGCGTCATATGGAGAATAATACTGAACTACTATACAATAATAGGCGTCTGGCATTCCTTTGAAACTTCAGAGAAAAGATTACTGCGATTACGATGTACATTTTGCCTATTTCCACGATAAATAGTAGGCTTTAAGCGTCAAAAGTTTACCTTTTAAGATTTAAAGTAAACAAAAGCGCTACTGATTGTCGAAAACAAGAAAACAAAAAATCAAATAAATTGGCTAACTTTGTGCGGAATGGAATGTGCCCTCTCTTAAAAAGAACGCGTCCGCGACCAGTTCGCTAAAATCGATAAAAGGAATGAAAAAAGTTTGCATATGTTAGTTTTGAACGATCAAAATGAAAGTAGTTTCCTTATCTTTTCGACAGATACTTGTTAAGTTCCTCTATACGGTACCATCCAAGCTGGGTGTTAGAACTAATTTTCTGAAGATTCAATCTTGGAAACTATTGATCCAAATAACGCTACACCTCTATTTTTCTGATTTTGTGAGAGACTGACACAGCCAAGAAGAGAGCTATCTTTTTCAAAACGTCGGAAAAAAAAACAAATGGAAAGCAGACTTTACAAAAATCAAAATTGGCTGCAACAATACCTAAAAAGAAGGTAAAAAGCAGTATGTGACCAAAATCCGGCGTTTACAGGGGTCGAGGTTCCGACTGAAGTGATATTCGGCCTTTCAGATCGTATGCATTGATCAATTCATTCTCCAATGCAAAAACATTTTATGAAAAGAATGATAGTTGTATTCATTCTCTAGCTTGTCAGAAAAGTATGTAAAAGATTAACATTCACCGTATCGTAAAGAGATACTTAAAACATCAAATTTGATGAGGGGTGTTCCCTTTTAAACAATCATTTTACATGGACAAGCAGAATTGTAGAGGCAACTTGAATGCCAGGGGACTAAAGGGAATGATTTCAATGTAGAAGGGCTTGAACTTTCACGTGCCAGGGGACTAAAGGGAATGATTTCAATATAGAAGGGCTTGAACTTTCACGTCTCTTGAGTATCTCTATAGCGTGTTTGATCATTTCTTCACGAAAAGTACTCAACGTCCCGTACACGGTCTTCTAATAGAATTCCAAGAATTTTGGTCCCTTGAATGACGAGGAGAACAGTTTTGCTTTCTGGCCCTAGTCTCAGTACGTCTCTTGAAATAAAGTTATTCTGTACATACGAAGCAAATTCAAAAGACTGCACCAATTTCGATGGCTATATTCTTTTGTTATTACTTGACTAAGTAAAATTGTGGAACATTTCCTTAGAGAAAAATCCGTGTAAAATAAATCCCCACACAGAAAGTCAAGAGGAAGATGTTTCGGTGACGGGCTTAAGCCACGAAAGAGAAAATTCCACAGTTCACCGACCTAACCGCTACAACAAGAAGTGTATGTCGCCCATTATACTGCCGCGTGGATTAAGATGTGTTTTTTATATATATCTTTCAAGGGCTAAACGGTCTTTGGTTTCCTGCTCAACTATATTTAGTAGTACACCAATACTGCTGTTAACATACCCACGAGTTTTAAACTTGAGACAGAACAAAAAAAAAAGAAAACACCACCCTTCGCGTCTCGCACGACTTGCACCCCAGAAAGTTCTTAACAATGGTTGGCACATATTTGTTTAAAGCTGCAATACTAATAACTCTTCTATCAACTACATATCTGCGGTTTGCAATAAGGCTCTGCTGTTTCATCGATTTATAGGCAACAGAATGTGCGTTGATATGATAGACGTTATTCACGTTACGCGATAATCTTCTTAAACTTATAGCGGACGTTTTATCGCATTCAATCAGTAATCTCATTCCGCCTTTATTCCTAGTAACCTTTTCTGACCTGGGGCTGGTCGCCAACTCGAGCAAACACCAACTTTACTTGTGATAACAAGAACATTGGCATTCCATTTGACTTAAAAGGGCTTAACCCGCTTTACTTAAAAATTTAAACTTTGCGGTCACTTTAATCAATATATTTATTGCGGAAAATATCCTCCTTAACCATGTTTCGTATAAGCAAACTCTGGCCAACTATAACAACTTAGTACACAGCTTTCTTTCAGTATTTAATATAAATCGTACTAAGAACTTTAGCAACTTTTCCTCAGAAAAAATGTCGTTCTGCGATCTAATCGTAGATCTTTTTTTTCAGAGACGCAAACAAATTTTTCAGCCCCGCATCATATCCGTGCTGCACCGTAGTTGCTGTGAAACTGAACTTCGCGCGAGCTACGTGAATATTTGTACTTCTTTAAAATATGTCTTGTTTCATACACATTTCACTCGCTGTTGGTAGTGAAATTTTTAGTGAAACGGGTGTCAATTACTGTAGACACTACTGCTGTGAGAAAGTATTAAGCCTTGAAAATTCTGCTGGCATATTCTTAATCACGCTAAGACAGCAAATAATCCGGGTTTTTTTTTTCATATTAATACTAGGTTTTCGAGTATGCCAGAAAAACTGCCGCTAAAATTCTAAGCAGATTTTTATTTTATTCTTCCTGGATATCATCTTTTAAGAATTTCTCCATTCAAATACCATCACTATGGTAAGGAAAACGTCATGTAACGCAGCTTCAATGAACATTCCTGGTTACACAAACCTCACGTCATATTCAAAGATTTCTTTACCTCGAGAAACAAAGAAGTTGCACTGTTAACGAACGACTTTCCCGTTGCTAGCATTCCAGCCTTGATTAAACGACCTAAGAAGACATTCAGTTATTTAAAAATAGAAAAGCGACAAGGAAAGAGTGGAGAACTGAGCTCGATTAAAATATTTTTGATTAAAGTTCATCTTCTACCGATCATGTGGCGAAAATCCTAAGAAAAGCAAAATTAAGCCAATCTTCGGTCAGCAGTCACCTCAAAGGACGCCTGCCATATTTTTGGATGATATAGCGAGTTTGCAACTTGTTCACTGCAAAAGCTATGGTCAAACGAAACAAATCCAGTAAAAAAGAACGACGATTTCGCAACCTATTGAAATACTGAAGAAGTTTCCATCCTCGTGTTCGACTAGCAGTATTCTGCAACAAAGTTTTGCCACGATGATTTCATTTCGCAAACCGTTCCTTGCATTACACAACTGATCTAGGATAGTAGTAAAAAGAAATACGAGAAGTAGTTACGTAAAAAGTAAATCTAATATTCCGCTTACAATTACTTAATAAGCTCGCTTAAGTCAACGAGGCTGGAAATGTGGCAAGCTAACATCGAAACTAACGATTCTACCCTTGAATCCCTTTTTTCGTTTGGCTACCTGAACTAACGCACTCTTTAAGACAAACCAGTTTTCAAAACCACATTACTCTCATATCAGTTTTGCAAAAAGGCAGAGATACAACATTAAAGCTATTAATGCACAGGCTTGAGTAGGTGGCCACTGAATTGAACTCAACTAAAGGTAAAATCCAGAAGAAAGTGTTTGTGAAATCTTCAATATCATCCTTCCACTGATTGCAACATAAATGGATAGCTCACTTTTCAATTAGAGTGAAAGCAAGTAAGCAAGCATCTCCCCTCGAAAATTCTCATGGTGAAATGCGCGCGAGAAACTTCTTTGCATCTACAAGAAGCGCTTTGAAAAGTGCCAATTTTCTCAAATAATCATTTAGCACCATACAATTAATTCCAACGAGACAAATGAGTAAAATCAGGGCGTTTGAAAGCACAATGAACAGGAGGGTGACTTTTTTCTGGGGAGATTAATTTCTATTTTAAAAGCACAACCCTCTGGCCTTAAATCATTAGAAGTATACTCGATCTAGCAACCGCAATCACCAACAAAGAAAAAACTTAACTACTGAACTAGAAAAAGAGAAGAAACCTTCTCCTTCATGCAGCTCTTTCATGGCCTAATAAGAAGCTTCTTCTGCTCTGAAGCTTTGAATGCAATCACTTAAAGCATTGCAATAGTTTAAACTGAGAAAATTGGCCAAACTTCGAGGCCGCTTACAAACACTTAGGAACAAAAAGTTGTCGGTAGAAAAGGAACATATCTTAGAACGTTACTATTATAAAGCTAATGCAAAATTTTACACAGCAACTAACACTCAAAAGCAAAAATCAAGACCAGACAGATGAAAGCACCAAAACAAAAATATTGAATTGAGTTCTTCTGAGTCTATCTAAATCTCAATTTTCCTAAAAACACAACAAAAACGACGCTGATGAAGACAAGGCAAACAGACATCACATACAAGACTTTCTCATATGGGCGACATATGTTGCCAAATGGGGGTCAAATTGGGAAATACTACTGAGCGAACTAAACAACTTGAAGGTAAACCGTACCATGAGAAAAGTATAAACCAAACCTAATTTTTACAATTTACATTCGTTATCTTTGATTCACCTACAATTCTTCTTTTGAGCAGTATGTTATAAAATCAGTCAAGAAAACATGTACAAAGGCGACCGCAGACGGACAAATCGCTGTTTGCTCTCGACCTCAACCTTATCTCTTATCATTGATTTATTCAAAGAGGGGAAGTGTTTATTAAAATACTAATAAACTTTTCTGACATATTCTCCTTTTCCAAGTGCAGTGCAGCTTTACAACACTGATTCCTCTGTCATGACTAAAACAGAAATTGAGACAAGGCCTACCCAAGATCAACTGCTACAACAAACTTCTTTCAAAGTCTACCAAAATCTGGTTATTACGCGTGCTGTTAAGAAAGTGGAAATCAGAGGGATATTATTTTTCCGATAAATACTACAAGCGCAGTACGTCTCTACATAACTACGCCTAATTTCGTCTTGAAAGAGTAGAGAGTAGAATGCTCCCAAACTAAGTTTGACTTTCTGTGGGACCAGCTGGATCACAAGTTAGCAAAGTTCAATTTTTAAGTAACTATTTTTATTCCACCCGACGTGATGTCCAGACTTCTCACACGAAAACTGTGCGTGCAACTTTCAAGAGCCTTGTTGAACACATTGCGCGTGGATTAACCTCTCTTGGTTCTTTAATTTTGCCGACGGAATCTATTTACGACAATTTATCAACCATCAGTTAAGTGGTTGCAGTGTGAGTTGAGCCTTGTTAGTTCCAAATGCCCTTACGTCATTTAGCTTCTTCAGAGTCTGAAAAACGACACTGACCAACCCTTTAAGGAAGGTATTCTCTTTCAAGTGTAAGCCTAAGATATCAAACGAAAATAGTTTTGAAATATAGTAGGTGTAAGTGATGCTTTTTTTTTTGGTTTGAATAATCATAAACTTATTAGCCTCTTCAAGATTTCGAGAGCATAGCTCAACAATTAATTACTGTCCTGGTACTTTCTCTTTCAGTCATTCAATTTTTTCTACAATTTTTTACACATATATCCCGTAAAACTGTCTTTAAGGATAGCCAAAACTTGGTAAAAAATTTTTTACAATTTTTATTTCGCTGCATAAAATTTGAATAGAAAAATTTGGGTTGCTTGTGCCTTCTTTTAAGCGAGCCCTCTTAAAACGTTTAAAATACAGCATTAGAGTTTACAACTCGATGTACGTAAAAGATGAAGTCTCAGGAATTGGCTGTATGTTGAAAGAAGAAAGCTAAAGATAGCTAGAGAGCTATTTCAAGGCGACGACTGAAAACTTCCGAGAACGACTTCCAGCTTAAGCCACAGGATCTGGGGAGCTTTAAGAACCTTGAATTTGTTAGAAGAGTCCAGCACGAGTTTGTCAGAGAGGGGGCAAAACGCGAAAGTACAAGAACATTCGAGCTGTGCGAGGGTGCATCCGCACCAAAACAAATATTTAAGTGTGCACCGAAAATAATTTTGTTAATTCGATTAAATTATACAGAGACAATGTCAGAGTAAAGTGCTCCAAAAGTAGAATTGAACAGAGGCGCTGATGTGATGTGCAGCTATAAGCAGACAAGAAAAACGTATTGCGTGGCTCGGCAATATCACAGAGTCAGACAACATGCATCCCAACTTCCGGTATCAGTTTTCCGAATGCGTCAATAAAAACAACGCTAAAAACACGCGCGTTTAGGTGATACAAGCGAGTTTGCTTTATAACTCTAACCTTGACCATATAAGAAAATTTAAATATTTAGTCATAGTTAATAGGATCAGCAAATAACGTCTCAATAGCAGCTATAATATTCGGCTGTCAGATTTGCTTGAGCTCTCTCGATAAGACGAGAACGTCATGTTACCAAAGATTTCTACGCGACCTCTTCATTTCAAATGCGTATTTTTATTTGCCCGTAATAGAAGTGAAAATTGCCCTGGACAAATCATTTAATTAGGAAAACATACAGAATCATTAGCGGTGCAAGCTAACAAGTTTACAATTTGCTCATGAAGAATAAAGCAAACAGACATTAGACAGGCTGTCCTGTGTAACGCCAGCCAAGATTTATCGGGTTTCCTTTGATGTTACCGCCACATTTTTGGCGAAAATAAGGTGCACGATATTCCGAAGGCAAGGGCAAGATTACAGAGAGCTTAAAATGATCAGCGCGGCGTTCAGTACGAATCATTGTCAATTTTCAAATACTAATTTTCCGCCTCCTATATCTCCAAATTGAAGAAAGAGATAAGTTTTTCTCTGAGTTTTAAATCTGACAGCTGAGTCATCATTCGCAACTTGCGATACATATCGAAGTATTGATAGGGAAAACACTTACGATCAAGAGTTAGATAAGCGATTTACTGGGTAAGATTTTTGAGCATCGAATATGGGTATCGGACGTTATATCCTTGTACCGCTTCAGCAAAACCGACTTCGAATCCAAATGGCATGATTTTTAGCGATGGACTTCACATGTGCGTAAAAAAAAACGTGCATTTACAAAATCTTCCGCTAACGAACCTTGCAATTATGCAACAAAACAACAGTGTTTGCTCACGCCCTTCCTTAGATCCTATAAATCGATCAGTGCTTATAAAAATTCCACAATCACCAAACTGAATGAGGAAAGCTCTAACTTAAGAAATTTTAGACCCAGAGAATACCCGCTTCCAGACGATTTTTTATGTCTGATAAATCGTGATGCTTTCTAAAACTTGATTCCTTGATTGCTTTTATAGCGGGTGATTGCAACAGGCTAATGTGTTTATTGTTTTAATAACCTCTAGCGTAACGAATTGCAATTTGTGTAAGTACTTATTCGCGCTCAAATTTAGCTCAGGTCTGAAAACTCTGTTTAGGATCTTGCGTTGGTCTCATTTGGACCAACGGTGAGCAGTTAAACGGGTGATGTTATTTACTAATGATTGATGAAAGAACTACAGTCACAGCGTCGGAGTGTGAGATCTGCACAGCAAAGCGAATGCAAACCACGGACCCCAATTCACACCCATCTCGTACCTTACTTATCAAATTCAGTTCCTTTAACTTTTAGGGCGAATATCTTAGAAGCAAAATTTTTGGCAGAGTAATAGGAATTTCCACGAGATTATTCTGGAACGACTTAGACTTCAACACTGTTGCTTTTGACATTCTGTACTCCTAAAATGTATGTCTGACTTTATACTTAGGTTTCAGTTTGTTTATAAAAAGGATGTAAATAGTATTAAAGCACAAAAATGATGGGCGACAGGTCCAACTTTGAGCTAGGTTAAAAAAAAAAAAAAAAAAAAACTGGTAGAATGATTTCATCTCGTCATGGAACATCCACAAAGGCTGCCAAACTGGATCAGTGTGATCAGTGAAGACTGTTTGAGGCACAATTTAAAGCTTTCGTTTAAAGAGGAATATTAACCCCTGCATGCTCTCACAAGGAACATTCAAGTTCAAGGAAGGAATGCAGTAAAGAATGTCTAGCAGTTACCAAACTGTCATTTCCTTTCTGGGAGGAAAGCAGTGCGCGTTTCGATAGCGCTACTAATTCTACAACCTCGCAAAGACAGATCAGCTGGGCTCATGTAGCTCCTGTCCCATTAAATGTTCAAACAGCATTTGAGGATTAGTCTTAGAGAAAAACGATGAACAAAGAACGCTCGTTGAATATCTTTCTCACGGTGAGGACTGCGATATATCAAGAAAGACAACATCTCTCAGTTGCACGCTTTCGATAGTCGTTGTTACGTCTCTCAAAGTGCACCGCTCAACCACAGACGCTCAAATCTTTCGTTTCAGGATACCGCGTCTCGAAAAAATTGCCTAAAACGTTATGTCTTTGTCGATATTAAAGGAAAATCTTCCCGATCTGTACTTAAAGTGTACCACAAGCGGATGTTGGCACCGTTACCCCCACAAACTCCCTCTACACTGACAAAGGTTCAAGCAACTTTAAAATCAGTGAAAATTCCCATGGGTGTGAGCACGTGAAATGCGTTTAATTTAAGGTGCACTGCCGGAAAAGGTAACGCATTAGAAATTTAGTCTGAAAGAAGAACTTAAGTTCGGCTTAACGACCACATATTTAATTTTTTATTTTACTCCTGCGTGGTAAGTTCACTTCACAGAGCACGTACTGGATGAAGCTAGAATCACGAGTGGGTCTGTTGGATTAGTCGAGTGCCCTTTCGACTTTCAATTCTGTGTAACAACTTGAAGTGCAAACGAATTTGCAATTTACAGCTACCAAGCAAACAAGTACCTTGAAACCATACGGAAAGATCCAGTCTATCAATAACATTTGTAATCTCGTTTCGTTATCGCATGGACGTAACAACAACAACACTCTTTAATTGAATTAGTATAACAGGTTGCGTAAAGTGCCCATCCAATTCATGTAAGAAATTAAGCCGTACTTCATCGAAGCCAAAAGACTCGTCGAATTCGGGAAGCAGTACACCTTCTACATGCGCATCATTGTGCAACAAAAATCATATTTACCTGAACTCTAGCTTCCGTCAAATCGCAGCGCAGTGCCAGTTGTTCGCGCGTGTAAACATCGGGGTAGTGCGTTTTCTGAAAAATCCGCTCCATCTCTTCGAGTTGAAATGAAGTAAACGTGGTTCTATTTCGACGCTTTTTACGTTTGGAAGAAGACTCGTTATTTTCGTTTTCCATCTCCATACAAGACTGAGGACTAGGAGAAAGTTGGGTAGAACCTCCGACGGGAGGCGAAAATTTCCCTGTTGAAGTAATTGAAACACAAGTGTCAAAACATTATTAGAGGTAAAATTCAATTACAATTACAGAACGCAAGGCAATTCACCACCTATTAGATCAATCACAACAGCTTCGCATAATGTGCGCCAATTTCCGGAAACTTTTTACTACGACATTAAAAACTGAAACAAAATTTTAACTTTACCAGCTTGGGACTGAGTGCTCATGGAGAGTGTACCGTGTTGCCGGGCCATATCACAACTCACGTAGTTAGCTGGAGGAGAGTTTGGCGCTGCCGTTGCCCGAGGAATCGGGGCATTCGGTTGCATGTAGGATGGGGAGCGCGCGCTTTGGCCGATGGACGAGACAAACTCAGCGAACTTTTCCATTACTGACCGACTGCTAAGACAGACCCGTAACTGCGGCGAAGTGATCGAGTCTGATTCAACCGTCATCACAAGCGCGGAGTATTTTTGTGACACGCGTGACAGCCGCAAAGACCTTCTCAGCCAATCAACGCACTGTATTAAGTGTAAGCTTTAAGTCCGAGCCTTTTCTCAATCCTTCTAACGTCAGTAATAAAGATCTTTAGATAAGAATGATCGTAAGATTTCTTCATCATTCAATCTCATTGGCCATCTCCATGGAAAAACAAGAATAGTTTAAGTGACGCTGATCACTGGAGAAACAATGAGCGTTAATTAGCTCAAGGAAGCTCAGGAAATTCAAAGGGAATTTTTTAACTACTTTCTTTGAGTTGAAAAGCTCAAAGGGGTTTGGTTATTTTCGAGTGGCGAAAAGCAAAGGAGATTTGCTTAAGTCTTTGTTTGAAAAACAAGCGTATGACTGCTTGGAAACACAAAGGCCTACCGACTCTTCCGGTCGACACCTCTCGCTCGAAGGCAAAAGCCATCTGGTTAGACACTGACTACATGTTCGCAAGAGGACATAGTGGTATGGGATTCGTGCTCAAAACAAGGTGGCCCATTTTGTTGTTAAACGCTTTCATTAATAAGTCATCCCCACTTCTGCCTTAACAAGTGTCGTAATATCTCGTAATTAAATTAATTATCCGTTTACAAGGTCTCCACTGTTTTGTTTCCCTGGCTTGTTAACCTCGCTACATTTAATGTTGAAAACTATTTTCATACAAGAAAGTTTTTTTTTTCTCGTCGTTTGACATGTTAAAGTCTTAATGTCGAGGAGGAAAGACAAGGTGAAGTTATTGACAGCTATCAATTTCTTCTCTTTGGTAAACCCTGGTCAATATTCTCAAGGGCTTATTCTCTGGTCTGGAAAAATATTTCAACGGAATTTGAAATAGGATATAAGCCTTTAAGATCATTCACTATGACGGTCGGGACGCACGCTGCGTTTCGGGGGAACACATTTATGATCTCCCAAGCGAGCCCCTCATTTTAAGTATTGAAATGAGAAAGGAATGTCCAAAAGAGGACCTAATACGACTGGATGCTATATCATAATACCATAAATTGTCCTTTTTTTCCTATGGTTTGTTCTAGCTCTCTCGAAACGTGTAAATCCCTTACCCTGACGACCCCGGGTACACAATGTGCACCCCCCCTGTATCTCCCACAGAGCGTCTTAAGAAGATCAGATCACATCTGTCGCAAATATCCTTTTGTTATTCCGCCAAGCTTTACGACGTGAGTATCATCATTGTCCGTTTTGATTGTCACTAGGAAGTGTCCTATTTCACTTCTGTTCTATTTTAATGTCATCGTGTGAGCACACGTGGAAGACTCTTGCGGTTTACCGGCCCACGCAGTCCGAGATCTAGGGAAGAGAAAGTAAAGCCTCATATTGACTGTATCCTTCTCTTCTCTAATAGCACGACAAGGAAAGAGAGGCGCGCAGTCCGAGTAGTTAAGACATGGTTCATTAGTCTGCCATGAGGGACAAAGTATGCTGCTGGCAACTAATGCTTTCATATTTTGGGCTCAGTCCTTTTTTTCAAAGCTCCCAAATGATTCTACTACATTTCAAACAAATGATAATAACATATCATAATACAATAGATAGAAAGAAAATCTGACTCGAGATAGACGCTGCCTAACCAAACGCCTTTATTGGTTGTTGATCACTTGGAAAGAGAGAGGTCTAGTGACTAGACAAGAGGGAAGACGAAATACTTCCGTTAGCTCCCAAATCTACAGAATGAGCATTGACATCATTTTGAGCATTAAAGAAATCCTTTAAATTTAATGCTTTAAAAAGTGCAAAAATCTTATTGTATTCTGGCAATGTTGTTTTGAAAAATAATTCCCGTTTGCTCCGATTAAGCCAAAAATGACATTAGCACAATCGTCTGAGGGTCCGCGGGCGGTCAGCTGTATTAGCCCATTCCCGCATACGGATAGTTACGATTAGTGAGTTGTATTTGAGCTGTCGAGAAATTCATATGAAAATATCAAGATTCTTCCGTGAGTAATGGCTTTTTGACTCAGTGCTGTGTTCCTTGGGATGCTATTCAATTCTATGCCAAAACCGATCCAGCTTATCGCGTCAGTCCCCCCTTACATAATAATTTCCTATCTATATCGGTTAAAAGCAAAAGCTGCTTTCCAAAATGGTGGATGCACAGTCATATCGACAAACCTCCAGTGGCCTGATCAGCCACAACAACGGATGTAGAAAATCCCTTTCATACCCATTTGAATTCAACAAGCAAATTTTGGACCGTACCTTACGGCACCAAAATCGATGAGTTTATGCCAGAAAATTTCAAGATATATCAAGGCCGAGTTTTTCAGGATATTCGGGAACATTTTTGTTGAATCAGGAAAGAGTTTGAAGGAATACTGGAAAGATATTTCCGCTGCCTACGTGATATCCGCGGATAAGCCTACAGGCAAGGTCGTAAAAATTCCAACGAAGCTTCTTTAACTCTTAGGAGAGACGAGCGTCTGATTTCTCCGTACAGTATCACTGCTAAATTAAGACGTCGCCTACTAAATTAAAGAAGCTCGCAATAGTTAGACAGAGTGTCCTCGACAGTACTATAAAAAATTTTACAGAGACTAGTACGGAAAAAATGGATATTGATGTTAGGGAGTAAAGGGTTACTGAAGAGATTTAGGACACGCTTCGCCGAACCTGAAAAAGTTCAGTTTAAATTATTCAACTTGATCAGTTGCATTACTTGCATACCGTATTTATCTTCGTCTTTCTGATTGTATTCTTAATTTATTTGCAGCTTATTCATGCTTGTTAATTAAGAAATATGAAGTTATGCTCTCTGTATCAGAGGCCATCCTGCTAAAGCTTAACTGACAACTCAAAATATTCATTATGGCAAACCAAATAAATGTATTATTTAATTTACCTATGCTCATGGACGGCAGGTAGCGTGGCCGAGCGGTCTAAGGCGCTGGTTTAAGGCACCAGTCTCTTCGGAGGCGTGGGTTCGAATCCCACCGCTGCCACTAATTTTTTCTTCTTTCCGCTCTCTTTTTTTTCTATTATTTCTGACTTTTCTTTTCTTCCAAATTAGGCTTTTCCTAAATTTACTTTCGTTAAAATGTCACAAAATTCTAACAAACAATTCGCAGCAACACGATGTGCCCTGCTACCTTCTCCCTTGGTGTACTTCGCCGTGGTGTCAGAGGCATTAACCGTTTACGTCGTGATCAGTTGGTAAACAATTTAAATATTCGACATGTGAACAAGATTTTACCAAGAAACTGCAAATTCACAGTCTATTTCATTATTATTTCTAGTTCCCTTTGCGTTAGATTCCGTTCCATGAGTTTCATTGACACGGCGAATTGTTCCGTGTTCAGAGGTCGTGTTACTCTTCAGCTTGCCTGACTAAAGATTTGATTATAAAATTTAATCAACCTAGTTAGGACTCATACAAGTTGAAAAGCCATAAATTCCCTTCCCCACCCCTCCACCAATACAACTACCACACTCCAAGATCAAAAGTGCATTAGCGAGTCAATTTTACAATTGTAAACACGCTTTGTTGGCTTAACAAATTATAGGATCATGTTTACGGAATGGCTTTTTTTTATCAAAATACCTTGTTAAACACTGCATTACATACATTTTGCTGTCGTTACGTAGAACCCTAAACCTCAACCATTTCCCATCCAAACTTCTCGCAGAATGTCCGCTTCCAAAAGCAATTTCTCTCCTCTTTCTATATATTTTATATTGGTCTCGACTTTAAAGAATCCTTGATTGCAGTACTTAAAACAATCGTAACTTAGGCAAACTAACAGGTCCAAATTTGAATAACAGTGGCTATGGGTTGATTGATTTCACACGCCTCTCAAAGCAACAATTAATTCCGCGAGGCCAGACATTTTAAGAATTTCTTCATGTAGTTACAAACCAGCAGGAGAGTTTCGTTGTGATCGTTGTACTAAGTCGAAACTCCGTACAAAAACCAGTGTTACTTTTGTGGGTGAACACCTCCAGAGGTATCATAATTTTCTTCAGCTATGACATCAACTAGAATGCTAACACGCAGAGACTCCTATAAACAGACGGACGCCAAGTTTGCGTTGTTGGGGGCAAGGAACGTGGGTAAATCTGGTAGGTTGCTCTCTAACTTTGAGACAAATTATACAGAATTTATCGCTTTTAGTAGAATGCATCAACCTGAAAAGAACGGGTACCCTTTCCTCAAATTGCGTCTTCTCTTGGAACGAGAGATCAAAATGAGCGCCTGAACCGGCCAAAACTCAAGTTCGTTCAAGGAGTATGAGATGCTCCTCCTCAAATTCGAGTTTAAACTCGAAGATATACTTATTCATAGCTGTGTAGCCGTCCACAGGACATAACCATCCACTGAAAGTATGAGGCGAACCTGGATGGTGCGCATTTATAAGATTAGGGGTAAAATCTGCAGCCTCAAAACTTTGACAAACACGTATATAGACTGTTATGGTTCCATCACCTCTGCAACATATGTTAGGAAGAGTTGTAAGGCCTACAAGGTTAACTTCCTGAGGATCATTTTTCACTGGGAAAATCACCTGTACATCTCTTCTAATATATATCAAAACTACAGCGGACTAAACTGCAACGGTGTTACAGAAAAAAGGTGTTACAATACGGTTTAATCAAGTTACGCAACTTGAAAAAAAAGAGCTAACGAGTACCTACAACGTTAGTGCTTCCGAAACAGGTTGTTTTCGATGGACTTTGGGTTCATAGGGCCAGATTCGACTAAAAGTTTATAAATTAATATACGAATGTACGCGCACATTTTGAAATACAGATGTTCATAGCGTATTATCTGAGTAATCCTTAAGACTTTAGCGACATCGATGTTTACATCATCTGCCCAAAATTGAAATTGATTAAGTGAACAATCTAAATCAACGGAACAGGAAATAAATAATTATAATTGTCGTCTTTCAATCAGTGATCTAATGTACTTATTTAAACGGGACAGAAAATTGAGATTAATAAGGATTCAGAGTTTGAGGTTCAAACTAACAATTAAATGTTTTCAACCGTGGCTCATACATAAAACTAAGATGAAAATAATAAAACTTGAAAATATTTCCAGCAAAAGTTTCGAGTTAAAGATATCAAGATTCCTATATCAGGATAGAGTTTGACAGAATCACGTTTTCGGGTCAAATTGAGCTAGTCATTGATGATTCAGATCTGCATTACTTCGAAAGAAAAGAGTTTGTTTAATCAACCTCTAAGTTTTAAATTGTGTAATGACATATTTGATAGACATAAGATGTACGAGTTTACACTGTGGAAAAAACTCATTAGTTTTACCCAGCCTTCTGCAAACAAACCGTTTTTACCATATTCCATTAGAGCCATGAATAGTTACAGTGTGAAGATGAGGTATGGATTTCACAATTGCGTGAAAATTACGTTCCACATTTGATTGTCCTTCTATCACTTTGTGCGAGAAAATTGAAGTTATTATTGAAACATTATTGAAAAAGGCAAAAACGGCATTAAATCTAAGGAGAACTAAAAGGTGAAAAGGGCTTCCAACCATGAATATTTCAATAACATGTCGGAAGTTGATTTTTTACATTTCGCTTAAATTGAAAATATAATTTTCTTACAGTGATAAATACACAGAGCATGTGAAGCACAGTCAAAATTTGCACAGGCGTTTTTTAAAGGTTTAAAACACAGCAAATTGAAAAGAGGAAACAATGGCTGTTTATCTCTAGCGAAATAAGCAAAAGAAAAGAGTTGAATAAATTAGTTTAATCATGCTTTTAAAAGTGAATTACTGACAAAGCACTTAGGACAAATTAGGCTCAAAGATTACAAGGCCGTCGCCATAAAGAGCAGAGTAAAAAGAGTAGGGTTCATTCATCGAACTTCGAACCTTTCTTGCTACGTAATCAATAACGGGTCTCCTAAAGCTTGCTTCTGATAAAATAGGAATGTAAAATATGATTTTTGTTCGTACTTAGCAATTTTTGTTAATCAGTGCGCTAATTAGAGGGGAGCTTACTCTAGCAAAACATTTTAATCTTGTGCCTTGAAGTAAATGATTTAGCATATCTCGGTCATCTTGGCAAATTGGTGAACTGATAAGTCATTTCCAAAATGCCCAAGCCTTTTATTGAAAACGAGGGTAAAAGTGGTCTCAATTAAGAAAATTAAAGAAATTTTTCACAGGAAAAGTTTTCCCTTTGGACTCTTTTAAAATGTGATCTGGATGAGATTTTAGAAATCAAAATAGGGCTATTCAAGACAAACAGAGGGTGAATACGTAAAGAAACAACTCAGCTCTTCGTTTAATTTTATAGCAGGATGTCATTAACATCAAACTGCTGAAAAGTCATCATGTAAAAAATTTAAAAATTGAAAAAGCTGTGGACACTTCATCAAACACGTACACAACATTCTAAGCTTCCCGTAACTCGGTAAAACGTGAATTTAATGTAAGATTTTGTTTTTGGTTTTGTTTTTTATCTTTCTTTTCAAATCATGACTGTTTGTCTTCTTGCTTTATCTGTGAAGTAATTCATACACTTTATTCGATGGTTTAACATCATCGTAAGGATGGCCAGCTTCAAGGTACCCCAGCGAACGTCTTCAGTAGCCCTTTGACCCTTTGTGTGATCAGTGCTTAAATTGTTCTTACAACATTAAGACAGTGTCAACCAGACAGGTAATGAAAATTCCTCGAGCTAAGCCGGTTGTGACTTTTATTGGATCAGCACAGTAATCAATAGCTGTGGCATCTCAGCCGTTTGGTTTCACATGCAAGTGTTCTTGTTTCTTTTTGTTCCTTTTGGTGTTTGGCTGTGTTTTTGTTTCGTTTCGCTTTGTTTACTACATTTTTGCTGTCGTTGTTGTTGTTGTTGTTGTTTTTTTTTTCTTTTGCTGATTTATAAGTTACTTAGAACGTTTTCTCCCAACTGAGAGCGTTTTCTGCCGTTTATTTTGACTGGTTCTTGCCCCTAGTATAAGTGTATTCATAAAGCATAGTCCGCCAGTGACCTTTGGTGGATCGACCCTGATCAGATCATGAACTGAACCCAAAAACCAAGGGAACTTGACCGTATCTGTACGTTAACTGAATCAGTTCAATCTAATTAAGTGGAAGCACGCGGCAAACTGACAATAAGTAGCTTTAATTCTATCGACGGAAATCTGGACCATTAAAAAATTTTGCTTTACTTAGCTTTGGATTATAACACCCTAATTATTAAAGCCGCATTTACACAAGAGAGATTTCCCTGACTGTATAGAGGAGACAAGTGGCAATCTTTCCTCCTCCTGTCTTCCATGCGAGACTTTGAACAAGGACACTTGTCAGGAAAAAAGAGAACTTTTCAAAGATTCATTATACCAGTGTGAATAACTTTAAAAGGGAATTCGCCAAGAAAGCGTGATAAGGGTTTAAGGTATATGCTCCTACAAGTTTTCCCGGCCAAGTAGCTATAACAAGTTGTTTTTGCTTTAGCACGCACAAGGATTAAAATTTTACTTTGAAAAGTATACCAGCTATGGAATACTCGCTGATGTAAATGCGGTTTAAGTAACTATTTACACTTTCTCAAGTACATCAAACCCTGTTTTGTTGTGATTGTTTTCTTCGACAGCAATCGCAGTAAGATTCCTCACGAAACGTTTTATCGGCGAGTATGACTCATCCCAGGGTAAGTTTGCCACATCCCTAAGAGTGATTTACATCTCATTTCTCCTTACAATAATACCCCGAAATCAAGCATTAAGGCCACAAGAATAAGGCAAATGATCAACAACTAACAAAGCTCTTGATTGTTTCACAAATTCTTCTGTCAGTACATTAGGAAATGTACAAAGAGCAGTATGGAGAATCTACATACTGATGCTAGGGTGTAAACGGTTGTTACCCGTTATCGTCCCTTCTTGGATTACTCCATTCCAATTTGCTGTAATTGAATTGTCTAAGTGAACATTTCACAGTTCAAATGGTAATTCTGCTCTTCGTAACAAGAGTGAAAGTATCGTGATGCTGCGCCCATAAACTTCTTAGTATAAGTGGATCTGTCGCAGACCTCCTCCTGTGACTCAGCTGACCTGCTCCAGTTTGAGGTTGAACAGGCGATATGTTCCTACCAGCGGTCCTCAAAGTTCAAACCCTAACGATGTCATACAAGTCGCAGATGTACACCCTCTGAGTCGAGCTCTCATTATTAAGAAAAGACGTTTTAGGGTCATGTAACTAATGGAAGCTTACCACAGTAATAGACGTCGATCGTCTAGTTTCCTTCTTCATAAATCTTTACATAAACCGTCTTCTCTGTTACAAAGCCCTTGAGGACTTATAATCTATATCTTCTAAAAGTTGTTACATTTCTTTCTTTTTTCTTGCAAAATGCAGACTCTACGTATCAGTTCAATTCGACTATTGACGAAGAGCAGGTTAACTTGGAGATTATAGACCCAGGTCCAGAGGTTGGTTTCGGTCAAAGCCATTATTCTTTACGCACGACAATCCAAAATTGCATAGGGTTTTCTTTATTTTGCTCTGAGATTGGTCTAAAAAGCTCGCTCAACTCCCTCAGCCAATCAGATGCAAAACAAAAATCAATTCTCGGCATGGTCCTACGCTTCAACTGAAGCAACCTGCTTGCTTCAACCCAGAGTTCCCCTCGGCCTCTCGTGATGTTTCCTTAGCTCCAATTAACTGTTGCGATTACGTTACTTTTGGTTTCACAACAGCTCTAGGCTCAAGCTGACACAAAAAGTGCTATCCACTTTTAAAAAAACGCATTAGAAAAACGAACGCTTTTTTTTTGGCGTTGGAAGTCACGAGCTGTTTCAGACTTTTAAACAGGACACCCTAACATGTACCTTTGTAATCTTCGCCGTTTTTCTTTTTCAGTCAAGAAACGAACAAACTGTGGGAAGTCGAGCGATCTGGGCCGACGGTTTGATCCTCGTCTACTCAATAACCGATCGGAAAAGCTTCGAGGAAATACAACACCTCCATAATCTCATTGATCCTTTTAAGCAGAAAACAGTCGTCATCATCTTCGGCAATAAATCGGATCTCGAACACAAACGACAAGTACCCGAAAAAGAAGCCGCCTCACTTGCAGAAAAATTACAATGCTCGTTCTTTGAAGGTTCGGCATCCGAAGGACATACGAAGATCTCTGAGGCATTTCACGAGCTCTACAAAGAGGTCGCCAAGAGGAAAAAAGAAAGAAAGGTGTCTCTTTCACCTCGCCCCTTACGAAATGCTCTTGGAAAAGTTTTCCGAAGAAACAGCAGTAAAAACTTGCTACTGTCTCCTTCAGGTGCACTCATTACATAGCAATATCTCAATTTGACCTTTAACCTCCCAGGATCTGTTTTGTAATTTGCCCTTACAACTGCCAGACTTAATTACAAATCAATAAAGGAGGTAAGATTTTAAAGAAACTGTGGTGTTATACAGGAGATTATAACAAGGTAATTTGGTACTATCCACTGAGTTGGCTACTAACTGACTCAGTTGATAATGCCAAATTACTGTACTTACAAATCAGTTCTGAGAATTTGAAGTTATCATTCACACATCCAGCTAGCTGGATAATGTATCAATATTTAAACAAAGTAAGATGTTAATCACTTCTGTAAGGTTAAGGCTTGACGCCATCCCATTGAGCGATTTCTTGTATTTTTTCCACATATCACAAGCAGCTTTTATGCTGCACTTTATGAGTGGCTCACAAGCCTTAAAATACCATGTAAAATACAAGATTTTTGAATGAGTGAACACTGAAACACAAATATCTGTCAATAATCCTGAGCAGGATAATTGTGTTACTATTGTTGGCAAGTTCTAGGCTGAGGGACTTTCTGACTGATAGCTTTGAACCACACCGCTACTATTGTAAGACAACAGTATCACTTTTAAATGTGAGAGAACTTCAAATGGGCATCCATATTGAGCCGCTGATAAATTTTCCAATTTTTTTACTTCACATGAAAGATCCATGAAGCACATGTAAACCTTCCTGTAACAGCTCACAAAGTACAATCAAAGGCATAACACCCATTTGCCAGAGAGAATATAGCTTCAAAACATATTTATCCATAAACCACATTTGCTGCTAAGGATCAGCTCTGTCCAGTTAATGTCCAAACAGTTGCCAATCTCAATACCACTGGTTCAATATATTTCCTTCAATCTGGTGATCAATACTTCTCTAGAGCAGCATTCATCTGTGATTTTCCCCATATGGGTTATTGCATTGCTACTTTTTAAGTCTGAGATTGAATCTTATCAAGAAGATGTTCAATTTGGTTGGCCATAATTGGCTGGCCTTTCCTTGTTCGTCGATTCAACCGACCAAAGGTTTCTCTGCGCTTTTTCATCTTTTCCTGAACCTCCTCTCTGTGTTTTTGTATCATTGTTTCCCTTTCCTAAACAATAAAAGAAAATAATCAGCACAATAAACTTAGTGAGAAATGCCATGGCAAAGTATTATCGACAAAAGAAATGATGATGATGGGTTTTTCCATTGTAAAGAAGGATCTGATTTTTTAGTTCATTCCTCTTGATTGTGAAACAGTGGAGATAGATACTGAAAGGACAAAAGAAGTAAAAGAGATTCAGGTACATGTAGCAGAATAATAAATCTGGAGCGCCCTGGTTCAAACATGCTTCAGTGGCATACATGTAGGAACAAATAAATCAGAAAGTAAATATTCATACAGCTGGAGGAAGAGGTAGGACCAGTACTATTGGGTGTTTGGGAGTATTCAGAGGATTCAAAGGAAAATAAGGTCCCTTGTACATGTAAGGTTGCCTTGTCTCTTATGCCATCAGTTTTTCTCACTTGATTTTTGTTTGCTTTCAAACATCCTGTGAAATATTGCAGCTATTTCTACTCCCTTATTTCAACTTTTTAAAATCCAGACATTGTATCGTGTTTCACCCTTCGGTCAGGTTATTGTAGCACTGCATTCTGCATGTGTAGCAAGACGTAGCACAGGTCCTTAATGTACAGGCCCTTCAGCTTTCCTAAACACAAGTCACAGCGCACATAGAGAGGTTGACTGACTGTGTCATCCCACATAAACTTTCACATTGAACACCCTGTAAGTGTATTCAATCAGAATACCATCTCTCTAATGAAGAAAACAGGTGTTAATTGAACTAGAAAACATATTTAAGATTATGATTACCATATCAACTACATCTAGCTTAAACACATTTTTAAACATTAGTCAATTCAACAAACCTTAATCATCTGTTCCTTCTCCATTTTTCTTTTCTTAAAATCACTTTCAGCTGCCATGAATTTGTTGACTTGTTTCCGCTTCCTTGCAGGAGCACAAAGAAACAAGGAGCATGAAAAGTCACAAACTTCTCTTCATTAGGGTTTGTTTAATGAATATACACCTCTAATTAATGATCTATATAATCTATAAAATTTATTTTTATTTTATGACACTTTCCATGGCAACGCAGTGTATTAAACAGGTGCTTGAAGGGTGAACATGGCAATGAACAGCCTTAACCCTTAAGAGTGACTAGCATCTACAAGTAATTTCTCCTTACAATATCACCCCTGTATCACACATTAAGGTCATGAGAATAAAGAAAATGATCAACAGCCAAAGAAGCAACTTGATTGTTCAATAAATTCTCCTTGTCAGCACATTAGGAAATGTACAGAGAACAGTATGGAGAATATGCAAACTGATGTTAGGGTGGAAAGGGTTAATCACTATTGGCACAAATTAGCAGGTCAACCAAGGCTTATTACACACTGCTCCGTAAAACTGTGCATGTAAGTCCATCATTCCTGTGCTTTCTTTAAATACCACAATATACCTTTTGTAAAATAGTTAAACCAAAATTCCAATGGCTAGAGCTGTTTTAAATTCAGATATGAAAAGTTTTCTCCTGCTGCTTTAAAAATGTCCTCCCGTTGTTACATCTCATAATGAGAACCCTGAATAAGCATCCCAAATAATAAAGGCAGAAAAGGCAAAGTTTGGGTGAGTAGAGAAGGTTCCACGACTGACTGCTCGCTCTCTCGCTCGCATGTACCATTAAAACGTTTGAAAAACACAGAATTATGGGCTGGGAACAATTCACTATCTTTGGGTTGATTTTACTTCCGATCGGGAAATGATAACTACATTGACTTACTGTTGAGATTTTGGTCTTCGCACTCCCTGACTTTCTGTTTCGTTCTGTATTAAAAAAAAACCAGAAGTTTAGGGCCACTCACTCTTCTGATATATCACTAAAAATTTGTAAGTTCGGGAGAGGCAAACCTTTCCAGTTGTATTCACATCTGCGACACGTGCTGGACGTTGCAAACGTGGACGATTATCTCTGTTGTCTGCTGACTGACGATTCTCATGTTGCTCCCTTGTTTTCCTTAGTAGCTTTTTGTATTCCTTAATAGCCATCTTCTTCCGTTTTTCAGCAAATGCGTGGCCTATATATACAGTATGTTAAATAAAGACAAACGTTCAGTTTATGCAAGCTAGGTTTCTTCAAGACAAATTAGAGATAACTAGCTCCTTTAACTTCCCAAATCTAATCTAACAACGCCTACCCTTCTCTTTGTTCCCAATGTTAAGTAAATTTGTCGGCTTCTTCCAGCGGAATTTTGGCTTCCCCTTGGATTTTGTTCCTTTCTTTTCGCCCTTTCTCCTCTCTTCGTCCGCCATTTTGAATTCGAATAGTTTCCACCAGTACTCCGCTGTAGAATTGCGGGCGAAGAGCGTGGAGCTCGTTTCCAGGGTAGTGCGAGGTGACCTAGCTATGCAGTGCGTATTCGAATATTTCACTCCAAGGGATGTTTGAAATACCGTGTTTACAGGATACGTGACAGAAAAAGGCAAAATTATCGGAATTTCTTTGTAAAACCAATGAAAGCACGACATATATATTTGATTGTCACCTTCCTCGTTCTAAACTGGCAAACGATGGGCGTTCGATCTCTCTTTTTGCCAATTCGGACGTTGCTCTTTTTTAGTTGATTAGATTTCTATTTTTCTATAGACTCCTGTAAAAACAATGTTTCAGCGCCCATGGGCTTACTAGTGGGGACGGAAGAAATGTAAAAACTTCGAATGTGTCGGCGTTCAAGAATGAATGAAAACTAAAGATGGAAATCATTATTTATATCTGAAGGAGCTTTCACAACTATGATAACCAACTTTGCAACATTTTTTCAATGAAATGTCTGAAGTTCTTTGATAAAAAACATCTAATTTCACACCCGTCATTAAAATGATATTTAAGCTATTTTCTTATAGAAAATAAAAATCTAATCTGCCTTTTTTTCTTGTTTGCCATTTCTACAGCTTAAGAATTTAATTAAAAAATCCCCTTATTCAAAAAGATCTAAAGCTGCAATAGATAATGAACTAGCTATAGCGCATTTAGATAGTTTATTAATTTATCATTATTATATTCCATGACAGGTTTTCATCAAACGAACGCTTGAGGTATAATTAGCGCAAAAATAAGATGGATATCATTAAAAGATTTCACGTGATCCCTACAATTATTACACGATAAGATAATGATTAGGATTTCGTGTCCACATTAAAAAACAGCAGTGTCACCCATAAGGGCGATAACAAGAAGTAAACGACTTTAAAGGCAATTTAAAATGATTCCAAATATGATACATATTGCAGCGTGGACGTCTATCCAATGCCGTGTTGTTATCTTCTTTCAGGCCATAATATACAAAACAAGAATATATTGGGACGTGCGAACTTGATTACCGTTTCCCTTCCTTTCCTGAAACACTTAACCAAACAAGACTTGTAAGGACAAATATCACGTGATAAATAGATAGCTAAAATAATTTTTATTGGGGATTGTTTTGTTTGGTGATAAATGATTGGAAAGGTAATTAAACATACATGATTGAAACCAAAGCTAGCTTTTAGGGCAAGCTCAAACTCTGGAATACTGATCGTGTCACCTCATCCACAATATTTTACCAAAAAAAAAACAATCTTTTATCAGTACGGATACCCAAAGACCAGTGATCACTTAAATACTTTTAAGCTATGGGAGTCATTCTCTAAAAACGATCCATTCGTTCGTAATTACAGCATCACGATGATCATACAATTTCTACGCAATTAAAGCAACTAATGTGTCATCGTTATATTAAAAAAATAATGACACAATTAAAGCCGCTCACGAAAAAGAAAACGCTTTGGTGCAAGTCGATAATGATTCCAGAAATGAAGCTTGCTGCAGAGTGCTTAAATGACGTATCACACGGGGATTTTAAATCATGATATGTGTCACAGCGGCAGATTGAAATATTATGACTGGTGACTTTACGTATAAATACGTACCAATCTAGGCGAAAAACCTGCTTAAAGATCTTGACTGATGAATTCAGAAAAAACAAAAAACTTGAGGTAATTGATTTTAAGTATGATTGATCGAGGTATATGATTAGAAATCTGTTTAACTTTTAAAACAGACTCAAATTATTAAGTCTTTGATAAATGTAAAGTCGTTTCCTGTATTGCAACGGCAAATTGAAGCAATTTCGGTTCTAATAATTGCGGTCATCTAATTATCTCTAGCTGTGGGAAATTATTCCTCAGAAACAAACTTGAGATCATAAAAATATTGATATTTGTAAAATTAGAAAGTAATCTTTGAAAAAACCTGTCGCATGTAATTACACTGCAGATATTATTCAATTAATAGCAAGTTATAATCAAACCGCTATAGGATCACACCTAGACTGGATTATTTAAGGGGTCGACCACCGTCAAAACTGCAATTCTTGATCTACCCCAGCTAAGATCACATCAGAGAGGAAACATGGTGTTTCTACTAAAAGAAATCTTCTTGTTGACGATTGTGGCATCGGCGCTGGCTTTGCCCTGGGGATCATATGGTAAGGCACTCATGACAGTCTTTTTACTCCCCTCTCTTGATTTTTTAAGTAGAAATGCCACATGGACTGTAACACGAATTTTGTCGAGAGGTTGCGCGCATGTTTGCCTAATATTCAGTCCTAGGAGATTATAAATCTGATTTGTGTTCTTTAGCAGCTTCAATATTTATTGAGTTTCAAAAGTTTAATGTTTTGATTCTGTGCCTTGCACATTTTGGATATGAATTAAATTTTGACATGGATATTTTTTCATTCTGAAAATGTATTGAAAGTTCCATTCAAGACATAGCTGAGTTAGCCCCTTATTTACCTGTAGGAAAAGTCAGTGAACAAAAACAGAATATATTCAAAATAAAGATGTTCTCTTAATTCACCGAACTGAAACTTGAAGAGGTAAACAAAAACAAGAAGTTTTGCATCACTCATTTCCATTCACGAATTTTCATTCGGTGGTTAGAGATCATTCAAGACCAGATGTGGGTCCCTCATTTAGTGTGACTTTGAGGAGATCTTTGAAATTTTGTCTTCAGTCATATTACGCTGATTAGCGACTTGTTGGTGACAAGAGTGAAAACTTATCAATTAAAACTGATTGATCTCTTTCTTCAATTGCAAGAAAAAAAGAAATCAGATAAAAGAGACAAAAGAATGACAAAAAAAGACAAGAGAAAGACCTGCCATAACATCAATAATACGACCACGTCGCTGTTTTTACGTAACAGAAATTTCTTCCATGAAATCGAGCACTGGGCGTCAAAATAATTTAATTTCATAATGAATGCGAGCACTAATAATGTAAAAAAAAGAAAACAAAAATGATGATGATGACGACATCAATGAAAAAGAAAACAACAATGGAAATAACTGTATGAAAACGATAACGGTTATGATAATGACATTGATAATGACGCTCAGAATGAATATTAGAAATGACCCCGCAAGGATGGGATAGAGAATCGTGTGAACGATGCTGAGTAACAATTTCAATTAGCTTCTTACATAATGATCGCCCTTGAATATTCGTCAGTTAATCCAGGCCTCCATTTCATCCCAAGTCTCTATCATTTTTTCTTAAATGATTGACTCCGCAGGTCCCTCGAGTTCCAGGGACAGTACTTCCTTCCTTCCTTGGTTATAACTCAGAGAGTTAAGCCAGATAGACTAACAGACTGTTGTAATTTAGTTAAAATGATTCATTTCTTAAGCTCAGATGCCAAATTATGTTAGCAAGGAGAGCTTACATTCAATTTTTTTTACGTTACTGTTGTATGATTAAAGTGAATGATAGCACAACATGTATTTTAGAGAACGACGTTAGATAACCCCCCTCTTCATCAGACCGTCAAAAACAGTTTGCTAATCATTTGGCAGCTTGTGCTTCATAGTTATCCATTTTCACAATCATCAAATCTTGACGGATGATCTATTTAAACAATTACTTCGACCGCTTCTTACTTCTTCAGTAGAAATGGATGGAACTGTCGATGATCTTCCTCCCAACGGTAAAGAGGAAATTTATCCAGTGGTAACCAACACGGACTCAAAGCGCGGTAATTGTGAATGATTTTCAATAGAGGCTTCAACTCCCTCTTTTCCTTTTCAGAGGCTATTCTTGTTGTATTTGACAAGATGATGTGTCCATTGGGTGGGGCATTTAAACTTTATGGTTTTTAATAAAAGGGATTTAACACCTAAAGGGAGAGAGAGAGAGAAGTAGCAAGAAATATGCGCGTTACCTCTGTTACGGGTTGTTGATGCCACGATTCACTCAAACGAAAATAAATTCTTTTCCCGAAAATGTTTAAAAGAAAAGTCTTATTTTATAGTAATATGGTTGCTGCAAACATCAAACAAGATTTTGAGCATTAAGAAACCACTTTAGATAGTCGTCCTTTTTACACTCAATGTGTGCGATTAAGTCCAAGCTTCAAATAAAAATAAATGAATATGCTCCTCTTCTGCCCCCCCTGGCCTCCCCGCTCCTGCTCCCCATCACATGAAACATATGTTCTTATTATCCGATGAACCTACATGGATGCTAGGCGCAGACTTGATGCATCTTTTTTTCCATCAATTTTTTTCACCTAATCAGCTTGCTCATAGGTCTGACTAATCTTTTGAAGAGGTGTGAGCTTTTGCGTTAGGGAAGATCAGGAGGAGGGGAGGGGTTCTCCGTGAAAAATCAATATAAAAATAACATTAGCATAGAATATTGAACATAACTTGATTTTTCTTGTGATTTCGCAGCTGTTCCAGACCTAATCGTGAATGATGATAAGCCGGCTGTTGATGGCGAGAGTGAAACATTCCCAGATACGACCTACGTCGAACGAGGTAGTATATACATCAGTATATTTTTCCGTATACACACTGTATAATGCTTCATTACACAGCCTTATATTCGACATTTTATGCAATTTCCACTAATGCCGGCCAATTTTACAGAACGTAAGAAAATAACTTAAACTAAGAATCTAAGATGAAGACTGCTTATTGGTGGATAAAGACCTAAGCTCAAATACTAGCAGCTGTCTGGAAAACGAGCATGAACTGCCCTTTGTATTCTTTTGCCAAAAAGTGATCCCCTTCCTCTCCCCATGAAAACTATGTGATAAACCAAAATCCTCCGACTCCCCCCCCCGACCCCTGTATTAAATGTTTTCTTAACTTAAAACTGACCTGATCCTTCCACAAACCTCTGTGATATTCTATGACCCCCTCCCCCTCCCCCATATTGACGGGAATCAGTTTTCCGTGGTCCCCCCTTTGTACTCTTTTGCCCACAACTGCTTCCCCTCTTCTCCCTCTGAAAACCCTGTGATAAACCAAAGTCTTCTGATCCTCCCTCCCCTCCTGTATTGACGGGAATCAATTTTCTATAGTCCCCCCTTTGTACTCTTTTGGCGACAACTGCCCCCCTCCTCTCCAAAATCCTCCGACCCCTCTCCCCAAAGCGATAAGTTATGACAGTTGCCTTACCCCTATGCTTATGTCACCCAACGTTCTTCATCAGAATCGAATGAAAACGATGAAACGGTTGAAGATCCACCACCCGATCGTGTACATTATCCTGCGGCAATAAATGAAGATTCAAAACGCAGTAAGTATAAGGATGGCGATCTCATAATTAGCTACAATATGTTTTCATTTCCCTCCATCTGGCAGAAACGGGGGAGGGTTATAACTGTAACCACGCTAAAGATTCGTGATGGCCATTGAGGTTAAAATTCCTAAAGGAAAACCAAGCGTTCGCTTGTAAAGTTAATATCCGAAGTGCAAGCCCGAGTCATTTCGGTCAGACAAAATGTTTTCTTAATTTAAAACTGACCTGATCCTTCCATAAAGCTCTGTAATATTCTATGACCCCCCCCCCCATATTGAGGGGAATCAGTTTTTCGTGGTCCCCCCTTTGTACTCTTTTGCCCACAACTGCTTCCCCCCCTCTCCCTCTGAAAACCCTGTGATAAACCAAAGTCTTCTGATCCTCCCTCCCCTCCTGTATTGACGGGAATCAATTTTCTATAGTCCCAACTTTATACTCTTTTGCCCAAAACTGCCCCCTCCTCTCCCTCTGAAAACCATGTCATACACCAAAATCCTCCGACCCCCCTCCCCCAAGGCGATAAGTTATGACAGTTGCCTCACCCCTAAGTTTATTTCACCCAACGTTCTTCATCAGAATCGGATGAAAACGATGAAACGGTTGAAGATCCACCACCCGATCGTGTACATTATCCTGCGGCAATAAATGAAGATTCAAAACGCAGTAAGTATAAGGATGGCGATCTCATAATTAGCTACAATATGTTTTCATTTCCCTCCATCTGGCAGGAACGGGGGATGGTTATAACTGTAACCACGCTAAAGATTCGTGATGGCCATTGAGGTTAAAAATTCTTAAGGGAAAACCAAGCGTTCGTTTGTAAAGTTAATATCCGAAGTGCAAGCCCGAGTCATTCCGGTCAGACAAAATGTGTCCTTAAGTTAAAATTTACCTGATCCTCCCATAAAGCTCTGTAAAGCGATGAAACGGTTGAAGATCCACCACCCGATGGTGTACAATATCTTGCAGCTACAAATAAAGATTGAAAACACAGTAAGTATAAGGATGGTGACCTCCTCAAGTTTTATATTATGTCTTTATGCCTCTCCTTCTTACATGAGGGGCGGGGAGGGTTGATATTTCTAACTCCCGCTTAAGATTCACGATGGCGGTTCAGGCCGGGTTAACAATTTGAAAAGAGATACTAAGCGTTCTTTGGCCAAGTTTATGCCTGAAGAGCAAGTACGGGCCATTTCTCCCAGACAAAATGTGTTCTTAAGTTTTGTGGCCGATTTATGTCGCTCTTCCTTTGAGTAATTTCAAAAGAAGTTTTGAATAGGATCTTGACAGGGAAAAAGCACTAATTACTAGGTGCGACTCAGTAGCGTCCCGGTTATTTCGCCCCAAAGTTATATCGTCCCCAGTCACATCGCTCTAACGAGAGTCAAGAGATGTCAAAATTATTTTCGTGTGTGCAATCAAGATTTGGCATGCCTTTGAATATGAAATGTACGACGTGTGGCTTCGATGTTTTAAGGACTTGTTCTGCCAGCAAGTGTTGTATCAGAATGATACTCTCAAGCCGATAAATTGGCTGGATAGTGCATTCACAACGTTTGAGGAAGTTACGTGTTAATCCTTTCGGGTTACAAAGAGCTAACATAACAAATCTTTTGGAATTCTTCTTTTGCTCAGCTTTACTTCCCTTTGACGGAAACAAGAAAATCCGGAATAAAAGAGGGGCAGTAATGAGTTCAAATTATCTCTGGAAAGCTACCACAGACGCAAGTGGAAAACGCATCGTCAAGATCACCTACAGTTACCGTGGCTGTAAGACAAATAATTAATTCCTAATTACAGATAGATATATAAGATATATAATCCGAAACATTAACGTACAGCTAAATGTAGCTCAATGTAGACCACAAGCATTAACACAGTGGTTTCCACCTGATCGCTAAGAGCTGTCTGTGAGTGCAGAGTTAGTTTGAAAACACAATTGATTATAAGTCGATCCATTTCATGTTTAGTCCACTTTCTCGCCTCCCCTGTCTCCTTTGTTCTCTTATACCGTCATTCTCCAGCCCTGAGCCATGTCAACACAGATCTACATGAACACTAAATGTTGTATTTCTAATCGTTTTATGGTTCAGAAAAACGTCAAGTTAAATGGAGTGTAACATTAACTCTCGCCTACGCCGGAAATATATCTAGAAATTGCGGTAAATAAAACTTGTAAGAAGGTTTGAATCAAGTTGCCATAACATCGCAAAAATGAAGGTGACTCTGACCCTAACCTGCATTTTCTTTAAACAACAACTGAAAAAGGCAATCTTTATCTTTTGATATAAAACTGATAATCATTGACGGATTCACCGAACTGAATCAGGGGTCTTCATACTTAATAGGCTTAATAATATAAATAAGAAAAATTACGTGCATCTGATCGGATGAAAACGAATGCATTTTTCATGTAACACGAGCAAAGTTGTAACACGTATGCAAATTTTTAACACGAATGCAAATTTTTAACTCGAGTGCAAATTACAAATGGCGCACGGGCGTTGTCAAAATTCCGTCAGTCTTGACTTTCTTCAATGCTTTCTCCATGTAAATCGTGAACACGTAACAACATGAGTTATTGTGCAATTTGTTGTAAGTAAGCACTTGTAAATTTTTCCAAGACTACAAACTGCACCCGCCTAACGGGTTCGTGCAATTTTGTTGTCTTTGAAATATTTACACGTGCTTATAACGACAAATTGCCCGTGAAATCATGTCATTACCTATAGTAAGTGTTGCTATGCTGATTGAGAAAAAAATGCTATTATTGCCCATTCTTGACTTGGAATTCGTGTGATACATTTAAGCTTCAAAACATAATTTTAGACATTATTGATCCATCAAACAACAGCTTATAAAAGAAAAAAAAAGCTAACCAAAATTCTTGTTTCCATCTTAAGCTCCACCCGCTGCCGTAAGGAAATGGGTGGGAGACGTAACCAGTCAGTTGGAACGAGACACATGTCTCCGTTTTCAAGAGACAGCAGATAACGGCCACGTACAGATTTACACAAATAACAATGACGGGTAACCTAAAAATGTCATCTTTAAATTATCTGTCGTCGCCGACTTCAGTGGCATCTCCAAACCTAACATGCGTATTGTAATTACTTTTTCAGCTGTTACACTGACATAGGGTACCGCACCAAGCCTCAAAAGTTGAATTTGGGAACAGGTTGTGAGTACATGGGGATTGTAAGTCACGAGTGGATGCACCTTTTAGGATTCTATCACGAATTTACCAGAGAAGATCGCGACAATTATATTACCGTTTACAAAGACAATCTTCAGGAAGGTAGGATATAAATGTCCTTATTATGATAAAATAGGAAATGTTGACAGTCAAAGAGGAAAGGCACAACCTGACTGCGTGTTACATAAAGGAAATGAATCCTCTCTAACTCCTGCAAATCTGGTCTGGCGCTATATCTTCCTGTGATATTTCGCGATAGCTAAACTTTCTATCCTCTCAATGTAACATTGAACTTTTATCAAGCCCCCAAACCTTTGCCCCCACCAAAGTCCTCGTAGGAGCTATGTAAAATCAATGAAATCATCTATGCTTGTTTTCCGAATTCGTCGATGTTCACACTTGTTTTTTATACAGGTATATATGATACGGAGTTCAAAAAACGACGTCAGAATAACCTAGACGTCTCTTACGACCTTAACAGCGTCATGCAGTACGATACAAACACCTTTAGCAAAAACGGAAAACACACTATGGAGGCGAAGTCTAATCCAAACCGTAAACTTGGGTCGACTTCGCACTTCGATGCCAACGATTTGAAAAAAATCGACAAACTTTACTGCAACGGGGGGAAAAAATGTGAGTGAAACTTAGTCATGACAAGTGTGGTAACCACACTTGGTTCCATTTTGAATTTTTTGTGTAGACTTTACCTTATATCTAACACTTGCACCACGGTCTAGTTTGAAATCTGCTAATCATTTTCGAGGCGAGCTTGAGTATAGTTACTTGTAACAAAAAATTGTTGCTTTCACAGTCAAAGATCACAAATTCCACCTGAAAACCGGAACTGGCTGGGGATCTGGAACTGATGCAGAACTTTGTTTACAACTGATTGGCACCAAAGGGGTGACAAGCTTTAGGGCTCTCACATCTGGAGGGTGGATCCAGGATGAAAAGGAACGGGGAGCGTAAGAAACAATGTTATTCATCTCCTCTTTTTAAAGGAGAGGTATGCTCCAGAAACCATGTCCTTTTAATCTCCACCGCTACAAAGAATACATGAAACCATGGCACTGACAGTGTTTTGAGATTCCAAAGAGTGATTTGGCCTTCCGAAAAATGATTTAAATGAGCTAAGAATTGAAGAACGAGCAGCGTCATTTTGAACCGGTCGTGATCTTTTTTTCATCCTTGAGCGTTTTTCCGTTCCTTGTAACATGAGCTATACAGAAAAGTGATCTTCATTTCAAAAAAAATTATTTCAGCGATAACCAAAGCAATGGCTATTGGTAAACCACGCGTGGTGGGTTCCATCATTCGAGCTGACTTCATGCCGGCGTTGCTCGCTAACCAGTAAATATCTTAACATACCCTTTTTAAGTAATGAGAGTACTAAAAATTATATGGTTTCTGGATTATAATTCTCCTGTAAGGAGCTAAGTAAACAGTATCGGCTCTTGGAAAAAAAACGTAGGTTTCTTTCAACGTTTTTTCTGATAACCATTTACGCTCTTGAATGCAGAGAGGCACAATAAGGTATCTGTCAACTTTTCTAGGATTTAAAATATCTGAGAGGTAATTGGTAGCTCTACAGTGACTAATCTTTCCTGACCCTTTTGATCCAGAGGTCAGTGCAAAAAAGGGTCATACCCTCTCTCTTCGACTAAGAGAGAAAAAGAAGTAATCTATGGATGTAATTTTTCCTTTTTCAGTGACGAAGAGTACAATATGCCATTTAAAGATGTGGGAGAAATAACGAAAGTGAAGGTACGCCTAGTGGAGGAGGGTCAAAGATGCCCGAGTGACACAAGGAAGAAGAAGAAAAAAAGGTTCTTTAGCTTCGCAGGATATACTCTAGGAAACGTAAGTAGCTGATTCAGAATGACAGGAAGCAGAAATGTGAGAACAGCGGGCAATTTCCCTCACTTTAGGCAAAAAATTGACACTTTGCCGTAAATCAACCTGAGAGGAACGACATTTGGATTATGGCCTTTTCAGGGGATCCATTTCCCCATTCTCTCAAGCTCTTCTTTCTTCAATTAATTCCCCTTTCAATAAACTTGATAAGTTGGTCAACACATGATAAACAATTTCCTTGGACAACCACATTAGCCTGACAATTTTTGTTGTTAGCCTGCTGTTTACACGTGACGAAACGTTTTGGTCATATTTACGGTATGTTCGGAGACAGCGGAATATCAGCCATACTTGTGGACGTTGGCAACCGTGGTAGTTTAACTCTTTTCTAACCCTATTCTTTTATTCCTAACCTGATTGTAACTGTTTTATTCCGGTCACCGCCAAATCCTAATTCTACAAATATTGCCCTGCATACTAGCCCGTCTGAGAGCAAACAAAAACTTTACACGGCCGGTTCTGAACCGCTGTCTTACGTCCTCGTTCAGAAATGACTTAAGGAGATTTAGTTTCGATATCTATTTACAAAAGATTATAACGGCCTTGTATCCGCGATACCCTCGCCCCGATTAATATCACTTCTTTCTCGACAGAATACTTATCTGAGAGTCAATTTTAACACCTTTTTTTCATCTAAGGATGACTCCTAATGTATTTTCATTCTGTAGCTGGAAGTGGATGGGACCTCGTATGGGGGAAACATCGATTTGGACCCGGGAGACGAGAAGACACTTGGCCGCCAGTGAAGAACCGTCACACGATGAAACAAAACTATTCCACATAAACGGGTGAAGTTTTCAACTGACTCTATGGACACCAGACAATTAACCCTCACAACTTCTTAACCGGGAAGGGAGAAACTACGTAGAAACTTTTATGTAGAATGTGCCTCTCAAGTCTCTAAATTTAAAAGTTTGCTCTTTCAAAAAAAGATACTAGTACCTCTTTCTGAACTGATCAGATATTCCTTTGGTTCGTAGCGACTGATTAGGCACATAGAGTGAACAAAGATTTAACTTACAGTTTGCCAGACATATTTGTTTACCTTGAACAGATGAAATTCCTCTTATTTATGGACTATATTAAGCTTTTAAGCTTTTGCACCACAACTCAGAGGAAACGCCCTCTAAGCACCCATTGGTGACGAGGCCGCTCACAACTTAAACCTTGTCAGACAACATACATACCCGTGTGTAGCATGAAAAGTTTACATGGATTGATGATTTTTTGTTTGTTTGTCAAGAAAAAAGTGTTGTAGTTTTATATGACCGACATCTCTGCCACGGAACTATTTTAAAGCGATTTCTGTTCAAAGAGCAAAACATGGACAATGAAGGAGACGAAAAATCTTAAACTTTCAGTACTCACCAAATAACAATGTTCCTTGCCCATCTTTCCCCCTGACTTTGGCAAACTTGAGGAAAATTTTTATGCTAGACAAGTTCTTATGCATACAGATGCCCCCTTTAACTAACTAGATTTCTTTATCAAGTAGAGAACGTATCAACAACAATTCTTTCGATCCACCAACACATTCTAAGAAATTGAAATCTCGGACTTTTAGCCTGTTCAGGTTAAGAGAGGGCGCGTTAAGCTTAAACGGTTTGATTTATCTTTAACTTTGACTTAAACCATAGTGGACGATTTCAGTTTCTCTTAGTTTTCTATTTATCTCCCTCTCTTAAGGACATCACGAAGGACGATAGATCACTTCTGCTCTTACATTTTTTACGGATTGCGTTATGCAACCAATTGCTTGTCACTCTCAAGATTCGCTTTTAATCAAGAGCATTGCGTCACAAATCATTTGTGACGCAATGCTCTTTATTAAAAGCAAGTTGTAGTCAAGAGCTGGAAAGTGCTTGAAACAGCGATGACGGAAAAACTTTCTTGACCAACATACTGCCCGACAGAATGACACGTAGATGTGGAATACTGTAAAACAATGGACCGGACCCGTCTAGCGTCAATTAAGCGTGTAGTTTAGTGAAAACATAGAGATGAAAAAGGGCTTAATGATCTGCTATAAAAGATCATACCCGAAGCTCTTCGTGTAGCAAAAATAAATGAGCATTGAAAAAGAAACGCTGTCTTTGTTGTGTAACGGGCTAATTTACGAAACCCAGTCTCTGCCCAGAAGATCAGAGGGTTAGAGCATACGACTGCAAATCGGGCTCACATAATAGGGTAATTTAACATTATCACTTGAGTGGATAACGTCACACGTTCTGAATAGTAACGCATACCGTGACCGAATGTTACCCGGTACATATTGAGACAATACCAAACTGAAAACGGGTGGGAGCTTAAAACCAGGATTTAATTGTAATATCGAGGAAAAACAATTAAAATGAATTGAATTAATATTTACACATAAACAATTTCTCAAACCATAAGAGATGAATACATCATTTTGTCCAGTTGTCTATAACTGGGAATAGAAACAGTCAAAAGATCTGTACTAGGCATTCACCCTAGGGGTTTCATGTGCTGAGTCTAATCACAATATTTATTATGTACTGTCAAATATCGACGACATGGTCATTATTGGGTATATTAAGACCACTGCTCCTTACAGAATTAGTGTAAGTACATCTAAGTACATCTCTACCCTACATGTAAAACATGAAATAGAGGCTGGCAAGTGTTCATGTACAAAAAACGCTTCCTCGTGAAACATTCATTAGCACCGTAGTGACACATACAAACAGCACATTGAAAACGCACGCAGGCTTGAATTTGATCACATGAGAGACCATTGAGTAGTCAAATTAAATAATCCAAGCCAAGTGGAGCATTTCAAGAACAAAAAGTAAATCTTGCACATGAAAATATCTCTGTATGGGACTCATTGGATTATTGCAAGAGATGCAATGCGCCTGAGGAAAATAATTCTTCCAAAGAGTGGTAACTATTACTTACCTAATAGCTACTTTCTGATATCAGCTAATTTTTTGAGTCAATCAATGTATACAAGCAATTGAGAAACCCTTAAATTTGGAACCTGCTGAAGAATCTATTCAGTCTGATTTTGTATGATTAACATAGTCGATAAATATGGTCAAAACATACGAGTAACACAGTCGTCTTTGCGCATGAGTGCTTTTACAGCATCCACAATACAACTGTAGCTACATTGCCTACATGTAGATGTACTTCAAAATATAGCATAACATTATATGGAAGTGGGAACATATTTTATACATTCCATGTTCTCTTCCACACCACTGTTTTCTACGAGATGAGTAAGCAAAAGCAGGGGTATGCTTCTTCACATCTGTCTACACAATTGGTCATTCTTTCATTCTCCACAAACACTTGTACAGTACCTTCATAAAAGTATTCCATTTTGCAATAAAGATATTGCATCTTCTGGATAAAAACAGTTCAAATTGTTGATCTTTTGATCCAACTAAAAATTCACACTGCTTGGACTCATCAAAATATACCTGTATATGGAATCCATCATACAATCTTACTATCATACCATGTACAGGAGGATGTATTGCAACTTTTTCACTTTCATGAATGATCACTTCTTAAATTCTCCCTACAATTTTAGTACAAAAATATTTTGGTGAAGAGCACTGATTAAAATCACCCAAAGATCTTCTGTATATTCAATAGCCTGTCATACAGTAAAAAGAGCATATGTCATTTGCTTCATTCTTAATTCAACCCTGGAGTTCTAAAATAGGCACCTGGAATAAAGGTCATAAGCAAGGTTTTGATATACTTTGATATCACTGACGATACCATGCTGGCTTTATAAAGTGAACACATCTATACAATGCTGGGTTCCTAACCCTTTTCTACAAGTACAGTACAGTATTTTTACAGAATATGAATAATTTTGCATACTTTCACAAAGTATGAAGTAAGTCAATCCTCAATCTGCAATTAAAAAAAATTGGTGACTTCTTTGGCTTTTTCTATTTGCCAAATGATGAATGTAAGTGAGACTCTAACAGGTACAGCAATAGTACATGTTTCCTTGTCCCTGGAAAACAAAGGAAATAGTACAATTTCAGATGAGGTGAAACTTCACACTATCAGTGATAGGATCTCTTCACTTGATACATTTAAAAACTCTAGTCCAGAGTAAAGCTAAGAAACCCTAGTGTAAAAATGTAACCCCTTATTGAAAATAGTTCAACCTTAATCCCATTCAATATTTTAATTTTTTTTTATTTTTTTTTTATTTTTTTTTTATTTTCTTTTTTTTTACTAATATTATCCACAAAAGATTTTATTCATCTATTATTTGTCTATTTACAATAAGAAATAGCAGGTGAGAGGCTTTTTCCCTTGCTATTTCAGCCATGGAGAGAAAACTAGAAAGACTAATAATAAAACTTGCCCATGGCCCTTTCATCCAACAGAAAAGGAAAAGCTGTAAATAGTCACTCTTTATTCCATTCTAAAGCCCTGCTGTTTCTCCAAAATTTGAGGATTACCCTCTTAATGTTTGCCTAAAGATGAAATGTTATCTCCTTGTGCTTAAAATGACGTCAACAAGAGATGAATTTTTGACCCTTTACACCCTAACATCAGCATCCATATTCTTCATACTGTTATCTGTATTTCTTAAGATGTTAACAAGGAGAAATTGTTTAACTGTCTAGAGCTTCTTTACAGTTGTTAATCATTCCCTTTATTCTCATGACCTTAGTGTGTGATTTGAAGGTGATATTGTAAGGAGAAATTAGATGCTAGTCACCCTTTGGGGTAAAACGGTTAAGATAATACTCACCTCTATTTTGTATAAGTACCTTAACATTTGGATAAATTTTCAAGAACAATTTCACAGATAAATTTGAGTGGAGAAACAAGTATCAGTTCAGAACCTTACAGTTCACTGATCTCCAACCCCAAGCTACAGTATAAAGAGCATTTTTATTTAATGTTTAGTTGAGTTTAATGCACAACCAACCTTAACTTGGAATTTTGGCTGGCTCAACCACCTTAGGGGCTGGATCAGTCTTGACACTGCTAACAGGTACGGGAACAATCTCGGGTTTTCCTTCTATTATGCATCTGATCCTCCGTTCTTCATCTGGCCACTGGTACTTCAAATATAAGCTCAGGAAGCTTGGAACATCTCTTTTGGATGATCCTTTCAGCAAGATTGTCATGTACTTTCCTTTTCGGTTGCTTGCATTCGTGGCAAGCTCAGCCAGTATTAAGTCAGATTCAAGTCGAACCATACATGCCTCATCATCTAAAAATAAGATCACCAGTAAGAAATAATATGCTGAAGGAGAGACACCTGTCAGTAACTGCTTCCAGGCAACAAAAGAAATGCACTTCTTTCATCTTGAATAAATTATTACACACCAGCATGTGCCCCTTGCAATATTTATTATTTAGCAATCTAATACAAGGCATTGTACATGTAAATGCCCTGATGTTAAAACTTAACCCTTTCACTCCCAATATTTCTTTAGTAATTTTCCTTATTGTCTGCCGCATAATATAAATGATGTTAGTTTGAAGAATTTAGAATTGGATCAACTAATAATCCCCTAATTGACATTTTCCTTTATTCTCGTTACTTGTCTACTTGACATCATACTAATGATGTAATGAGAAATTCTGTCTAGGTCACTAGTGGGACTTAAGGGTTGAGTGACTAAAAATGCAAAATGCACTAACAACATCTCTTCTCAAAAAACAGTATCAAGTAAGACAAAACCTTGATGGAAGGAAAGTATGAATAAGATACACTTGTAATAGGGAATTTAGAGAAGAAAAGTTCCTATAATGACCACACATACAAGTTACCTTTCTCTCTGTGTGGAGAATTACTTGCTACTACATACATGAATCATACAATAGTGTTTTATAATGCAAAACAAACAAAAGAACATTGCTATTTTATTTATTTAAGTTAAAAATCTAAAAATAATTCAAATGCAAACCTTCAAGACTGTCACTGATTTCTTTGGAAGGCAAATCAAAAATTTTCTTCAGTTCCGGAGAAACACAGATGAATACAAAATTACTCTGCTGGACACTTTTCATAGCCCAGCGGAACATATTTTCAGCAACTTCAACAAGCTCCAGCTTGTCCAAATGGCACTTGTATCCCAAGTTTTTGCTAAAATGATAGTACAATTTAGAAACCTCCTCTTGAAAGGCTTTTCCTTCCAGGTGCGAACAGTGAATGATGGAGATGGTTTTTCCAGAACCTATCGGAGCTAGATCGTTAAAAAAAAAAAAAAAAAAAGTCAGTTGGTGTTTCTTTGGTTAACATGGTTTGGTGATTTCAATTTGGACTTACACAATGGTAACTGTGATTCACCTGTGACCGATTCATTGAATTATCAATCTGAACATTTAAATAATTGTGTCCATCACAATGGTATCTCTTTCACCTGTTTCTTGAATCATATATTGTGGTGAATTCTAGACTAGACTGAAAGATTTTTGGCTAATCATTACCTCCTAAAACTTCAAAAGATTAAATTATTGTAGTAGCCATGTACAAAACACCTAAAAGTAAAAGTGCATACATAAGACCAATGTGAAAAGTCAAAGTTACATACCTTCTGGGGATGATGTGTATCCTGACTCATATCCTAGGGATGTTGGGGAAGCTGCAGATTCTCCTGAGCTCACACTGTCTGAATTGGACAACCTCCTTGCCTCTTCTACTTTAAGGGGAGAGAGATTTTCTTTTGGATTTTGGACAGATTCCCTGTAAGAGTCTGATGCTGTGAATGACGTCACCATGGATGTGTCTGAGTTGGATTCACCAGAGCTTACCAATGAGGAGTTTCCTTCATTGTTAGATGGTTCAGATGATCTCTTGTGTCTCTTTGTAGAAAACATATGGGCAATTTTTTTCCGAAAAGATTTCTTCCTATCCTTCAATTTACTCTTTGGTTCATGGGAATTTGAACGCATATAGTCCTTTCCACCTTGGTTAGACTTAACAAGGTCTTCATTCTCAAGATGTGCATCTGGTGACCAAGAGCTATACCTAAAAAGTCCAGGCCTTCCTGTAGGGGTGCCCCCTTCTTCAGCAACTCTGCTTGGTACACATAAGTTAGTGCTACTAAGACTCTTCCCTTGCAGGTCTTTGTCATGCACACTTATACCCCCAGAAGTCTTATCCTTTAAATTTGCAACTGCGGATGGTAGAGGACTTGAAATTGTTGAGAACTCAGATGACGTAAACAAAGTGTGGTTTGTAAATTCTGAGTCTGTTGATGTAACAACTGAACTGTCCTCACTTACACAACAACCTCCATATTCAGGTTGGATTCCCTGTACATCACCAATCCCATCATCATCATTATCAACTTCATTCTGCCTGCTAACTGTTCCAGACTTTCTTTGATAATCTGAAATGATCATGAAAATAATGAGGTTCTTGAGAGATTTTCATCTAGAGAACACAGGGTTGTACACAAGAGCCCAAAAAAATACAATCTCTGTTGGTTACTTCACAGGGTTTACAGCTGATCCCCTCAATAAGCAACTAGAGATGCCACAGAGAGTACAATAAAATAATGAACATCTATCCAAAATCTTAACCCTTCAACTTCCAAAAGTTTATTAGTAATTCTACTTACTATTTACCATGGAATTCTTATGATGTCAATTTAGGGAATTTGGTATTGGATCAACTAATAATCCCTGAATTAATATTTTTCTTTATTCTCATCACTTCTATGCTTTATATTGAATTGATATTATAAGGAGAAATTATTTCTTGGTCACTCATGGGAGTTAAAGGGTTAAATGCCCCAGCTCAAGTATTTTCACAGTCAATACTAGTCAGTCTAAAATATTAAATTGGTCACCAGAGATAAAAATTTTAATATACCCAAATAAATTAGGAACAGAAAAGAACATTTTCTGCAATCTAAAATAACATTTTATACCAATATTCATCTCAGTTTGACTAAAGACCAAAAACACTGCATAAATCTCAACTTGGACTTGATTAGTTCAGGCTCTCTACTTTTTCTAGTCTTTTCTCTCCTTCCAGCACAAAACAAATGATCTCTAATCATGTCGACAGATCATGCATTAGTCAACTGAAATCCACATTGAATCCCATCAACATCTTTAATCTTTCACACTGTATATTCTTTGTAACGTAAACAACTATAGTAATCCTCTTTCTATGTCAATTGTTGACTTTTTTCAAAGATTTTTTGTGATAAACAATTCAGTTATAATTACAAAGCTAAAAGATCATTGAATAGATCTTCTTTTTGTCTTTGGGCACACTACTAAAAGGTGACGAGTAGTAAGTAGTGACCTTGATCTTACAATTAATTCTCAGGCTCTATTAGAAACAATCTGATATTGCACAAATACCAGATCGGTACATTTGCACAAGTCTAGATTTAAGAGTTCATATCAATATTGCACTGGTGATGTTTATCATGACTCAGGCTAGGTGAACTACAATCAAGAGAACTCTTGATTTTGCACCTGGCATTGGAGTGAATTTTAAGCACAGCAGGATGTAACTACTATATTAAACTTGCAAGGAAAGAATAATGAATTTCTTGATAAAGAAAAAAAAAACAAGGCATGGAAAAGAAACCATAAAATGTAGCTGGCAGCATCTTCTAGAGTGAAAGAGGAAGTGAAAGAATTCACATGAATCTAATCACACGAGAAAAATATTCAAATTACCAAGGAGCGGAAGATAAAAGCAACGTTATGAATTTCAAGATCTTCATTCTAATAACTTGTCATGCACCCGATATTAGGTTCCAAAAAATCTAGACACCCACATGATGCATCCTTGCTTTTAACAAAGCTATTAGAAAAATGAATAAAAACAATATACACAAAAAACAAGAATGTTCAAAAGCCAAATAGGATTTCTTAACATCACTGTTACTCATTGTGACAAAATAAAAAAATAATGAAACCTCTTAACTGTCTTTCACCTGAAACTTGTCAAGTTCACCAAATTATTACATGTTAAAAAGACCTATTTAAATATAATCAATAGCATTGTAATAAACTGACTTTCCCAACAAAAAAATAAGAAGACGAAAGAGCAAAGAATAAGTGAAGTAATGATAATGGCGTAAATTAACGTTGGCATTGTATTGAGGTGGCTAGTTTATTAGGTCATCAACCGCAATAAGATTACTACTTGCGTACATTTAGTCCTCCACAGAAGCTTTTAAACTTTTCAGCATTATTACTAGAAATTGACCCTTTTACAGCACCTAAATATTCCACGCTTTGCAATTTCATCCTATTAAAAACTTAACTGTGTAGGAAGAAGGAAGGCTCTAATTACAGCCTTCCTTACCGAGAATTTAACCTTCCCTTTTTCCACAAATTAAACCCAATTTAATTCAAACTCCGCCAGTTCCACTTCAACGAAAATTAATAAACCAAAAAGCTTTATTTGAAATGAAACAGAGATAGATCTTAGATTTATCATTAATTTAAGAATAGCGTGATTCGTATTCAACCGAGTTGATTTCACCCACACAATTATAATCTTGGAAATCGTGATTGACGTAAATCCGCAGAGAAAGGTAAAGATTCACGTCAGATCAAACCAACCGTTTTAAATTAAACTTTTCACTCATTTCCTAACAACAAAATGATAAAATAAACATTGGCTGATGCAAATAAGTGAAAGGAAGTTCTTAAAAAACAAAGAAAACATGACAAAATCTCTGTACCTTCCACACATTTGCGAATTACTTCCAGACAAGAATAAAACTCCAGTTCGCTCAAGATATTCACAAGTGTCTCAAGAATACCATTCTTTTCGTATATCCAGTCTTCCAATAACAGTAATCCAGGTCGAGAATTGTGAGCGAAATAACCGAGGATTCTCTCAGCAGAATACCCAAGCAAATCGGCCACGTCTTTCCAATTTTTCAAGGCGCCCACCATGTTCAGCTGAAGTGACAAGGGATCACGAATTTTCGTATATGAAAGAACCTCTCGCGCAGGCAGAGCCAGAATATCCCTCGGCATCGGACTAAGCCGAGGAGTGTCCTCTTCCTCTGTACAATCCATTGCTAGTCAGTGGAACTATTCGCTACACAATTTACACCATTTTGCGAGTACTCTTATGAAGAAAGCGTACAACAAATGCAAGGACTCAGCGCAAATCACTTCCCACAATTCCTCAAATCACGTGAGCACATTTCTTCCTCATTTCAAGCCCTTTAGACAATAGACCGCGCTAAGACGTGCAAATATTGTTCGTTCACTTCCTGTGTGATCTAAAGTTATCTACATAGACTGGATGTCATCTCGCAAACCAACGTGTATAAAATGCAATTAACCAAACAACTCAATTATTCTCTTTTTGCGCGTGCCTCCTTTCCGCTTCCCGTGGTGCAAAATTATAAATAATATTTTCAATTTTAAAATTAGAGATTTTAATTGGGACTGGTCCTCCTCCCATGCTGTTTAGAAAAAGTATTTAAATTACCTAAGATGAATTTCATTATCCCAGTTTATGTTTCCCTCAGGGTACAAACTGCCAATGGTTTTGTCTTTCGTTTTCCAAATGTAAAAAATGTCTCACTTGCTTTTTCATGTGTAAATTATGAAGGAGATATTTCGTGTTCAGTGAATTGGAATCTACTCACTTGCTAATTTAATTGCTCGACAAGAATCTAGGACGTAAATAAAAATTAAGGTCGTGATATTTCGCTTTTGCCTTGAATAAAATTTTTTCATCGCAGATTTTTCTACTTTCACGTTATTAATTGGCATTTATTTCTCATTTTCTAAATCCGTATCATGAGTAATTTTAAAAATGTGTCGTATTTCCGTGTTGTGAGGGCAATCGTGATCAATCGTGATAGTTCCTCAAACAAGGTACGTGACACTCACTGAAACCAGAGCGATAAAATTAGATCACAATATCAGAAAACTGTGGTTCTCCGGTTCGATATTACGTGAGCTGATCATGTTTGGAAACTTCTACAACCGAGTGTTGTCGGCATACCTTCACGAGAAGGGTAAAAGGGTCAAGTTCTGTCGGAAGCATGATTCAAAACTCATCAATCTTCAGTTTTAATAAGGCTTCATACAGAAGTTAGAGGCAAGAAAGACTATGTGCATTTCAGGGCATTTTCATACTGCCAAGCTTGTCATAGAATGGAAAAAAACTCCAATTCAGCCACCAAAGCATAAAAGCTGACTTCGACCGGAAATCCTTCTGCGGTTTGTTTTCCAGCGAATAGATTTTGGTTGCCATGCAACCGTGACAAACGTGTTGCAGATCATCGACTGGCGCGAGAACTGAACAACGCGACTCAGTGATACAGGAAGGCCAAGAACTCGCACTTCAAACGAGGCAGAATATTATTTCAAGAACCTTTCGGAAAAGGGAATCCCAGTTGCCTTAGCTCGGTTCTTGAAACTGAAGATAAATGCGGTAAAGTTCTCCATCATGAAACAATATTCTGAAGAATCCCAACATCTCAGTACTACTGCAGGCCTTATCGAGAGGCAATGAGGAAGCAAATCAATCAATCAATTTGAGTCAATTTAAGGTGATGATAGAATGACCTGGAGCCATCACAAAGGCCGCTACATCTCCGGAGCCGTGGCCCTGGTAAATATTTCAGTTATTTCAGCAGGGACTGAAAGAAATGGTCACTCCACTGGGCTCGGAAGGAACGGAGGATTCGCCCATGGATGATTCGATGGAAAAACCTGAACTCTCCAGGGAAGGTTTGAAAAGTACCCGTTTGAGATTACAAAGGCTATTGAAGATCCGCTGTTGGAAAAAGGTTTCGAACATGTTGCAAAGATAAGGCGTGTCCTTCAAAGAGGTGCGCTTTCCATTATCCAGTTCAGGGGTCCATCATGACAATACCATTTGTGGGATAAGAAACACATTGCCAATCCATATCCAACTTTTTTGCTGAATGTTCTCGACTACGGGTTCTTGTTCTTGTTTTTGTTCATTCTCGTAGACTTACATCCAGAATCTAAGTTGCATATTGACGGCATACAGTAATTTGCTTCATAGAGATGTTTTTTCTTTTCATGTATTTAATTGTAAAAGACAGTTAAATGACAGCTTGAGGAAATCAATTTTTTTTTTACATTCCCTGCTCTTGTTCACAGAGCAAAATTGATTCATCCAGTTAGAAATCAGATTTAATCTTTTATGCCATTGTCAGACATCTCAGTTGAACAGTTCGGAAAATTTCCAATATTCTATATATCTTGATACTCCTTGGATTGAATAGGATTCATGTCTCATACAAACCTAATATATCTTCTTAGCCCCTTATTTCAGCTGGTAGAGTATCAGAAGGTCCTGGCTTACAATCTTGTTTTCAGAATTAGATTTCTTTCTTCATGTCAACTTCACATTATTTATTGCTCTTCCTAGCAAGCAAAGCTTATGTGATAGGGATTGTAAAAAGTTGAGTTATTCATTGAGATAACCACGTGAATGTCATGAAGTTACACCAACAGACTTGTTGATTGATGATGTTTTGTTCAATCTGATGTCACCTCAAAGGTTAAAAGCTGTGTTGCAGACAAAATATGAACTCCAACTAGTTGGAAACAGTGGCTTCTGATCAGTGGGCTCTATATTTTATTAATTCTCATGAATCTCTCTTAATTGAATCATTGTACTGCAACAGCTAAGTTTACAATGCATCAAGTGATAAATTCTTCCAAAACTCAAGTTGCACCAAAAATAAATTCCTGCAGGAAATGTAACTTGCTTACAAAGTTTATTTGCACTGTTAAGATTAAAAATGTTGACTAGATCAGTATCATAGAGATCTTACATGTCTTGTGCCACACTTGTAACAAAACAAATGACACCTTTCTGTATTTTACCATGTTTCTTGAGCTGTGCCATTCACAACATTGCTGATCCAGGCAGCCTGCTGGGCAGATGTGACATATCAGTGAACCTTGTAATGTCCTAGCCTGACAGAACTACTGAGGACATTACTCATTAGCTCAGTGTTAGGGCATAAGATTACGAATAATGATAACGTCTGGGGTTCAATCTCTCTAGGCAGACTCAGATTTTTCTCGGTACCCTACCAGTGACTGAACGAATGACATCTTTCTTTGCCTTCTCTATTATGCTACGTTAATGGTGCCACGGTGTACCGTCGTTTGATCTTATATGGAAAGTACTGCGTCAGATAATTTCTTTTCGCTGGAAGTTACTTTCGCGAGAATTTGAAAGGTAGTTAGATGTGGCATTACTTTGCAAAAACATATCTCCAGATTTACAAGATTCAGGTTCCGTATTATTGTATAGTAGTATTAAACACTAACGACAATGAAGTACCTCATTTCCTGAATTCTTGAAAATCTTGGCGCGGTGGAGGGAGACTTTTGAAAACAATCAAATAAATTTTCCCGGTGAGGACTTTCGTCACATCACAATTCGTCCATGAAATCCTTCCGAGCAGCCTTTAGTAGTACGTGTTTTCCTCATTCTGTTCAACAAAGCATGCAATTTGATTATTGGCATATTTGAAAATATGCACGTTTCTCGGAAAGCTTTAATTTGAAACACTTGAAATGGCTTCTTGCCTTAAAAAGGTTTCACCTTAGACAAATGGACTTAAATAAATGAAAATAGTTTTTTGCGACTGCGAGGATTACAGTTCAATACGGTAAGCCGCGTTTTCTCCAAAGACCACAAGCTCCACGACAGGACATAATTTGCAGACTTAGCACGACCTTACACCTCTCGATGAATTGGTACAAACCTCTTCACGAAATGTTTGTCTCAAAAAGCTTGTAAATTTTTCTGAGTTTGAGATATTGCTGAAAATTCAGATCTGAAGCATTGCACAGATTGCTTTTCATTCAACTCTGTTCACAAAGCAATGCGCATCACTTGGTCAAAATTCGCACCATTCTCTTGACCAATCAGATGCCAACTTGAGACTTGAGTCACCCACGTTCTCCCGCGCTTTTGGTTGGTGTCCTTGCTGTTGTCTTCAGTTTGACCTTAACGTTGGGATTACTATCACGAATGTTTGTCCTCAAAAGCTCGTAACTCGTACACTCAAAAGTTTATTGAATTTGAGATCTTTGCTTTGAATTCAGTCCAGCTATATGGTTTTCTCAGATTGCTTTTCATTTAACTCTGTGTACAAATAGCATTGCGCGTCGCTTGATTAAAACTCACGCCATCCTCTGGACCAGTCAGATGCCAATTTGCGACTTAGTCATCCGCGTTTTCCCGAGCTTTTAGTGGGTTTCGTTTGTTAGCCAGTTGCCTTTAGATCGGCTGTAATTTCCCTCTAGCTCTACGACAGTCGATCGAAAAGCGCCTCGAAATAAAATTCAGCTATAGCTCCTGTCGGCAACATCAACCTGAATAATCCACTACAAAACTCAGGCCAACCTCTATTAATGGAGCATTAAGCCACACAGGGAAGTTTGAGTTTGTGGAACAAAAGCTAAACTTTATTTACCTTTGGCGCAAGTATTATTCATTTGCCTAATTAATTGTCTCAGTTGTTTTCTTATTTTATCTAATAAGACTATAGAATAAAATATAAACAAATTGAATTGACTCATAGCTTTAAGACTTTGTAAGTTTGCAACAAACTTCCTACCAATGCCACAATGTACACCCCTTCTCGATCCAGACATGATCATGACTTTCCTGGTCATCATTTAAAATTTTGTGCAAAAATGTGAACTAGGGAGCTTCTCATTATTGCTTCAACTAAAAACAAAGTTTTCTTTTCCTCTTTTTAAGGAAATACCATACCGTGAATTAAAAGAGCCTAAAGCTCAAAATCTATATTTTATTCCCGGAGGGGAAAAATGTTTCCTTAATTGTCAGAAAAGTTTCAAATTTAATTTGAATTGCAAATCAAATGTAAAGCAAATTGAGATATTTTTGCATACGTCCTCTCAGTGATATTAATATAGTTCCGGCGAGAACTTATGCATTATTTCCGGTTAAAAAGGGAATTCACCGCAAAGCTAGCGGAACATCGCAATTTTGAATTATCTCACGGCATTGCCTATCGACGTCCTTTCATCTGGAATGGATCATATAACTGAAATGAACCTTTCCAGGGGCGCTGAAAAGCTATAGCTGAATTCCGGAGGCCTAGTCTCGTCTCATGGCTAAGGGTTCTGCAAAAGAAAGACGACATTTGAGGATAGTTAGCGTCGCCGAAAGATATCATCATACTAAATAGATTTCGGTTGACCCTAACTTTTTGCAAACCCAAAGTAGTGTCATTCTCCTTAAAAAGCATTTTCATTCAACTATTATCAGCTTATTCGAACCCCAACCTTCACAATTTTTTTTCTTCAGTTTTCCATGATAGTTTTGGGGCTCTACAGCCATAACCAACGCACCAGCAATAAATTTAAGAGGAGTTTAATTTCCTGAACGGGGGTGAAGACTCAACCGAACTCTTCTATTTACAGGCATTGCCAGGGGGTTTATAAGTAAAGTATTATGAACATAATGCATTAAGAATGGAAGATTGGAATAAAATAGGAAATACGAATAACGTAGTACGAAATACTAATAAGACACTAGACGAAAGGGCGATTTACCCGACGATTTTGGAATACGGCTGGCATAAGAACGTTACCTGCGATTACATTTCAACTCGAGCTCGCATCTTTTATTTGCATGATCCGCGCGAAAGTCAAACTTACATGAATAGCCGCGCGGACTCGGGCTAGGAGATCGGTTTCTACAACAGCTGTAGATATAAGTTCGATCGTATGCAAATGAATAGGAGATGAGATGTGCATGGTGCGAAACATAAACCAGTGACCTACGTACCTTTTATCATCTTCGTAAACGAACACCTCCAAGATGAGCACTGCCACTGGGAGTTTACGCATGTACTGTTTAAAATGAAGGTAAGTGAAATCATATATCGAGACTATTGGCCCCAGTAGCATGGTATCCAGTCGTTTCGCACCCACAGTCGTTTCATACCCAGTCGTGTCGCACCCAAATTCAGTCGATTAGGGCTCAGTCTGAGTTGATTCGTACCCAAACCATTACTCTATTCTTAATCGTCCCAATATACATGCAGTTCTTCGAAATACCCCACGCGCAAACGCGTGAGGTAAGAGTCAAGCGAGTGATACACGCAAAATTCTGTTGTGTTTTCATACGACCTCCTTAAGAAAAGAGGCAACTGAATTGTTGCCTAGTGAAAGGCGTGGGTGTGATATTTTAAATGGAACAGCCTTATTTTCACTACTGCGAAGACCGCTTTCATATTCATAGATGAATCAATTATTCATAGATGATTTTCAGATATTCACAGTCGTTTATTTATCACTTCACGGGTTTATTTGGAATAAACATAATAACCAGCTCCCAATTGGCTTGTTAGCTCAGTTGGTAGAGCACTGCACCGGTATCGCAGAGGTCATGGGTTCATATCCCGTGTAGGCCTGAATTTTAATTTTTCAGGCCTTATTTTCACCACTGCTCAAGAAATTTTTCTTACTGCGAAAATCGCTTTCATATTCATCTCGAAACAGTCTATTGTTTATGCATGCGACTTTCTTATCGATAACAGTTTGTGTGTGGTTTTTTCTCCTCGTTTTGGTTAGCAATAATAATGTTTTTTGTCGTTTTTTTGTTTATTCTATTCTTACTTTTAACATACCTTACATGGACATACATACCGTATTAGTATTAGTATGGGTACGAAACGACTCAACCGACTTAGTACGAATCGACCTCGCTGGGCACGAAGAGACTGAGGGCGATTCGACCGTGGTGCGGAACGACTGATAACCCTTAACTGACTTACGTCACTTTTATCACAACGTCTAGCAATATTCTGTGGCATAAAGAGTACATTTCAGTTAGAGACCAACTTACCACGACGTGCATTTGTCAGGTAGAACTATAAGTTCACCACGGAAGTATTTTTTTCCCTCAAAGTGACAAACTAGGTAATAACAAGAAAGCAGTAAATCATATCACGTGTTGACTATTGTAGCGGGCGTACGTCGGTCCATCGGTAAGCATTTATTTCTATCTCCTATCACCCATGTGTTAACTGCTGACTAAAACGAGCAGGATGCTCGGGCCATTTAGGGAGAAAATTAGCGCCCAAATCAGCGCTGCAATTGAAATAAACGCACCAGTTTTAAGACTGATCACGAATGCAGAGAACTTTGATCACAGAATAGAACCTTATTGTGTGACAAGACGCGTGAGGTAAATGGAAAAACGTTTTTCACTGACCTATCTCTAATCACAATTTTACATGAGAAAGTATAACGCAGAGTGTAGCCAACCTTCTTGGTAGTCCTCTGGACACGCTGGACAGCATATTCCTTTTATCTTAAAAGGGTCATTACACCTTGGTGTGGGACAGCGCACTACGGAACAGCTGCCTGTGTTGGATTCTCCACAAACGCAGTGAGCACATTCACTTAATCTCCACATTTCACCCTTCTTGAAGACTCTTCTGGACAGTGGATCAACACACTGCGGTGACTCTGTGTGATATGAATAACTTTTATGAGGAAACTTTAGGGGAAAAAATGCTGTTGCCGTAGCGTGGTGTAACGTGACGTGGGTTGGCTTAAACGATTAGAGGGCAGAATATTTTTAAACGCAAAATTGCATAAAGTGAGGGCAGAATTATTTTTTACACAAAATTGGTTGTAGTTTGGTGGGATTGAAATCTCCCAGTGCAACTTACCGTTAAGTGGTTGCATATTTCGTTTAATGCTCTCTTCACATACCCAACCTCGAGACTTTTGACACTGGCTGAAACAAAAACAAGAATTTGCCGAATACTTTTGACGTGGCGCGTAGTTTTTATGCGGTTCACTCGACAAGGTATGTTAATATTGCGTGAGTCGAGGTTTTTTATCGCACGAAAAAAGAAAGACAATGTTTTTGAAGTGACATGGACTCCGGATCATGAGGTTCAAGCGAGATTCTTGATTGGGTCATTGTGGATTGGTTTTTTAGGCACGACACCTCACTCTCCACCAAGGAGTATGAATTAGTACCAGAGAAACTGTCAGGAGAACTCGACAGAGAGCTAAGGAGCAACCTGTAATGGACAAGCCTCTCATTTGGAAAGAGTGAATTTAACACACTTCAAGTCACTTTGCGCTATAGAAATCGGATATACGCACATGTACTCATGTTACCTGACCTTGTAAGTAGCATATTGATAATCCCTCAAGTTCTTACTACTCAGTGGCGTTTCGTGAAATTGTGCAGACCTTTGACGCGTTCTGGCTCAATAAATTATTCGACATATTGACATTGCGTTTCATTTTACCTAGATCTGGATGATTTCTTTCTGCTGTGGATCACTGAGTGAAGTAAAGAAGCTTAAAAAGCCGCAAACCCGCAGCAAGCCTTATGGATGTGAATTTTATGAAATCTTTACTTACCAAATTGTCTTGCGGTCTTGTAACACAATGATTTCACTCTGAAAGAACGTCTTCCCATTGAAATGGCACACTAGGAAGAAAAATCCTCAGGCCATTTAGCTACTATTAACAAATGGCAAAAAGTAAATAGCAACCAGCTTAGCTAAGAAAAGTATCGGGCGGAGTGATACTTGTACCGCCCAATAGTGTATATTTTCAAGGGTCTTGAATCTTCAACAGAGTATGACATTTCATTTTCAGTATCTTGAATAGAGTGTCTCTATGAACCGAGATCCTTGACTTGGGTGTGAACGTTGGTGGTGCGTGATCTACAATTTTTAAAACTATTCCTAAGTTGTAGGACATGGCTCCAGAAGGTCAACATGTCAGGATTTGAGCAATTTGAAGTCTCAGAGCAAAAATATTGGTGAATTGAGTGTCGAGAGAAATCCAAGACTGCCATTAATTATTTTTTTTTACTTAGCTCTGTTATTGGTCTATAAAACCCGCATGCACCCTCTAGACCAATCAGATATAAAAGTAAAATCAATCACGCCTTGGTTATCGTGAAACACTTGGGGTTCAAAAGCATGGGCGGTTCTTGTACCTCCCACCCCCCCATCCCGAATTTCCCCTGATTGCTTTCTCTTCTCGGGATGCGTGTAACGAAGACTTGTTGTAAGCTATCGTTCCCCAACGATTCCTTCTGTTCTTACAGCTGATGATCATGATCTCTTGCCTTCCAACACAAACTAAAGATCTCTTACCTGTGGTGGTATAAGTATAAAGTTCATTTTAGTCGTCTTATCACAAATAACCAAGAGAATATGAACTAATGTTCTCTTGCAAATTACGTAATGTTATTTTTACTTACCCTTTTTGACGTCGCTGTCTAAGCAGAACTCACAGCATCTTCCCTCGACTCGAACAGGATCCTTACAGCGTGGAACGTTACACTTTATCGACCAGCAGTATAACCGACCGCTACTTTCACATTCACACGCTGTGCAAGTGAAATCTCCTCGGATCCAAATTTCTCCAGTTCGATAGGATTTCCTTGTGACCAGGTCATAACATCGGTCTTTGCCCACTGATATCAATTATCAAAAAAATATGACAGTGTTTAATGGGTACAAAGTCTTAACGAAACATCAAGCGACTCTCGCTTTAACAAGATGTGGGGACTCTCACTTTAACAAGATGTGGGGACAGAACGCTGCGAGAAATCGATTCTCAGTCTGCGTGTTATTTGGATAATAATATCCGTAAATAAAAAAACTACTCAGTCCTTGAATGATTAGAGAAGGGTGCAGTTTTCATGTAACATGGGTGCAAATTTATAACACGACTGCAAATTTGGAACGCCAGTGCGATTAAATTAAAAATGTGCTCTTTCCAAGTCAATAGTTGAATGACTTTTAAATAATAATATTATGAAAATTTAAGTTTGACAAACGTTGTAATCTTTTTCAACCAATTAGTTGAATGAACTTTATGTAAAATTAAAGCACGTGCTATCAAAATTTAATTGGTTTAATTTTTTGGCTCATGATTCCTCAGGTAATTTGGTATGAATAAGCACTTCTAGATTTTTCATACTTCAAATTACCTTCGCCCTACAGCCTTGTCCATTTTGACTTGGTCTGAAAAACTCTCTCTCACTTATCTTTACAAAATTCCACTCTAAATCATGTGATCGCCTGTACTAATTTTTTTATCGACCTTTTCCGTACGACAGAATTTGTCTTGGAAAAAAGTCGTTCAAATTAAAATTCGCATGATTTAAGGTGGAAGTGTGCTAAGAGTGCCTCAAACTTCGGTGCTTCAAAAATTGTGCCGCAACACCTTCACTGGTTTTGCATAGAGTATAAAACCACAAGATAATGCAGGTGATCGCCTTACTCTTTTCACATCTGCTGATTTTAAGGTTCTCTGGTTTAAAATCTTCGCATTTCCACGTGTCTTCACCCGGTAGACATTGCAGTCCCCGGTCGCATTTTTCCTCATCCTTTTGGTATGGCTCTCTTTTGCACATTTCTCCGATTGACTTTAAACAAACGTAACAACAGCCACACTTATCTTTCACCACCCCTGTATTGCAGTTAAGTATCTCAGGGCATACTTCCCGAGGGTCGGGACATTTTCCTGCGCTGTCACACCAGCAAGGACTACAGTCTGAGAGAACTGGAAGCGGACTCTGTGCTGTAGTGCACGACAGAAATACCACCAACAACGCCGATGCGAATGAATATAATTTTTCCATGTCAACGAGGATCTAAAAAGGATAAACTATTCAGTATTAAAATGGTGAAAGCCGCAAATCGCAGTCAAGTCCTGAAACACATGTGCGACGTTTTGACTGATGAGCACATGGCACGGTGCAATGGCGGAATAAAGTAGTTTTTTCGAAGCAAAATCTGCACAGATACTGTGTATAAATATGCACACAGCGTTCGCGGTAGACCCACACTAAAAGATGTCGAGCGTTTTTGGAACGGGTTGGTCCGCGAACCTTATGAGAGATCTCTTTATGAACGAACATTTATGAGTGAACCTTTCATCGAGAAACAAGCTATATCAACTGAGCCAGCTAATGTTAATTGAGAGAAGCACAAACGCAAATCTCATCGTTTCTTTCCAACAGAAAGCCAGAGTGAAAGTAAATACGAGTCTAGTTTGGCTACAATTTTTCGCTATTTTCCCAAACCAACTCTTCTCCTTTATGATCATTTACAGCAAATATTTCAAAAATCGCCATTGTTATCAAGTCCTGCTATAGACGAACATCTCCCGAAGTCATTGACGTTGCATTTTGAGGAAGTAAGCAAGACGAGCAAATTATGTGCACGACACAAGTATGTGTAAGGTACGGTTACGATGTGAAGCTTCTAGAGATTTCAAACGAAAATTAAAAGGCTCATTCGACTCAGTAGTTGAGGATCTCCTGTATAGACATCTTAAGGGAAAAATCGACTGGAACGCCAAATAGCCGTTTAGGATATCATAAGCTCAGTTTACAGACAAAAATGTTTTTTTTTTCCTTCAAGACTGTGGTAGCCCACAAACGCACTGATGTGCTAGTAGCTGGAAGTAAAAGCATAGCCCAGCATGTTCCCATGACATTAAAATGATTGCTATGCATGCCATCTGGATTGCACTTAATGCCGCTTAATTAAACAAAACCGTGACATTTCTTAGTTGCGTTACATTGAAATCTTTCGCATCTTTAAACTGTACTTTTCTTCGTTACATTACATTGAAATCTTTCGCATCTTTAAACTGTACTTTTCTTCGTTACATTACATTGAAATCTTTCGCATCCTTAAACTGGTACTTTTTGACAAATCCGTCGATCAGACCGCTCATGCTCTCTGCAGTGAGCAGAAAAGTACTCTACCTTCCACTGCATGATCAGACAAAAATTAATACCAAAAAAGCTAACCAAGATTAAATGAATATCATAGAACAGCACCTTTCTTAATTAGTTGCTTTAAGGAAAAATAATTAAAGAACGTGTATCTTTGAAATAAAAGCCCCATATTATTCCGCCAAAGGAAAAAAACGCTCGATATCAAACCACATGCCGCTCAGAATGCATCAAAACAAGCAAGCTATCAGATTCTTTTTTAATTAAAACTCAAAGGACAAATAATCGTTTACAAGAACACATTTTCTAAATGAAAGAACCCAACGAATTCACCGAAGTACAAAAACAGCTATGCCAGATTTTAACACGTAATTTTTTTTTATACTATAAATTTTTGGGAGGAAGTTTTTTTTAAGCAAGAAATATGCGAACGATTATCAAAGTTCGCGGTTTTTCATTTCACTGAGGGAAATATAGAAATACTTTAAACATTGAGAATGCATTCTCATATCTCTAAAGTCCTAAGTAAGAAAAAAAGAGAAATGGAACCAAAATAACAAATATATTGTAAATAGATCTCCCCAAATAATGAAATGAAACTTCAAGTGTTGGAAATTCAATTCTCAGCCTTTTGTTTATGAGAGAAACTATTCAAGAATCTGTCAGTAGCAGCAACACAATAGTTCGACCAACGAAGCTTTCGTTTGCTTTCAGAAATTTGCTCATTGTCTATGGACACTTTTACGGCGATAGATGTAAGTTCTGTGGTATATCCTCTCCCTTCGAAACTTAATCAGAAGGACACTAACCGAACAAAATACTGAATGGCTCAATTCATTTTCATGCCAAGATGTTGAAGTCTGTACACCCCACAGGGCTGGTGCAGATCGCAGATTTCTTTTCTCATTTTCTTGCTGACGCTTTAGAAATTTGCTAGTTGTAACTATCGACGCAAAGTCCACCCTCTTATCGTCCATTTCTATCCGATTATGGGATGATTAAGTGGTTAAAAAAGAACAACAACATGAAATACTCAAACGAAACGCTTTTTCTATGTTACGCAGAGCTGAATTGAACCCACTTGATTACAGACAGCCTCACCTGATCAACGAACACGTTTAGATTTTCTTCATGGGACTTTTTCGTGAACTAAAAACGCTGACCAAATTCGCTTCCTCCTTTCTTTGGAGATGTGTCCGAGCTATGTTTTGTATGTTTTACCACGGCTGTAACATTATATTGAATTGGTCAAGAGGTTAAATCGGCTTTTTTTTCAGGAGAGAGTATTCTAAAAATCTATCCTCCACACGTCTGGAACACAAAGTATGCTCTAGAAGAAAACTCCTTTCAAATTGTAACCTTGTTTGTCACCACCTACCACATACGTAAATATAGGCATAAATATAGGTATCTTCTTATCGACGGTTAGTTCTCTCTTAATGACAGGAAGGAATCATTGAAAATGTGAAAATTTGAAATTTTGATTGCTAAGCATGTTTCTCCAGATGGCATGTTATAATCCGACTGAACATACAAATGGTGAACATCGTGAGATCTTATCAGTTCAGAGTTCGTTATATGATAAACAACATTGTATAACAATGTGGAAGTATCCATGCGTGTGTGTGTGGCCTTCATAGAGTAACGTTTTTCCTCTTTAAAGATACGTCTCGTCGACGAGATATAAAAGCTGTACTCTTATTTCTGAAAATTAATTCACTTTAACTTTACCTAACATGACAGAAGGCCTTGTCTTAAGGTCTGGCCTATCCGTGTTCAAGTTGTATCTCAATTATTTGTTAATGAGGAAATAAAAGCTCAGATGTTTTGTTTCAAGTTTCAAGTTTATAGTTATCTTGTCAAGAACATGCAGCAAAAAAAAATTTTAAAAAATTTTGCTCTTGAAAGATTTGGGTGCTGGAAATAGAAGCAGTTCTGAATACCTCTTCCGGAAATTAAACCACCTTTCGTAAATATATTTTGATCGTAAACCAGAGCTTCTTTGGGGGACAAACGTTGCAAGTTGAAACAGAAAAACACGATGGAAGGTTTCTATGTCTTGGGTAACTGTTTACCAAAATTATTGCATGTACGCCAAAAAATGTTGTCCGACTTCGCTTGCCCCGACATAGCTCTCTTCCCCAAATAGCGTACATGTTATCATTTTGTACTCGTGCCGTTACAAAATTGACAAAATACGGATATGTTATCGCCAGGAAACTGTCAATTAAATAAGCAACAAGATAAGTTAATGCGTAGAAATTACACGATTATGATATGGAGTTTAATTAAGAAACATTCAAGAATTTATAACAACTGGTTTTATAAAAGAAATAGGCGATGAATCGACAGCTCAAACCTAATAGTAAGAACTTACTTCTATCACAGGTTTCCAGTGAACATTGACCTCTGACTTTCGTGTAACCCTTCAAGCTAGTTAGCAAACTGAACAACTACGTGTGCACTTGTAAAACACATACAAAAACTGACCTGAAAAGTAATAAAGTTAATTAATGAAATTGATTACAAGCGATCAATAACTGACAATAATTGGAGTATACCTTAGTTTTCCTGGCCTCGACAACATAATTACTTAAAACTAGAGAATTTTCCCTCAAGAGAGAGGCTAAGAAGGCTCATTTACATGCACATAGAAGAGTGACAGTCATAAGCGTAAAATAGGATGTGATGTCTTTTTTATTGAGATAATTATGTGGATGAAAGTTAAGGGGCAAGCACGATTCTTTACCAAGAAAAGGGAGGTCTACCCGAGTATTTCAGCACTAGAAATTATTCCTTTCTCGAGAGAGACAACAAAGGAAGGGTCACTTGCAACCTGGTAACCTGGCAACCCTCATCCCTAGCCCATTCTTTGTCACGACCTCAAGCGTGGGGATTTTTAACCCCCAAGAAAAGTTGATTCCCTGTTGAATACGATATGGAAAAGTGTGATAAGGGTCTGGACCCCAGGGTGGAGCATTTCGTACAAACCTTAACTTTGGTAACCCCCCACCCTCTCTCACCAGGCTGGAAAACTTCCTATCATTATTGTTTTCTCCATCTGACACAGTCTGTGAATTTCTTAATCTGTTCATAGTAAATCTGGTTATTTCTCATGGTGAACTCTGCCATAATTTTTTTTTTCTGTAGTCGTGCACAGAGAAGCACTCTAAGCGCTCATGCGAATCGAACCTCACGTGATGTAATGAGAGCGCTTCTCTCACCGATAAAAGGAATGGTCTTTTCTATCATCATAATTGTTGTCGTAATCTATGTTCAACTCCAGGTCAATATGTTCTTGACCCTGCGATTTTTTGTTTTTAAAAATTGTGGAGTCTTCCTCAGTGGCTATTTTGTTATCATTTGACAAAAAAATCAGAGTACAAAAAATACGTACGACCAAAAGACGTACTTCATAGAATACCCAGTTTGAACGGAAACCAACTCTTTAACACATAACTAATCATATCTCTCCCAATTTATTGAACAGTGACTCAATACAGCTTCTTTAGCAAAGTATGCACCGACATAGATGGCGTTTAAGGGATATCATGATGAAAACGTGGCTCCAAACTTTTTCCCTATTTTGTTGGCACCTGCACTTTTCATTGATGAGTTTCCCAGTGATCAGTTTGGTTAACTGGATCGGTAATATCATCAAACGAATTTTTCTCAGTCTAATGGAGATACCTGTAGCTTTTAAACGAGTTCGAATTTTAATCAATGTGCGAACGTTCGAATAAATCATTCGGTAAAGTAAGCTCAGAATCAACATAATTTTACAATGATTTAAGGTGGCTGTAGCCTGGCAACACAGATAGCATGCTATCTTAAAAATCTCCACCCCATCCCTCACCCCCCCCCCCGACACTTTAGGGGTAGGGGTGTTCATGCACCTTGCGACCAGCGAGGACAGTTCTATTGACTCTCAGATCAAAAGAAAATCTTAAAAGAAAAACACAAGGAAACTTTATTAAATTTGAGTCGAAAGCGGCAATATTAGGAGGGACAATGGTTTTTTTCATTCTCCCCCAAAAAAATCAGTGATTTTTTGCGACCAGCAAGGACAGTTCTATTGTTTCTCAGATCAAAAGAAAAACTTATAAGAAAAACATTATTAAATTAAATTTGAATCGAAAGCAGCGATGTTAGGAAGGACAACGGGTTCTAGCTTTTCATTCGCCCCCAAAAGATCAGCGATTTGTTCCATTCGCCACAACGAGAAAACTCAAGAAAGACGTTGATGCCGACAATATATAACAAAACACTCATCGGCTGAATCGAGTGAAATAGGAATTCATTGCTTTTTTCAATCCCCATGGTCAGATTGGTAATCTGCGATGAAAAGTCTGCTTTTTAATTCTGTACTTTAATACTATTTGCAAAAAATGACGAGACTTTTAGATCTTCTGGAACTTCAGAAATATAAAGCGCAATTAGCTCCCTAGTTTCTATGCCATTACCGCCAACAAGTAAGCAGTATGTGAAATATTTAGCTCAAGTTCTTAAAATCCGGAAATTACACTTGCTTACAAGCATTTTTAGGGTTTTTAAATTCCTGAATCGATAAAAGAGGCAGTTACGTTCGCATGTTCTTACAAAACTCGGATTGAAATTTCTGCTCGAGGAAAACGATTAATAAAGTCTTGAATCAAATACATAAATTTAGTTTTATGACACTAATGCGTGTACCAAAGAGTTTCTTATCCTTTACTGTGCTTATGATCGACAATTAGGGTCTTACTTGGGTCGAAAAATAAATAATTGTGAAGGACCGCAAAACGGAACGGGGGAGGGACGAACTGAGCATTTCTAACCCCACAGGGATCTGGTCAAAAACTCATTAAAGACAACTTGGATCCCTAAACTCAGGTAAAGTTAGATAATTTAATGAAAAGATCACTTAGAGAGAGAGAGAAACAACTCCCTAACGAAATTTTCTATCCAGTGTTCATCAAAAGCTTGCCCTCAACCGGATTGCAGAACGACGTTTTCCCTCAATTCGTCCTCGAGGGAGCCACATAGCATATCCCGTGTTCACCTCCCCCCCCCCCGGCCTTGACAGGATTGTGCCAAGTTTTAGATGTTACAATTATTTGAAAACAATTATTTTTAGTCTGCAAAGTCGTTAGAACTGCGTCGTCGTTAAATCAAAGTTGGCCGGCTTCGGACACTCAACACGAAGACAGAAACGTACAACATCCTCACGAAAACTCTTAAGACACGTATCCAGCTTTAGCTAAAAATAATAGGGCAAGAATTATAACTGACCTGCTTGCGGTCCACGTCTTTGCTAGGACTTCTCTTGGCCCCTTCTAAAAGATAGAAGATCCTCTTCTTGTCGATTCACAACGATCCAGCTTAAAGGAATATTACAGATTTCTCCTGTTATTTGTGATCCAGACCGTTTTCAATTGATCGAAACATATCATGCGGTGTAATATAATTCTCACAGGATGAAAGGATCTGATTAGAAGACAAGTAATAGATAAAATGTCTGGTTTCATTTGAGGGGGAGGACTCCGGAATTTTATCGTATTTGTTGGTGATTGTGGGAAGATATATTCACTGAATAATTAAGCGACTCTTTCATTCGAGTTTCTGCGGTATTCAAGGCGTTCACTTTAAAACATTCCGTATCTCATATAAAAGAACTCTTTATGAGTTGTGCATTGTTCTCATGGCAAGTCCAGTAAGGCAGAATTTCCCCCGCAAAGGTCGAGGGAAATGACCCGTGAAAAACATCTTGCAGATTGAGGTGTTTAAAAAGCTTTTACCGACTTTTAGAACAGCATGCGCATTTTATTGACAGTTATCCGTTGTATTTATTTTGAGTTTGTTGAGATAAAAACCATCTTATAGAATTCCAAAACCTCTCTGATAAGCTTAGTTATGAGTCTCACGTGAAATGAAGTCAAGGAGCTATAGATTACCGAAGAATTATCACAATGACACTCGCATCTTTTAAAAAGGAGTGGCGTTTAAAACCTAAATGGAATTTTTCTCGGGATCACAGCCAATACCTTCCGAGATCCTGCGGGTAACACCGAACACTACAATGACTGCTACAATGAAGTCAATGAAGGCTCGTCCCATACACACTGTTGAGAATTTGCAGACGGACAGCTTGCACAATATTTCGTGAAATAATTGATCATTGTACTTATCATCCATTGGACGAGTGCTTTCGGTTTTGCCGACGGCTATGAAGCGTTCGCTATTGTTAAAAGGTAGAGTTAAAGTCTGTTCTCGTGCCTAGTGGCTCGCCCACCCGGTTTCCATATAGTATGGAGGGACTAGGAGTTTTACTACTTTCCCCTGGATGGGGTGCTAGTCCATCGCAAGGTTATCCCCCAGCATTTTAACAGGCTTCCCTGACAATTCGCCAATTCTAGTCCTAGCCTGGATGGAGAGAGCCACTGTGAGAGTGAAGTGTTTTGCCGAAGAACGCAACACAGTAATTCTCCTTACTATCTGCCAAAATGATTCTCATTAACTAGCTTGGAGAATTTGGTATCGGATCAATTTGTGATCCCATAATTGATATTTTTCTTTATTCTCATCACTTGTATGCATAATATTGTATAAACATAGTAAGGAGAAATTCTGTCTTGGTCACTCACAAAAGTTAAAGGGTTAACTACCCTATAATCACTTCAAATTCCACGTATGATGTTCATATGCTACTACAGAAGTTATTTTCAAAGAGTGTCAGATTGAGAATAAAATTTCTTTAAACCAATTGGGTTTTATAGGGTTCGCTTTACTGCACTCCGTGATTGGTTCAGAAAACTCGTGCGACCCTCATAACCACTGCAGCAAGAAACCAATCATTACTATCCGCGTTTTCCCGCGCCCGTGATCGTTTACTTATATGAGTTTTCATCGGCTCCTAGCGACACTTTCCTCTCCTCTGATGGGCTGTTTTTGTTTGCATTTTGGTTTTGTTGTCACGACACCCATCGGAAAAAGCCGTCCCTTTGTTTGTAAGGCAATATTTAGCAATACTGGATTATGCGCGCAGTCAATGAATGTATGTTTTAGTACATGTTTATTAACAAAGGATCGTAGTGTTCTATGTAAACTGCCAGAATTATGAGTGTATCGTTCATCATTCTTTCTGCTGTTATTTTTATTACTTTATACGTTTTAGCTCCTTTTTACGTCTGTGTAACTGAGTTGAGCAAATAAGTAATTTTTCAAGACTTCACGTTAAAGGCAATATGAAGGTGCCTCTTCATGTTTCTGCGAACGCAACTTGAGAAAAATGTTTTGATTAATTCACAGCGGCGAGTGTTGCTAAAACCATATACGATTGTATTGTTTTCATTTCAGTTCTCTTCCTTGTCGCCACAACTCTATCCGGTGCGTCTTTTTCTTCGTCAGAAAGCGGCACATGTCCGTAACCTTAACTGATGATAAATAGCTGTGGTTTCCAGTTTTTGTCTATATAAATACGAGTTCCAAAAAACACACTCAAGACATCCATGCATCAATCATATACGGACTTATACCACAAACGTCCCTATGAAAAACTTGACAGTTGAGCAAAAATCCGACAGAGCATTTCCTGTCACATGTTTACTTCAATTTAATTGCAAAGGGCTTTTTCATCCTCTTTAAGACAGCAATTCGGCAGGATTTCCGAGTTTCGTCAACGTAAATGTTAACAGCTTAGGCGGGTAATAATGATTCAAATTGCGACAACGGAATTCCTACGGCAAAAAAATTAAAAGTGTCAAGCAAAACTAAGAAGATAGGACTTTTCTCTGTTCCTGCGAAGGTAGGCGGAAGTGATATTAACAAAAATTAACTTTTGGAGGTGGAATGACGCGAATACGAGGGTCTCTATGGAGTGATGACTTTCACTGCTAGCGATTAAAATATTGGCAAGTTAATGACTAACAGTTAATTCTTTCCAATGTTTTAAAAGGAAAAGGTTTACGGTTAACTTTTTTTATGACTAACGGTTAAAATTTTTCAATTATTGCGCTGAAATATTTTTCCGTTTTAAGGCAACGGTTGATTACTGAGACCTTCGAAAACGCCCACATTCTAGAAGTTTTATAGAATTTCTTTAAAATTCTTGAATTGAGTTGACGGTAGCAGAGTAAAATACCGTTTTACGTCTGATGCCGTAAACAGGAAATAGATATAAGCAACTGAAAAATTGTGGTTGTTAATTCCGTTATAAAACGGAGGTGGGTTCTCGGAAGGGCAGAATGACGGAAATGTCGCGCTCGTTCGTAAATATGTCTGTTAATGACACAGCTACCCGGATCTCTGATCATTTCTAAGTTTAATTCAGAAACTTTAAGTCAGTTTGGCGTGAACCACCTTCCGGCGCTCGTTTTTAATCAAAATTATTTCAAAAATTTAGTAAACATTACACCCTGAAGATGGAGAAAATATATTTAATAATCTTCCACCAGCAGAGCCAAATTTGAACCGGAAAGGATTTCTCAGAATTCCGACGCACTCACGAAATTTGCGGAGGAAGTTCTCCAGAGGTAAGCGGCTTAAATATTTCCAGCAACATTTTGGTTTTTGTTTTTTATTTGTTGTAGTTGTATCGCTACCTGGTTTCAGAAAACAATAATAAATATGATAATAAAGCTCATTACGTATTACGTAAGAAAGCTCAAAAGAATGTTTTCCCAGTAGGCCACAGACCAAGGGAGCTCGTTTCTGGAAAATTCCGGTGGCTACCGATCACGGAGAGGTGTCTTTTGTTTGCTGTGGTTTTCCTTCAAAATCGAGATATCGACATTTGTAAAAAATTCAAGCGATGAAATATTTGGAACTGTGACGGAATGAATTGGTTTTAAAGCTAAGGATCACTCCGCTCTTCTTAAGATTTAAATTTTAAAATTTGACCCCAGGCCCTTGAAGTTATCAGGAATTTCAAGAAAAAGGCCTTGGGCGGCTTTGTCAATGAGGAATAAACCATTTCTTCTTTCAGAATAAAAATTCCGAGCGAAGAGGCCGGAAATCGCAGCAACTAATGACAACTAATTTTTGATTCAACAATTTTTATTGCCTCTGAAGCCTAAGCCGTACTGCTTGTCTTGTAAGCGGCTGATAGTTACAAATTGAACATCTATCTTCATAAGTATATCTAAATTTTCCCAATATACCCAATAAATATCATTTGACAGCATAAATAAAATATCCGGCTAAATTTGTAAAACGATAATACGGTTCATGTACTTTTACAAATTGGCTTCATTTGTGGCGTGTTAATGTTTATGGAATCGACTGAAGTTGTCAAAATTACTTCGAATCAGTCCAGCAGCTGCGATTCTGTGTCAAGAGAAAAAAGAAATCACATTTTAAGTTATACTTTCCAAAACATTTTAAAAATGCAAACCTTGGTTATAAATTCTTACCCAAAAAAAAAAATGAAAATACTTGAACTCGGTCAAATATATAGAATTCTTGGTTTTTCTTTTGTTTCATTCTCTTTAAAAATGACTCAATATCCTTTCAACGTATGAGCTGTTCTTTAGAATGTCAAATATACTGTCATTTCTTATTTTATTCCTTAAATTTTGTCCGCAAAGTCCACTTTCCCAGTGGTTCAGCATGCGTGGTTTCATACCTCAAAGAAATATTTATTAATCGGGTTAGTCGTGGGCTGTGTTTTTTCAACAGCGATTTAAATTATTTGTAATTATATTTCATCTCAATCTAGAAAGATTTTAACACCTACAAAAATAATCAGCAATCCCCCACAAATGATTCCTGGCACGTTTTGGGTAGGTCCATATTTGCCCTTAATTATAGATTCAGAGAGTAACAAATCAGCCATTAAGTCAAGGATGAAATTTGACTGACTTACTTGATTGTTTCAAATTAATTCCACGTGAACCATTTTTTTGTTTCATCTTTCTATCACAACCTGGAAGTGGAGGGTCTTGGCTACACCACCACCAACGTTTAAATCTTCCAGCTGATCTCTCTGCGCGCCTGAGAAACGGTCTCTGCAATATCACATCTGCCAAACTGCAGCACAAACCGTAAAACCACTCGGTTATTTGAAATACTGGTGCCTATTAACCTCAGTTTTCAGACTGAACTCTTAAATATTCGGAATCTTTGAACCTCTGTTTGGTACAAGAAGTGTACGAGAGACTTACACAACCGTAGTGAATTCTCACCTTCTTCTTGTAAGACCATCCTTAGAGTGTAACAGCCATGTATTTTCACGCTCTCCCGATGCAACTCCCAACAGCACGAAAAAAATGGCGACAAAGGTTACTAACATTATGACTCCTTTCATTTTGTGTCACTGTGACAACTTCGGTACAGCTCGTGTCAGGTCACACCGATTTCGACTGAAATAATGCAACGTCTGGCTCGGAGCAGCTTTTTATACCTTTTTTTACAGGTGGATTCCGCATGCATGATGATGTAAGCATTTTGTGATCATACCGGTAAAGACCATATAAGTATTATTTTGACTTCCGTCCAATCAATTTTAATTGTCACAACAATTCTGAGTGGTACAATTCTACGGGAAAAGTGAGCATTAATTCCACTGTGTTTAAAATAACTTCGACCGCCCCTGTTCCCTCTCTGCAATAGGTTAATTATAGCATAGAACTGCAATATTGTCCAAACATGGCTATAACTTCCGACAGCTGAAAGGAAAATATCGTTGAGGACAAATTAGCAAACGAAAATTTTTCTAACGAATCAGCCTCTCGAGGGCAGACGAAGAAGGAAATTGTGCTGCCAAGAGAGTCCAGAGTAAATAAAACTGTTTTGCGTAAGAGGAAATAGAAAAAGAAAAAAACAAAGCAAATCTGCTTTCTTCAAAAAGTTGATTAGTGTGAGTATTGTGTTACTACAGCGTCGTTGATTGAAGGCAGGGGGTTCTAAGTTTGTCCAAAGCAGGTGGAATTTCATATAGGAATTAACTCATAAGACCTTTTTGTATAGAAGAAACCTTTAAGATAAATAGTCTACAGGCGTAGATGGACACAAACGCACTAAGAATAGACCAAGAAGTAACGATAATGGTTAAGAATGACTAAGGGTGTCAAGGACTGTAAATGACGAACTTTGCGGGTAGAACTAATTTTCACGGTTTGCCGGAAGTCGTAAAGCTAGTCTGCGGTCAGGATAACGAACATCAAAAATAATACCACCAAGTACCAAGTTTTTTTCTGCTCACGTCATGGCTGGCTAATGATCGTTTTGCAGATGAATCATCTCCTGCAGTGAAAATGAAAGCCCTTTTGCAAAATCTATAAATACAGGATCGATACAAGATCCGCCGGCCGGGGTTATTAGTCTAGTCAACCATAACGGCTTAGTGGCAACACAGAGTTTATTCCATGACTCAATGATCAGCTTTTTTAATCGTTCAATCCACTATGACAATTTCTCTTTGTTCTCTTCTCATTTATCGAGCATATTGGGCAAGAATTAGCTTGACTTGTAATGCACGAACTTGTTCCGCAGTATGGAATTATTGAATTCTAATATCACCCAGCAGTGCTCTTTTACTAAATATACTGATTAAAGAAACCAATATCACAAACTAGACGATTTTAGCAAGTTACCTTGCACAGGAAAAAATGTTCAAAAAGAGTCGTTTCTTAATAATTAGTTATGGTTTAGGTTCGGTTTTACTTTGACAACAGGTGTAGGTGGGGCGTTGTGTAACAGGTCATTCACGCAGTCGTGTTTTAGTTTTTTTTCTTTTCAGACGCGAGTTCGCACACTCAGTTGTTTGATATTAGCTCGGGGAAAGATATTAGATGCATCATTAATTCTTTTGGTAGACATCTGATGACAGAGTTGGTTTTGCAACTTTTTTTGAAGGAATAATGATCTTGAGCTTAATTAAGCGGAGGGCATAATTACGAAAGAAGGAGTTTTACTAACTTTTTCCATAAGCGGCCGCCGATGGTATGATCGGTGACTAAGCCCGGAACTGAGGGGCGTACGGCGAAGCCCAAACACGAAGACCCTGCTTGCAAGCTTAACCGACGACCGCAAAAGGTTTCTAGGCGGCGGTAGATCGCGTAACCGGAAGTACTGCAACCACTAAATCCCTGTGTAGGAGTATATAGTTTACTCCGGTCAGTTAGGGCTCGATTGCGTCTAAACTAGCAAGAGCAATGACCAACTTTAGCACATTCCTTTAGCATACCAATGTTTTTATGTTTTTCATATTAAAGATTTATCGAATCCTTTTTTTACCGTCAAATAAATTTGATGTTTCAAGAAGATGAAAAATCTTACTTGATTTCTCACGCTACGACTGATGTTTTCTCACTTTGATGTGGGGGCATGAGTGTTTGGGAGAGCATAGGCAATCGGTTCCGCATGTCCGTTCTCCTCTGATGTGTAAGGCTTGTCTCCGGTTTGCGTGGTGAAAGTGAGCACACTCTGCCTTGAATGATGGCAGAGTGTCATGAAGGGTCATCAAGGCCAGCCCAAGCGTTTTCTCCATCTGGGCCCAGTTGTAAAAAGGACGGATAATGCTATCCAACGGATAGATTGCTGTCCAGCGCATGAATGATGGCGAAACATATAGCGTTATCCACCAGATAGAGATTTATCCAGTGGATTGTGTCATCTGACCTTCGAACAACCGGTGATAATCGGATTGAAAGTGACGTCCACGAAAAGTTGAGCCCTAGGTGAAAATGGGTTTACATTCAGCGGATTAGTAAAAATCTAACATGGCGGACGAGCACATATAGTGAACTTGATAGTAATTATTCGTTTCTGTCCTTGTTTTGGTGTAGTTTTTCGTTTTATCACTAGTTATGGAACTATCCAGAGAACTGGACGAAATTGACCAAGAACTCAAGCAAATTGAGACACAAATCGAAACTTTGCTAGAGAGGCAACAATTTCTCCAGTCTCAAAAAGAGTTAATTCAGTCGCAAATTTGCAGTCAGCTGGTCCCTCGCGAACCTAGTTGTTCACAGAAAAAAGAAAATAATATAGAATGGTCAGCAAAGAATTTCTCTTGGTCGGAAAATGTGGAAGCTGCTCGAAAAAACACTTTTAAGATCAAATCTTTCCGTCCTCTACAGTTGGAATGTATAAACGCAACAATGTCGGGCTCGGATTGTATTTTAATAATGCCCACCGGTGGAGGGAAAAGCTTATGCTTTCAGTTGCCAGCTGTGATTTCGAAGGGGATCACTCTGGTTGTTTCACCGCTGATTTCTTTGATGGAGGATCAGCTCATGGCTCTAAAGGAACTGAAAATTGATAGTACGTTCTTGAACTCTACTTGCTCCAAAGAGGAGGTCAATGCAGTACAACACGCTATGGTAGACAAGAAATCCGGTTTGAAATTATTGTATGTAACACCAGAAAAGATTGCCAAAAGCAAGAGGTTTATGGCTAAACTAGAGAAAACATATGAAGGTGCACAAATTCACATATCAAAGTTAATGAATTGCAATGTTAATAAAGTCTGAGCTGGAATATGTAGTTCTAAAGAAACTCCTTATTTTCTTTAAGGTGGCAGACTATCACGAATCGTGATCGATGAAGTACATTGCACAAGTCAGTGGGGCCATGATTTCCGTCCTGATTATAAAATCCTAGGGATTCTGAAGCGTCAGTTCCCTGGGGTTCCAATTCTGGGTCTCACAGCAACAGCAACATCAAAAGTTGTTGATGATGTTAAGAAGATTCTTGGCCTTCAGCAAAACTGTGTATTTTTCAAAGCCTCCTTCAATAGACCCAACTTATTCTATGAGGTTAAAATCATCTTATTACTTTCTAATTTAAGCTGAGTTATTAATTTTAGACATTTTATTCAATTTTATTAAAATGACTGCATCATGTATTGTGTTAGTAAACAGGGTTCGTATTGACTATGGAAAAACCAGAAAACAACTGAGTATGCTATTTGCAACAGAGTGTTGTATTACTGAATCAAATAAATCAGAATGGGTAATCAGATTAATCCTCTAACACCCATGGGTGACCTAGACAGAATTTCTCTTTACAATAATTATCAACACAATATCAAGCAGACAAGTAATGAGAAAAAAGAAAAATCTTCATTAGGAGATTATTGGTTGATCCAATACCAAATTCTCCAAACAAACATCACAAGAACTATATGGCAGACAGTAAGGAGAATTACTAATGAGATCTTGGGAGTTAAAGGATTGAAGGAAAATATAAGGAGCTCCTGATGCGAGTTCACAGTAAAATCAAGCAAGCTGCCACAAGATCAGCTGCAATTGGTTTTAGTTTTAAATCTGATTGGCTGAGAAAGTTGACTGAGTGTTCTGAACCAATCACAGCAAAGAGAAATTGAAATTTGCTCAATGAAGCTGGAGTCAGGAACTTTTTGATTGAACTCATTTTGAAACCAACTCAATTGGAGGTTGATAATCCTGAAAAAAAGTTGTGGAAAATCTTTAGATTTTGAAGAATCCCATCCCATCTCTTGTGAAGGCTACCTGAGGAAATGTGATATCCTATCTTTGTTTGCAGAGTATTTATGAAGGTTTTTTTCCAGTATTATGTCATTTATTTATGTTTTACTTCACTTATCTTTTGTATTGTATCCCTTTAGAAGTTTTGTGATCAGAAAATTGGTAACCATTAAACAGATTCAATACTCTTTTAAAGGTGCTGCAAAAACCCTCAAAGCATGATGAGTGTATGGAGGAAATTAAGAAACTACTGACACAGAAATTTCCAGGGCAATCAGGTATTTGTTTTGGTCTTGATAACTCAAGTTTAAATCTGGGGTTTATAATAAATTTTAGCCTAAACAGCTGCTGATGATGTAATTAGGTGGGGCTGTACCTGAAAAAGGAGTCGTAAGGCACAACCCAGACACAGGCCTGCTCACAGCCTTAACAGACAGCAGTGAGAGGTGTTATAGGTGGCAGAGGATCACCTGTAACAGGCTTTTATCGAAACCACTGAAATTATAGTTGGAGTAAACTGGAATTTGGCACAGGTAGTTTTGACCCTTTAACTCCTGTGAGTGACCAAGACAGAATTTCTCCTTACTATATCTAATATACAATATCATGCAGATAAGTGATGAGAATTAAGAAAAATATCAATTTTGGAATTACTTGTTAATCAGATATCAAATTCTCCAAACTAATAGAATGAGAATCATTTGGCAGATAGAAAGGAGAATTACTGATGAGATATTGGGATTTAAAGGTTAAGGGAACTAGCAATGAAGGTAGCATGAGCTGTGGAGGTGATGTAATGGGAAGGGAAAATAGTGAAGAAAATCATGCACTTTTCATCTATTTTCCTTAGTACCCTGCCTTTAGACAGCACCATACTTTATGAGGTTTTTCATGACAGTCAGGGGCAAGACTGCTATTTTGAAATTGTTTCAAGTATTTGGCAAAAGTCTTTAAGCAGCTGGTATTAGAGATGCATTGAGGCAGAACATAATTTGCTTCTTCATCCTCAGTCATGCTTCTATGTATATTGTAGTATAACTTTTCTGGTGCTTCACCATGATCTGTAAACCTTTGACCACTAAGAGTTAACCAGCATCTAACTTCTCCCTACATTAACACCCCTGAATCAAACATGAAGGTCATGAGAATAAATGAAATGATCACCAACTAAAAAAACTCTTGACCTTTTTAAGGGAATCAAAAGAGAAAAAGTACAGAGTGTACTTAAGTTAACCCTTTAACTCCCAGATCAAATTTTCAATTCTCCTTACTGTCAACCATACGGTTCTTATAATGTTAGTACAGAGAATTTAGTATTGGATCAACCAATTATCCCCAAATTGATAATTTTCTTTATTCTTGTCACTTATCTGGTTGATATTGTATTGATATTGTAAGGAGAAATTTTGTTTTGGTCACTTATGGGAGTTAAAGGGTTAATCTTATGGGACGCAACTGATTTTCCTTGATAGCTTGTTTGCTTGGATTGTTGCACCATCATTGCACAGTTATTGATTCAATCATTTTGTTTTTTGAGGGTTTATTTCATAAGCAAATATTTCAGCTGTGAACCACCTTACCGCAGTGATCTATTTGTTGCAGTGTAATGTATAAGCAAAAAAAGATCAAGATCTGTCACATCTGACATTCTTTTTTAATTTGTCGTACATAGGTATTGTGTATTGTTTCTCCCGAAAGGACTCTGTAACCATAGCCTCCAGTTTGAAGTCGCATGGTATAAAGGCTGCATGTTACCATGGTGATCTTGACAGCCAGTCTCGTAGTCAAGTGCACAGGGCGTGGACAAGCAATGCAATACAAGTAGGTATCACTATTATCAAATTATCAATTTGTTTCTAATAAATTTTAATGTTAGGAGTGTCAATCATTCTAATTTCAAATGACTAAAGGGGTAAGTTTCTAAAGAAACTGTGGTGCTACGTTGTTGGGAGAGTATAGCAGGTAATTTAGTGTTAACAACTGGGTTGAAAACATAAATTAGCCACCGTAAAGAGTAAGAAAGCTGACGTTTCGAGCGTTAGCCCTTCATAGTACCTTTTAATAGATCAGAATCCTAATTCTCCTCTTTGCTGTTGTAAATTTTCTTGTAAACTGGAATCAAGATGAACCCTCTCCAGTTTATAAGTCTGTTGTCATGTATTCTCATACTTGCAAGCGTGATACTGTATTGGCAAAATGAATTTAATGAAAAGTTGCTTGTTAATCACTCCTGGAAGTCAAGGTGAAACAATACAATGATCCTTAGATTTGTACAGTGATTATCATAAAGGCTTAAAGTTATTTGGAAGCCAAATGGCTCCTAATTGCTGAATTTTTATCACTGTTTCTGTAGCACAAAGTGACTACAAGTACATTTTCTCCTACTGGATGGTATGAGTGTCTTTTGCAGGTTATCCCCGTGGAGTGATTTTCTCTCAGCCGACTAAACTAAAAGTAGTCCCTCCTTTTTGGCAATATCCATCGCAGGATTTAAAAAAACCAGAGAGATGAATATTAATCCTTTAACTCCCAAGACCCAATTGTTAGTTCTCACTTCTAGCTGCTATACATTTCCTTGTGAATTAGTTTGGAGAATTTGCTGTTGGGTCAAGACAACAACTTCAACCTGATAAGTTTGAGAATTCTCATGAACATTTTGTTGTATAATGTATGGATTTGATGAGGAGAAGTTACATGTTAATCACTTCTGGGAGTTAAAGGGTTAATGATCAAAGGGTTAATGGGGAACTCTAGGCTGACATCATTTTTTCCTTTTCACTGATTTTTTTTCTTGTGTACAGTGAACTTGGCTAAAAAATGATGACTGCTTGTATTCTATTCTCTTATAGTTTGTAGGTACTCATTCATTCTCCTGGGTGGAGAGGTACTAAGAGATTAAGGCGTCGACCTGCTCAAGAAAACAGCAAAATGGCCTGGCCAGGCTTTGAAAGCAGACCTCTCTATTGAAAGTCTCACATGCCATCCACCATATTTAGGAGGGACAATGAATTTTTTATATTATCTTAAGAGAAAGAATTGCATCAAGTGATGTTGTTGTTTTATTTGCTCAGGTTGTGGTAGCTACAGTAGCCTTTGGAATGGGAATTGATAAGCCTGATGTCCGCTTTGTTATACATCACTCCCTTAGCAAATCCATGGAGAACTTTTATCAAGAGAGTGGACGGGCAGGGCGGGATGACAGAGAGTCTCACTGTATATTGTTCTATCGTCCCTTTGACATGTTTCAACAAAGCACAATGGTCTTCACAGAGCAAACAGGCAAGTTTGTGACTCATTATAAATCAGTTAATTTAGATCATGGGTGATCACTTTGGTTGTTGGGAGCTTGTCGTTACTTGCAATTAAGGATTTGAAATCAAGGAGAGAAGCAAGGAGAGAGAAACAGAAAAGGGAGAAGGATGTGCCAAAATTTTTAAGGTGTGAAGATGGTCATAGGATCGCAAAAAGGAAAGAATGACTTACAAGTGACGAACGCAGAAAATTTACAGCTCATCTTTGTGCTCCTGTCGGAATTTTGCTGATTCTCTTGATTTCAATCGTTCAAACTACGATTTTCTTTTCCTTACCATGATTTTCGAAAGCTTTATTCAAAGCCAGATGTCTTCGATAACTTAGTACATTAATTTTATTTCAATGACCAAGTACTGTAAAAAAAGTTTGCGCCAACTGGAATTTAGTTTAGCAATCTTTTCTAAATCTGTCTGGTTGGTTTAAAATAATTAAAAAGGAAAGCAACACACGACACTACGCTATTTCCTTTACACAGGTTTGGAGAATCTCTATGGAATGTTGGCCTACTGTCAAGAACAAAAAGTTTGCAGGCGCTCTCTTATTGGACGTCATTTCGGCGAGTCCTGGAACCCAGTTGATTGTCACGAAATGTGCGACAACTGCAAGAAGACTGGGGACCAAACAGACGGTAAAAGAACTTGATTACGTCAAGATACGTTTCGTTGACTCATTTTAACGTCAGCTAACTAGAACAAAGGAAAATATCAAAAGTAGCCAATGAGAACTCAGAGTAAAACCAAAAAGCTACGTAAAAGGCGAGAAAACGCGACTGGCCAAGTCTGTATCGGCTTCGATTTTAAATGATTGGTAGAATTTAAATCTGGTTTTTATAGACCAATCACAAAGCTAGACTAATAACAAAGCGAAGTAATGCGAAAGGAAAGCAATCCCGGATTAATTTTGATACTCAATTGGAAATTGCTCCATGAGAGGAGAGTTTTCGTGGACAAAAACAGGAGCGCGGTTGACTAAGAGCGTTTTACGTCTTGAAAACGTTGCTTTTAAGATGTTCGTAGTTGTTACCATCTGTGACGACGAACAGTTTTACCTCAGTGTCAGTTTCCTGTAGTTTGTTGTAAACAGCTGCAGCGTTACTGCTGCACGTCATTGTTCCACAGACTCTTTTTTGCGCGATGAAACGCAGCTTCTGAAAAAACTCTCTTTTTCTGTCCAGGTTCATCTTCAATTGAAGCCCGCGACATCACAAACCACTGTCAAGATATCCTCAAAATTCTCCAGCAAGCAGTCTCTCTTTCGGAACGAGTCACTCCTGTGAAACTCGTAGACGCTTGGAACGGGAAAGGACAGGCAAGTCTGCGCGTGCGTGAAGTCAAGGCCCCAGATCTTTCGCGGGAAGACTGTGAACGAGTGATAATTCATTTGCTGCTGGAGGGTGTGCTGCGAGAAGACTTTCATTTCACTCCATATTCAACTATTAGCTACGTGCTACCTGGGTCCAAGGCGAGAGTCGTACAATCAGGAACCAAACGGATATTCATGAACTTCAGGACGAATTCCCGTCAGAAAAAGGTTAGTGGATATCTTGTTAAAATCGATGGAAAAATACGACAATTTTTAGTTTGTATTGAAATGTTTCCCTTTTCCAAAACTGGCGTGACTGTTCTTGAAGGAGGAGACTCGGTAAGGGTAAAGTGGTCTCCTTAGCAGTCGCTCTTTGAGATGTCACGCAACGTTTCGCTAAAAGACTACGAGCAGTCCATCGCGCGATTGAAACAAACATCAATAAAAAATTGATTTAACGCGACGGACTTGACCAAAAGGCAGGGATTACACGTAGTCTATTTCGCTGAGAGGTATCCTAAAAAACGGCTCCGAAGCTTAAGGAGACTGAGGAAGATTCTGTTAAGAAAAAATGTTTGGTGAAATTAACTCACTAGACAGAAAGATTTGGCGAGGAATTTTTAAAGCGATTGGTGTATCTAATCGCAAGGAAGGTCCCACCGGACGAATAAACAGTGTTCTAACGTAACAGACATTTTCAAACTTTATATAAATCGTCCAGTGCGTCACTTCTGCAACACGATTATGATGGTAAGAAGCGCGCAATCTTGTTACTCTTGGAACACTTAGCCTGAATCCGGGTTGGAAACAATGACAAATGAATACAGCAACAAGTTTACATTTTACTTTTTCTTTCTTCCTGGAACTCACAGATTAAAAAGAAGACGCGCAAACGTGCTCTGAATTCCTCAAATCTGGATGGAAGAAATGGAACAGTTAGTAAGAAAAACGCCACTGATCCTAACGTTAAGAGCTTCACAAAGACAACCCACAACTCTTCGGACATCGCAGATTACTGCAATGGTGATGACTTTGTTAGTAGTATTAAACGCGCAAAGCTTTCCACACGAGCTAGCCTGGTTGAGTCGGATGACGATGATGAAATAATTTGTCTGGATTAAAATCTTGACAGTTCATCCCAGTATTCCACCTTCCTCAAGTGTTCTTTCGCCATGGGAAGCAGGTATTACTAGTTGAAATTGAATGACTGTTTGCTACCAAGGTTAAACTTAATCCCTCGGTTCCACAGGACCTATTTTATCGGGTCAATTCACCGGTACGTTCTCTCGCTCAAAATTGAATCCATCAGAGATCACATCGACTTTGCAGGGCTCTCAATGAGTTCATTGCCAAGTAACAAGTGAAATGGCTAGGGAGCGTTATGAGGGGACGGCATACTTAGAGTCTACATCGTTGACACTCTTCCAAGCAGAGCCCCGCACGAAGTATAGCAACTGAACACCACTTATCTTGAAGATGACTTTGATTCCAAGATTAAATGTGCTGTTAAAGAGACTCGTTGTTTATTTTAGAATCTCGCAATAATTGCACGATTTGCAACGTTGTAAGAGAGACGACTTGTAAAGGTAATCCGGCCATTAATTTTTTTCGCTTTAATTAGATAATGACAGCTTTTCTATAAATAGCTGGGAGATAAATTAGTAAGGAATAAAAAAATTACTTTATGGAGTAAAGAAACAAAATCCGTAACGAGTTAAAATCTCTTGATTCAAAATTAAACAGTTCTAACAGTTTTCATATTGTAACAGGTCCATACTCATGTAGGATCCTGATCTTATCTCTTCTCGAAGTACAAATCTCTGAGGCCCCGGTCCCTCCAGGTGCAAGCTATAAGAGGGCTCATTTTATAAGGTAGTCCGTGATTGGTCGTACAGCTACAGCCGTTCTCTTCTACAAGCTTTCCACATAATGGACATCTAATTGAAACTCTTTGTCTGAGTAAGTTACTGCTGTCCGCACTTTTCAATATGAAAGGAAAAAAATTGTCAAACAAACTTTAATTCTCCAATGTAAGTTTTGTGGTAACCAGTCCTGATTTATCGCTGGGAGAGGCGGGGAGGTGGGTTTTGATTTTGGTTGTGTCTTATCCCCCCTCCGTTCTCCCTGAAACCATGAGTTCCCCACTAAAAAAATTCTCCAACCTCCCCCGCCCCCCCCCCCTTGCAGAAAATACTGACTGGTCCATACGATTTAATATTACCTGGTTATTGCTGGCTGCTCTTTTCGAGGGATTACAAAACGCTCCACTCTTAGAACTGTACCAATTCCATCCATGTAATATTCTCGATGACTCTGAGCAAGCTTGATCGAAAATAGAACAAACAAACAAACTATCAGACACGATTATGGCACCTGTATTGAGTTGGAGAACTTATTTACAGGTAACTTCAAGAACCTGGCCTTAGAGTAAAATCACTTTACTTGAAAGGGTCAGCTTTACAGGTAACTTCAGGAACCTGGCCTTAGAGTAAAATCACTTTACTTGAAAGGATCAGCGTATCGTTCATATTAGAGACGCCGACTTAATTTTGCTAATGCCATATTTCATGTATTTTTTTTTTCGCTAAATTTTACGAGTATTCTTCCTGCTTCGATTTTACAGTTCCAAATTAAAAAAGGTGTGATCTTATCGGCTCAGTCAACCTATATTTGAACTAGGCTCGACCTTTCAAGGGGCCTTATGTGCCTTACAGCACTGGAAGAACTTTGCACTGTAACCGTATTAGCGAGCAAGCCTCGCGGTTTGTTGATGTTGTCCTACGTGCCTTATGACAAAAAGCATGGATAATCCATCACACTTTGAGGCACATTGGTGTAAGTATCGTGCACTCAGTTTGGCGCGCGTAAAGCGTTAACGCGCGATGAAGCGCTCCTCTTCTATTGTGTTTGCTGCTAAAGCGCGACGCTCACTCTAGATGCGCTCAAGTTATCCGAAGTAAATACCTGGTCAAATTCCTTGACTTCTCGTCCTCTCTCGTGTTCATTAAACAGAGAGTATTTCTTGGCATTGCGCCATCGTTCTCTCGTTCTCGTTCGAGCAGCGAGGACCAAGTTGGGCGTGTTGGAGTAAACAGTTGGAAATTCAGGTCTGCCATCACCGTATGTTCCTGGTTGTGTCGCCTTACTACTGTTCAGCTTAGCTGTCCTTCTGTCCTGGAAACACTTCGCTGTGGTGTTACCGAATGTGTCGCCGTAATGCCAGAACTTGGCTTGGGGACAATAGCCTGCATAGCTAAATGAAAACAAGGGTGCATTTTGTTATTGTTGAAAATTAAGCCTAACTGTTCTTAGTTGATCTCGTCAAATAAATTTCTGAATACATTTCTTACCCTGGCACATGTCTTGGGTTTTGGAAAGTGGCCCGGTTTGTTGTGTTAAATGGGGAAAGCATTATAAGAACTAAGATTGAGTGAACGAGGAAATTTATAGTATTACTATTACGTCACAAACACTTCATGACGCAACAAAGTAATGAAACCTCTCCCATACCTTTCCATTTCGAGGTGAAATTGAGCGTATTTAAAATATAAATTCCGTGCATATCAAATTTGGTTGAAACTGGTCAATTTGTTGGTTTTAGTCTCTAGTGAACGTGAGCAGCTGATATCCCTTAACTAAACCAAAAAACTCATTTAGGACACCTTTTGCGACCTTTTGCGACCTCTTGCGCGCTTACCACGCTTTTGGGAGTTGGCCGAGTTAGCACTGGTATCTAAATTCCTCGACCCAATCCCCCAACAAACAAAAGGCGGTTGTTTTTGAAAGTGTTAGCGCTGAACTTAGAGGAAACGAAGCTTTAAAACCACCATTTATGGAACGAGTTTAGCTTTCATGTCTCACTAAAGAAGAAATTCTCTGTTTCCCAGTTGTGGAAACATAAATACCGAATAGTTGACAGCTACGAAAAGACGTGAACAGCCAAATAATTACCTTCACGCCGAAAAAGAAACAAACATGGCGAGTGATGCTAGTGATGACAGGCGTGTTTCGCAAATAACTTGTTACGATCGCTACGGCTTTGCAGTGTATGATACAAGTTCTGAATTTGCAGTTGATGACTGTAGAACCCACGAATACAGGTGAGATCGTGGTCATTTCTCACGTTATTGTAGCGCCTTCAATGTAGGTCTCTAACTTGAAATTTCGTGAACTTAACAATTTGGCTGCAGAGTAGCCATATCAGACGGGGCTGCTTTGTTTATACAAACGCTTGATATAAAATCAAACAATGCGTTATTACTCTGTCGTATATATGGTTGCTTCGCATTCCTCCATTGACGAGTTTAGTTTTAAAGATTGATCGTGAAAGACAGCTGATTATATACATGTATCCTCTGATCACAAGCTAGTTGTCATTACAATCTACAGCTGAAGAATTGAGACCACTCTTCGGTGCTGTAGTCCCGACACATTTTTTATCTATGTGTTAGACAAAGTTCCTTTACTTTCGACCAAATGTTTTTCCATTTTGTAAACTAGAGAACATTCAGATGCTGAAAGTTCCAAAGTTAGACAATTTTGGACAAAGATGCTCTCAAACTGGGAGGAAAATCAGCTCTTTTCTCCTAAACGGGTAAGCAAAAATTTTTGTGTCAAAATAGACATGAATAAAAGCATTATAAACATTTTTGCAACTGACTCTTGGTTGCTGTCTCAGTTCAGATATTGATCAACAAGAAGAAAATATCAATGTCAATTTTGAATAGGTTCTTTGTTGCTATGCATCTGTTAAGTAATAGATTACAGATGATGTCAAAATGTGGCAAGAACAAAGAAGTTGCATGCAAGTCACAGCCTAGTGTGTCACTGATACAAATGTATACTTATTGCATAATGACACCTTCTGTGATCTATCATGGCAACATAGAATCTACTTGTTTTAATGTGATAAAGAAGCAAAAAAATGTTAAACCTTATTCTCCTTACTGTCAACCATACAAGTCTTACTGTATAATGTTAGTTCAGAAAATTTAGTATTGGATCAACTAATTATCCCCAAATTGATATTTTTCTTTATTCTCATCACTTATCTGGTTGGTTATGTATTGATATTTTTCTTGGTCACTCATGGGAGTTAAAGGTTTAATGGTCATGTGTCTGTGCATCTGTCCTCCGATAGATTTTAACCTTTTAATCCTCAAGAGTGACTAGCATCTAATTTCTCCTTACGATATCACCCTTGAATCAAAAATTAAGGTCATGAGAATAAAGGAAATGATCACCAACTAAAGCAGCTCTTGATTATTAAACAAATTCTCTTTGTCAGCACCTTGGGAAATGTGTAGTGAATAACAGTATGGAAAATATTGATACTGATGTTAGGGAGTAAAGGGTTTAAAGTAAGAACCAATCAAAATGCATGGGTAATTCAGCTTATTGCAAAACAACAATTTGTGAGAGTGTTAGTTGATAATCTTCCAGCTGTTGGTTGACATCTGGTCAACTGTCACACAACTATTGATCAACAGTTGAGAGATGATCAACCAACGGTTGACAGATACATTAAATCAAAATCAACTTATTCATCAATCTAACCTCTGAGCTTATGATTTGGTTCTACAATCTATCTGTAGTTCTAGTTAAACCAAGGACAGTTAGTCCTTAGTAGAGGTACCTTGTACACACTGTAGCTATAGCCGCAGTATGGCTCTTTGATCAAGGGAGTCCTATATGATCATAATAATATCATGGAGCATACATGTGCTCATACACAGGTGCGGCACTTCATTAAGCAAGGTGTACCTGATGACATGAGAGGAAAGATTTGGAACAAAATGGTTGGAAGCCAAGCAATCAAGGCTATCTCTTTATTTGATTACCAGGTAATCATAAGTACAGTTAATATCAGTTTTTTTTTTGGCATAACAGTAATGATAGTGTAACTAATGGTGCTGTGAAAATGTTACGGTTCCTACGCATCAAGAAAAATTTAAGTTTCCAAGTTGAGCATTTGTAACCCATATTAATTCTCTAAGTTCTTATACATGCAAAGTTTGTTCTTTCTCCGCTAACTATTCATGACAATTTGTATCTTTGGTGTTTTACTTTTTACCAAACTTATTTTTAAAGTTCTATAATTTCTTAGGCCTGCTTAGCGGAGATACGCCAACTTCTTGTCGACTTGGGAGTCAGTGAATATGGAGGGACAAACTGTATTTCAAGACTAGGGCAAATTGTTGGTGAGATTACAATCTGATATTCCAGTTGTAATTAGCTACATGTACATGTATAATGCAGTCAAAAGTGATTTGTATCCTCTAGAATCAATGCTATGGAATCATTAACTGTGAATTGCCTCTTTAAAAGGTTTCTTCTTGATTTGTATTAATTTTTAAAGTTGACTTGATGCTTCAATTCCAAGTTAACAATCTTAGTATTCCAAAATAGTGACAACTTTTTACTCTTTACTGTTTGTGATAATCAGCTGTCTTTGCCTTGATGGTAGCTTCAATGATTTTGAAACAATTTAGCTTGAAAGGAAACAATAAGAGCTGATGTGGCATGGAGACAAAAGAATATATTATTTTTAGGATATACAAAAGTCAAGGCTTTAGTTTGTATTCCAGTCGCAAGATAGACAGTTATTACACTTATTATACCTCATTTTCATTGGAGTGGCAAGGCCTTTTTGCTGTACAAGCTATTTTTCATGGAGTCAATGGCATTTACATGTACATTGTAATTCTTATGTGTGTTGTAGGATCACTGGTCGACAACAACAAGGAAAATCTCATAGATAGCCCTAATACTGTTATCATGACAAGACAGTGGAAAAGGAATCTTCATAAGCAGATATCAGTTTTCAGACAAATCATGTTGGATATAGGTAGGTGAATGTAATAGTTTGTAATATTTCCCTTGTGCAGTATACCTTTCATAGTTTAATTGCACCTCTCCGAAAATTGGAAATGAACTTTGATTTCTTTGACAGGGTGTGAATTAAAAATACTCATACCAATCTGTGTTCTTTTGTTTGCCTCATTAAGTGCCCAAAGCAATCCCAAAATTCCATCCCACAAGTACTGTGCTTTATCACTTCCACTTTTCCCTTCTCAAACAAATAAATCAAGGTTCACGTAACTGTACTTGTAATTACAAGGAAAGTGAAAATAAACTGATGATTGCAGAAAAGTTTGATTCAAATAGTAAGTGCTTATAGGCTTTAATTTCTTACCAGTCTAGTAATTTGAATTATACAGATGTGCTACAATGTATTCTTAAATGGATCCAACGTGCCTAACAGTGACTGTAATATTCATTATTTAGACAGATCTTTCCCAAGTCATAAGATGTTCATAGAAGGGACAAGTGAAGGAAAAGAGGGAAGAGCAACTCTCTTTAGAGTTCTGGCAGTGTATGCAATGTACAATCCTCAAGTGTCATATTGCCAAGGTAAACCTCAGCCTGTTGTCCACTTTTGGGCAAATGCTATTTACTATTAGTACTTGTCATATTGCCGAGGTAAACCTCAGCCTATTTTCCCCTTTGGGAAAAAGCCATTAGCTAACCAGTGCTTGTTTTACCTTCTAATCATAGTTTCTAAGAAACATTTTCTTTTTTTTTTTCCTATTAATAATTTTCACAGGCATGTCATACATTGCAGGAATGTTTCTTATGAACATGGATGAGGAGGTAGGTTTATTTGATGTTTGACTCTTCTCTCATTAATTAATCTCCTTAAAATAGTGATTCAACAAATACAAACAGGATATTAGGGATTGCTAGATAGCCAATAAAGGGTGGAATAAAAGTCATTTTGAATCATATTTTCTGAATAAATTTCCCATAAACCAATAAAAACCCTCACACTACAGGACTCCAGTAACTCCTCCACTACACAATCAACATCTGGATGGAACATGCACTCTTCAATGCATTTTTCACTGAACAACTTTTCCTTAAAATGGAGACAATTTAAAAGAAAAAATGACAGAAATTCATTTTTTTGATTTTATGATTAAGAAAAAGTTTAATTATTTTCAGAATTTAATTTTTTTTGGAATTGAATAAACAGCATTTCTGTATATGATTTCAAACTTTATACAATTTCTTTCAGGATTCCTTTTGGTGTTTGGTTTCTATGTTTGAGAGACCAAAGTACTTAGCTGGCTATTTTAATGATTCACTTGGAAAGTAAGTTCCTTGACAGTAACACCAAGAGAAAGCTTTGTTTTGCAATTGACCGTTTTGTCCTGACTGTGTCCTTTTTTTGATGAACTTTGCTTTCCTCCACTCTGTGATTCAACCAACTCATCAGATGATGATAAAACCTTCTTTTCCTTTTTTGCAAACAAGTTTCCTCACAAGTTACTTTCTTTTATTTGACTTGCATTCCCAATGACTGATTTTATTTACCTGTAACACTAGTAAGCCTTACTCTTTTCATCTGAAGAGTAACACCAATAAAACTTGTAACAAAACAATGCAAAAAAGTTGATTGTGTGGCATAACTAGCTTCCCTGTAGATACACACTGCATATTAATTAGATGTCATACAATGTAGCAGTCTGAAATTTATTGCTTCTATGTCATATCTTTAGGATACAAAGACATGCGTCAGTTTTTGAGAGACTAATGCGACAGAGACGAACTAAGCTACACAAACACCTGGTGGAGTCTTTTTACAATTTTTTTCCAGTTGTCTAGTTTTACACTTCCATTTACACCTTCTTGGGGTTAGGGTGATAAAACTGACCTGATGGTGTTCTCTTACAGCAGTTTTGAATAGAAGGTTCACAATTGATTCCTAACAGCTTAGCAATTGGCCCCTCCATTTGAGTACATCTTAAAGATTTCTAAGGCAGACAAATCAGCAACCCCCAGGGGTGACAATAAAAGTTATTACATGTCAATTGAAATTTTAAGAATGGAGGGGCATGTCAAAAATTAATCATCAATGTCATTTGTAAGATACTTGCATTTTATATGTAGCTACAATGGCCTAATACGTTAAGTTATTGATACAAGGCCATCTGTTGTGAGATTTAGTATAATTATGAAAATCTACAGGTTTTGAAATTCAAAGCCTTCTTTGGGAAAACAGTTTAGTACACAATTAAGACCTTTTCTGGTGGCAAATAGTGATGCTCAAATCTGAATTCTAGGAGATGCATGGTGTGTCGCCTCTCATGTACCTGACACCATGGTTCATGGCCTTGTTTACATCTCTCCCATGCTGGGATGCTGTGCTCACCATTTGGGATTTGCTTCTCTTGGAAGGTATGATGCTGTGGTCGTGATAAACAAGGTTTACTTTGTGAGTAACCCTTTACTTCCTAACATCAGTATGCATATTTTCCATACTGTTCTGTATTTATTTCCTAATGTGCTGACAAGGAGAATTTGTTTCACAATCCAGAGCTTCTTTAGTTGGTGATCATTTTCTTCATTCTCATGACCTTAATTTGTGACTGCGAGGTGATATTGTATGGAGAAAGTAAATTCTATTCATTCATTAAAAGAGAGGATTGTTAACACTATGCCTCCATTGAATACAATCATTGTGTATAGGTTGATTTTATCTAGTGTTCCAATTTTCCAAGTAAAGAAAAAAAAATTAAACCAGAGACAGAATCAAACCACATGTACATAACAAAAGTTGTAAAAATTAACAGCTTGTCCATTTGGCAGTTTCTTTGGGTGCATTTAGCTCAGCTGAATTGATTACTAGTAGTCATCTGTTATTTCAGGCATGTCCATTATCTTCCAAGTTGCCCTTGCACTTCTGGATGTCTTGTCAGGTTTGCTATTTTGTTTAATTTTTGGTAATGTTGTTATTGGTGCGGCAGTTTATTTATGGATCACATCTTTTAGTTGTACATTGAAGTAGATCCTTTTCTTTCTCTTTTCTTTGTGATCTATCATTGGTAGTGTGCAATATGTCAGAGAGAATCCATATATGTATGTCTTATTCACCAATTTTATGGACCACTCTGGAGAATGCAGAATGTGAGATTTACATGTACATCTTCATTATTTGGAATTGCAGTTGAGATTCTTCCATTGACGGAAATAGCACAAGTTCTGCCGATATTACTGCGTCCTTCAGCAAGTTTGTAAGTCAATTAAAATCTATGAAATGCTCTCTTATTGAACATAATGCAGCTGAACCTTGAAACAAATGCCACCTTAATAACAAAGGAGAGAAGCTATGATAAAGAGGTTGCTGTCATAGGGAAGTGAGGGTATGGTATGGCGAAGTCTGTTCTCGTGAGCCATGTGACCCATCCACCTGGAGCTTATCCTGGTTTCCTGCTCCCTCTTGGATGGGATGCCTGTTCATCAGGGTTACCTCTTGGCAATTCATCAGGCTTCCCTGAGAATTGGCTGGTACCTATTTATACTCCTGGGTGGAGAGGGGCACTGTGAGAATAAAGTGACTTGTCCAAGCACACAACACAATGACCTGGCCAGCTCTTGAACCCAGACCTTTCATCCCAGATTCTGGCTCACCTACTATTAGGCAACTGTCTCTCAGACCAATAAAAAGACACCAGAAATGAATGCTAAAATGAGGAGTGTTAATAAAACCAAACAGTCTTTGGTCAAGTTTGTTAACTTTTATTTTCTCTTACATGAAAAAGAGCTGTTAAGGATTGTTTGCTTGAGTGAGCTGTCTCACATTTTGCTGACAAGATCTTCATTTATTGTTTAACCCTTTAATCCATACAGTACCACTCCTGAATCAAACATGTAAGGTATGGGAATTCCCACTAAAGAAGCTCCTGATTGTCAAACAAATTCTCCCTGTGGGTACTGTAGAATTTGTTGAGCTAATAATATGGAGAATATGCATGTTGATGTAAGGCTGTAATTGGTTAACCCTTTAACTCCCAGATCAAATTTGTAATTCTCCTTACTGTCAACCATACAATTCTTAGGATGTTAGTTCAGAGAATTTAGTATTGGGTAAACTAATTATCCCCAAATGGACATTTTTCTTTATTCTCGTCACTTAACTGAGTAACATTGTATTGATATTGTAAGGAGAAATTCTGTCTTGGTCACTCATGGGAGTTAAAGGGTAATTAACTATGGATGAGGTGTTTAGGGTACATAAATCTGAGTCCAGTTTTACCATCTCAACAGGATCACTCGTGAAAAGCTGGTCGCCGCAATTTGGAAAGTGAAGCCAATTTTAAGATGGGAAATTGACTCAATTCAAGCCATACTTGATGAGGAAGAGACCGGTTGCAAAGGTATTGTGTTTATTGTACTCGTTGTATACCTCTGGAGCTGATGTAAGACTTTTAAGTAATCTTATTCGCTGATGACCCCCTTATAACTTGTATCTAGTAAAAAGAAGAATGCGTCCTTCCTCATGAAGGCTTTCAATTTTTATACCTGGTTTAAGAGTTTTTCCTGAAAGGTCTCCAAGAACCTCAGCTGAAACTGTCGTTTTAAGAACACCAACAAGCATCTTTGCGTACCAAAGCGGGACTGTTCTTGTATCATGGCTTAATCTAATTGCCATCCTACCATTCTCCAGGGTTTACGACACACAATACAATATTTTTATACCTGGTTTAAGAGTTTTTCCTGAAAGGTCTCCAAGAACTTCACCTGAAACTGTAGTTTTTAGGACACCAACAAGCATCTTTGCGTACCAAAGCGGGACTGTTCTTGTATCATGGCTTAATCTAATTGCCATCCTACCATTCTCCAAGGTTTACGACACACAATACAGCTCACGCCTACTTAAGCAAATTCCACGCGCGAAACACGCAAATCTCTCGCATACGAATGCGTGAAGATTACACGCAATCTTCCAACTGTGGCTACTGTAATCAAGTACAGTTCGTGTTTTGCAAAATGTCAACGACTTGTGTTCCTGCTAATTTTTCTTCTTTTACCACTCCTCTTAGTTTAAGGAGTAGCACGCCATTACTACATACATGTTTGTGTTGTAAAATTTGGACTGGAAGATTGATTTAGATACAAGCCTTTTATTCTATGCCTCTGGTTGTTCAGTACCAGACCAAGGAATCATTTGCAACATTACGCGCGTGTAACGAGCAAATGCGTGTTGTTACTTGCGCGGAGGTATTTATTCGCTCTTATTCCTTGTCTTGGTAGCAAATACAACAAGAGGTAACAAGAGAAGTTTGAACAATCAGAATGAGGACGACAACAGGAAAAGACAACGAGCCTTCAGCAATCAATCCCCTCAAGGTAGAATAAAAAAGGCTTCTAAAGATAGGGAGAAAGGTTGTTTCTAAATATACATGTAGCATATTTTCATGTTTGTTGCTGTTTTCACTCTTCATGTAGCACCGGCTGAACCGTCCTTTTTCCAGCGCTTTGTTGGATTTTTTTCTTCGAACGATGAATCAGAGGCCAAATTTACCACTAACGACATCGAGATGACCACATTTTCAGTTGTCAGCGGGCAAAGTCCAAGTGTGCTGACGCCCTCGTTATGCTGTTCAGCAGCAGGAGCCTTGAAGACACAGCATGGAAAAGGTTTGTGTTATTGGCACTCGAGAAACTGCGCATGTCACGAAATAGCTTGTAAATCCATGGCAAATCTGTTGCGAAGCTATACTTAGCAGTGCTTTTGAAAAATATAAAAGCGGTGACATTAAACCCACAACAAGGGTTTTTTTTTAACCTCAAGCAGACAACCAGCGCTGAAGGTTGCATACGTTTTTCAGCTCTGTCCAGGCAGAAGAGTAACGTCACATTGATGTAGCCTCTCCAACCTGGAATTCCGCATTACAATCAACTTTTCTTTAAATAACATACAATATCCCCATCTTGTTCCCCTAGTGAGCGGTCTTAGGAAGCCCGTGGGTCAGCACAAACGTCATAATCGTTACAATAAGGTATCCCGCAGAAGATCTAACAATGGGAAAGATGTGCTTAGAAGACGTCACGTGGTTTTCCAAGGCAGTTTGGGGAGTCCTGTAAGGAGAAGTCCGCGCTTCGCGGAACAGCGAACCCCCGTGGGGACTGTGGTGAGTAAACAGCGGTAAAACTGAAGGAATTATGGAACGCAGCGAAAAAGATATCCTTGATGTGAATAGTCAGTTGGATGAAATTAATTGGAAGGGTGCATTGTTATTAATTTTTAAAATTCCAAGATATGATTAATAATTAACGCTTCCTAAAACATTCACAAATTATCCAGGAAACATATTCTTGCAAAAAAACTTGAAATATAACTACTATCAATGGAAGCAAAAAAAACTGCCGGCACATCCAGCACGCGTAATTGTAAAAGACGTATACTGCGTTAGCTTTATACTGTTTGTTGTGCTTTTTCGTTTTTTGACAGCACTTTTTTTAGCTTTGCCGTTATTCCTATCTTGTGATCAGTTTTTATTCAGTTCTCTGTTGTTTTTGTCCAGATCTGTGATATCAAACTTGGACCACAAACTACATCAGTTATTGCCAGATAGGAACATCTCGAAATGCATTTTAAGGAGGCCACGCGTTTCAAACGTATTGCGACTCGCACAGACAGTTTTGAAAATACCTTCATTTTCGATATGGCAAGCAACTTGTAAATGTATTTACAACATTTAAGCCTATAGTATTTTATATTATACGTAAATCATAGATCCTAGCATTATTGAAAATCATTATTATCAAACTTTTTACCTTCATTTGAATTGTATTTTGACGCAATTTTGTCTGCGACTGCGATGTAACCATCCAAATAAAGCTATTATATTCTATTCTATTCATGAAGTAGATTACCATTACCTTGGTAAGTTTAGGTTCCATATTGAAACGTCTTCTTCTTTTGTCTGTGTTCTTTTTTTGAAGGCAAAGGTCCAGTCTCCCAACAGTCTGGTGCGAAGGTAAGTCAAACAATTTAAAGTAATGATATCATATGGTGCAACTTCTTTTCAAAGGGCGTGCACCCTCGTGAAGGCATTTTTTTTTTTCATGGTGTCTCTCTCTACCCAGGAGCGTATAGGGGTAGGAACATATTATCAGGAAAACCTGATGAAATGCTGGGAGGGGGTTAACATCCTATTTTCTGATATCCCATACTAGGGAGCAGCAATATCCCTCGTCGCTTCATGCTACAGAGCAATTTTCAAGCAAGTGTCGAAAGTAATCCAAGATTGTACTGGTTGTACTTTACTTCGATCTGTGATTGGGCCAGAAAACTTACGCCACCCTCTCAACCAATCAGAAGCAAAACTAAAACCAACCATGGGCTGGTCACGTGAAACACTGCGCTTCAGGCAGTTTGCTTGTTTTGACTTTGAGTTCGAACTGGCTACTTAGAGAGAGCATTATAATGCTCTCCTTTGTTGTGACTGATCTTCGTGATTACTTTGTGTTTGGTTAACGACACTCAATCAAAGAGCCACTAGATTTGTACGACGTACTTTTACCTTTGCTTGGTTTTTTTAAACAAGCAACCAGTTGTATTTTAGTAAATTTTCCTCATTAGCTGGGAAAAAGGCGCCATTTAGAGCAAGAAATGGTGCGATTCGTGAATAAATCGCACCAATGAGAGCTAATCAGATTACAAGGATCACCAGTGATTCTAAAATGGATGTAATAAACCATTAATAACTTTGCATTTGTTGTATTCAACGATCTTTAGCTCTGCCACAAATCAACACGCCTTCAAGCAGTTCAATACTCCTACCCCTCTCAGACGCTCTCAGGTATGAGTACATTTGCATCTTTTTCGTCCTTCAGCTGTATTTTCATTGATACACGTAAAGAAAAAGTCAAATGCGTGGGGAACGTAGTGGTTCATTAGTTTACGCGCTGGATTTCGAACCGAACGATCTGGGCTCGAGTCCTGGTAGGAATGACTTTGTTGTGGTCCTCTCAACTCAAGAGTGTAAATTATGCAACCGGTCCTAACCAATCATCAGGGAGATGTGATAATCTAATGGCTTGCAGTGAACTGATAGACATCTTTTTTTTGTCACCAATCATCTGAAAGTGAACAATTCCTCAAAATTCCCCTAAATTGACTCGATCATTGATCTTTCTCTATCGAAAACTTAAGGATCAGGTCGGATTGAGTTTCAGGAAAATTCAGTTGAGCTTCGGGAATACTGCGATCAAACGTGAGAAAAAATATTTCCATTTAATTTTGTAGGTTAAACCTCTTTTTCAACATTCCCCGTCAACTTTTGAATCATCTCCAAAGCCACTGACGTCACCTGACCTCTTGATGTCACCGGATTTGGAAATGACGTCATTTGAATGTAAGGAGAAGAGACTTGACTTTACGTAGGGATTATTGGCTTAGTGTTACATGGAGTTACTCAAGAGAAGTCAAGATTGGAAGTGAATCACAAGTTTGTTGACGATGAGTACAAGATGTGATTGTTTGGCGCGCATAATAAACTACGCACATTTAAGAGCAGCTACATTACATTGTAAGCCTTATTCTGTCGATCTTTGTTGTCCTCTGAGGAGAAATGTGGACTTCCTGCGTGTGTCATAGCCTTAAAAATTTCAGAGGAGGTCGCACGCTGTTTTTACCCGCTAAAAAGGCTTGACGAAATTGAAAACTTTTGGTCATTTTCAGGCCATTTTCAACTGAGTCTCGAAGGTGATCCGGAATTCATTGGTTTTGATTTGTTTGTGGTTTAGAAAACGTACGCTCGCTAAATCCCCAACCGAACAGAATCAAACTAAAACTTGCCGCGACTTAATTACGTGCGTTTTTCCCGCACTTCATTTTTTTACTTCGAGTTCTCGTCTTCTCTGAAGAGCCTACCACTTCCTTTGTTCTAATCGGCTGGCTGTGATAACTTTGGGCTTGGCTTTATGACACTCAAAACTGATCCTCTGGTCGTGATAACATGATTATAATTGAATGGTTTATAACTGAAAAACCTTTTACTTACATGAAAGAAATTTTTATGTATTGCTTTCAATGGGTCGTTGCTAGAATGAGTTTCAGGGCTGCTTTAACCTGACATGTTACCTCACTAACTTTCCTCAATAAGTGTGGTTTCCAAACTTTTTCGCTTTTCACAGTTCGTTGACTTCAGTTGCGAGAAAGTTCTCGCAAATTCTGACTAGTTATCGTTACTATTAGCAACCATTCCTGTCGCCATGGCACCCGCCAATATGTCGAATGTCAGCTCCCAGGCTTTGCGGCATTCATCAGTAAAGAGCTCTCTTAATTCTTGGGAAAGTGTGAACAGCAATGCTTGTTTCACGACCTGTCAATAACAAATAAAATTTAAAATTATGAACCAAAATACATAAGCAACAATCTAAAGATAGGTTCCCGAAAGCGTCAGTTCCAACTCATATCTTTTTCGTCACAAATACTTTTCCCTTTGGTCCCGACTCTTAAAGATATGCTCATTATTCTTTCATTGTATTTTTTACATACCTTAAAACACATTTCCTCTTTATATTTAAAAAGGAAAAGTCCGTGTTGCTTATAACTACTTTTCGTATAGCTCAGTTAAGATATGTCCAATTCCTTAAAAAATACGCTCCCTTACCTAAGTAATATTCTCCGCTTTAAAACTGCCATTAGTATACCTAAAATAAAACGTTTTATCCACGAGACCTCACTAACCTCACTACACGTTTTGCATGTGCTTAGACTTGTTTTCTTTACCTTTCTTTCATGTTTTGTACATAAAGCTGAAATATGGGTTTCCAGTCCATTTGTAATTAATTTATATTGAAGACAGGTTTTCACTGACAGCTCATCACGATATAGGAGCCTGCGATACTTACGTTAAGCTGCTGTCTTTTTATTCCCATATTGGCATGAATTGTTCCCAGTCTCTCCAGAGTAGGTAGTAAGGGGGTTAGGTCGTGTAGATTTTGTAAAGCTTTATCTAAGGTACTGATAACTGACGTGATATGACCTTGGAATTCGTCGCTCTCTAAGTCGGAGCTGGAGAAATAGTCCTGGGCTTCGGGAGCAATTTGAAATATCCTAATAATTGCAAAAGAAGTTAACAAAAGCAACCTAAACACTGGCTGTGAGAAGCGTAGCCAGATGTCTAAAGTATAATGTAGTGTTTTTAAAAAATTTAAATCTAAGGGCACAACGTCTCCCCAAGCTGTCAAGAAAATCGAAGGCTTAGCAAAACCGGAGGAGTGAGGAACATTCACGGCGATGGAAACAAAGGAGAAAGTAAAGCTCAGCATTGATAAACACGGGCGAACAGAAGAGGTTTGAGCGGATTTGTAAACACTCCGGAGTGCTAAGTCATTACTTGCTGTTAACATGTTGCAGCTCCGTTTTTTGACCTCCAAAAATCATCAACTTGTTTTAAAACCGATAAAGAAACGTCTGGAAAACAGAACTAGGGCATTATCTGCGCAATCTGTAAACGTTCATCTGTCGAAGGTCAAGTGTTTTCGAGAGGCTATATCTTATTTGTTTACTATAAAAACTGTTTCTTTCTATTTTCCATTATTTTCATTTTCAAACGTGGAAATCTGAACAGCGTTTGTCTGGTTTATAAGTTAGTTGATGAAATTCACTTTACACGAGTGCAAGTACCGCACATGTGGACAGTACACTGCGAGAATCAATTAACAACTTGTTGAAGGCGTGAAACTGTACACCTTGTTTAAAATTCAAGACCCCGGAAACCATACCTTATATTGACGGTACACAGGCATTTAGGCCAAAATGGGAAGTTCTCCTCGGGGTAAGGCGTCACATAAACGTTATCAATTAATAACGCCTGATTGCTTAAGTTCTTAAGGGAGCAGTCGGAAGCCTGAGAATGAACTTTGTTTGTGGAGAAGAATGTCGATCAGTGCGAAAGTTTTCTATGAATGTCACGTGAAAGCATCTTCCTAGCTTCTCGCACAGGGGAATAAGCATTGTGAGTGGCGATTCAAAGCCAGTCAGTCAGGCGTTAAATTGCTTACAGGCATTGAATCCATTCATAATTTACATATAACGTGACACTGAAAATTCGATCCGTCACAACAATCTGATTCTTTGGTGATCATTCAAAAATTACTTTTCACTTGAAGGATAATAGGAAATATCAGTTTGTCTAGATGGAACCGCATTGAATTGGAAAGAGTGAAGCAGAGAGTAGGACGTACCGTTAAAAGATAAAAAAAAGATTGACGTGGATTGGAGATAATAAGCTTGAAACATGTGGCTCCGATTTTTCAAAATGCCTCAACCGACTGACCGTGTCCTATATCTGCATCAAAGCCGGTCGGTGCACAATACTCGCCTTTTGAACAATTTTTGTCCGGCCTCTCTTTCTGGCTTTGTCGCTTCCCTCCACGTGTCCCTGACAAGAACTTTATCATCTTCACTGAGTGCTTTTGACGAGGGAGTCAGATTGCTGCCGGTTGCGCTCTCCATAGCTTCTCGAGTTATCTTCTGCTCTCTATGGGTAAAAGAGACTGATTGTTTACGCGCCTTTCCTAGATGGAGTCTGGCAATTGTTTGATAGAGGTCTGGGGTCGAGTTCATTTAGATGACTTTGCTATCAAAGCTTTTAGCACGAACAATATTTTAAATCTTAGCAAAATTGTGTCAAAAAAAGAAAAAAAAAATGCGAAATGGATAAGAATTATGGCTGTCATAATATTAATGGTAGCGAGTCCTCATTAAAAGAGGAATGAAACTTTTGATCACATTTACGAAAGGCTGGAATTAACTCTCTTAACGTGTTCTCTCTCGATTGAAACGGAGAAGAAATAATTCGTAGAACCTAAAAGACGAGAAAAATCATGAAGAGCTAACTCCATTTTCTCAACTCCCACAAACATTGATTGTCGATTTCCTCCGATGGTTTTTCCTGTTTAAAGGAAATTGTCGTTAATTCAGTGATTAGTTTGATTTGCATTTGGAAAGATAGAGACTTAATTAGTTTTCAGTAAGTGTAGCGTTTGCTCGCAAGCACACATTTTGCGTATTTTTTGCCTCTCCATGTAAACTTACCTTCCCATTAAATTGTATCAAATAAATTCCTCAATATAGCGTTTCAAAGTTCTGATAACTGGTTACTTTATGATAGTCGAGAATTATAGGCCCTAGGTGTTTTAAAATGAATTGTTTTAAGCATATCCATTGTGTTTAGCGGTGAACTTTATAAAGACGAGCTGTGCACCATTCTAATGGTGCGCTATTGTACACTTCTTTTCTTTCCATAGATGCGCTAAAAGCTGAAAGTTGCGAGTCAAAAAAAACATTAACTCCAATTGTCTTGGTAATAACCAATGAGATTTGCGGTCATCCATGAATTATAGTCGGTTCCTTTTATTAAAAGATATGCATCTTCACGATTATTAAGGGAATTACACTGAAATGCTAGAGAAAGATATTTTATGAGTCTGTGAAACAATAGCCTTAAAGTCTTCTTTGGGAGATCATGGTAGATACAGAATAACCAAAAAATTTTTTTCATAAATACGGTAGCATTTCTAGACCAACAGCTACAGCAGTTGGAGCAATTTTCCTCTTTTCTTTTCTTCTCTTTTGATTTGTTTTCTTGACTCTGTGGCTTATGTAATTGCACTGACGTGAAGGGAAGGGAATACTTCATATTGTCTCTGTCTACTCTCTTTTTTTTTTCTTTTAGGTTGGCTTTATCGGCTGATATTTTCAATACATCTCCAAGTATTTCCCACCCAATCTAAGATAGAACTGACAAAGGGTAAAGCATAACATCATAACTGGGTCCGATTTATACTTTAATCCTCAACGACACAGCGGTGGTTAACGGCCAGGCATGCGCAAGAAGATCAATTTTATCAGGCCGCTAATTTCCCGTGCAAAATTACAAAGAAAATTATTAAACAACCGCAGTTATGCAAATTATGCGAAGACAAATTTAAACGTGAAATCTGTGAAAGAAAACAAAAATAGGAAAAAGGAAAACTCGAGGCTTTTTGAACACAAAGTTTATTCAGTTATGGGCATCCTGTTGATCTTTCATTTTGTTTTTTAAAAGGCTTTATCGAAAAATTTTTCTGTTTTCTTTCAAAATGGAGGTTTCAAAAGTATTGAAAATTATAGCAGTTAAATTAGCAGCTAAAGAAACAAAAAGTGAACTGGTTAGGCTGCCAAAAGCTGCTTCTCTGTTCTTTAAAGTTTGACTTTTAAATATGGCTTCGGCTATGTTTAGTTACCAGGATTTTCGAGAAAAGGGTCCCTGGTTCGAATCTTACCTTTCTTCTCGATATCGAAAAAAAATCTTTTGACAGTCGTCGTCTTCTTCTAGAAAAGGGTCACAAGTTGTACCTCAAAATTCGATTTTATGGACTTCACCGTCAACCATCTACACGAATGATCTGCCCAACGTCATTGAGAATGGCACTGTTACCTTGTTTGCTGATGATACAACCCTACACTGTCCTTCAGCTTTTGGATGGCACACTGTGCTAACTGAAGACCAAGTCAGACTATCACAGTGGCTGTATGAGCAAAAATAGACATTAAATGTTTCAAAATCTAAATGTAGGTGGTCAGACTATCACACTAACACACTAACGTACTAACGCACTAACACACTACAATACCTTTGTTAGACTATGCGGTTGTCACATGGGGAGATTAAAACTATTTGACTCTTCTGAAGAAATTCCAGATGATACAAAATTAAGCTTCCAAAATCGTACTCAATATGCCAAAAGATTCATCTGCTAACGAGGCGCTCGATCAGCTTGACTGGGCCGGATAACTTGATGAAAAGGAGATTTCTTAGACTGATATTGTTTTATATTTATTGCTTTAAACCGTTTTTATTTTTTGTGGTGTTTTCAATTTCATAGTTTTAAAAACATTCTTAATTACTGTGCAACACTTTAGGTAGAAATAACATCTGTAGGCACCTGAAATGTCACTCCTGGGGACAAAACCGGTTTATTTATTTAGGTGCCAATGATTGGAACATCTTATCTGCACTGCTGACATTTCGACTTTAAATAGACATTTTAGAAGTACTCATTAAATGTTATCTATGCTTATTAAATAGTGGTCGCAGTGAGCCCACAATACTTGACCACGCCTATAGCTTCAATTTTCAACTTCAATTAAAATTAAAATTTTCAATTATCACTATGTAGGTGTCATTTATATCATTTCTGTAATTCATTTTACGCAGGGCCCCACAGGAAAAAAATATTTGTGACGTGGGCTCCCGTTGATATATTTTTAATTACCATTTTTTATAACCACGCTTTCACTATTTTTTTTTTTTGGATAGAAAAACGTGTCCTACACTGTGCTAATGACCAAAATATGTTATTTACATATGGCGTGAGTTTTGATTCTGTTTCTATCAAAATATATAGTTTTTTTAGTTAGTGTATTGGTAATCGCATAAAACCAAGTAAAATTAAGAGTTAATATCATGCGTGTTTTCAGAAGTTGCAGAAATTGCGCGACGAGGGCAATTCATTGTTGAGGGAAAAACTCATCTCCATAACACTCCCTTTATTTTTAACTTCATTTTATTGATAAAGACTTCTAGGAGGACTAGCTAAGTCACAATCAATTGCGTAAGAACATACATTAGTCCATATGTAAGAAATCTAGTAGAACTAACCGAAAACGAAAGAAACAGATACGAAAATATTTTTTAAAAAATTCAGGCACAAAACACGGAAAACAATTTTTATGATCCGATAGGACAAGATTCGAATTTATCTGAACCGGTTTAAAACAGCTAACAAGCCAACATGTAATTGTGGTAATCTGGTTCAAATAATTGCCGCCCTCTCTTGATTTGGAGTAGCAGCGTCACACTCTGCAACTTAAGAGGACAGAAAGTTGGTTTAAAATTTACACAGCAAAACATGCAGTCCGTTGCTTTGCAAAGTTCATATGACCATGGTGGTATTACTTTAAGTCACAGGACTAGAGAAAGAGGCAATTTTATTTTTCATGCCACTCTCACTTAATCCTTACACCTTACTTTCGGCTTTCGACTCGCGCAACGGACTTCACCGAAAAGGAGGAACTGCTCGTTGTCTACTGTTGTCATTACAGAGTTTAAGAAACGACGACTGCGACGCCGTGGACAACCAGAAGAAATTTACAAAGATTTATAACGCACGTGCACAGCCATTATTCTACTCACGAAACCTTTTTTTTAGTGACGTTCCCGTTGCCGTTGCCGTCGTGGTTTTCTTAAACTCCTTATTAATTGTCGTAAAGCCAAAAGCAAAGCAGTCTCCACGGCCAGTCAACAATGAAAATTATTGGCGTGACGAAGGAGAAAAGTTCCAGCCTACACGTGGGTCCTTCCACATCTTACCGTCGTGGTTGGAGGGAAATAATGGCAGAAATCAGCTGACTAAGAAAGTTAAAACCCGAGGATAAATGTTGTACTCCCTTCAATTCAAGTGACGCGATTGTCTTCAAACGTAGGAAAACACGAGTAATAAAGTCGCCACCAATAGTTTTGAACATATAATTAGTTGGAATAATAGATGGTGCAGGGTTGCTAGACCAATCAAGGAACGACGTAATGTACGGTACTGAAATACCAATGCAATTCCAGAGTACTTACGACAGTCATTTAAAAAATTCTTGATTTTATTTCAAATGCAACCGAATCTGGAATAAAGATGATAATATTAATAGAATGACATTTTTATTTAGAGACCGTACCTTCATTCTCTTAACTTTTTCAAAGCTTCCGTGCAGCGTGCCTCACGAAGAACGTCACACAGTTTTTCGGTAGTAGCTTCCTCGCCGAAAAGTTTTTTCCACTTCAGCAGACCTTGGAAAAAACTCTCCTCCACCCCATATTCCTTATGATTCATGCAAATATTTTCGATTTCTGGTTCCTTGAGACCCAGTTTTCGCAGGACATTCTTCCACTTAGAACCGATTTCCTCGCGTATGCAGTGGAAATGGTCTACTGTTACCGGTTGTCTGTCACTGCCCAGCAAGGATATATCGCAGCTGAAAGATTCTGTTTGATTGGCCAAGGAATCTGCTTAAAGAAAAACATTCGTTAGACAACATCATTGCTTTTATATTAATCTCTTTCGTAAATGCGCTATTTATTCAACCACGTCGCCACGTATGGGGGCTATAAGAAGATAGTTTGGTTCTATCAACTGAGTTGTTATTGTAAATTGGCTGCCGTAAAGAGTTTCTAAAGCTGACGTTTCGAGCTTTAGCCCTTATGATAACCAACTGATGTCACTAACCCATTGAGGGTATCGTTTCTTGGCTTCCATTGGTTTCGTTCTCCTCTGATGGCATTGTGATGGAAACTGCACCCGCAAACTCACAACCGTTGGAAGATGTGCCACTTTCAGAATTTTGAACAAAAATCTTTCGACTTGTCTGTTGATTGAATAATACACAAAATGAAACAGAATAGCCTCGATGACATATTGACTCATAATTAAGTCCTAAACCATCATACAATTGCTACGTACGCGACTCCCGTTCGATTACTGTAGGTTTACTTCACGAATGTTTAACAATATTCACTTATCCTACGGGAGATAATTAGTTTAGTATAATTGTTCAGGTCACTATCAGAGGCAAAACGTAAAATGTATTCTATTTTTTCACCTCCAATTTGTCACGTATTGAAAAACTAAGGCATGGAGTTTGGTGCTTAAATCACTTGGTTAATCCGTAGAGTGCACTTGACAGTAACAAAACTGAATGAAACGACATATTTATTTGTAATGGTCGTGTCAACATTCGTTTGCTAGAAAGCGTTAAACAGGCTCTATATGTTTAACAATAAGCCAATTACGACCAGTTAAATCCGAAATATTTAGCGTTACTTCGATAACCTTCTCGTGCGGGGTGACTATAGCGAGATATAACGCACTCCTTAGCAATTATGCTGACATACCATAGGGGTGCAGCTGTTTTGCGATTCATCACACGACTGGGAAACGAATGGAGAACGAATTTTGTTGGTTTGTAGTAGCAATGATAAACAAACACAGGAGAGCTAAAATAGTTTACGACTGGGCAACTAATTTTACACGACTTGGGCACAGGTTAACGTTATTACAAGAACAGGAATGCTGAATTACTGCCACGCAAGTGTTTTACGACTTCTGTACAATAGTGTACTTCACCTGTCGCGGTGAATACCCCGGGTAAAGATAAATTGAATACTCTGTTGGGCTGTCTTCTTGATTAAATTTAAGGTTGCAGGAAAATTCTTTCACTCCTGGACGTGCTGGTCTAACTGCAAAATCACAGGCGTCTTTGACACGAAATCCATTGCGATATGCAGTGTCGTAGTCGTATATCTACAAAGAAAGGTTACAACGTATTAACCTTGCGTGGAAACTACTTAACTTATGGAAAGAGAAGTGAATCATAAAAAAAATAAATTCTTTCTCACTCTCCAAGACCTTGGTCAACTCCGCGCATAACTTTATAACTGAGGTCATGGGGAAACATTCCGAAGCAATTTTTGGCGAGAATGAGTTGTCATGATACGAAACACTACACGTTAACGTAGCATTAGGCATTTGTTGAGGGGTGGAGGGGGGGGAAGGGAAAACGAGTTTAAAGAAAATCTAAGATGACGTCATGTAATATCTGCAGTGTCCAGCGGTTATACCATAAGATCTGTTAGAACTGCATTTTAAATCTGCTCAATACCTGTACACTGGGAGGCTTATCCAGTTCCCAACCGTCTTCAAGATCAGTAAGCTTCACAATCACATCCTTTTCATCGTCGTACATCTTAAACGGTTTCTCCTTTGATGATCTCGAGCCAGGAAAAGACTCTTTCTCCTGCGCTTTCACTCGCTTGTTAAATAGGGATGTAAACCAAAGCATAAAGAGCGTCACTTAGGATGTTTTAAAATAAATCTCAACAAAAATCTAAATCCAAATTTAACAGTGGAACAAGTTGTACAGAGTCGACTCGACCCAGACCTCCCTCCTTTTTGCGACTCGACCCAAGCCTCCCTCGTTTTTCACTCCTTCGCTATTATCGCACCGTTTACAGCTACTATTTACCATTTCTCTCAGGTTTACTAACTGAACGCCTGGAACAGGCTAGTAACAAAGAATCGTCTGGAAACACCCAGGCTCAAAAAATATGGTTGATGTAGGCCCCAGCTATTGAGTTTTTAAGGGGGGAGGGGGAGGGAGGTGGTTCGCACTCCTGCACCTCTTCTCTAAATCTGCCCTCTGAGCTTATTTGAGCTCGTTATGCTATACTTGACCATTTTAGCTGACTACTCGTTTTGCGACATACCTTCTTTGAATCCTCATTATCACTGTAAATGTAGAAGCGTAGGTAAATTTTATCACTTCTCTGGTTATGTCTGCTGAAGTAAACAGTCGCTCTCTTCCTCTTTGTTCCGCCACAGGCGAACACGCTCCAAATGGAAAATTTGCTAGTCTTGATGTGGATAGAGTTCTTTTTCACTGTAAACCATGCTTTGGATTGGCAGTTTTTTTCTGACGCTGAGGGAATTTTCTCCCATCGTAGCGGCCCTTTAACATAATTAATTTGACAGCGTCCTCAGGTACCAGACATTATCTATGGGGGGGGGAAGGATTGGGGGATTAGTTGCCAGTGAAAGGGGGGGGGGATCATACGAATATTATAGGGGCCTATGGGAGGATTAGGTAATTTGTATCTTGACACAATCAAAATTCCACCGGCCTAACCCCCCCTCCTCCCTACCTCCTAGATGATAAATAAGGACTCGTCTCTATGTAACTGATGTAGCCACCATAAATGCGAGAATATATATACCTGTGGATATACTTAAAACCTGGAAAAATGCCTTCCTAAGCTATTTCTAGGATCGTTGTAACCCTTGGTCAAGTCAGTATAAACAGCCACTGGTTGTCTGAAAATGATCTTAAAACTGGATCATTATGTCTGTTAAAACCTTACAAGAACATCACTAAAATTAAGAGAGTGTTCCGGTACCCCAAGCTCGAATAAACTGTTTACATTCTTGGGGTGATAAGATTGTGCGACAAATCAAGTCGGCCATAATGCCCATATTGTTTGGTCAGTTCCGCCCAAATTCAGCACTCTAATTGGTTCCGGGTTATATAACTCCCCTGTACCACCCCATCTGTGCGTAAAAGCAATTTTTTCACAAGTGCCTTTGCATAGCGATTTACAGTTACCTTTAGAAGATGGCTCACATCTGTAAACCCTTATCGAATCCTTCCTGACCTCGTCCAAGCAAAGATCATGCGGAACAGTGATTTCCACCGGCTTGAGCAAGGTAACGTTGTGAGGTCCACATTCGATAACGGGGGAAATTAGTGTTCCTTCGGGCATATCCGGGATGTCCTGCAACAAAGTGGTGTCATCTTTAGGCACGCGGAAGAAGAAACGCTGCTTGGTGCCCTCTTGAACTGCTCCACTCCTTACAGTGATAACGACATCAGAGTCCGGTGCGAAAAGCTGTCCACCAGAGCTGTCGAACGTGGCCTCCGCTTCCGTTATGTATCCAGGGGACCTATAGAAAACAGGGTCGATTATCATAGAAAATATGGTGGAAACTGTGATTTGGACGCCCCCTTGTGAGGAGAAAATGTGACTAAATCGACCTCAGTGAAAAGACAACTTGGATAAAGAGAAAAATGTTAAATAATCTGCACTAACACAACTCGTTTTCCCACCCACCTTGTGTCAATTCCATCAGATTGAGAGATTTGATGAACATCTGCGACCACAAGATTACTTTGACAGGGAGGCAAAGTGTGCTGAGCTGGGTTGTTGAGATTCGGTAGAGAATCTCCTGTTTCATCCTCCTGAGTATGCTTTGATCTTGTGGGGCTTTCAGTCTATCAGTTAAATATGCAGTAAAAATCACTCTCTGAAATGGCAACAAAGTGTTCAAGGAAGGTCAATATTGTGGACGAACCCTTCATTACTATACCTGTTCCGTGTAAGCTCCTGTCGCGCTTGATATAGAAGTCCTATTACAACAGTCCGACGATGCCACACAGCGTGGAGGGCGTCTGCAGTTTGGACGAGGACAAGCGAGGCTACACCCTGTAAATAACAAGACATTGCGGCAATTATTTGAATACCTCAATGGCTGCATTTTTGGCGGAATATTGTTGAAAAATCTTCGAGACGAAGTCGAGGGCATTACTCAACAATTTTTTCTAAGTTTGAGGTAAATAACTGTTTAAGTATAATTTCTCAGGTGCTTTTGAATTCTGTTGTAAATTTATTCTGCTTTCCAACAAAAGGTTTAACAATATGTTTACGATGTTGTTAAGTAAGGGATGACCTTTCCATACTTGAACACATCCTATCTCTGCTGGATATTATACTCTACTGCATTCGTACTTCTACTGGATATCATGCTCTACTGAATATACCTTTCCATACTTGAATACATTCGCACTTCTACTGGATATCATGCTCTACTGGATATACCTTTCCATACTTGAACACATTCGTACTTCTACTGGATATTATGCTCTACTGGATATACCTTTCCATACTTGAATACATTCGCACTTCTACTGGATATCATGCTCTACGTCTTTAACATATCCCGGAGCACTAGGAAAGGGCGCGAGTAGAAATCTCGGGAGTAAGGGGGTCCGGTATTAGTTTCTTAGAATCATTGGGAGGAATGCCAGGTCTTTGTCATGATTATCATTAGAAATTAGAAATTTACACTTTAAATTCGGATGTACTTTTATCTATTGCTCTCAAGTGCTCATGCACACGTCAAAAGTGACGTACCCCATACCATGCTTACCAAATAACATAACATAAATAAATTCTTCAGCTGCAAGACATCGAAACCTTTCACCTTTGTTTTTCTTGGGATGCCTCCATTGCTTGATTGCCAAACCCGTCGCCAAAACAGCAACAGAAACCAAGGCCACTACTATCCACAGCCAATGTCGAGAATGATGGGACACATCCTGGCTAGGTTCATGGTATTTTTCTCTGACTTTATTTTCCTTCGTTAGGGGTTGGCTGTTCGATTTCCCTGTGAAAGTATCGGTTCCCGTAAAAAATGGCTAATATATCAGAGATCTTTTAAATATCCCGTTTAAAATTACAGTGACACATGGTCGAGGTAGCGAACTGAAGCGCCACTGTATGCAAAAAAAAGTGCGCAGAGGTTCTTAACACTTGCTGTTTTTCCTTATCCCAGTGCATCTGGTTTCCTAAAAACTTTACGAGTTATTTTCCACCAGCTTTTCACTTCTCCTATGAACATCCAAAAAAATGATAGGTAGAGAAACTCTTTTGGATCATTTGATTTGATCTTTTAGGTCATTTTTTAATTATTCTTCATGCTGAATAGTAACATGCAATCCTGCCGTTGAAAGAATTTTGTTGCCGTACAAGTAGTAAAAATACTCAAACAGATCAGATAGAGGGGAGATCGTGATCCCTGGACCCTCCCCCTGGATATGTCAGGGGAGTAAGGGGGGCTAAGGTTGTGTTGCCAAGGGTGATCACATTAGCTGGCTACTGACACGGAACAAAACTGAGGAAGAAAAAATCAGTTAAGCCTTACCCCGCCTCCACCTGGTAGTATGATTCTGATGGGATTCTGTGCTGTTTTCGTCATCCATTCCATGATTGATGAACTCGGCCTTGACGCTCTCAGAAGGTGAAACAGGCGATGCTACAAGCGTTGTCGTTGCATCTGTTCTGTTTTGACGAATTTTTTGTGGTGTACGACTTGGATAGTTCTGATCATCTCCCTGCATTTCAAAATTTGTCGGTGTTTTAAAGGAGGAAACGGATTTTTCTGTCGGGCGAGATGGAGGTCGACGTTTGGAAGGAATATCCGGTCGGGGTGTAGGGCTGATGATTTCTCCCGCGGAAGAAGTGATTGATTTCTCGACGCTCCGTGATGACGATGGTGATCCATAAAAAGCAGAACTAACCAGAACTGTTCCTTGGTCTACTGCACTACTGGGCTTCGTCGAGAAGAAAACACTTGAAGGCGTTGGATCAACAGAAGGCATTACAGATACAAAGATGTTAGCGTTGACATGTTTCTCAACAAATGCAAGTTGGTGTTGAGACTTTGGGTTCTTTCTGCCATTTTCCCAAGGATTAACCTCCTCTCTTAGAACAAAGAATCGGTCCTCAGGCTTTTTTTTCTCCTTGATATTGTCGCGAACAGAATCGACTGCAAAATGAAAAATGAAAAGCATGATGAGACACAATTGGTGTGGTGTAACAACACAATTAGCGTGGGGTAACATGTCCCACTTTGCGTCACTCAACCTTCTCATTGTCTGAAATTTAAATACCTAAGAAGTATCAGAGCGCTTTGCAACCGAAAAAAAAAACATTTCAGTCTTCCAAATTTTCACGAGTGTCTGAAGAATCATGGAATCATTTTCCCTCCTTAAGGCTCCGTAGTATTTTTGTGATTCTTCCGTCAACTTTCCATAGTCCCCCCCTCCTTTATGCTCTGCTGTGCGTCGACCAATACCCCCTCCATTTCCCCTAAAAACCATGTGATCCCCCCAAAAGAGTTCTCCCTCCTCGGTGTCAACCCTTTAACTCCATGAGTGATCAAGACAGAATTTCTCCTTACAATATCAATACAATATCAACCAGATAAGTGAAGAGAATAATGAAAACTATCAATTTGGGGATAATTAGTTGATCCAATACTAAATTCTCTCAGCGTAAATTACGAAAATTGCATTGTTGACACTAAGGAGAATTACAAATTTGATCTGGCAGTTAAAGGTTTAAATAACGACGATTCCCAATAATCAATACCCCTGGGGGCACCTCCCGTAGGCATACACAACATAACAACCCTGCGGTCAACCCTGCTCGTTACATCACACAACAGAAAACACCTTTCAGGCTGAAGAGAGCACTTATTCTAGGTCTTTTGTGCACCGTTAATGGAACGCTTGATTGAAGAAAAAGGAAAAGTTGTTTTTATTTTGGAAAGAACTCAACTATTACCTTTAATTCCGCATTCAACTTTACCATAACTGCTGAGGAAGCTCTCGGAAATTGGACACTTAACACAATCAGTGTCTCTCGTCTTTTCACAAGGCCTGAACACGCCGAAGCCTGGAGGACATTGGCTGCACTTCACACAAACAGTATTCGACGTTGAATTACAGGGATGGAACTCGTATTCATTGTGACCACATCTGGTGCAGCGCTTGCATGTTCCTCGGCGAGAAGGCTTATCGTTGTACGTTCCTTCCGCGCACTTTACACATCGTGACTCTTCATTTAGAGAGCAGACTGTAAAAGATCCTGCAGGGCATTTCTTGCAGGATGGACCGGACAACTTGAGATAACTACCGCTAAGCGACTGTAAGAAGACAGAAGGGGAACAACAACAAAGAAATCAGTTTTTTTAAGATTAAACTGTCTTTTCCCGAAAAAAACAGGAACAAAAAGCCCTAAATAGGGAAGGGAGAGGGGAGGGGGAGATGAAGAGGGAAGGGAGGGGGGAAGGTGGAGAGCCTCTTGTTTACGCCTGCTTAGCTGGCTTCAAAGATCATGAAAGAAAACTTCAGTTTTGAATTCACTTGGTTATTTGGATTTTTTTCATCGATTCTTATTCATTAAAAAGTTATTTTTAAAACTTCGAACAATAGCACTCAGGAGGTACGATCCTGAGCAATTGTTATACTAAGTAATAACAGCTTCGTGGTAAGATAAAAACAGTTTAATTTTGAATAAATTTTGTTTTTTAGCTTAAGTAAATGACATTTTTTACCAGAGGTCTCAAGTATTGAGTGTCTAGCCAAAATAACATTACACGTGATCAGCAACAATATCGTGATATTTGCCCTTCCGTTTTCCTCTGGTATCAAAGATTTCGCTTTCAATTTGGTTTCTAGCTTTGATGGTATGTGTGGTTGATAACTGTTTTTATCTTGCGATTACTACAGTATTCATGCTTTCGACTTCACGGAATACACGTTTGCTTAAAGACGGCGAAGATCATATTTGGTGGTAATCGTCACTAACTCGTGATGCTGATTACAAACACAGGAAGCTTTTATGTAACAACGACCCTTCCACTTTCGGTTTCTATTTTTAAAGAGAACAAAGTGCCTATTCATCTCTCTGAATGAAAATTTTATTCTTGCGGGCAAATGCAAAACTCCAAAACGCCATTGAAAATGAGTCAATTTAGGAAGCAACTGTTTAAGTTTTGGACACAGCAACAGCAATCAGTTATATCCAGCGTAAACAGTTTGCACTGACACGAAATATCTACTCATCGCGTGACCTGGCGGCACACCGCTATAGTTTTTCTCAATCGCAAGTCTCCATGAAACAGCTCATTTCTTGTCAATTTCGTTAACCGCTGTGGTCATTTTCACACGAGCTAAACTGGCAAATTATAAATCCTGTTGACGTGACAGCGAGGACTCCATTTCAACATTAAGCTTGTCGGAACCAATCGATTGTACATACAAAGCATGTAAATTACTTCCTGTGATTTTCATACTGACTGAAAAATTGAGTTTGTTTGTGGTCGAATCAGTTTCCTAATCCAAACTAAATAATTGGAGCTTGCGGACAATTAAGTTTACAATAACAGATCAGATATCGAGAATAGTTATGGTGATTCTGCCATTGAAAGCGCCCGTTAGAAAAATAAATCATGCAAGTCATGACATTACAAACGGTCCCAATATACACATCAAACAACATTTGCAATACAGAAATGTTAGGGGTACTTACACTGCCTGTGTTGATTCCTATAAATATGAAAGCGAAAAAAAGAACCTCGTACACCATTATAGAGTCTGCACGACGAGCAATGTGTCTTTATAAATCAGGAAATTTGATCCCCTTTATCTTTTAAAAAAATTCAGGTATTGCGTAACTTTAGTAACCTTTTTTAGTTAAACAAACTCTTCTCAAATTTAATGCCAGTACATTCGAGGTTTTTTCCCTAAATGTGACGAATTTATTCAAGGGGGGAAGTGGAGGGGGGGGGGGAAATGGAAGAGGAGGAAAGCTTGATCGAGGATAAGCAACCAATAATCAATGATGGGATGAGGATGAGAAAAAAATTCTAACAGATGATTTCGGAGTAGGAAAGACGGTTCACCATTCATTTTCAAGGGGGGAAGGGGAAAGGAAAGGGGTTGACCTGTAGAACTACTCATGCGCAATGCGCAAGAATAATAAAAGAAGAAAGTCAAGCTGGTCAAAACGCAAAAGAAAGAGATTTTCAACAACGGTGCGAAGAAATAAAAGTGTAAATGAATATTGCGCCCAGAAAATTGCCCCAGCCTCCTCTCCATTTTCTAGGCGGGGTACGTAAAGGAAATTATGGGATGACAATCATTGATGGAAATAAAATTTAAGTACTTTACTTTTTTTATGAAGTCTAATCTTGGTTTGTCTCCAGTTACAACCAATATTTAGAGGACTAAGTTTTATGAAGTACCACCGAGTACCACCTCTATCAGTCTAAAGGGGTGAGAGCGCATTTGTGACAGGACCGAATGTGATGACGGCTGCGAAGGAAACCACAGAAAGCGCTGAAATAATAAACTGAAGAGACTCTTTTTTGGGGGGATCTCAAAAATCTCCATAGATAGAAAGCAGCTTGGTCCCAAAGGCATAGCAATGAAGGATAATTTTAAAATGTAAAAATATATGCAGAAAGCGGAAGTGATAAATATTGCCAGACAAGTAGGTGTATAGAACGCTGATCAACCGCATTACATTCTTTATCTGTCAAAATTATCATCGTTTTTCCCTTAGTTTTTTCGGGTTGGATTCAGTCTTTAGAGGCGTCTAAAGTCTATTTTATGATTTAAGTATCGAGCATCCACCAGTGCTACGGGATTATTCATACTCCATACGTCCAATCCATACGCTACCCCCCCCCCTTTTAGGAGAAATGGCCGCCGGCCAGAAGAAGCTTCCTGCTGAGCGCAACTTTAATACTTCTCAAAAATTTCCGATTTCATTATTTATCATTATTCCTAAAAACATGGGCCAACGTCGGAAAACGTTACTGCACGCAAACGAAGTAAAAAAATGTTAACTGTGAGCAGTTTTCCCTCGCATTTCATCCGTGACAGCTTCTCCTATGTCCTAAGTACTTCCATATATGGCTGATCCAAACATTACAAAGACACCATCACTAAAAGGATTTTTGGGACCAGTTGAGCAACTTTCGTTTCAGGAAGGCATTGAGTGTCCAACTCAACGCCTTAATTGAAAAATGAGTGTCATTTAAGAATGATTTTGACATTAATCAGATTATTATTTTTATTCATAATTTTGTGTCTGTAGATTACATAAAAAAATCTGTATTAATTGCTACCACTGATATTTTACATGATAAAAAATTAACTTTTTTCATGTTGATACCTAATTTTGATAAAAAGTGTTTGTTTTAATTACTTGATGGAATAGTTTGATTGCTGAAAAGTCTGATTCGCAAAATTTTTGCTGCACATGCAAAGTTTTGGATTTCAAAACATATTCCAGCTGTATCCGAGGACAATCACAGTTGAGTGTATTAAAGCACAATGGCAACTAAAAAAATATGTTTTGTCTTTGAATGCTGGTTATCATGAAGAATTGGATTAATGGGAATGGTAATTTAGCAGTCGACATTCTCCAGGTTGGCTCTTTCTGTCCATTGTTTCCAGGTCTAATTGGAATGTGGAATGTGGAATGTTGAATTACAGAAGACATTGAGACATAATTTCTATTTCTGATTCAGTCCATGAAATCAGAAATAATGCCATATCACAACATAGTTAACTTCAGTCTCACTCCAGATCAAAGGCTTGGCAACTAAGTATACAACTGTAAAACGGCCTAATATGGAATTTTCATACACTTGTTCAAAGAATTGCCGCCCTTCCTTAAACTGGAGTAGCAGCTTCACACTCTGCAACTTAAGAGGACAAAAAGTTGATTTAAAATTTACACAGCAAAACATGCAGTCCGTTGCTTTGTAAAGTTCATATGACTATAGCGGTTTTACTTTAAACCACAGGACTAGATAAAGAGGCAATTTTATTTTTCATGCCACTCTCCCTTAGTCCTTACACCTTACTTTTGCAACATCATTTTTTTTCCACTTATTTCGGCTTTCGATTCGCGCAACGGACTTCACCGAAAAGGAGGAACTGCTCGATGTCTATTGTTGTCATTGCAGAGTTTAGGAAACGACGACTGCGACGCCGTGGACAACGAGAAGAAATTTACAAAGATTTATAACGCACGTGCACAGCCATTATTCTACTCACAAAGCCTTTTTTTCAGCAAAGTTCCCGTTGCCGTTGCCGTCGTGGTTTTCTTAAACTCCCTATTAATTGTCGTAAAGCCAAAAGAAAAGCAGTCTCCATGGCGGCCAGTCAACAATGAAAATTATTGGTACCAATGACAACCTAAACTAGAAATACGTGTGACGAAGGAGAAAAGTTCCTGGTTACACGCGAGTTCTTCCACAACTTACCGCCGTGGTTGGAGGGAAATAATGGCAGAAATCAGCTGTCTAAGAAAGTTAAAACCCGAGGATAAATGTTGTACTCCCTTCAATTCAAGTGACGCGATTGCCTTCAAACGCAGGAAATCACGAGTAATAAAGTCGCCACCAACAGTTTTGAACATATAAATAGTTGGAATAACAGATGGTGCAGGTTGTTAAATCAATCAAGGAACGACGTAATATACGGTACTGAAATACCAATGCAATTCCAGAGTACTTACGACAGTCAATTAAAAAATTCTTGATTTTATTTCAGATGCAACCGAATCTGGAATAAAGATGATAATAGTAATACAATGACATTTTTATTTAGAGACCATACCTTAATTCTCTTAACTTTTTCAAAGCTTCCGTGCAGCGTGCCTCACGAAGAACGTCACACAGTTTTCCGGTAGTAGCTTCCTCGCCGAAACGTTTTTTCCACTTCAGCAGACCTTGGAAAAAACTCTCCTCCACCCCATATTCCTTATGATTCACGCAAATATTTTCGATTTCTGGTTCCTTGAGACCCAGTTTTCGCAGGACATTCTTCCATTTAGCACCGATTTCCTCGCGTATGCAGTGGAAATGGTCTTCTGTTACTGGTTGTCTGTCACTGCCCAGCGAGGATATATCGCAGCTGAAAGATTCTGTTTGATTGGCCGAGGAATCTGCCAAAAAATAGAAATTATTTTTTAGACAATATCATCGCTTTTACCTTAATCTTTTCCGTAAATGCGCTGACAAGCTTTCTCCATTTATTCATCCAAGTCGCGTCAATCCTACCACGGGACTGTATTCCTCTCAATTGAGCTCCAATATTCTAAAGTAATTTTCACTTCAGCATGGAAGGTAATCTGTAGTTGCTTTTGTTTTGCTGCATTTCGTCCTGTGATTGTTCAAGAAAATTCGCGCCTCTCTCTCAACCAATTAGATGCAAGACTTGAATCGATTGCGACGTGTTCGCTCCTGTTTTCCCGCGTTTTAGGCAGTTTGTTGGTTTTTAATTTGAATTCTCATTGACTCCTTGTGATATTGACCCGAGAACTGACTGCTGGTAAATAATACTTTGGTTTTGGTTTTCCGATACAAACATCAGAATTCGCTCTCACTGTTTTAGAGATGAGAGATGATCGAGCGAAGAGATTGAATCTCGCTTCCAGACTTTATTCTCGGCAAGGGTAATCGCTATCAAATTGTTCTTAAATCACTCAGGTTCCGGTTTTCGTAGATCCCAGGAATATCTAGAAGCACCTAATCCTGTGTCGTGAATCTTGTTAAAAAATGATTCTCAAAACATATAGAAACACGAGAGAAGCATTTAGAGTCCTTCCATGAGGACCATTTCGGCTTAAACTGAATAGCATATCTTGGTTCCATCAACTGAGTTGAACTTGTAAATTGGCTGCCGTAAACAGTTCCTGAAACTGACGTTTCGAGCTTTAGCCCCTAGTCAGAGCGAATGACGAAGGGCTAACGCTCGAAACGTCAGCTTAAGAAACTCCTTACAGCGGCAAATTTGCATTATCGACTCAGTTGATAAAACCAAATTATCTTGTTATACCGATTGTTTTTTAGTCACGCATCTGATTGGCTGGGAAAGTGGCTTGAACTGTCTAAGCCAATCAAGGAGCCCAATTAAGGAAAACCAATGTAATCCCGCATTACTTTTGACACTCAATTAAAAATTGCGCTATTATGATAACCAATCGATGTCACCAACCCATTGAAGTTATCGTTTCTTGGCTTCCATTGATTTCGTTTTCCTCTGGTGGCATTGTGATAGAAACTGCGCCCGCAACCTTACGACCGTTGGAAAAAGTGCCACTCTCAGAATTTTGGACAAAAATATTTCGACCAGTCTGCGGATTGAATAACAAACAAAATTTTAAAAAAAACAGCCTCGAAGACATATTGACGCTACGTACACGACCCCGGTTCAATTACTGTAGGTTTGCTTCACGAATATTCAACAATATTCACTTATCCTATGGGAGAAAAGTTGTTAAGTATAATTGTTCGGGTGACTATCAGGGGTTAAACGTAGATTTTATTCTATTTCTTCACCTCCAGTTTGTCACGCATTAAAAACTAAGGCACAGAGTTTGGTGCTTAGAACCCGTGGTTAAAACGGTATAGTGCACATGACAGTAGCAAAACTGAACGAAACGAGATATTAATTTGTAGCGGTCGTGTCAACGTTCGTTTGCTAGAAAGTGTTAAACAGGCTTAACATGTCTCACAATAAGCCAATTACGACCAGTTAAATCCGAAAAGTTTAGCGTTATTTCGATAACCTTCTGGCGCGGGGTGACTACAGAGAGATATAACGCACTCCTTAGCAATTATACTGACATACCATAGGGATGCGACTGTTTTGCGATTCATCACATGTGGGCCTCGACTGATAGTTTAACGAATGGAGAACGAATTTTGTTCGACTGTGGTAGCAATGATATACAAACACAGGAAGAGTAAAATGGTTTACGACTGGGCAAATAATAATTTTACACGACTTGGGCACAAATTAACGTAACTACAGGCGCACGAATGCTCAATTACTACCACACGAAAGTTTTATGACTTCTGTAAGATAGTGTACTTCACCTGTCGCGGTGAATACCCCGGGTAAAGATAAATTGAATGCTCTGTTGGGCTGTCTTCTTGATTAAATTTAAGGTTGCAGGAAAATTCTTTCACTCCTGGACGTGCCGGTCTAACTGCAAAATCACAGGCATCTTTGGCACGGAATCCATTGCGATATGCAGTGTCGTAGTTGTATTTCTACAAAGAAAGGTTAAAACGTATTACCTTGCATGGAAACTACTCATTTTATGGAAAAAGAAATGAACCATCCAAGTGTTTCTTTGATATCATAAAATCTTTCTCACTCTCCAAGACCTTGGTCAACTCCGCACATAACTTTATAACTGAGGTCATGGGAAAACATTCCGAAGCAATTTTTGGTAAGAATGAGTTGTCATAATACGAAACATGACACGCTAAAGAAGCATTAGGCATTTGTTGGGGGGTAGAGGGGGGGAAAGGGAAAACGAATTTAAAGAAAATCCAAGATGACGTCATGCAATAATTTGCAGTGTCCAGCGGTCATACCACAAGATCTGTTGGAATTGCATGTTAAATCTGCTCAATACCTGTAGACTGGGAGTCTTATCCAGTTCCCAACCGTCTTCAAGATCAGTGAGCTTCACAATCACATCCTTTTCGTCGTCGTACATCTTAAACGGTTTCTCCTTTGATGATCTCGAGCCAGGAAAAGACTCTTTCTCCTGCGCTTTCACTCGCTTGGTAAATAAAGATGTAAATCAAAGCATAAAGAGCGCCACTTAAGATGTTGTAAAATAAATCTCAACACAAATCTCAATCCAAATAAAACAGTGCAACAAGTATTACAAAGTCGACCCGACCCAGACCTCCCTCCTTTACGCGACTTGACCCAAGCCTCCCTCGTTTTTTTTCACTCCTCCGCTATTATCGTACCGTTTACAGCTACCATTTACCATTTCTATCAGGTTTACTAACTGAACGCCTGGAACAGGCTAGCAACAAACAATCCAGGAAAACACCCAGGCTCAAAAAATATGGTAGATGTACGCCCCAGGTATTGAGTTTTTAAAGGAATTACTCATTGCATAATAAGTAATTACTAAGTAACGCAGCTGGAGAGGGGGCTGGTCCGCACTCCTGTACTTCTTCCCTAAATCTGTCAAAAATATTTGAGCTCATTATGCTATACTTGACCATTTTAGCTGACTACTCGTTTTGCGACTTACCTTCTTTGAATCCTCATTATCACTGTAAATGTAGAAGCGTAGGTAAATGTGATCACTTCTCGGGTTATGTCTGCTGAAGTAAACAGTCGCTCTCTTCCTCTTTGTTCCGCCACAGGCGAACACACTCCAAATGGAAAATTTTCTTGTCTTGATGTGAATGGAGTTCTTTTTCACAGTAAACCATGCTTTGGATTGGCAGTTTTTTTCTGACGCTGAGGGAATTTTCTCCCATCGTAGCGGCCCTTTAACATAATTAATTTGACAGCGTCCTCAGGTACCAGACATTATCTATGGGGGGGGGAGGGGGGATTAGTTGCCAGTGAAAGGGGGGGGAATCATACGAATATTATAGGGGCCTATGGGAGGATTAGGTAATTTGTATCTTGACATAACCAAAATTCCTACCCCCCTTCCCTACCTACCTAGATGATAAATAAGGACTCGTCTCTATGTAACTGATGTAGCCACCATAAATGCGAGAATATAAACATGTGGATATGCTTAAAACCTAGAAAAATGCCTTCCTAAGCTATTTCTAGGTATCGCTGTAACCTTTGGTCAAGTCAGTATAAACAGCCACTGATTGTCTGGAAATGATCTTAAAACCGGATCATTGTGTCTGTTAAAACCTTACAAAAACATCACTAAAATTAAGAGAGTGTTCCGGTACCCCAAGCTCGAATAAACTGTTTACATTCTTGGGGTGATGAGATTGTGCGACAAATCAAGTCGGCCATAATGTCCATATTGTTTGGTCGGTTCAGCCCAAATTCAGCACTCTAATTGGTTCCGGGTTATATAACCCTCCTGTACCACTTCCATTTGTGCGTAAAAGCGATTTTTTTAAAAGTACTTTTGCATAGCGATTTACAGTTACCTTTAGAAGATGGCTCACATCTGTAAACCCTTATCGAATCCTTCCTGACCTCGTCCAAGCACAGATCATGCGGAACAGTGATTTCCACCGGCTTGAGCAAGGTAACGTTGTGAGGTCCACATTCGACAACGGGGGAAATAAGTGTTCCTTCGGGCATATCCGGGATGTCCTGCAACAAAGTGGAGTCATCCTTGGGCACGCGGAAGAAAAAACGCTGCTTGGTGCCCTCTTGAACTGCTCCACTCCCTACAGTGATAACGACATCAGAGTCCGGTGCGAAAAGCTTTCCACCAGAGCTGTCGAACGTGGCCTCCGCTTCCGTTATGTATCCAGGGGACCTATAGAAAACAGGGTCGATTATCATAGAAAATATGAGGGAAACTGTGATTTGGACGTCCCGTTATGAGGAGAAAATGTGACTAAATCGACCTCAGTGATAAGACAACTTAGATAAAGAAAAAATAAACTTACACAACTCGTTTCCCCACTAACCCTGTGCCAGTTCCATCAAATTGAGAGGTATGATGAACATCTGCGACCACAAGATTACTTTGAAAGGTAGGCAAAGTGTCTTGAGCTGGGTTGTTGAGATTTGGTAGAGAATCTCCTGTTTCATCCTCCAGACTATACTTTGATCTTGTGGGGCTTTCCGTCTATCAGTTAAATAAGCAGTAAAAATCACTCTCTGAAATGGCAACAAAGTGTTCAAGGAAGGTCAATATTGTGGACGAACCCACCATTACTATACCTGTTCTGTGTAAGCTCCTGTAGCGCTTGATATAGAAGCCCCATCACAACAGTCCGACGATGCCACACAGCGAGGAGGGCGTATGCAGTTTGGACGAGGACAAGCGAAGCTACTCCCTGTAAGTAACAAGACATTGCGATAATTATTTGAATACCTAAATAGCCGCATTTTTGGCGGAATATTTTAAAATAATCTTCAAGACGCAGACGAGAGCATTATTCAACAATATTTTTTAGCTTCAGGCAAATAGTTGTTTGAGTGTAATTCCTCAGGTGCTTTTGAATTCTGTTGTAAATTCTTTCTGCTGTGCAACAAAAGGTTTAACAATATATTTACGATGTTCTTAAGTAAAGGATGACCTCTCCATACTTGAACACATCCTATCTCTACTGGATATCACACTCTACCGGATATACCTTTCCATACTTGAACACATTCGTACTTCTACTGGATATCATGCTCTACTGGATATACCTTTCCATACTCGAACACATTTGTTCTTCTACTGGATATCACACTCTACCGGATTTACCTTTCCATACTTGAATACATTCGCACTTCTAATGGATATACCTTTCCATACTTGAACACATTCGTTCTTCTACTGGATATCACACTCTACCGGATTTACCTTTCCATACTTGAATACATTCGCACTTCTACTGGATATACCTTTCCATACTTGAACACATTCGTACTTCTACTGGATATCATTTTCTACTGGATATACCTTGCCATACTTGAATACGTTCGCACAGAAATACCTAGATATACCTATAAAGGGCGTGAGTAGAGGTCTCGGGGGTAAAGGGGGTCTTAGAGGGTCCTGCATTACTTTCTTAGAATCATTGGGGCGCATGCCAGGTTTCTGTTATCGTTATCATTAAAAATTATAAATTTAAACTTTAGATTCGGTGTCTTTTTATCCATTGCACTCAAGTGCTCATGCGCACGTCAAAAGTGACGTACCCCATACCATGCTCACCAAATAACCTAACATAACTAAATCCCTCAGCTGCAAGACAGGATCAATATCAGTATCTGGGCAACTGCCCACCTACCTCTCCCCTACGTCGGGTTAGGGGAGGGGTAGGTGGGCAGTTGCCCAGATACTGATATTGATCCGCAAGATATCCAAATCATTTACCTTTGGTTTTCTTCTGATGCCTCAATCGCTTGATTATTAAAATCATCGCCAAAGCAGCAACGGAAACCACTATCACTACTATCACTAGCCAGTTATGAGAATGTTGGAACACACCCTGGTCAGATTCATGGTACGGGGCTCTGACCTCATTTTCCTTTGTTGGAGGAGGGAAGTCAACTTCTATATGTCCGTTTTCACTGGTGACCATTAATGTCGCTTTGTTAATATCAGTTCCTGTAAAAAATTATCGAAAGGGACCGACAAAAATAGATGATATATCAGAGATATTTTGAATATCCCGTTTAGAATTACACAGACACATGGTCGAGGTAGCAACCTGAGTGTTAAGCGTCACTGTCAGCGCAAAAAAGCTCGCAGAAGTTCTTAACACTAGTTGTTGTCATCTGGTTTCCTAAAAAATTAACGGATTATTGTCCACCGGCTTTTCACTTCTCCTTTGAACATCTAAAGAAATGTGAGATGAACTTCTTTGTGAAATTCAAATGAATTTCTGAAAATCAGCAACTCCCCCCCCCCCCCGCCACCTTTGTGCCTCCCTCGCAGACTCAGGAGACAACGCACCCAACCACCCTGGAGCGGATGCAGAAATTATTGCTGGGGGGATCCAAACTTTGATTAAGAAAAGACAATTTTTCTTTTCCGCAATAGGGTCCAACAAACTAAATAAGGAAAGAAAACTCTTCTGGATCATTTTATATGATCTTTTAGGTCATTTTTTAATTATACTTCATGCTGAATAGTAACATGTAAACCTACCGTTGCGAGAATTTTGTTGTCTGACAAGTAATAAAAATACCAAAACAGATCTAATAGAGGGGAGATCGTGATCCCCGGACCCTCTCCCTGGATATGTCAGGGGAGTAAGGGGGGCTAAGGTTGTGTTGCCAAGGGTAGTCACATTAGCTGGCTATTGACGCGGGACAAAACTGAGGAGGACAAAGTCAGTTAAGCCTTACCTAGACTCCACCTGGTAGTACGATGTCGATAGGATTCTGTGCTAAGTTCTTCATCCATTCTATGGTTGATGTACATGGCTTTGACGCTCTTAGAAGGTGAAACAGGTGATGCTACACGCGTTGTCGTTGCATCTGTTCCGTTTTGACGGGTGTTTCGCGGTGTACGACTCGGATAGCTCCCATCATCTCCTTGAATTTCAAAATTTGTCTGTGTTTTAAAGGAGGAAACGGATTTTTCTGTCGGGCGAGATGGAGGTCGACGTTTTGAAGAAATATCCGGTCGGAGTGTAGGGTCGATGATTTCTCCCGCGGGAAAAGTAATTGATTTCTCGACGCTCCGTGATGACGATGGTGAGCTATAAAAAGCAGAACTAACTAAAATTGTTCCTTGGTCTACAGCACTAGTGGGCTTCGTAGAGAAGAAAACACTTGAAGGCGTTGGATTAACAGAAGGTAACGCAGATACAATGATGTTAGCGTTGACATGTTTCTCGACGAATGCAAGTCGATGCTGAGACTTGGGGTTCTTCCTGCCATTTTCCCAGGGATTAACCTCCTCTCTTAGAACAAAGAAACTGTCCTTGAGCTTTTCTTTCTCTCTGATATTGTTGCGAAAAGAATCAACTGCAAAACAGAAAAATGAAACGCATGATGAGACACAACTGGCGTGCAACATATCTCAGTTGCCATCACTTAAACTTCTCATGTCAAACATTCAAATACCTAAGAAGTATCGGAGCACTTTGCAATCGAAAAAAATCTTCTAGTTTTCGAAATTTTCACGAGTGTCTGAAGAATCATGGAACAAAGATTTCTTTTGCCGATTCCTTTTTTCACAACACAACATTCGGGGGGTTTGGAAGATTCTGGTTGTGTCACTATAAAATTTACCTTTTCCCTTCTTAAGGCTCCGTAATATTTTATAGCCCCCCCCCCCCTTTATGCTCCGCTGTGCGACAACAAATACCCCCTTCATTTCCCCTAAAAACCATGTGATCCCCCCAAGAGAGTTCTCCCTCCCTGGCGTTAACCCTTTAACTCCCATGAGTGATCAAGATAGAATTTCTCCTTACAAGATCAATACAATATCAACCAGATAAGTTATGAGAGTAAAGAAAAACACCAATTTGGGGATCCAACGCTAAATTTTCTGAACTAACATTAATAAGAATTTTATGGTTGACAGTAAGGAGAATTACAAATTTGATCTGGGAGTTAAAGGGTTAATTAACAACTGGTCCCAATAATCAATTCCACTCTGGTTGGCACCTTCCGTAGGCATACACAACATAACGGCCCTTGGGTCAACCCCCGCTCGTAACATCTCACAACAGAAAACACCTTTCAGGCTGAAGAGGGCACTTATTTTAGGTCTTTTTTGCACCGTTTATGGAACGTTTGATTGCAGGAAAAGGAAAAGTCGTTCTGACTTTGGAAAGAAATTCAACTATTACCTTTAATTCCGCATTCAACTTTACTATAACTGCTGAGAAAGCTCTCGGGAACTGGACACTTAACACAATCAGTGTCTCTAGTCTTTTCACAAGGCCTGAACACACCGAAGCCTGGAGGACATTCCCTGCATTTTACACAAACGGTATTCGACGTTGAATTACAGGGATGGGACTCGTATTCATTGTGACCACATCTGGTGCAGCGCTTGCATGTTCCTCGGCGAGAAGGCTTATCGTTGTACGTTCCTTCCGCGCACTTTACACATCGTGACTCTTCATTTAGAGAGCAGACTGTAAAAGATCCTGCAGGGCATTTCTTGCAGGACGGACTGGACAACTTGGGATAACTATCGCTAAGCGACTGTAAGAAGACAGAAGGGGAACAACAACAAAGAAATCAGTTTGGATTACACTTTGTTTACCGGAAAAAAAGGAACAAAAAGCACAAAATGGGGGAGTGGGAGGAGGGGGGGGGAGAAAGATGAAGAGGGAGGGGAGGGGAGGGGGGAGAAAGATGAAGAGGGAGGGAGGGGAGAGGGGGGGAGAAAGATGAAGAGGGAGGGGAGGGGAGAGGGGGGGAGAAAGATGAAGAGGGAGGGGAGGGGAGAGGGGGAGGCTCCTTTTCTACGTGTCTATGTTTACACCAGCTTAGCTAGCTTCTAAGATCAAGAAAAAGCAAACATCAGTTTTGAATTCAGTTGGTAGTTTGGATTGTTTTATCGATTCTTATTCATTAAACGAAGTGACTTTTAAAACTTCGAACAATAGCACTCAGGAGGTACGATCCTGAGCAAATTCTTATACTAAGTAATAACAGCTTTGCGGTGAGATAAAAACAGTTTAATTTGAAGAAATTTTATTTTACCTTGAACAAATAACATTTTGTACCAGAGGTCTCAAGTATCGAGCGTCTAGTCAAAACAACATTACATTTGCCGGCAACAATATTGTGATATTTGCCCTTACGTTTTCCTCTGGTATCAAATATTTCGCTTTCAATTAGTCTTCTAGCTTTGATGGTATGTTTGGATAATAACTATTTTTATCTTGCGATTACCACAGTATTCATGCTTTCGACTTCATAGAATACACGTTAGCTTACAGATAGCGAAGATCATCTGTGGTGGTAATCGTCACTAACTCGTGATGACGATTACAAACAAAGGAAGCTTTTGTGTAACAACGACCCTTCCACTTTCGGTTTCGAAGAGGACAAAGTGCCTATTCATCTCTCAGAATGAAAATTTAATTCTTGTGGACAAAGGCAAAATCCAAAACGCCTTTGAAAATGTGCCAACTAAGGAAACAACTGTGTCAGTATTGCACACAGCGACAGCAATCAGTTCAGCGAGATTATTTTTATCGATTTCGTTAAACGCCGTGAAGAAATAAACTCACTGAAATGATTGCCGTTGCTGTGTTGCTGTGTACAATACTGAAACAGTTGTACCCTTAATTACCACATTTTCAAAGGCGTGCCAAACCGGTAAAATCTAAGTCCTATTGACATGACAACGAAGACTTCTCTTTAACATTAAGCTTGTCGGAAGCAATCGATTGGAATAGGATCATTTACTCCTAAGTTTACAATGACAGCTCAGATTTCGAGAACCGTTATGGCGATTCCGTTCTGAGAAGCGCCAGTTAGAAATACAAATTATGCAGGTGATGAGAAGCCTGATGTAAAAAACAGTCCTACCATACATATCAACCAATATTTCCAATATAGATATGTTAGAGGTACTTACACTGCTTGTGTTGATTCCTATAAATGTGAAAGCGACAAAAAGAACCTCGTAAACCATTGTAGAGACTGCACGACGCGCAATGTGTCTTAACGAATCGGCGAACTTGATCCCCGTTACCTCTTCGCCTGCCGGCTGCTCGATCGAATGCCTTCAGACAAGACTACAATAGAAATTCGTCGCTCTCGTCAGCTTGCGTTTTGATTACTTGGGTAGATACATGAGCGAATGCGTAAAAAAAAAACGTATTGCGTAACTTTAATACTTTTTTTTTTAATTAAACAAACTCTTCTCAAACTTAGTGTCAATATATTCGGGTTTTTTCCCTAACGTGACGTGTTTATTATTTCCCCACAGTGGTTGGCGGAGGCAGAGGAGGGGGGTGACGACGGGAGAGGAGGAAAGCTTGATCTATTTTGATCGAGGATAAGCAACCAATGATCAACGATGAGATGAGGAAAATTCGAACAGACAGTTAACCATTCCTTTTCAAGGGGGAAAGTGATAAATATTGGCATTCAAGTAGGATCATTGAACAATGACCAACCGCATTATTTTCCGTATCTGTCTGAAATTATTATCATTTTTTCCCTTATTTTTTCCGGGTTGGATTCAGTCTTTAGAGGCGTCTGAAGTTTATTTTAAGATTACTGCAATATTAAGTATCGAGCATCCACCAGACAAACCAAAGGCATCGAAAATAATATCTGACTCCATCACTTTTTACACTTGAATGAGATTGTTTCTAGGACTTTTTACTTGTTTGTTCGTCTTCATTCAAGGGCTTGTTGAAAAATTTATATTTGAGCTGTGCGTCGAGGAAGATTATTTGTACTCCATACGTCTAATTCATACTCTAATCCATACTCTTACCCCCATACCCCGCCTGCCACCGCGTTCGGTCTGTTATGCTTTTATCGCCAGATAACCTCGCTTTCTTTCCAGGAGAAATGGCCGAAAGAAGTTGCTACTGCGCGCAACTTCAATACTTGTCACAAATTTCCGAGTCCATCATTTATCATTATTCCTAAAAACGTGAGCCAACGTCGAAGAAAGTTACTGCACGGAAGAATGTAGTAAAAGAACGCTAACTGAGAGCAGTTTTCTTTCGCATTTCGTTCGTGACAGCTTATCCTTTGTCCTGTGTACTTCCATATATGGCTGATTCACAGACATCATCATTGTTATTTTGGGACCGTTTTAACAAGCGCTGAGAGTGCAACTTCCAGACTGCTACCAACCATTCTTCAGTTAAGATGGACTTCTCTCGTTTGCTTACACTTGTTTTAAGTGTTCTTTTTGTTGGTAAGGTTTTATCTTTCTTGTAGGTAGATAAAAAAACTCGATAATTATGTCTCATTTGAAAAAATATCTTATTACTCTGGAGGTGGGAGGGATTCTTGCAGCGTGCAATACTCGCAGCTATGTAGAAGGTATTGATAAACTTCAACCGTCGAGGTTTCTCTCCCATTTCATAGCTCGTAAGCTAGCTATTTATATCCAAAGTGATTTAGGTAAGTTGAAACACGTATGAAATTATCTTCGCGGAAATAAAACGCCCAAATGGCGAAATTGATTACCTGTAAATCTAGCTGATTTTTTGCCACTCACCATGTATTTAATGTGTATGCTGTATTTTAATGTGTATGCTATAATTGTAAAATTTCATTTAAAATCAATTTTGAGATTAGTGTTTTCTATATAATTACAGTACATGTTCACTAACAATTTTTTGTTTATATCGCAGTGCTTCTAAGTTCCACAGCAGTTGGGGGTGAGTTAATATGCATGAATGCATGAATAATAACTTGTACATATTCTGAACTGTCTCTTACAAGAGTTATATTTTGTATTTTTTTAAAAGGATAAACTTTGTTGCTTACTGTTTGCCTTGGGTCGCCATGCATAATTACAGTCTCTTTCTGCATAACTTTTTAAATTTATTATGGTAATTGAGCTGAGTGGAGTGCAATTTGGGCTGAAATCATATACGTGATTTCAAAATTCAATGAGCACGTAATGCGAGTTCGATTTAAAATCACAAGTATGATTTCCAACCAAAATTGCATGACATGAGGTTCAATTACCACTTTATTACATCCATTTTGAAATTACCCAAATTCAGGATTTGGTCAGTTCAAATATTTTATTGATGTAGTAATGAGCTGGTTTGAAATTAAATTCATCCATTTTTTAGAGCAAAAAAATAAGAGTTTTGAAAACAAAAGTTGCGAAATTTGCCACATGATACTCTTTGTCTTTCACTTTCTTGCAATTTGATTGGTTACTTTAAATAAGCCTTGAAATCTACTTGGCTGTTTTGTTTTTAGTGAAGCCTCCTCATTGCCTTGGGAAAAGATGTGATTCAAGACAAAAAATGGTGCAATTCATGAGTAAATCACACCAATTAGAGCCAATCAGATTACAGGAACCACCAATGATTTCAAAATGAGTGTAATAAAAAATTTAACACCACATACATATCCATAGCATTTCTTGCTTGAAGTACATGTATGTGTTGCCAATAATTTTTTATGCTGATATTGGACTGTATTTGTCCATATTTTGATGGAAACAAATGGATTCCATGTTCTCACTCCTTCCTAGTAATGGGAATAACTGGCAATAATGAAAGAAGTACTTGCAAGTGTCCTGAATTTCATTACACTTTTGATCAGAGGAAAAAATTAACTAGACCACAGCAAAACATACTCTTAGTTGACTTTTCGGATATAATTTCTAACAACAATGAATGAAAATGAAACTAGTATTTCTGATTCAGTTCATGACATCTTTTCTATTCATATAGATAATACCAACTGCTGTACTCAATTGAACATCCCATCAGAATGTCATTTTCTGTGCGGAGTTGGAAGCCAACCCTTCTGGTCAATAACGAGATGGAAATGTACACATAAATACTATGCCAAAGTGGCAACATGCGAAGTTCAGAATAAAATCAGTAAGTATAATTTTCCTAATAAGTGGTTATGATGGGTCCTAGGAAGGAAAAAGTTAATGATGGACATTTTGACAACCTGACAGGGAGACTATAAGCAACAAAACCTCAGTATCACTCTCACAGAACAATCTCAGCACACTATAATGTATTTACTCTTACACCTGGGCTGAAATGATAAACTTTGCATTTAGAATCACTAATTTATTCTTTTTGCATCTTCTTGTAAATCAGATTATGTGAAACTGTTTGGCCAAGAACTGACTCAATCGTAAGTTTCTTTATACAGTTGTTCATGCACACAATATAGTGTTTAAGATACATATTAAATAACGCGGGTGGTTTCAGTTGGGTATTGTAGTTAGTAGGGAAATGTTTCATTGATAACATTTATTTGGTTCTTTTAATCACCTTTATCTGAAAACCAGAATAAAGAAAAGCTTTGAAAAGCTCTCAGCAAGCCTGCAGGCAAAATTATCAGATGCAAAAGAATTTGCAAAAGCCACACTTGATGAGCTAAAGAGTGTTCCACAGGACCTGCTGTCCTCTCTGGAGGTAAATGTATTTTATGTGCTTTGCTTTCTTCATATTAAACCTGAAGACAAAAAACCTTAATGCTGATAGACTTACAACTTATCAGCTGAGGTATTTGATCGACCCAAATACTAGTCCTTTAGTAATTTGTGAAGGGGGAATAGGTTAAAAAAAAAAAAAGATCAGCCACAGATAGCTGCTTGTCCTCACACAAACAACTGAACTATAGTATCAGACATCCCTTGCTTCTAAATGGGAAGAACTGGCAATGATAAGACAGGCACTCTCAAGTGCTTTGAATTTCAGTACAGTTTTGATCAGAGAAAAAAATTAACCAGACCACAGCAAAATGAAATTTAGGCTATGTTGAACTTGACACAAAAATGACTCTCAGCGTCTGTTTGACATAGTAAGGTACAGTCAAATTAACCTCAGAGGCTGTTGGGAATTTACCACTCTCGACCCTGTACAACCCTGGAGGCAACATAAAGTCTGCACTCAAGCCAAGAAGCCCATCCAATGGGAGTTTATCTTGTTTTCCCCAGCAGGAAGGGACTATAATCATTTCCCCATCCCTGGATAGGATGCTAGTCCCTTGCAGAAGGTAGCAGGGGGGGTGGTGCTATCATTAACCATTATAAACACAAATTTTTAGACACTTGGCATGGCACTCCAGTGGATGCCTTCCACAGGTCCTCCATGGTTACCTGCTGGGTCAGTTCTTCACTCATCTCATCTTCACTCATTGGTTGCTCATCTGATGTTGATGAGTTAAATTTCTCTTCCACCTTATTCATGCTGGGTATGGTATGATTTCAAGGCTGGTCAGAAACCATTTGCATACCTCAGTAGTATACAGTAGGTGTAATTCTGAATGTTGATCAGTTCCCTAATGTTTTCTTAGATAAGATCCTCTTCTTGCTTTGCAGGATAGTCTAAGTGGCATGACAAGTTACCAGTTTGGTGGAATTGTTGATCGTCTCACAAAGTTCACATCACAGAATTTAAAGAAGCTCATCTCACACATGAACCTGGATGCATTTTTTGCCAATGTGGACAAAGTTGCTGTAAGTTTTACAAGGGAAATTAATGGGATTTGGCACAATTATTTAAGTGCTCCTGTGGAAATTTCATCAACCTTCATTTATGCCTTTAGAATATTTTATAGCTTTTTTAATGTAGAAGCAATCTTTGCAGTAATAAACACTATAAGCAGTAGTGGAAATAAAGCCTGAAAAAAAAATTCAAGTCTTTAGGGGATCTGAACCCAAGACCTCTGTGATACCAGTGCAGTGGTATTGCAGTGGTCATGGGTTCAAATCTTTTTTTTTTTTTTTTTTCCTCACACAGGTCTTATTTTCACAATGTTTTAGTGTTCATTACTGCAAATATTGCTTATATATTCATGTATGGTACTGTTTTTCTTATAGAGTAAGGAATGGGATCGCGAGCAACTGGCTGCTCTGAGCCAAGCTGCTTATCGCAAATTTGGTGATAACGTCCGTCAGTGGACCGTCAAGGCATTAGAAGACATGAAGCAATTGTTGGCTGGATTTGAACCAAGTGA